CATGTCCCGGTACGTTGGATCCTACACCCGCCATTGCGACCTCTGTCTCCGGACGAAGGCCCAAAGGCATCCACCCATGGGTGAACTCCATCTGCTTCCCATTCCGGATGAACGCTGGGATCGTCTGAGTGTCGACTTCATCGTTGAGCTTCCAGAGTCCGATGGATTTGATGCTGTCATGAATGTGGTCGACTCCGTAAGCAAACGCGCCCACTTCATTCCAACTCACACCACAGTGTCTGCTCTCGGATCCGCAAACTTGTACCTGCAGAATGTCTGGAAGCTGCATGGACTCCCTCGGTCTGTTGTGTCCGACCGGGGTCCGCAGTTCGTTGCAGAGTTCACCCGGGAAGTCTACTGGATGCTCGGAATCAAGCTGGCTGCCTCCACTGCGTACCACCCTCAGTCTGACAGACAAACGGAACAGACTAACCAGGAACTCGAGTCCTATCTCCGGATCTTCGTCGGAGAGCGCCAGGATGACTGGGCTCGCCTCCTACCTATGGCAGAGTTTGCGTACAACAACCGGGTCCATGCGTCCACTCAGCAGTCACCTTTCCTCCTAGATACTGGCCAACATCCTCGCCTCGGGTTCGAACCTCATCAGCCACCGTCTCGGATGGAGTCCGCAAATGAGTTTGTACACCGGATGAAGTCCGCAGTTGATGAAGCTCAGGCTGCATTGGTCAAGGCTCAGGATGACATGAAGCGCTACTACGATCAGCGTCGGACCCCTGCTCCGGAGTACCAACCGGGTGACAAGGTTTGGCTGGCTCGTTGGACATCAACCTTGCCCGACCCTCCCGGAAACTCGGACACGCACGACTCGGACCTTACAAGGTTGTCCGGAAGGTTGGCAAGGCAGCATACCGACTCCAGCTCCCTCTGGGCTTATCCCGCCTCCACCCTGTCTTCCCCATGGTCAAACTCTTTCCCTTCGTTCCGGACCCCATCCCGGGTAGACGCCCTGTTGCTCCACCCCCTCCGCAGCTTGTTGATGGAGAAGAAGAGCATGAGGTAGAAGAGGTCCGGAATAGCAGATAGTTTGGTCGGGTCCTGAAGTATCTGGTACGCTGGCGAGGCTATGGCATTGAGCACAACTCCTGGGAGCCCGCAAGCAACCTTCAGCATGCTGCCCAGAAGGTCAAGGACTTCCATGATCGTCATCTGGATGCAGTGTGCTCACTCCGGACGAGTCCGACGAGTCCGACGACTCCCGCACCGCTCCAGATGACTCCTACAGCACTGGACCAGTCCTGGGAGCGTTGGCACAGTCGGAAGGCTCCGGGCTCTGTGCAGTCGTACTTCGACATCTTCTCGCAGCAGTCCGGAGTTTCGGGGCTGGTGAATTCGTGGCGTGGCAGGCAGGAATCTTCGCGTCAGGTCGCCGCAACCTTGAAGGGGGGTGATGTAAGGGGACACTCCTATTTTCTCTCCTTTCCTTCATCCCATGGACTCTTACCTACATTCCCTTCATTCCCCTTCGTTCCTTTTCGCTCCCTTTCCTTTCCACTTCCTTTCCACCCACTCCTTTCGTATCCGAGCCACGTCCGGTGACTCCGGAGTCTTCCCGCACTTCGGACACTTCGGACTTGCTCAGACTTGCTCAGACTTGCTCAGACTTGTCTGTACACTTCAGGGCTCGTCCGGATTACCTCTGTCCTCTTTCCCCACTTCATTACTCTTCACCCTTACTTCCCCAAGTCACTGGCACGACTCCTGTGCATTTACCCTCCACTTCATTATCACATGTTTCCTTGTACCTTGTGATATTCGCTCGGACTTGTGGCTGGTGTACTGTACAGTTATCCTGCATTCCTCTCACACTACTACAGTATATACTTTGCTTCCTAGCATGGAGAATCCTTATCCTGTTCTCTTTGGATTCTCCCTCTGCTAGGTGAGCAGCTCTCTCATGTATTGTAGCTAGTCCTATTCATATCTTTGGATTCTCCCTCTGCTAGGCCTGCACTGTTGGCCATCTTGAGGTTGCCCTTACATGCATAGTCTGGGCACTGGAGGGCATTGGGATCAATTGCAATTCAATCCATGATCTGTAAAGGCAACTAAAGTGCTGGATAAGACTGGAAGGAGCGGAAAGCGGGGCTTCTTCGGTGCTTGATCAAAGGTGAAAGAAAGAAATGTGATACGGCGGGGGTGCATATACCAGATGTGAAGTGAGAGAAGAGAGAGTGGTGCACCACCACCACTTTCTTCTTCTCACTTAGACGGAATTCTGTTAGTCATATGACACCAGAATACGGTATAGTATAGGTTTATGATATGGAAACATCACGAAGTCCTGGTCAAATTAAATAAGGCATTGACAGTAGGGATTTTAGATAGTACACATTTCATCCATTATATAATGCTAGGATAATGGCACAGTGGATTCAGCAGAAGATATTAATGTCATATGTCGAGGTGAGACTGTGTGTCATAGACCAGTCCTCACGCCCCCTTAGGGGTCCCCCCTACGCCCCTTTTGGATACTTGGACCTTTGGTCGGGCTCCACCCTTGAGGCTTATGCATGGTGTGTAGTACTAGGATTACTCTGTTACATGTTTCATGTTTCATGTACATGTGTACTTACATACTAGCCTCACTACATACATGTGTTAGTTAGTATTTATAGTAGCACTAGTACACATGTATTCACTACTCTGAATCTTAGTTCCTTCTCCGTCACTTATCTTCTAAGTCTTCGCTGCAGGCTCCTCCGCGGAGCCCGCCTCTCACCTTGCTCTCTCTGAAATCGGGACACCACAGGGCTAGGAGGGCACAGCATCAAAGCTGAAGCCAAGTCCTGTATGCTTCGCTCGTCTGCGCTCCTGCGCTCCTGTACGGACGAGTTAGGAGGCCCCTTGACACAGTCCTTAACACAACATGCAGATCACTCAGCTTGCAAGCAAAATGTGGGATGGAGCACCACACCTTTGGAGTTTTATGAACATGGTAATCTCACACAGCTGAAGTGAAGGAGGAGGAGATGAATCAGTGAGGAAGAATATCCAGGGTCTGGGAGGTGATGAGAGCTTGGAGAAGGAGCAGTACTGGGAGGCAATTGACCTGAGTTTGGGCCCAGAGGGTAGTGGTGAAGCTGGAAAATCAAGGCCTACACAACAGGAAATGATTGAACAGTGGTGCTTTGCTGTTCTGACAGTAGAATGTCCTTTCTCTTCTGCACTTCAATTTCCTTAAGCTCACAAGGGCAAAGTGTAAAGCCATAATAATAAGCATTATCTTGCAAACTTCATGTGCTGTAGTGTAGCATTGAAGTTATGGTGGACATGATGTGTTGTGATACAAAACTGTTTCTGCAGCTCCTGCCTGATGTCATAATTTACAATTCCAACAGTCACAGTCACTGTGGCACATGCTGTTGACAAATGACTTGTGCCAGGCTCTCTGGAATGGTTGAGCAGAATAAAGTTGTCACATTAATTTTGGATCATCATCTTCACACATTTCTGACTACGGTTTTCTCGTCTAAGTCATGTAATGACACACTAGTATCAAAGCTCAACTTTAGAAGAGAGCCTGGGTAGGAGGCTGGTTTCCCCCACACTCTGGAATTCTGGCAGATTCAGCACAGTTTGCAGAGACCAAAATATCTGTGATTGTTTGTGACAAAACCAAAACATCACACTTTCTCAAGAAGTGTGTTATGGAGATATCTGCTGGCATCACATTGTACATTTTAATTGCATTGAAATCACTCAGGAAAAATTAATAAGCTAACCATACATGTGAACTAGTGCTGTGCCAGCCTCAAGGGGAAATTAAGCTCTGGAAAGACTACAAAAATATTCCTTCTGAATACATGCACATGTGCAAACTACATAGTCACATGAACCCCTGTAGCCCCTGTACTGCCTAGTGTCAGGATCTAACATGTACATCAAGGCCAATACCCCTCAGAACAGGAAGATGACCATCCCACGCCCTTGCAACTACAACATCTCCAGTATCCTTCCAAGTCTTGAGTGGTCATTGAACAACACGAAGTGGAATATCCAGGTCAATTGGCATGTCTGTTGTTTGTCTACCAAGGGTTCTTGTTGGGGTAGCAAACAGAGGGTGAGCTCCTCGCAAACCAAAAGGGTCGGGTATCTGTATGCGGATGCTGGCCAACCAAAATAGGTAATGCAAGTTCGCGCCACGCGCAACTTGTTTACCGTCTCGTTTCACTTCTTTATCATGGCCGCTCGTACTTACATCTGATTGTGTATTCATGTGCACGACTCATGCTTATATATGTGTTGTTTTGTTTCCAAGCACCTCAGTTATTGCCCCGCAATATACTGAGGTGAGCTTATTCCTATTCTAACTTTGCTTATCCATTCTTACATTCGTCGTAGTTTACTGTTTCTACAGGTATCGTAGCACGTATAGTTATTGCCCCGCAATATACTGAGTTTACTGTTTCTACAGTTCTTGACTGGTAGACACATGATTCCTTGTAGTACAGGGTCCGAACATGCTGGACTGGAGGCTTTCTGGGCAAGGGCAGACGATGTGGTGATGGTATGAGTTAAAGGAGTGTGGGAACATTGAGGCCCAGTGTAGTCCTGCTATGTACCGCGTTAGATATTGATCACATTGTGTTCCTGGTCTCAAATTTATGTGAGCACCTTCACGAATGTGTATATATCATAGCCTAAGAGTCCGAATACTATTACCTTATGTATCCCGAAAGATATGGGCAGTGTGAGCAGATGTATTGCACTACTGATTCTCAGGTCACACCGGGAGGTTTGCAACCGTTGAAACTGTGCCAAACCAGTATGTGCGTGTGGGGGATATAAAATAAGTATATGATTGTCTATAAATCTAGCTACTCGGGGCAAAATTACTTGCAGGAGAGACGGCGCGAGCGTAGCACTAGGATGGAGTGTGGGAAAGAGTAAGAGGCCGCGTCTTCGGTTCTGCAACTAAACATTTCTCCTCGTTCCCTTCGGGGTACTGCTCAATCTAAAGAATTCCTGACGGCGTGCAGATGGAATTCCTTTCGCAAACATACGTTGCTCTTCGTGGTCCAACGGGAGCGCCTCAAACTCCTGCAGACATTATCGCGCGACTCAGCGACAGGCTCTCACCCGCTACCCTACTCGCTGACAGACGAGCTTCGGTCCTAGCCCTCAAAGGTCTCGTTCGCGATTGCAAGCAAGACGTCGGGGAACGCGCCCTGACCGGCCTGCTGCAAGTGCTGGAGAATGATGCCGAAGTGGATGCGGAGATCGGCAGGGCAGCCTTGGAAACGCTCCTCATACTATGCGAAACCGACGACGCGTCGCGCGAGCTCGGCTTCAAGCACACCGATATCGTCCTCACTAACGAACGGGTCATCAACGTCTTGTTCACGCTCCTGGGGGACTCCAATTTCTATGTTCGCTTCTCTACTCTGCAGTATCTGTCCGTCCTTCTCCAGAACAGACGACAAGTGGTGCAGGCGTATTTCCTGAAAGCTCAAGTCGGTCCGGGAAGCGTTGTTGCTGTTCTCGACGATAGACGGGAGATCATACGAAATGGTGGGTGTCGCGATGCCCATTCCACGTCGTAACTGACTGGGTAACATAGAGAGTCTCTCCATGGTCCAGGCTCTGATATCACAGAGCTCTGACATCCAGAAAGTACTGGCGTTCGAGGGTGCGTTCGAGCGCCTGTTCGCGATCGTCACGCAGGAAGGCGGCATCGAGGGAGGACACGTCCCTCAAGAGGCGTTAACATGTATCGACGGACTGCTCCGTTTCAATTCTTCCAACCAGGTGAGATTGCATGCTGGTCGAGCGCACTGTAGCTGACCGTCTGCCAGAGCTACTTCCGCGAAAGCCCATCGCCACCCATTCTATGTAACCTTTTGCTGTTCCCTCCCTCGCTCCAGTTCCACCAACCAGCGCCGCAGGAGTTCGCGTTGCAATTCTGGGATTCGCAGAAAACAATCAACGCCTCTATGGTTGTTGGTATCATAGGCATGCTGGCGTCTACCAAGGGCAATCCGGTGAGTGTGCTTGTATATCCTGTTCGTCCGTCTCACCAGCGCTCGGAAGGTGCAAGAAGCACCCCCGTTCACGCGTTGCCTGGTCGAGATTGCACTGGCCTCAAATGCGCCTACGTCGATTAAAACACAGGCCTTGCGACTGCTCCCGCCACATATGACGATGCCTCTGTCAGAGCTGGTGCTAACACCGTACATGCCTGTGCCGGAATCGAACGGCGAGGAGTGGGATCGTCTAGAGCCGGCATCTGCGCTCGATGCGTTGGTTGAGCTGGCTTTGCACGGAGAGTACAACGGTTTGGAGGCAAGCAAGCGAACGAAAGAGGGTCTCGAACTGCGGACGGCAGCTGTCACTGTATTCGAGGTGAACCGATCCCCTCTAGATACAAGAATGATACTGAACGCCGATTAGAATTTTGCTCGGAAAGAAGATATCAAGCAGGCAATCGTTCAGGCTATGTTACCGCCGGAAGGGAGTGCTACAGACGCGCCACCCGTCACCCCCTTGATACACTCGCTGATATCATCCCCCGCCGCCACATCCATACTCGACCTAGCGGCGATATCGTCCACGCATCTGGCAAGCTGGCTATTTGCTCACCTTATCCGAACATCTGCTCGTGCCAAAACTCTAGCCCTAGCTATAACCCCGCCTCCAGCACATAGCTCCGCAGACCCAAACGCAGGTGGAGCCTTTTTCGTACCAGCTGACGGTCCACCGGCGGCAGGACAGCCGATTACTGAGGAAGCAGATGATGATGAACCGCCACAAACGCTGCTGCATGTCCTCTGCGAGAATCTGTCCCTCGCTTTCCTGTCTCGCTCTCGGGCCGACAACTCTGAGCGTGAAGCTCGGGAATGGGATAGATTAATTGTCGCTTACCTGACTTTGTTCTCACAGTGGCTTTGGGAGGATCCTAGCGCAGTGCGAGAGTTCCTGAATGCCGGCGGGTTAGGTGTCGTAAGTCTCAAAAGTCCACATGTCTTTGTGACATTCGTTTGAATGAGGTTAAATAGCTTGTGGAGGCTGCTAACCAGACCTCGGAAGCCGACTCTATCATCCCTGGGCTATGTGCTTTCCTGCTCGGCATATGCTACGAGTACAACCGGGAGCCGGGGGAAATTACCAGGCGAGCCACATTCATCCATTTGTTCCCTGTTATGTCACCGTTTACTAATGGCCCTGTGCAGAACTACCATCCACCCTATCATAAATCGACTCGGTGTGGAAACTCTGATCGGGCGTATGACACGGTTGCGGGAGGACGAGCGGTTCAGAGCCATTGTTCCCGATTCAGTCGTCCTGCCTTATCCCCAAGCTCCATCGCACCTTCACGCTGGTTTGCAGAAATCCGAGCCAGTGGAGAATGAAGGCGAGATCTGGTTTGACTGGGGATTTGTCGACTTTTGGAAATCAAATTATTGTATGGCCTGCATTGCTTGCCGTTCGGTTCTCGCCGCTTACATTACTTCCGGGATAGATGCTGTACAAAGAGGGCTGGCAACGGATCCTCATCAGATATCGGCTTCTAGTTCTGGTACGTATCTTTCTGATCCGTGCGATTTGTCCTAACTTGGATGATCAAGGCGCAGGGGCTGAGAGCGCCATGCTGGTCGCGTCTCTCCGAGAAGTGATACAGAACCAGGCCAAACAGATTGAAGACCTGCAGAACAAGCTGAAAGATGCCCAGGCCTATCCGAAAGACGATGTAAGGAGTCAATCTGCACGCACATCAGGCATATCATTGATGACGATTCCTTTCCGCGACAGATTGCCGCTCTGAAGGGGAGAGTCGATGCTTTGGCCAGCGAGCTGAGGATATCGGAAGAGAAACGGAAGGAGCAGGAGAAGGAGCAGGAGGATATGCTTGTCCTGCTAGATGAGCTCAGCAGTAAACGAAGTAGGGATAAGAAGCGAATGCAGGAAGCGGGGCTGGAAGTTTCCGAGGATGAGGGCGACGAGGAGGACGATGATGAATAGAACTTCAATCATGTTGCTTTTTCACGTAGGACCATATGGACTTGCTGTGCCGGGGACACAATTAATGATCGATGAGGATACGTCGCTACCTTGCGACCATTGTCTCCCAAAATTACAAGTCATCCTACATCCAGGTTACATGTAAACATATAAGTACAACAGATTGTGGTAAGTGTAAACAAGAAAAGGAGACCCTTGGACAATGCTGCGGCAGAACGGAGGCGTTTCCAAAACCTGACAACGATAACATTACGAATAAAAAGAGGAGAGGATCGACGGCCATTCATATAGCTTGTCCGACGCATTCCTTTTCTTTTTCTTGAAGCCATTGAGACCATAGATCCTGTCTCGATTTCTCTGTCGCTATCGATGAGGCGAATTTCAGTACCCTCCATGCGTCTTGGAAGTTGCTGGCTAGTCCAAAGCTAATTCGCACGACGCCGAGCTCTCGCCCGACGTGATGCTCGAAGTCTTTCAGGGTGACGCCGGGATATAACTGCTTCATATCGTCTTGGATGCTTAGAATCGCAGCGGCTCCGCCAGGATTGCACATGCAGCCCGTTCGTAGTGAAACAGATTCCTTTGATGCCGCGTATTCGACAAAGGAGTTAGGGATCATGTCCCCTGATGGCTTAGGGGGAGAAGTCAGTGACCGTGGAAGCGGCGCGAACGAGAATACTCACAGATAGGAATATAAGGGAAATTATTGAGCCACAATCAGCCTGTTCCCCGACAGTCATCAGGCGGCGTTTTGGTAATCGCGAGAGGATTCGAACGACTGGCGCTCCGTTTGTGTCGTGTTTCAGCTGGGTTAGGCTGCTTGTCAGATAGTGGAGGAGAGATGACAATCGCAGGGGCAGGAACGGAAGGTATGCGGAGAGGAAGCGCAGGCCGTCAACGACGGCGGGTAGGTTTAGGTAATTGATAGTCCCATCCTGTCCAAGTGGGTCTTCAGTATCAAGCTCCAACGACTGAGCAAGCTGACATACCTCGAATCGTTCGTGTAGGTGATGCGAGCGTGTTACGATATTTCCAGGAACCTGTACCACATCTACGTTTCCACCGGCGAACCAAGGTCGCTCGAGTTGAGCCAGGAAGGACTTCTTTACGACCAAGGCCCCAACTCCGGTAGGAAACCCAAACATCTTGTAGAAGGAAACGACCATCGCGTCTACTGGGGTTTCGCTAAGAGAGAAGACGGAGGTAGGGACAAGAGCCGCTGCGTCCAGAAGGGTGTGGTATCCAAGAGATCCAGCGTATTCAATCAGCGACAGTGAGTTCTTCGCATTCGTGATATTAGATTGGCCAGTAAGGGCGAACAAGCAAGGAGCTGTCTCCTTTGATCGGGGCCTATTCTTCAGCAGGAAATTCTGCAGATGTTGATTCAGATCTTTTACTCGCAGATATCAAGATGGGTCTGGTTACCTTCGACGTCGGGGTATCCACTCCTCCTGTTGGAGTAGCAGGAATATAGCAGATGCGGGCTCCCCGGTGAGTGGCATATTCGCGAATGCCGTGCACGCTATTATGAGAATCCGCACTCAGAACGTAGCAGCCTCCAGCCGCAAAGGGATACGCCTCTCCAACTAACTTGAGGGCGGCAGTCGCATTCGCAGTGAAGACCACGGTGTACTCTGGTGGTGCTCTGAAGAACGAAAGGACGGCCTCTCTTGCCTCGCTGGCACACTTCGCAGAGAGTTGGGAGCTGTGACAGCGGCATGTGAGTACAAGCTTCGCTAAAGCACTAATTCACTTAGGCTCACCTATTGCTGACAGAGTGTGTGTTACCAAGGATGTGGTCATTAAGGAAGGAGGTGTGCACGCGAATCAGACTTTCTGGGTAGAGCGCACCACCCATATAGTCGACGTAAGTCTCCCCGTTTCGCTCGAGCCTGGAGTAATCGGTTCGGCGTAAAGTGTCAAGAATCCACGTTAGCTGGTATTCAGGGAAGGCGCGAAGGAAGTAGTTATAGGCTGCTGTAGATTCGTCTTGGGCGAGGTCTGAGGGAGGAGAATACGCCAGCGACGAGTAAGATTCCTGTCCTCGAAGGCGGTAGTTATGCTGGTGCTGCTGAGTGTCGTTCTCGCGCTCGCGAAACGCTGCCGCCTTCTCGTTAACGAGACTAAGCGTTTCGTTCGAGGTGTCAGAACCTAGGATAGATCCATTCCCTGACGTGCAGCCGAGGCTCAGCTTGGAGAATACGGCTGAGCGTTGGCGGGTTATGGTATGGCGAGGCTTGGAGTGAGATGAGGTTGGCCTAGAAGACTGAGAGTTGCCCATTGCAGCTAAGAGGCGATAACTGGGAAACTGTGTGTTTGCTTTGAGCTGATAAACCCGCGAATGGAGCCCGCCTTTATAGCAGCAGGGGTGGTAGTGAATCAGACTGAGTCGACCGGTTCGACAGAGATGTCAAACAGCAAAAAACAAACGGACGTGCAGAGCCCTGCTAGCTATGGACGTTCATTATGCGGTGTCGGCAAACATCGAATCAACCCAACCATGGGTCAATCCACTCAATAGCTATTCTCGGTAGCAAGATCGCAGAATTGCCAGATCCTTTTGCGGAGTATTCAGAGCTCATCCAATGGATGTCAGGTACACTAGAACCAAACAGCACGCCCAACAGGTTCCGTCGAACACCGCTAAGTTAGGTGTCATGAGACTGATCCTTCATGGGAGTTGGCGCATCGGTATATCGCGGTGCGCGTCTGGGGTCGAGAAGCAAATGACAGCACAGAAGGCAGATCGTGTCATGAACCCGTCGTTCGGCCCCGGCACCACAACATCGCAATGCAATTTATCAAGAATTCCAGGCGTTTTTGGCAAGAACCAGTGAACGTCAAATGTGCCGACAATAGCCATAGGCGAGACAGATCGGACCCAGCGGATTAGCAGATGGCGAGAGGAGTGGTTACTGATGCTTTTCGGAACCCCGTAAGTGGCGGAGCAGTGCTATATAAATCCAAAAGTGGCAAGAGCGTATATACTAGCATCGTGGAGAGCGCTGGCTGAGTCCTGAACAAGCTTAGAACTGAACACAAGGACTAGGTGGAGACTAAACAGGCTCCAGGTACAGTTGATGTGTTCACAGGCAAGATCCTCGGGGGGCCTGGGTGGATGATGGGGGCGGAGCAGTGTTGGTCTCATAGTGATCGGCAAGTACCTATCATTGGCTTGAAACAAATGAGACGCGCATGTTCTCGTCATCCTGATGTGTGTCTCCATTCGGTCGGGAGCCTTGTGTTGATGGAGATGAATTTAGTATGTTGAAACGTCGGTAAAGCGAATTCTGACAGACGACCATAAGCTTCAGAAGGCTATTGTCTGGCGCGATAAAGTCCAGCAGATCCAGGAATTCGAGGCTAAGCTGCAGGTGGTAAGATGAAGAAGGGAAGAGAAGAGAAGCTCAGTCAACATATGACGCGTCCGAATGTTTTTCTGGGAACCTGACCCCGAGATGCAGTGCTCTTAATGAACCGGATCAGATACGAAAAGAACCGGAGAACACTACCTGAACATTGTCAGCCGTTTACCAGGGTAGCAAGGTCTGGGTGTACACGTAGAAACAGGGGTATTGGCACTAGAATCCTTTTTTCAGAGGGTCGGGGGGCATGGGACATGGGGGTGGGGTGGCCGAGAATTAGTTCATAAACGGATCAAGTGCTCGGGGGTGATAGCGGGGTCATGTAATGAGAACTTGCCATTGGGGTGACCTCACCTTATTGGTAAAGCATCGAATCGGGGGTATTGAGTTTGTCACCTAAATCGGTGAGAACCTCGGGGAGGATTTGTTCCGAGATGCAATGGTCCGGGAATAGCATAGGTCAGCGATCTATGAGCGTTGCGCGTTAGAACTCTTGCTGTAGGTATGGGCTTGTAAATATGATCTCACCTATCACCCGCCTGCAATGCATTTTGTCTCGGCGGGCGGCGGCGGCGGGAGCATAAGGACCGCTTGTCAGACCAGCCGCCAGCGTGTCTTTCTAGGAGTTATCATTGTTTCTTGGGTAGTGGCACAGGATTAAGTTAGGACTCGTTTACCGAGATGACACCAGAATGACAGATAGACAAGAACTGAATTCCGTGCATCATGCCCTGACAGAAGGTTGATTGTTTGCTCTACCTGTCCAATGTCCTGAGAGAATGCGCACCAGTGAATCAGCGGGCTATATAGAAGGTGCGGCGATGCAAGCAAGGATAGCCCCACACGGGGGAATCAGATCCGTCTAAAACCAGAAATTGGGTAGTAAGTTGTGAGAAAAGAATGCTCGAAAAAAGCTATGAACTCAAGATTGGTGGTTGGGGTGTGGCTTCGACGAAGCCAAACGTTGAACGGGCCCGAACGAGCAACGTAATTACTTCCACTTTAATATGTCGGAAATTAGACTGGCACACTAGCTGGAACTGTACAGTAATTGCAGAATGTTCTCGTATCCGGATTTGAGGCGCTAGAAATCGGTAGATGAGACAAAATGGATTTTAGCTGGCGTGTCTGTGAAGCTATTCCGAGTAGGGACAGTCGACTAGTAAACAACCTGCGCCAAACATATGGCTCCTAACAGGGACCCCTGTAGCTCCTGTCCTACTTCATTTTGTTAAGTCTTTTGCTCAAGTTCTTCTTCTTTGTTACCCGAACCAAAGTAATGTATAGCCTGAAGGCTCTGGGGGACGTAAGGGAGTTAGCACACAACCAATCGCCTCCGATTTTGTGGACCTGTGACTAGCAGCATGCTCCTTATCTCCATTGACTATGCCCTTTGTCTACGCCAAGGACCGCATACTCCCAGGTCCATTCTCAGAACCATTCATGATGTAGGCGGGCCGCCGCGGGCGTGTGGGCGTGGTTTCTCTGAGTATCTTCTTCCGAGTCGTGAACTAGTCCGCCTCGACGCGGAATGTAAAATAAATCTCAGGCTGGGCACGCCATGTGCGACCGGAAATACGAGTCCATTCTATAAACACCCTCGGTACTCGCATGCCTCAAGCATGCCCCAAGTATCTAGATCAGTTGAGTGCCTCACTTTAGCTCTCACCAAGAACAACTTTCCTTATATCGCAGTTCTCCCACGGTCAGTAACACGGATTCTGTTCACTGAGTGAGTTCATCAACTTGATCACAACAAGTTATTACCTCAAATCTGGACCTTCAGGTCGTTCTCAGAAACCTGGCCACCTTTTCTCCTTCGCGGTCAAGTCGTGTACACATTCCATTGATTCCTCTCCCACCAAAGGAGCAATTCCGGCACGTTTTGAACCGCCTCATCGTAGCGGCCATGTCCACGAACGCTTCTCAGTGCGATATCAGTGGGGCTGCTTCTACGGCCCACGTAGAACCATCAGGATTGAAGAAGATACCACCCTACTGGTACCCTTACACAACGATGGCAAAAGGCCGTTGGCTCGGCCGTGAGTTGTTGGAAGTTGTCTCTACAGAATTTCGTGATCGGTCAATGGAGTATTATGTGAGTCTTTGTGATTGAATCCCATGAGTAAAGATAGTCATTCCTCTGAGGATTGCAACCACCCTGATAACAGAGATATGCTCTCGAGTCTGGTGTCACGACCGTCAACGGCCAGGTGGCAAAACCCGAAACAATCATTCGTGACGGAGATCGCATTGAGTAGGTTTGTTCACAACAGAGGGAAGCTCGAGTTGGTGATGTCTCGGATTAATCAAGGAACGTTGTACATCGCCACGAGCCCCCAGTGACTTCAACACCCGTGAAGATTCTCCACCATGATGTAGAGCGCGAATTTATAGTCGTGGATAAACCAGGCAGTATCGTTCGTCCGTCCGTCTTGGTGTTCCCATGCTTCTATTTACTGACACGTCCTCTCAAAGCCCGTACACGCCTCAGGTCGTTTCTACAGAAACACCTTGATTGAGATCCTAGAGAACGAATTCAAATTCAAGAAGGCGTACCGTAAGTCGCCACATGGAACCGCCTCTATCGTAACATCTAAAGCCCACGCGACGTAGCCGTGAATAGGTTGGATCGGCTGACATCGGGGTTAATGATTCTGCCGTTGTCAGTCGAGCGTGCTCGGTCTGTTTCTTCCGAGTTCATGGCAGGAACGGTCAAGAAGGAGTATGTGGCACGTTGCAAAGGCGAATTCCCGGAGTACGTTGCGAGTCGCCAAAGCAATCCGCTCGCCGTCTGATTGGAACCAATGATAGCCAGGAAATTGTCTGTGAACAGCCGCTCTTGACGGTCGATCGGCAAATGGGCCTGAACATCGTTCATCCTGAAGGCAAAGTATGTGAACATCCCCTCGTTCCGCAGCTCACGATAACCCTACCCCTATAGCCTGCGAAAACGATCTTCAACAGGATTCGGTATGATGTGAATACTGATAGTAGTGTCGTCCGATGTACGTCATTACTGGTCTAGAAGGCTTGTTTATCCTTCTCAGTTGCTCTGGCCTTAGGTCGTCCACTCACGGGCCGCTGTATGTTTATTTCTTCTGACTTCGGTGGCTTTATTCGATGACCTCCTTTGAAGCCCATCAAATTCGAGTTCACCTCCAGTATCTCGGTTTCCCCATCGCGAACGACCCAGTCTACTCTGAAACAAAGATCTGGGCATGTTTAATTCCGCACGAAGAATTTGACGGTTACTTAACTAATTTTGACCGACGAAACAGGGCCCGAAATTGGGTAAAGGCGGTATTGATATTGTGCCTAGTGAAGAACGGGCAGCACCTGCTCCGCCGGCTCATCTACAGGCCAAATTAGAAATGGAAGCAAATCCGGAAATCATTTCCACAAAAGAGCAAGGCGACGGAAACAGCAAGGGTCCTGCACCTAAGCTACTTCCGCGGGAGACAGGTCATGACATTGGCATGGGATCCCCAGTGCCGTTATCGTCTGAGGCTGTTCAAGTCATCACCAACTTGCGAAATATGAAGGTAACTTTCCCGGTTGATCATCTTAGGCTATATTGACGGGTCCATCAAATCAAAGGATGAAGATGAAGACTGGAGTCGCTGGCGCGACGTCGTATTCCGGGCCAAAGGGGCGCTGTCACCGAAGGGACTAATCATCAAGCCACCGCCCCCTCAGAATAGACGACGACGTGGCGGAGCAGAGCTAACCCGCAATCGTGGAGATATCATGATCAGTCAGCCAGACTCAGAAGCATCGGCTGTCGAGACGCCGCCCGTGGTCGCCACCGACAATTCATTCCAAACTATTACCCCAGATACAACCTCTGCTCCGCCACCGCCGCCTAGTTCCGCTCAGCTCACAGACGACGAAGTATTGGCCATTGCTTCCATGGAGCCTCTCACGGACCCAAGCGAGCTTGTCAAGTCTAACAATCTATATTGCCCAGAATGCTATTTGCCGCTTCATCCAGATCCAAAGCCGGAGAAGTTGTACATATTCCTACACGCTCGCAAATATACGACAAGTTTAGGATCATTCGAAACAGAAATGCCCGATTGGGCTTCGGAAGGATGGACTTGGGATCAGTCGTAGGTCGAACTTCCTGATGTGAGATGCAGTGTGGGGGCGTTACGGTACACATGATAAAGTATGCAGAATACGAATGTAAGAAGCATGTCACTATAATAGATCTCCCGTTAGTCTCAGAAAGTTCTTGAACGCTCGGAGCGTCAAAAATACCTTGATAAACTTGGCCATGAACTTCCTGTCGATTGTGCACAAAACAATAAGGAACTAGTGAAGAATGGATGCGAGAACCGACGTACTTGTGGAATTCTGTTCGTAGAAGGTCGTTCACGAATTGACCTTGTTTGTCTCGTCCAGACATCGCTTGGTTTTTGAATATCAAATCTAGAAAGGACAACGACCACAGTTCAAAACAGGTGAAATGTTATGGAAAGAATCGAAGAACGAACCGTCATCCCACCGCCTTTTCACAGCGAATGTGCCCGGAACGGTTGTACTTATTCCAGGAGTCTGGCCCAAAGCTGCAGCTAAATTCAGCAGTGGGTTTGCGGTCGCGATTTCGGCATCCCGTGCGGCCGAGTCTGAAGCTAGCTGTTCTCGTTCTTTCCTCTCTGCTTCCGCAGCTCTCTCTCGTTTTATCTTCTCTAGCTCTCGCATCAGCTCGGCAGTGTCATCGTCGTCGTCGTCGTCTGAATCGTCCTCACTAACGTTTAACGCCACAGGTTAAGCATTGCCTTCGAAATTTGATTGTAGGTTTATCACTCGCCTGCCATCAGCTTCGTCGTCTTTCGGCTTGCTTCCCTTGTCCTCCTCTTCCTCGTCATCGTCGTCGTCCTTGTCCATCTCGAGGGCGTCTTGCAATAGCTTCCTCCGCTTGTTTGCCTCCTCGTCAACCTCTGCCGTGCTCGACCCGTTCTCTACGGGCAGCGGTGGCTTACCCTCGGCTTTGCGCTTCTTATTCCGGGCCTCCTGCTCAGCAGCCAGGAGTTCAGCCCTCAAGTCACGCTTCTTGACCTCATCCACAGAGGTCTGACCTGCTTGCCTGTTCCCATGTTCAGCAATACCGTGCCGCCACCTGACGATGTGAGAAACTCACCGAAACTTCAGCTTCGTGTGAGAGGCCATGTCCCGCACGGAGAACTGCCGCGAGCCTCCTTTGACATCTTTGGCCTGCGCAGGATCCCATGTCGGTCTGTGAGCTGTGGACATTGTGAAGTACGATGGTGTAAGTGTTCAACTCCGTCAAATGATTTGGGGAAGCCATCACGTGGAAGGCGCCTCTTACATACAGGGGCATCCCTGAAATAATCTACGCTAAGATACACAGACCCATCCTCGTACTACTCTCAACAAGAAAATTGTAGTTTATACTGATATAGTACGACAGGTCCCCGGTATGCAACTACTGATAGCTCATGCTGCCAGATATTGTCGTTAGCTTCGGTGAATGTGCATTGGGAACTGATGCTATCCCTATCAAAATTACTACTAAAGACCTCGCGGCAGCTACACTACAGCCTACCCCTTTGGACGTCGATCACTGCAACTGCGTATCCTATGCTATCATTAGCTATCATTGCTCGATGCATGCTCGCATCTTCATTATTCGGCTACGCTGCAAAAGATAGAGGTCACGGAAGGCATATGGCAACAGCGGCGAACGACACTCCGACCAATGGGAAGACAGAATCAACCATTGCTCGCATTCAAGGACCCGATTGGCGTTGATGTGGCGGCTGAAATCACCAATGTATTACTCTATCACGTTTGTAAGGTTGGGCCGCTGTCTGAGGATGTGGGCTTTGGGCTTGATGCTGTATGGGTGATCAATTTGCAATCTGGCAGACCGAATTGCGTTGGCACTTGTCAAGCCAATTGCGGTATGGTTCTAAGCACTCGAAGGACATGTGCACACAGAGCGGAATCGAGGAACGAGTCTCCAAGTCTTGGAGGGAGGAGAAAGCAGTCAGCATACCCCCAGAACCGGATGCTTCAAATGCATAGGCTCATAACAGAGATTATGGTTCATTTCCGAAGCAGTACCTATGCACATGGTTAGAATCTACACACTGCGAAGCCTTGAGAACGAAATGTGCTTGTGCTTCACGGCGCCTCTTCCTCTCTTCTTCAAGCTGATCCCGCAGCATGCGACATGCCTCCTGGTAGACATCGCGCAGCTGCATCAGCCGCATCTTGTCTGACGAAGCCTGCCATAATACAAAGACCAATACACATACGCGTACAGTTACATGTGGGTTCAGGAATCAGCGTCACGCTCAATACAAGGGCGAGCAGATCGGGCAACGCACCTTTATTCGACTAAAGAGGTACGAGAACTTGGCGTGGTATGCAGAGAGTTTCGAAAGCTGATGCCGGAATTTGTCAATTCGCAGAGGCTTCGTTGCGAGATGCTCGGAGAGCCTGATATAGCGTTGTAAATTACTTCGAGGGATGATAATCAGCACAATATGATAAAGCGAGTGGGAAAACGCGTCGAAGGAATGGGTAGTCACCTTTTCAAAGACACTACCAATGATGCCCGACGCGTCGACCACGTCGATCCTACGGGCGGTAGGTACGAATGCCGTATTTCAGGCGGGGCGCGTAGGCAGTGGCGCAGAGACCAGCATAATTCGGAGACCTCTCGCCACATATCTGTCCGCATAAACGATATTCCGTTGAACTTCTACGAACGCACAAACGCAGAAGCCGTACGCGCTCAATGAGATCAGATGTACGATGAATGAATGAACGACGCGCTCACCGTTGTCATCCGCTCGGTGCACTGCACCGCCGACTGAACCAACCCGCGTATCTCCTGCGCGACCTGGCCCATATCCCGGTCCCCCGACGCCACAGACCCCTCTGCTGCCCCCACCCCTGGCGACACAAACCCACTCGACGTAAGATAATCGTTCAGCGGTGGCGTCGATATCGCTGGAAAGGGGTTCTGCTGATGTGGAAAACGCGTGTAGTGTTCGTTAAGTCCGTGTGCAAACATCGTGTGTATGTTCAAATTCATATTATTCATGGGTATTCGCCAGCGTAAATCAGGTATCAGGTGTGGTGATATAGCATAGTCGTGTGTTCGTAGGATCGTGAAGTGCTTGCGGGGTCGTAAGAGGTCGTGAGGCCGATGGACGTGGACGGTGGGGTCGTTAAAAGGCCGACGCTGTACCACCAAGGGGAAATGTGGCGTATGTACCTTGTCGCGCTGGACCCTGGCTACCAGGGTTTTATACCCAAGCGCCTCATAATCTCTGTGCAACAAATCTACAATTACTACTTACAAGGCTTTATCGCGGTTCGCGTTTCAGAAACACGCGAAAGTCGCTCTGGGGCCGAGAGTTGGGACAGACGGTTGCATAAGGACATATTTAGTTTATATTGAGCGCCTCGTGCGTACGAGAAGCTCGTCGACAAATGCAAGTATGTAACGTAACTGATGGACGGGAGGTCGAGGTCGTGGCGGGGATGGAGATGTACATGGGATGGGATGGGAGAAATGCGAGCGAGAAATGGAGAATGGAGGGGTACATGGGAGAGTGCGAGGCAATGATTCGTGGCTACACAATATACATAAGTTTACACGCGAAGTCCCAAGGCGGTATAGTAGATTACAGAATTTTCGGTGTTCGGTGTACAGACGATGTGATGGGGATGCCGGATATTACGAGGAAGAGAGAAGCGAATGCAGTCCATGTCTGGGAAAAATACGTGCAATGATTGGGTGATTGTATGATAAATGAATGGGAAGGCAGTATGCGGCTCATTATGGGTGTGTGGTCGTACAGTAGTGGGTTGAATACCGAAGGAAGGCGAATGTCGTTCGTAGATTACTCTGGAGTCTTTGTCGGAGGTTGCATGATACGAATACGAATAGGAATGCGAAATGTTGTAGAATGGCCGACGAGTCCGAGTGGAGGAATGCCTGCGCGGCTAGGTGTTCATAATAATATCAATATCGTTATCTTATTCACGGGCGAGACCCTGTTTCTTGCGTCTTGTTTCTCATAACTTGCAAATCCGAATCGACCTCAGAGCCCTTGTCCAGTCATCGACGGGCGTCTCGTAACACGGGGAATGCGTTTATTGTTGTCCATCGTTGCCCTGGTGCCGCCCGACGCGCGCAGCTGATGAAACTCCACGTGAGCCTGCGCGGTCTGGCCGTGCGCATGGCGTACACGTTGGCGTTTCGTGCACTGGAGTTTCGCGGCGAGGTTCAGCAGCTTGCGCTCGTGGTCCTCCAACTTCGAGATAGAGAGGGAGAGCTTGTCGTCGAGCCGCAGGGGCTGGAGGTGGTGGACCAAGTCGCGTAGGCGGGTGACGGTTCTAATGAGGGGACAAGATCGAGTTAGTAAGCATACATTTAGGAACAAGGGTGAGCTGGGGTGTATGTACCTTTGCAGCGAGAGGAGCTGATCTATACACTTATTATTCGTATTCGAGTATATCCCCTTCAGGCTACTGGTTGTCGAAACGATGGCGGCCTTGACGCGCTGGCACATATGGACACAGTCGAGCAGGTGGAAATCACTACCCTGTCCCTCAATTCCCTATACACATAACAGCGGTCAGATCGCGGAAACATAGCCTGAATATCAATATCGCGTACCTGCTGGAAAGCCGCCACCTCGACCGCTGCGCAATGCAGCATCTCCAAGTTCTGCGAAACCAGGATCTGCCATTCGGGGATCACTGATGGTGCCCATGTTGATGATACCAACGGCGGAGATGCTGCGGCATGGCTAACTGGTGATAATGTCGGATCAGGGAGTCGTGGCTTCGAGGGAGATTGGTCGGTCGAGCTAGTGCGGGGCGAGGACGGCGAGAGGGGGATGTGAGGTCCGGCGTTGTGGAACGCGTATATCCCAAAATCGCTTAACGTCGAATCATCGTCCTCATTTACCCCAGACGTGGTACACGACAACAATGGCGATTCCAGGGCGCGTACCATGTGCGGTCGGGGATACCAATCATCATCTGGGAGCAGTTGAAGTGTTCTTGATCGCGGATCTGGTCGAGGGGGTGCTGGAATATCTGCTGGAAGAGGCATAGTCGACCCAGAGACACTCGCACTGTCGTCCTCTTCATCTATTATCTCCTTGATAACACCAGTGTCGACATATACAATTTCGCCAGAGGGCTTCTTGACCCAGCCCGTAGCGTACTCGTAATCGCCGATCTGCTTCGTTGAGCTGTGGGGGTGGAAGAAGTCGTCTCGGAATACTGGCACGCCTAGAATGGGCGCGCCGTCATCTTCTGCGACGAGCCCGAGAGTGTTCGGCTGGGCGGAGAAGGCAGCAAGGGGAATGGCGTTGCCGCCGCGAATGTGTGGATTGAAGAAGGGGGATGTGTAGGGTTCCAGAGCAAGCCCGCCGCGGCGAAGCAAGTCGTCTGAACTGTCGGAAAGCATCTTGTTCACTGATCGTTACGTGGAGAAACAATCCTGGGGCGTGAAGTGAAGGACAACGGAGGTGGTCCTCGATGAAATACAAGAAGCAATGCGGCTGAAGGGCGTACAATGATGGGCCTTGATCCTGGATATGATGAGGAAGAAGGCTATGCAGATGCATGCATATTTAAGCCAGGACGATGGGGACCGGGCGACGCGTCAAATGCGAGCTTGTCTTGCGCGTAGCAGCGTAACCGAAGCCTGTCGCCAGGAAACAAGAGATACAAAGGAAACAGACAATGGATGGGCGGGGGCGTCGTATATATAATAAAAGGTCGCCAAATGTCGGGGGACCCACAATCCGTCGAAGTTCTATTTAGACAAGAGCTGTTGCGCGCCAATCATTCCACGCGACTACTGCGCCCCTCGGCGCCTGCGATGATCTTCCCGTCCGCGATTCGCGTGTCGAGTGCTTGCCATCCAGATGACCTCGATTTCAAATTGGCTGTTATGACAGAGCCAAATGGGAGTGAGTTCATGGGAGTGAATTCGAAACGGCACTGAAACCACAGAGAAGCCTAGAACAAGGGTTGCTTCTTGCCTCCAGGCAGGTACACGTGTATTTGCTACATACAACCCCCTATCACGGAAATAACACTACAACCATTGAAGGCAAAACTACGCGGGGGGACGTGGAGGCATGGCGCAGCCTATTTGACGCTGGAGCCACCCGACCGGTGCACATGAGCGTTAAGATACGCATCTTTGGGAGCAGACCCGGTCCCAGCGTGTGTGCAGCAGCGGAGTGGGAGCGTCGCGGTAGCGCTGAGAGACTTGATGTCGATTATGCATCGGTAGCTGTACCACCCCGCCAGACGGCTCTAGCTCATTAGCTTCGCATTCCATACTATAACCACCGTGCCTACTAGAAGCTTCAGTGCTAATCCAAGAGCTGCGTGGCATACACGGCTTGTCTAATCGGATTCGCATTGGTGGAACATGTCCTTCGTCGAAACTTCGTCAGGCGTTTAGCCCCATACTGCGGGTGGTATGACGCACGCAGTCTGTGCCAGTGCGATTCCGTCGGCTGGGAGTCCCAAGTGTGCCTCACGCTGTCGTACGCCCGTATGCAAGTCCTACAAATACGATAGGGGGCAATGATTAGTGATGAGTACTCGAGGAGTTCTCATCGACACCCCATCAGCCCCATGATGATCCACACACCTCATCAGAGCCATGGCCACGTTCCATAGATTCATGACATATGAGCGTTAGGATACGTATCTCGGCGCGGCTGAATGGCAACAATCTTCGTCCATCCGTCGTGCTGAGAGACGCCGTCGAAGCACACAACGGTAGCTATATTCCACCGTCAGACCGCCCAGTCGAGTAGCTTCACCATCAACAATACAGCCAGCGTTCCTACTAGAACCTAGAAGCATTCGGTGCTTCAGCTTGCCTTTAGTCTAGTACAAGAGTTGCAAGGGCCGTGTAGACGACTTTCTTAGTGTTCTAACCGTGGGTTCGTATGCGTGGAACACGTCCTTCGAGCGTTTAACGTTTAATGTTTAGACCCCCCAACTACGATTGGCGTGGCGAGTGTCAGTACGGTTCGGTTGGCTGGCGTCTCGATTGACGGTTCGGACGAAAACACCCCAGGTCGGTGCACAAGAAACACCTGTAGATAGTAGCGCCTCTCGTGCTTCGATTCTATTGGAACGGATGAGTATCACCGCCGTAGATGGAGTTAACAGAGTCAATCTCACCTTAGTGAGACGATGGTGTGATGATTAATGAGTTCAATGCAGATATGTACACACCACACCACGCACTTGCACTATGAGCGTCAATCATCGGGACCTTGGTAGTGTAGTGAATAAACAGTCTGTAGAGCAACTGTAGAGCGCTGAGAGATATCGTCGATCTAGAAACCATCGGTAACGGCAAGACGCCATCGCCAATCAGGCAGCTTCGCGATCCATACTATAGCTACCGTCCCAATGAGAACCTGGAAGCATTCGATATTCTGCACTTCAGTTTTAGTCCAAGAGATGGTGAGCGCGGTATATACAGCTTGCTCAGTATTCTAATCATGGAACCGCGTTAGTGGGAAATAATTTTCGAAGCACGGAGTTGACATGTCACTGAGCGTTTGTTTAACGTTTAGCCCATGCTGCGAATGGTAAGTATGACGAGTATCGGAGCAATTCAGCCAACCAGACACTGTCCGGCGGAGAGCAGTTCCTACCGACAGGTAATGGGTTAATTATGATGATAACTCCGGCTTCACGCAACGCAATTCTGTGCACACCTTATCAGAGCGGCACCTTGTTCAGTTGAGACTTACCTAACCAGCATTCATAAGTTGACAAGATGCGACGTTCGCGCTGAGAGCCTTTGTCGAAGCATACTCGGTTGTGGTATTGTCCGAAGACGGCGTCAATAGCAGCTTCGCAATCCATTTTACAGTCGCCGCGCCTGCTGAAACTTAGAAGCATTCCGTACTTCACTTCTAGTTCGGGAGGTGCAGAACGGTGTATATTGCCTTCGTATTCGTGGAAATCGATGACCTTCCAAGTTCCTCGGCATTTCGCTGAGCGTTAGTTTAACGTTCAGACCATACTGCGATGAGTAACAGGCTGGTCAGACGACCCCTGTTCATGGGATAGCAATCAACACTGATTGATGATTGATGATCCCACTCATCGCAACTACCCACATACCGTCCAGCTCCTTGCATCATAACTCGCTAGCAAGGGCCGTCGCTCGTCATTGGTTTTCATCCATGTCCTCGACATCCTAGGCTTTAGCGCAGCGCAGCTGAACAACGAGGAACCGGAGGCTGAGGAATGATGAGCGATTGCGATCATCGGCAACCAAAGCTGTCAGCAGTACTACTCGTGTGGTCACGGTTGCTGCGTGTCCTACAGGCAATAGTTTAGCTTCAGATTAAACGTCAACGGCGATAGCAAACCGTGCAATCAGTATGCGTGTCGTCTCATCTCTGTGAGTTACAGCTTGGGAATTGATCGTCGAAGACCGGACGAAACTCCAAACGACATTGAGCAGGGGAACTAAGCCCGTTGAAACCGAACAACGGCGTTAGGCAAACGGAAGAGTCAACACCAATTTCCCGTTGGATCTTACACCATAGCAGACGATATTCCGGGCAAGTTACTCGAATTGAAAGCACTGAAACGTAGCAAAAACAGAGTAGTCGCACCACGCACGATCATCCTATACGATCTGCGAGGTCGTCGTCGTCTATGAGGAATGCAGAACGAGCATGTTGGACTGGCTTGACACGGTCATCCTTTATCATCCTACCATCCAGAAATGGTCAGAAGATGGCCAGATGGGACATTGATGAGCTACCTTGCGTCAACTCTGGCATCTTCGCCTTCCACTCCGAGGACAGCTTGCGGCGTTTTGGCCTCGATAACCTATATACACGCGACACGCAACATGGGCATCTGAAGCATGGCTGATTCGATCAACGCACATAATGATTATCACAATGAGGACAGAATTCATCACTCTCCTCGTAATTGGACATGTCCTTTCGGAACGCCTTCTTGCACTTCTTGCACATAAACACCATTTCGGTCGCCTTGCGCAGGTTATGCGACTGGTTTTCAGCGTGACATTCTGCGCAATCGTACCATTGCTTGCAGCACGGAGCTCGTATGGAGACCTGGGCGTTTAGAATGTGCTTGCTTCGATGCGTCAAATTGTGTGATTTCGACTGCGATATACGGCAGAGCACACTGACCACATGGTGGAAAGGAATGAACCTTGAAATCTTGAAATTCGAGAGCTTGACTTGAGACAATCATTGAAGTAGATATATTTCCCACAGTCATATATAATTTCCCACGATTTCATGATCATAAAACCATTGATGTGTCAATGATAATCGAGGCGATGTCCAGGCAGTGACATGTGCATCTGTGCATCAGGTTTCCGGTGATGAAAATGAAAAATGAACGTCACAGAAATCAGGATTCTAGCTTGCTTGGTGGGACGAAAGGGGACCAATCATCAGTTTCGCCGCGACAAGCCGATGCACATGCACACAACAAATAAATGAGATGGAAACAGTGTCCCTGAATTGGTCTCAAATCGTTTCACCATCATCTGCAGAGTTCTTTGCAAGTAACCCATACCGATACTCCCTGTCTGTGGGAGGCCATGGCAAGACGTCAGCCTTCTGTTACTTCGCTATCCAGATATGCGACGGGCAAGTCGCCGAACACTGATCTGTTTAACGGGAACAAGTCGAGGGACTTCTGCAATGCGTTCTGGGGCCAGGGGGATGCTGGGGTGAATGTGCTGCTCGCTAGGATGAGAGGTGCCGCACGCACTATGGATGAGCTGAGGAACTTCTGGAAGCAGAGGTACGTAACTCGCAGCTCTGCGATGGGGATAACTTCAGCTTCTTCCCTATTCAGGTCTCTCATAGAGGAGGAGTATGCAACGCGACTGGCCAGCTTAGCGAAAACGACGCTCGGAAAGGATGAGATTGGGTGCGTAGCGATGGTTTATCCAATGGGGGTGCTCGACAACTGATACTTCGTTCAGGGAGATGCGCGCTGCGCTTGATACGTTGCGGGCAGAGACCGACAACCAAGCGGGATACCATCTTGCTCTTGCACATCAAATTCGGAACGAAATCGAGGTTCAAGTCGCTGCCTTTTCGACGAAGCAGTCGCTGCACAAGTCAACGTTCCAAGTCCCTATCGAGAAGCGATTCAAATCCAAAATCACACATGAAGCTTATGTTAACAAATCACGAGAGAAATTCGAGAGTGATGTTGCGCGCATCAATGCCTTTACTCAATCGCTCAACGCCCAGCGTGCGGACCCGGCGACGAGCCCAAGAGACGTCGATAAGTTGCAGGCGCGGCTCACAAGAGCTCAGCAGACGGTTCAGGCTAACGAGAAGGATTACGCCGGCTTTGTGAGAGCTCTGAGCGAAATTTTACCGCGATGGGAACAAGAGTGGAAGGACCACTGCGATCGCTGTCAGGATTTGGAGGAGGAGAGACTAGATTTCATGAGGGAGAATATATGGGCATACGCGAACGCCGTTTCGACACTCTGTGTCTCAGATGACCAGGTACGTATACCCCACCCAATTTTGAGCCATGGTGCCACGAATCTCCAACTCACATCCGCCACTGCGCCACATTGTTCTTGACAGTCATGTGAGAAGATTCGAGTCGCTCTGGACGCATTCGAAGTCGAAAAGGACATAGAGAACTTTGTTCAAGAATACGGCACTGGAAGCGTACCACAAGACGCGCCAGGTCAATCCAACGGCGTAAATGGTACAAGTCCGGTATCCCACCAACCATTCGAGCGAGTTTCGCACCGCGCGAAAGGGAATCCTGAACCGTCTGATCCACTCCCTGCTGCTCCCGTATTCACACCGCCCAACGTACCCGCTGTCACTGCATCCCCTCCGTCGAAATATCCGCCGCAGCAACCACCTCCGCAATCATCACCACCTCCATTGCCACCCCAACCGCCGGCTCCTGCCCCTACGACTACGACTGCTATTCAGCAACCAAGTCAATCTCGGTCTACACCTGATCTCGGGTTCGATCGTATCAACGCACCGAATGGTCGCAATGGTGTGGATTTGAATGATAGCCGGTCTGATGCTCAGAGCGTACGTACGCAGGGATCGATAGGACGGGAGCGTGAACGGGACAGGGACAGGGAGGTGGAGAGGGAAAGAGAGGCTGAAAGGGACAGGGAGAGGGAAAGAGAGCGTGACCGAGAAAGTCCTACTATGAGGAGAGGTCCCACTGGCATGCTATCGGAGGCACCGAGATCCGTTGTGGATAGAGAGGTAGACAGGGAAAGGGAGAACGGAAGCACTCGAAGACCCGCCGGTGCGTTGTCCGCAGTTGAGCCGCCGAGGTCGAACTTGCCCCCACCATCCGAACCTTCGCCTCTCTACGAGGCAAGCCCTTCACTAGCAGCAGCCGACGTCCCCATCTTATTTTACGGTTCGTTCTCTTTCTCTCCATATATCCTCCTCTTGAGCTAATTTCGCGTCCCTATTAGTGAAAGCTCTGTATGATTACCAAGCCACGACGCCTGAAGAGTTTGATTTCCAAACGGGCGATGTGATCGCCGTCACCGCCACGCCCGAAGACGGATGGTGGATCGGCGAACTGCTTGATGAAAATAGGAGGGAGCCGCGACGTAATGTCTTCCCCAGCAACTTCGTTTGTTTATTCTAAGCCCCATCTCTCAACCTCATCTCTCCCATCTCCCGCCCACATATCCTTATTCCTCTGGGAACATAGGTGGAAATGTATATCTGTGAGCTTACATACATATGGCCTTTTGCTCTGTTTGTTGCCCTTCGTTCACTTTAATGAGCGGGTCCGTTGGTTTGTTGGTCTGTTTGCAGTGTATGCTTGTAGTTCAGACGAGATGTGCATACCTCCGTTGTCTTATACCTAGTCGATAATAGTATAATTTATCAGTTGAAGGACGGCGATAGGTTGAAAGGGCATTTCTGAACATGAACGTACGTTGACGACAAAGTATGTGATACATGTAAAATGTTGTAACAGGCAGGAACGATGTATGAGCAGAACGACATCAAACTAGTGGTAAGTATAGTACAACATTAGCCAGAATACCAGTGATGAAAAAGTCGAGGCGGAAAGAGGCACGGCGAATAAAAACCAAAAACCATTCATACATCACAGCAACTCAAGTCAATCGAGGAGGGCCCGATAACTCTGCTGTTCCCGTGTGTATGAGGCGAATTTTTGCTCTGACCATACAGGACCTGCTGGATAGCCTCTCTCCACAGTTCCTCCCTTTGTATCCTTGTTTCCCTCGTGACGTGCACTTGTACCTGCGATGCGCCTGACATTTCGCTCGCCCCTTGCTCCGCCAGATAGTCTACCTCCCGCTCGAAGGCATCCGAGTGCGAGAAGCAGTTTAGGCCCCCGAAGGTAAACCCCAGAGGCGAACTTGGACGAGTGCCTGAAGGTGTTCCTGGACGAGTGGAAGGCGTTGTGCTTGAACGGCTCAGCCGGCCGAGGAAGCCTGAAGCGCGGCGCTGAACAAGAGGGCGGATGATGACACGAGTAGATGTGGGCCGTTCGAAAATGATGACGTTCTCGGATGATTCTGTGCAATCGAAACTACCATCGTCTGACGAGTCAATTGTTGTGGGCGACAGAGACCGCGATGGGACGGATGAATGGCCAGCATAATCCGCTGGTATCGCTTCTTCGTCGACTTCGAGACCACCTGCCTTGAGCTGGATGGCCCAAGGCAGAAGCGCCATCTCGTCCTCCTCTTCGAACTTCGCGCAGCGGCTCGTAATCGGAGAGTTTGGAGGAGCTGCCATTACGGGCTGGTCGTCGGGTAGAAAGAGGTCTGTACAAATATTTAAAGCGGGTAAAAATTCCTAGATGAGGGTGGAGTGTAATAAACATCACATTCGTACATAAGTAGAGGCAGGCATGCAGCATGCAGAGTGCGCATGGTAAGGTAAATGTCAAACTACAGTACTCACCCTAGGTTTGAAGATGAGGAAACGACTTGCTGGAGCCACGCTTTCGTGCTCGTGTTCCTTAAGGGCCGGGGTGTTGGGTGGGGGTGCGTTGCTCACGGGTCCATCAATCTGAAGAACCTCGATGCTCGATGACGGAGCCATGATGATCTGCGTGTGTAGATTAAGCATCTAGCATGGTGGCTTGAACGTAATTACAACTCACTCGGTCTTCGTCTACATTCATAGATGCGTTGATATCAATGATCGAGTTGTCAGACATGCTGGTGGGGAGTTCTGCAAGAATCGTGGTCAATTGTCAATTGTCCACTTTATACACCTCCATACAATAGTTTTTGTGGTTAAACTGGTAGGCCACCGGACACTCATTGTGCTCTTCCACCATTGATAGATATCTAGAAATGGGTATCGAATATCAATGAGATGATCGTGAAGTGATCGTGAAGTGGCCATCCTCACCTTTGTGGGGTCAAAGAAGCCGCAGTCATGGTATTCGCGCGGAATACGCCTGTTTGTGTCAAATCCACATAAAGCCAGAGTTGAGGAAGTAACTGCTTAGTATTGTGTCCTAACACATCACCAAGTTCCAACCTCTAAACGTCAATGGCTGCTGCCTGTGCCCCCGTTATCAAACCGTCCCTCCACATCACTACCCCAGGAGGTCGAGTAACACGGAAGGTGCGCCCCTTGTTCAGGAAGGACGAGTAACTGGCTCAGGCTCAGGGCATCTAGATATGTCAATGGGTTACACCTATGTCGCCGACCACTTCCGACTCCGGGTCGTGCTGCTCAGATGGTGAAATTCCAAGATGCCACCCGGACGAGGATGAAGACACAGGCATCGTGTATATAGCTCGGCGGGTACGGGTCACTCTCGTTCGGGGAACACTTGTTCGTGTGCAGAGGTACGTAGTACTGGCAATCAGAATGCCTTCACCGCGAGCTAACGCCACATGTAGGTCGTGAGTCCATCTATGGCCACACGGCTGAAAGTATCAAACGTATCAGAGGTTTTATTTATGTATGTAAAGAATTGATTTGTACAATACCCTTGGTGGCTGTCGTGGAGATCGTTGAAGTTGGATGGACGTTCCTTTCTCGAAGATCAGCGCTAGTGCTCAGCCGGCGCCCTCCGCTGGTTTGAATATCCGCATGGATTCTCCAAGTTCCCTGAAAAGCGTATACCGGCTGGTCCTCCGCGCGTGTTCTACAGCCGTCTTGCATCACAGAGGCGCAACCAGAAATTTACGAAATTTATACCGCCCAATTTTTCGAAGTGCAGGAGCGGTGATACAAGAAATTCAATCCTGCGAGCCTCGTTCACCTCGCCGGCAAAAACTGGAGGCCTGGTTCACGGAATGGAATAAACAGAGTGCGCATTATCTTTATGTTACGACGTGATCTCACTAATTCTCCGTTCTCGCAGTCGATAACACGCTCTCGTTCCTTTACAACTCGAGTGTATCGCGAGGGTTACCCCACCAAATCACTCGCAATCTAGGGTTGTTGGTTCTTGGGCAGCAGCAGCGACTCAACTCGCAGCGGATCCTACCTTGGAAGCCAAATGCTCCACAACCAGAGCCGATGAAAGCAGGGAAGGTAGCGCAGCACGCGAGGTGGGAGGCCATGGAGGAGAACGCGTGGGCTGCGCTCAGCCACACCATCAAGATGGCTGAGGCAAGGCAGGGGTTGACTTTTGGCAAGGTCGCAGTCAGAGGAAAGATCTTTCCCAGACGCGCGGATACTTGATGCGAGTACACTCGCTGTGCAGGTAAGTGGCCATCGTTGATCTCGGGTGTCACTATTCCTCATTCGGCAGCTGTAGGAAATCATCGACCGGATGCGCCCATCCCACCAACATCACGGGCGTGACGGTCCTAGATGTTGATGTATTCACTAACTGATGTGGTCCGCTGTTACCCTCGGCGAAGTCATCGAACGAGTATTCCAAAGAACATTCACGATCTAGACGATGGGTGGCAACTACGCCTTCAAGCAATGTCGAATGATATTCATATTTTCACCGTGCACAACCTAGACGCGAACCACCTCCGTTGAAGCAGGTAACATCTATTACTGTCCTCCATGTGGTTGGAATCCCTCGTCCTGGCCGGTACGAGGTATTGGCAGATAGGCTCGAAGACCCACGGGCCTCCCTCTACCGTTGATCGGCACTCATTTTCGGGCGCGCTTCTCACTAAATGCATTGGCTATAGGTTTGTATAGTTCCGGAGTTTGTGATCGCATCGCCTGAACTGTGTCATTTTTTAGCATCGGGCACAGTGCGAGCGTCTTATTATACACTCTCATCAGACGTGAAGAAATTTTCTGAGCGCTATGCCCACAATCTAACACTAACTACTTTGGTTGCCCCCAATAGTCATTCGTGCGATCTTTCCGTCCGCGTCCTGTATCTCAACCTCTATATCCTGTGCAGCGATGTCCTCCGCTCCCCCAGCTTCCGAATCCTCTCCTTCCTTGTTCTCCCCATCACCGGCATCCAGGTTCATCATTCTGACCAGCCATGCTGCGCCCTCATCCCAGCCTGCGAGCTCGGCCTCGCCGAGAGGTGTACGACCGGCAGTGTTTTTTATGTCGATTAAGTCGATTCCAGGTCCGCCTTCAAATTTGACTAGGGCCTGGACGATCTCGAGATGCGCGTTCAGAGCGGCCCAGTGCAGTGGCGTTGATTTTGAGGTGTTCTGCGCGGATATGAGCGATGATGGTACAATGGGGAGCAGATATTGCAGTATGTCTAGAAAGAGCCTTTTAGATTTCAGCGGACCTCTCCGAGATGGGGATCGCGGGTTGCAGCACTCACCCAAGTGTCCATTGCCGCATGCCATGTGCAAGACGGTGTTTGCATTGTCGTCCTGGATAGAAGCCAGACCTTCTGCTCCGAATTGAGCTACAAACTGTTGAACATCTTGCAAGTCTCCATATCGACACGCCAGCAACAAATCTTCCTTCTCTTCATCATTTGGCGCAGCCATTGAGCGTTGTTGTGAGGCAGTGATAGATAAGATTTCGAGGAACTGGTATTGACCGTGGGAATTATTGACATAAGCACACTGTGATACTGCACTGGCGTTGCGTCGCAACTCTTGCTCTCCGACGGCGACCAAGTCGCCAAACACTCCGAATTTCGAAACGCCCAAGAAAAGCCACCGGAGAGGGTTTTGCTCGTCGGAGCCCTCAAGGAGCCAATCTTGGCTCCCCACTACGCCCAATGAAACACATGGCCCTCCGTTTCCCGGACATGGGCCACATGTCATACTTCCTTCCGGCCAGAGCAGAACTGATGCTCTTTCGTGGGTGCCATCATGTTCCATGTGCAACATGCTTACGCTAGGGCCCGTAACCATTTTTATATCGTGGACCAAATACCTGGATATGGTATATCATATGCAGCCACTTCTGTAATGCATCACCTGGTGCTTTCCAAGAATACCAGTGTTTGACAGTTTCTAGGCGATCACCCCAGGCAGCTTATTTAGCTCTGTTAGCCTCTTTGAGGTGCCTTCGGTCTTCGCCCACTTGTACCACTGCGCCATGTCCCACACATCTCCTGCTAGCTATCTCGTCTGGTCCGTCCTAGCTTGTTTAGTGAGTATTTTGGCTTTGTACGGGATCGTGTGCTTATAGCGTGCGCAGCTCGGATCGTTTCTGCTCTACCATTTGTGGTCTTTCGATAGATTCAAATGTCTGAAGTGAGTGCTCAGGAATTCCGCGTGAAGACCTGGGTGGTGAACTGTGTCCTCCTAGATGGAACAACGGGCCCAACTCGGGCGCGTTCAAACGTGTCATGACGGTACGCGACTTCGTCCAGCTCCCACTTTCCTACTACTCAATTCCGGATCCCAGTACTCGTATTTGCTCAGTGTACCGCTGATCGGCGGCTACGCGATTGGATTCACTGTTATCAAATACACAGAGGGCTATGTTATCTTTGGGCCGCTTGGTAGTGCGTATCCCAGCCACCTCTGCTCGTCGCGGTCTCACCTTCAATCACAGTCATCCCGAAGCCATGGCAGCTGTGGGAGCCTGCTGCGAAAGCGGCGATATTTCCCCTTACGCTGCTGTTCTCGGTAGGATGGGCCTGTGAGATGTACGCCCTCGCTTCTGTCGATCTTGTTGGGATGCTGACGCTCTATCCGCCACTAAGTGTCACGCATCTGGAAGGTACGCGACATTGGTTTTGAAAGCGCTTCTCTTTGATTCTGAGGATCTCAATAGAGCTCTGCTTCTGGCTCTTTCTCATCAACGCCGGTTCGAACCAACAGGATTGGTTCAGAACCTTGTACTTCAAAATATGGATGGTTGGGTCGGTGGTCGCGATAGCATACATGCCACTGGTGACGATATTCACGAGGCACGATCCTCTCAAGGTAAGAACATTGCATGCATGGCACAGGGTGCCTTGGCTGACTAGACGTAGTGCGAGGCTTATACGGCTCTTGCTGGTAGCCTCGGAAGTCTCTCGTTGACCTTGTGGTTTACCCCAGTGCTGTAAGCCTCGCATCATTCCACCACTTCTCCTGATATTGATTTGGCATGTAGATGGACGTTCCCTTCATTCCTTGATAACCTGGTATGTATTCAGCCCCGCATCCTCGATTGCAATGATTGAACGTCTTTTTAGCGCAAAGAGGGTGTGGATACTCCCACTGTTGTCCGCCTCACTAAATTCCACGAACTCAATGTATGACATCCTTCTTGGTCTCCGATCATTATGATTTATCGCTCCGCAGACCATACGCGTCATTTTCCGCTTCCTGTTCGTTGTCCCCCTCCTCATTCTGGGTGTGGATGGCGTACGCCCGCATAACCACATAAATGAAAGCATGTTTGCCACTGGTATGTGGTATCTCATCGTTCCTGTGTGTGTGGATTTGACGCGTGCCTGCTTAGACTTTTTGATGATGGTTGGCGGCTTCGGTTGTGCCATTTCCTCGGCAATCACCCTTGTCGTATGTGCATGTGGTCCCCCGCACTTTCTCATCTAATTCGTCCTCTACCTAATAGATATTCTTCCCTCGGTCTGTTGAGGGTGAGATTGCTTCACGCGAAGCCGCTCGGGAAGCACGGCGGAAACGACTCTACGGTCTCAGTTCGGGGATGGTTGAGTCGGGGATACACTCTCAATCACAGCTCTCATTGCCTCCGCCGCACCAGGACGCTAAGGCTCGTTTCAGCGGGAGCTCCTTCGGAAATAATTACGCCGAACAGACGGTTTCGCTGCCCGTCGTCGATCCGCGGCGAGACGGCTATAACCAGATGTCGCCGTCTTCGATGTCGAAATACACGGAAGAGGACGATGTTCCTAGCTTACCGAGGATTGTAGCGCCTCTCAGGCCAAATCGCCACCGACCGAGCCCGAGTCCAGACGTCGAAATGGATAGCATGAATCCATCAGCCATACGTTTGACGGAGGGCAATCTGTCCCAACACAATTTACGTGTGGGGAATGTTAATCCTATGGTTCACAACTTCACGTCGCCTATCGGTACGTCTTACTCTGTCCATATATTGTTACATCAGTTGCTGATAAGACAATATTTAGACCTGATGTATCAGCCAGCGCTAGGAAATCTTGACCGTGCCAATGGATCAAGGCTTACGTTCACCGCTCCTTGAGATATGTACGCCCGTTCCACTTTACATGTATCCATTACTATGGCGGTATGACAACTTTCGAAAAGTATCACTGTATAATATCGCGGCCCATATTTATTCTTTACCAATTCAAGCTAGTAGCATCATCATCAGTATGGCAAATCCGTTCTAACGATCACGCTTCTTGACTTCAAGATTGTCCAAGGTCGGCCCGTTGAGTGTTGTCAGCTGGTTCAGCAACTTCTTGCGATCACTACACCGACTAGCAAATTATCCGCTCAGCGTATGTTGGAGACCTTATACGGGAAAACACACGGTCCCATCGCATTTCTTGAATTCTTCACCATGTGTTATGCGAAGGACGGAAGCGAATCAGCATCTATAAAATCGGTCCCTCGACCAGAATAATCCCTATTCCTACAACCTGATCATGTCCGCCCGTAGGCGTTTATCTAACTCCTGCATCACCGCAGCTGTTCTATCCTTGCTCATCGGTCCGACGAATGGGGCGACGGTCTCCAGTACGCCAGCCCAAACATTCAGCGGCGTAGGTGGATCGGGGGCTTGGTGGCCTATGGATTTGTTTCACTTTCCGGAAGCTACAAGGCAAAACCTATCCGACCTCCTCTTCTCTGCGTCTGGTCTTGGACTCTCGAGCTATAGGTGGAACATCGGTGGCGGAGGTAAGATGGCCTCCGCGCTATTTCAGGCTAGATAAGCTGAAGTCATTCACACGTAAGGCGTGAATGTATCGAATCCGGTCCGCGCTCCTGAAACTTTCTATGTCGCCCCGGGAGTCTACGATTGGAACAAAGACGCGCAAGGAGTATACTTCCTGAACGCGGCGGCGCAGCGTGGAGTACCATCTCTAACAGCGTTTGTAAACAGCGCCCCGGCGCCTATGACCGCTGGCAAGACCAGCTGCAACAGTCAATTTGTTACGGGTGAGTGCCGTATCTAGGGATTGGATCAACTTGTGATTGTTTACTCGATTCGTTATGAAGGCAGCGGCGCAGCCTATGGGACCTTCCTCGCGGATGTGCTATCCCACTTCAGGGGTCAGGGGATCAACATTAGCTACATATCACCCATGAATGAGCCAGATAGCAGCTTCGGGCCGTCTCCCTGCGGACAAGAAGGGATGGAAGTCGTGCCTAATCAGTATGTATCAATCCGTTGAAGATGGCATGATATTGATCTACGCTATGCACTATCTAGGCGTGCCGAAGTTGTGAGGGAGTTATACAACGCGTTAAGTGTCAAGGGGTTACAGGGGACAGTTGGAATCCTCGCCGATGAATCGTCCTCCTTGGGTAATGCTAGGAACGAGTATTCTTCCTGGTTGCCTCAGGTGATTAACCAGGTCCGTCTACTCTACTCCCGTGTGTAGTTTTGTGGAAATAACGCGAAGCTAGGTTGCCGCTTTGGTTCATCACACGTACGATTTCCCCTCCGACGATTCCTATGCCTCGTACATCAGCAATGTCAGAAGTCTATTCCCTGGCAAAACAACGTGGATGTCGGTGAGATCCATACAACTACCATACGAAAGGTACCGGAGTATCATGGGCTCTCATGCAGGAGGTGTGTTGCTCCCTGGGAAACGCGGATGGCAGTGGGAGAGGATGGTCGCAAGGGTATGATCCAACGTGGGTCTTCCCCCCAGTTTTGATACGCGACGGTACTGATACGCTCCCCGAACTTTAGGATCAAGAACGCGTTGATGTTTTCGGGAATGGTTTTTCAGAGTTTTCTCGTTGCCAACGAACCTCACTACGACGTAAGTCACTGCACCATACTGGAATCGTATCTGGAGAAGGCTGATATGTGATGATAGTTTTGGACGCTGGTATCAAATGGTAAGTCGCGGTTCTTCTGACCAGGTTCATCAGGACAGGAACATGTCATATGATGAACAGGAATTGGATGTTCCCCTCTCAACAATCCATCTTGCGTCAATAATCCGAATTCTGCTGGCTGGACCGTGAGTATTCGCCATCCATATTTGCAGAGATCGTCTTTCATTGACCGCTGCGATGGGCAGGATGGCTTGATATATTATGACAGTCAATACGCGCGGAATGGCAACTTTCAATTATGTTAGTGATAGCGATGCATTCTCGACAGAGCAGTCCCTGACAAATATTCGCCGCCTAGACCTCACAAAACATTTCTGGACCTTCAAGCACTTTGGCAACTTCGTCAAGCGTGAGCAGCACATATCTATATCAGTTGAATAATCATATTGATTGCATCCTTTTCAATCAGCTGGAAGTCAACGTCATGAAATAACAGGCTCAGATGCGAACAAATCAACGCTGGCAGTTTCCACGTCCACTGCATATAATATCATCGCGATGAATCCTGGCAACTCCGACACGACGCTGACGCTCACGTTCCCAGATGCTACCTGCGCGGGCCAAGCCTTCAGAACATCTGCTAGCGAGGACTTCGCCACCGTAGCTGGTGCAACCAGGAGTGGCAATAATTGGGTATTATCTCTTCGCGCGATGAGCCTGACGACGTTTGTATTCAACAGAAGGTCTTGTTGATGCCAATATGCTCGTACTTTGCCTAGTGGGATCGTACTCGCCGCTATTGTTCAGGTCTCTTCATTTTCATTACCCCGAACGTACCAAATTGGGCTGGTAAAAATGTAGGTAATGCAGGAGTGAATCTTACATCGAGTAGATCATGGCGGCTGTTGAGGCCCAAGATATGTTCTGTCTGGAGGAAGGGGGGCACATGGACTTAGGGACGGTCTCCTGTCCATATTCCGAAGCTCGAAGCTCTCCCTCTGCTTGAGCTACTATTTCTTTTACATGAATATCTTCCCGTTTCCGTGCCTTGAAATCATCTCCCCTATTCAACGGTGCAAGCTTTACTTTCGGAGCCGGCATTGCGACAAGACTTTCCAGAAGTTTGGAGCAATCTAACATATGAAGTAGGACGGCCCCAACGCTGCGGGTCTCATCGCACTGTTTGAGTGTCATTCTAATCAGAAAGGTAAAAATGAAAGGTCCCATCGTAAAGCAATCGTAAAGGGTACGTCTGCGGAGTGCCTCGTTGATGCGCCTTGTACAACACGAGGCCGATTCCTACATAGCTACAATGCCCCTGTAAGTTTCCCGCGAGCTCGCTACTACCACTGAATACTGATATTGATTAGTGACTTGCAAGCACACAGTTTTGTGCAACATCATTGTTTGACCAATTCGGTTGGACTGAGATATGGCTGTTACATGTGAGAGCGGTCCCGGCTCGCCTCCGCTGGGTCTCTCGCCCGACGTGGGATAATAATAAAAGACATCGTGGGGCGCTATTCCTTTCCCATTTGCCTTCAGTCTTCAGGGATCATCCCGAACACGTACTGCGCTAACGCACCCACAGTGCAGGTAAGCACACCACTACTCGTGTACGAAGCGGTTGCCGTCTTTCCACATTGTTGGGGTCGGAACAAGACACCACGAGTTACTTCAAATAGACCGTTGAGCTCGGTATTCTCTCTTCAGCTACCCATCTGCCATTCTCTCCAAATCCGCTGAGCTGCTCTCGCTTGCGCCCCGCTGACGACCATTGTATATACTGTACACCAGTCGTGAATCGCGATGCGCGCTACAATTGCGATTTACGAGCACCCGGACTACTCTGACTCGGAGACTTCAGGCTGAAGGGGAAAGGAATGTTGTACGCTGCAGTAGGCACGTTAACATTGGCGGTGGCTGGAGCCATCGCAGCCTCACGGTACCCCTTCTCTGACGTTGGAAAGCTCAAGATCATGAGGTGGGTATGTTGCCCTACGTTGCATTCGTCGTCCGTGTACATGCTGACTAGAATTGCCTCTAGCTCTTAATTACCCCGCCTACCTCACTATTTCTTCATTGATATCCGTCATTGTCTCATGGCGGCCGACTCTCTCGGAGTCTCACATCACGACCATCACGAACACGACCAAGGCTTCCAATCATATTACTACGGGCATGTTTACCTGTTGCCAAACATCGTCTGCTTCACCATCCGCTTCATCAGTCCACATTGTCCGTGGTTTTCAGTGTAACATTATTCGTTGTATATCTGTACTATAATATCCCACTCACGACTAAGGCCATTTGACGGCAATGCCCGATGCTTAAAAGCCCGATGGAGGCTCTCCAGAGTTCCCCAGGTGCTAACCCAAGGCGACTTTGAGTCGGAAATAATGAACGAAGCCAAGATTACTCTTGCAACTCATACGAGTTGCCCCTGATCGACTCCTGTTTGCCTCTGAAGCGCCCGGGCCGTTATTTTAGTTCTTCGACCCGATCTATGAATCGCTTCAAACTTGTATTCTTTTCTCCTACTAAAGACACTGCCCGCTTATTGAGTGCGTTATTCTCCAAATACCCAAATAATGTAGGGAAGATAGGAAATTACGAGCAATGCGCGTTCGTCTCGCGGGGGACTGGTTCGCGTCCAATTCCCTCGTTTGGCCGAAGTAAGTTGAAGCTAGACTTCAGGACAATTCAAGCCTGTTTCCTCCGCGAATCCGACGATCGGGTCTTTGGAATGCGTCGAGTACGTGGAAGAGGACCGCGTTGAGATTCTGGTCCAAGATCAAGGTCGGGGCGAGGAAATGAAGGAAACTATCAAGGCATTGAAGGAGGTGGGCCATAATATTCTGGCTTCCAGCTTGTCTTATTACAAATACTGTATGTAGATACACCCCTACGAGGAGGTTGCTTACGATGTTTATAGGCTTGAAGACTTCTGAAGAAGGATGGTACGGGCCTCATCACCGTCCAAGCTTTGGTTAATCATTATCTTCTGCAGGATTGCACTCCATTTGAATTCCACGATGATGATAAAAATACTTTGCGCTGTACTAGTGCTTGCTGGAAGCATGGCCAGACTACAGCTTGTAGGCCTTAGCCTTGATACACACGAGATCGAAGCGAATATCTAGGGGGATCCAGGACCGCTCCTGTGGCTTGAATACGGATTTCATCAGCTTTAGAACTATATTCAAGGGGTATTCAACTGTCTTTCCTTCTGAAGCTAACGAGAAGCACGCAGAATCGTCTTATCATATTGTCGGTCCCGTTTGCAGCCAAACGGACACATGCTTTCGGTTCCTCAGCACGCTATTCCACATGCACTCCCCGCGAAGTATATAAGTTCGGCGTGACATTGTGCCTGTCGACCGACGTTCATCGCCTCGTCCCAATCCCCGTACCATGTTCAGAAATAGAGCCCCGTTGCTCAGTTTTCTTTTGTTGTGCATATCCTCGGGGGTTCATGCCTGCGGTGACCATGAACACGGGAAGAGGGCCCTCCCGTCGTCCCCGCTGACTTCTCCGAGTCGACCACTGGAGTGGGGTGACATCAACATTCTTCATACCACCGACACCCATGGATGGTTGCTTGGGCATCAGAAAGCATCGTTCCCTGAGCCCAATTACAGGTAAGTCTGGGTCATGGCGTGTATAGCTCGGATCTGATTTTCACATGTCCTGAAGTGGTGACTTTGGCGACTTCTCGTCATTTGTGTCTCACATGAAAACGATTGCGTTGGTGAGTACATACATGTTGGACGGAGGTCTCCTTCAATAGGACTGATAGGTCACAGGAAAAGGACGTTGATCTTCTGCTCGTCGATTCTGGTGACATTCATGATGGCACGGGGCTCACTGACGGACACCCTCCTGGTGGAATTAACGCCCACGACGCAAGTAGCCTTGTACTATGGTACTACGCCTCACTAACAGTGCACTTCTAGTCTACGAAATTCCTCATGCAATTGCCATATGATGTCATGGCAATTGGCAAGTCAGTCGCACTCTTGAACATCAGTCCCGAAGCCCTTTTATGACCATGTCTTGTTGCAGCCATGAGTTATACACTTACGCTAATACCCTCGATATGCACACCAACTTCGCCCCTCAGCTCAAGGGGCGATACTTGTCATCCAACGCAAATATCACTGTACCTGATAAACACGGAAAACCAATCAGTGTCCCCGTCGGCGGTAGGCCTAGTTTTTGCCCCAAATTCGAGGTACTAACGTTGTACCTTGTCCCCAGAACGCTTTGCGAAATTCAGGACACGGAAGTCAGTTCTATCAGAATCTCCTGGTGACATATTCAATACTCAATGGTATCAATCTTTCAGAGGACGCCGTATTACCGCGTTTGGTGTGCTCTTTGATTTCACTGGAAACGACAAAAACACCACCACGCAGAGAGTCTCCGATATGGTAAAAGAGAAATGGGTAAGTCGTCCCCTTCCTGCGGGTGTTAAGCGACCAATATACCTTTCGCCATAGTTCCGTTATGCGATCATGGAGGAACCCGACGTTTTCTTGCTCGTTGGGTAAGTTATCTCTCTAGTGCTAGTGAAGCACACGCAACTCACCTCGAATGCTAGACATATGCCTGTGTCAGAGGACAATTGTAGGGAAATTGTCACCGGGTGAACCATAAGCTGATGTTCATTGACACACTAGGGCCTCTTGTCGTTGATGCGATTCGAGCCGTTCATCCTACAACACCCATTATGACATTTGGAGGCCACAGTCACATCCGGGACTGCAGTAAGTTTCCACTTGAAACGGCATCCATCTCATGTTGTTTACTCCGCTACTCCATGACAGTTCAATATGACGGCCATAGCATGGGAATCCAAAGCGGAAGATATATGGAAACCATTGGTAAGTACCACACTTTAGGCCTCATAGACCTCCGATGCTGATGAGAGATATTCAGGGTGGATGAGTATGTCTTATCGGAGCGCGTCCCCTGTTCACCACTCATAAACCTACAAACAGGTGCCAAGTTAAGTATCAAGCAAGAAAAGAACACCACTTTCAGTCGTCGCTACCTTGATCCAAACCGGGTCACGTACGAAGTAAGACCTGCCCTGGCATATCGAGAATTTCTATTCATTGGAACCAGTATCATGCAGGCCGTTCTGGGGCTAAATTCGATACCTACATGGGAAAGAAAATAACTCGCGGCTTGAAGGCTCTTGCGCAACGCTTCAACCTTGATTTCCTCTTCGGCACGACGCCTCGCGATTATACCCTCAGCCAGTAAGGATCGCAGTGCTGAACGGTGCCCTTTCTAATGCAAATACAGAGCGCCCTATCCTTCTGAAAACTCACTACATTCCCTATATATTGAGGAGGTAAGTTCACATCAATATCTTGCATTCACTTGACCCAAACAGTGACACCTCAGGCTACTCCTGGGGCCCTGTCTATCAACAACACAAGGGCAGACATTCCCCGCCTTTTGATATCTAATTCTGGCCTTTTGCGTTTCGACGTCTATTCAGGCCCATTCACGAAGAATGATCAACTCTCAGCTTCTCCTTTTGCGGATAGATGGTTGTATATTCCCAACGTCAAGCTTTCAGTTGCCAACCAGGTTCTCAACTCCTTAAACCAAGTAGGGGAGGAGCATCGTCGCAGCCTGGAGGAAGAGGAAGAACGAGCGAAAGAACTTTATGCGAAAGGAGAGATTGATGCGAAGTTCAAGTCCTGGTTGGAGGAGATGGATAAACGGAATGGGCCTGAACGGCGGGCTGCTGGGAACCTAACATTGGGTTATGTCACGGAGGATGTGAGTAATCGGGTTATATCATACTTCTGACTTCGGCTGAAACTGCTGCCAGTCATGCCCTGGGACTGGAGATGACACTTTGCACGCCCCTCTTCCCTACCATCGCGTCCCCGATTTCATCCAATCCCGCGCCCCTGACATCTCTCCTGATTCCCCTATCGACCTAATTTTCGTCGACTTCATCGAAAAGCAACTAGTCGGGATCTTGAACCGGCTACAGACCGACAGAGCGTATGCTTCTTCCGATGTTCAAGAGTACAGCAAAATCCTCACTAATGAAGTCCTTGGGGTTTATGCCCAAGGGGCCTGGAACTAGTCGTGCAGCTTAGAGCGGATCACAGTACTTATTTTGCAGACACTTACAAGGTTTTGCATACTAAATTGAACATGGTGATTTTTCCTACTGCTCGTCTACATCGAGTTTGGCAAACATCATGACTATCACACTGAATCATCTATCGATTGGAACAAGGTATGTCTTCATACTTTCCGCCCATCAACCGATCACAAAGGTGATACTCGAATTTATGGAGCACCTCATCGAGTTTCCTCATATCTGATATACCATATCGAGGTGCACCAGGAGCGTATGCCGTTGGTAGCGTGGTGGCCATCTGAAGTGTCGAGTAGCCACCGGCCGAGCCGCCATGGACAGTTGCGCGAGCAAGCCCATTTCATCGAGTTTCAGGACAGATTGATAGGCATCGTGGATGTCCACTGAGGCAGCGAGATCGAGGGGCGAGGTAGCAACCCCAATGCCGGCTTAGCGTCGGGGCCTATGTACAATCGGACGAAGAACTGGTCGTCCATTCTCGTCCAAAACCAGCTCGGTCAGCACTGCGTCAGAATCCACGGGTTGTCCAAGCATTGCCACCTTGCTATTTCCGTCTCCGTGCACGTACTGGATTTGGGCGTAGGGGGTGGGAACCTCGACATACGTACCCTTGGCGAGATCGCAAACGTAAAGAGTGGAGCGGGCTTGCCGGAATGAAAGAAACGGCGCGGTGGTGCTGTTCAAAGCGCCAGAACCGTGCCTTGTCAACCACCACTGTGGGCAGCCGAACTCTTCCTCGATTGGCTTAGGAAGGATGGGAGATGCCTTACCAGTAGCTGATGAGCCGTCGAATGTATTGACACGGGTTTTGATAGCCACTAACGTCGCGAATAAAGAAAAGTGCGTTGTTGGAAGCCCAGCCGCGATCTTGAGCCACGATGGAGCCGTATTTCCTAGCGACAATAATTGCAGGACCAAGAGAGAGGTGCTGGGTATCCTCCGTTACAAAGCATGGTGCTACGGCAATTTCGAAGCGAGGCAAGGCAATTCTGGGTGGTACCTGAGAGTTGGTCGGGAAACGAGGAGAATGAAAAGGTCGAGGGAGCGAAACCCAAGTCCCGTATGCGGCGAGTCCATTTTGTCTCATTGGTCACTGAGTCCACCGCTACGTTGGGCTGGGTGTACTTGTACGACAGTGTCAAGTCTTCACAAATGCATCCAGGGTATTCGTCCGGGCTAATCGCGGCGTCGGTCTCGTTTTGTTCGAAGAAGTAAAAGGCGTGAGAAAGCCTTTATCCCGACAAGCGCCGTCCTAATAAAGCGCTAGTCCAACGCTCGTCGCTAATCCATGGCCACGAGCTAAACTAACGAAAGGCACAGAACTACCCATCAGTTGGTAGGCCAGTATGAGAATAGCACCGAGTTATATGTCGAACCTGTCGGTGATGGGCTATCGATTGCGCTAACGCTCGCCTCATAAGCAACTTGGCGCCTCTCGAGACCATTCCTACCCCCCTCCGTCGTCTCTTGCACTTGAGCCTCAAGTACAAACACGATGTCCGCGCATTACCCAGCCTACTCCCACACGTACTCTCCCCCGCCCCCTTTCAGCGCGCTCGATTTTTACAACCAGTTCCACCGCGATCACTCTCACTCCGACCTCACCCTCCCCCAGTCAAGTCCGTACGCTTCCCCCAACCTGGCCGGCCGATACCTCAGCCGAGGCGCCTCGATTTCAAAGAATGTCCCCGCCGATAAACTGCTCGAAGAGAAGGGAACGGAGAAAGCGGGCATGAAGGAGATCCCGCTCAACTCACCGTCCATCCATGCTCAGCCACCGCACTATAGGCACAACGACTTCGAGTGCCAACATGGGCACAGACAAGGGGGTAGCGGCGCATGTCCCTACGCCTATCCCTCGCATAACCTGCGTTCGTACGGCGACGGCTTCGACTATGATGGTCCCGACGCCGAGAAACGGTGCCACTCCGACCGTCTTCGAAGGATCCTCCTCCCTATCCTCGTCGTGCTCATCATCATCGTCGGAATATTCACTTTGAACGCATGTCTCGTGTCCTCAGGTGTCATGGCTTCGTGGGGGGATTGGGACTGGAAGGGGGTGGGTGAGTGGAAGGGGATCGTCGGCGAGCACCAAGGAGTGGTGGCTACAAGCGCGAATAATGGCACCCACCTGGACATCCCGGTGCCTCAAGGTACTATCGCTGTATCCGCGGTGATCAACCAAGCAACAAAGACTTGAGTGAATCCATTGTTTCGTCAAGACGCTGGGCTTCGGGGACAAGTTCGATTACCTTGCGATCTCGTTGACCCCTGTCTTCCGTCAGCAACGTCGCATCCAAACCGCCATGATGTTGAATACCAGTGTCCGCCCCGTCACTCTCGGCCCCCATACTCCCTCGAATCCAAGGATCGCCCAAGAACGGCTTCTGAAGTATGTCTTCTGTCGCGTAATTCTTCCTGCCTCTACAAAGGGGAGAGAGCGATCAGCGAAAGATATTCAAGGTCCAAAGCGGGGCCGCGATGTACATATGCACATGGAGTAGAATTTCACAGACAAATCAATACCAATAAGACAAAGCGATGCGTGAATGTACATACGTATATAGTTTCAAGCGTTATTTACTGTTTACATAGACATAGAGACAAAGACAAATCGAGAGAAGAAAAACACAAATCGAGAGTCAGGAGTCAAAGGACAAGGAATCAAAAGGAAAAGGACAGAGACAAAATGGGAGATGGGGAAAACGGGGAAAATGGAAAAGGGATGGGAAGATAGAGTCGTCGTATGAGTATGAGCACATTGACAGATTAGGGATGCGAGTGTTGTGTAAGTAGAGTTGATAAATTATTGTGTTGATGTTGTATCGAGCTTGAATATGTTATGGGCATCGAGCGCGAGCTACGAAGATAGCGGCTGCAGTGTTGGCAGGCATTCGCTAGTCATCGTAGCTCGTTTCAGTGGTCGTCAATGAGTGTGGCGACCAAATGTCAGAGGCCCAACGGCGTCGTCTTCAGTGCCGCTAGCCCGTCGGCTCGATGCGATAGATACGTCGTTCATAAAAATCATAAATGGAAGCATTTCCACCCTCCGCCCCTCGGGAAATATTCACACCCCTCCCCCTCCCCCTCTTCCTTCCCCTTTACCTGATGAGCTTCCCATAGTCCAATTGGCTGCCCGGCTTCTCTTCTCGTCCGACGGTGCTATAGCTCGTGCCTCGCCCGCCGCTCGTCTTCGGAAACGCATTCCAGAACCTCAACGTCTCATCGCCCGCGCCAGTAACTATCGTCTCCCCGTCGGGGCTCATCGCTAGATACAACACACGGTTGGTGTGTCCGGTGAGCGACGCGACCATGTTCAGCGTGGGGTACTTCCATATACATATCTGGTTCTGAGCGGTGGTAGAAGAAAAGCCGTGCGTGGACACAAGTTCGTGGGATGTCAGCGACCAGATAAGGTTGCAGACCTTCGTGAACGAACATATGAACACCTTAGAATCACAGTATTATCACAAGAAACTCACCTGGCTGCCCGTATCAAGCTCGCTAAGCATTGTCCCATGACCAACATTCCAGAACCGAATGTGCTTATCCTGCGTCCCCCCACCCGTGGCCAGCACGCCGTTCACGTGCGGATCCCAAGCGAGTGCTTTCACGGCCGCAGTATGTTCGTGGAACTTCCAAAGCGGCGCGATATCGCCACTTGACATACCCTCGTCGGCGTTGGTAGGATAGTTGCTGTTGACGGAGGTTCCTGCGGACAACACACCCGGAGTTATCGTTGAAATCGGGTTGAAGGTCGCCGTGTTCATGTTGAGACTCGATACCGAAGATCCAGTGGATCGGCTTGACGTACCGCCAGACCTTCTGCTTCCTCTCAGATCCCATATACACACCTTATTGTCGTTGCCCCCACTCGCAAGATTGGCTGAGGCAGCCCCCAAACTTCCTGAACTCGCTGAGCCGCCGCTTCCATCACCACTCCACTTCAAGCCACACACTTCTTGTTTATGCCCCGCGCACTTTCGGAACGGCCGTTGGTCTTGTATTCGGACATCGCGATGATGAACCATACGGTCGCGGCTTCCGGAAGACAAGATATGCGAGTTCCAGGCGAGAGCACCTATCCGCTGGCTGTGTGCATTTTGGTACGTTCGGAGAAGGCCAAGTGTAGAAGCGTCGTAGATGTGCAAGCGCCCTGAAAGCGTACCGATTGCCAATGACGTCCCGTGTTGCACCCACGAAACCGAGCTGACCGTATCACCCTGGGGGGCCAGATCACAAAGTTTGTTGACAGCTGCATTGTGTGCGGTCCAAAGATAGACACATGAGCCCAGCCCGACGCCAAGGACGTTGGTGCTTGACCAATCGACGAGGTTGAGATAAAAGTCGTCAGCGAGTTCTGGCGCATCAAGCACTCTATAAGGCGTCTTGCATACCGAGCGTGGTTGCCGTCTGGGCGAAAGGAGGAGGTCGCGGGATTCCGTGCGAACGGGGGACATAGAATACGCAGAGGAGCTGGGTGAGTCGAGGACACGTGATGTATTGGGGGTAGTCGGTCGGGATGATGGAGAAGAATACGCGAAAAGGCGCTTCCTTGTTGGGGTAGTCGGTGGCACCATGGATGGTGCTCGAGCAGGAGAAGACGGCCTGTGTGGCGATGGAGGCGTGACCTCGGTGTGTAGTATACTGTTGAAGATGGAGTTGGCTTGTTCTTTCAAGGCATCGGACTCTGACGGTATGATTCGCGATTTGGATGGCGTCGAAGGACCGGCGTCGCCCATCAAGTGGTAGGATGTACGCATATCGCCCGCATCACGCGATGGCACAAATCTGTCGCCGTAGTACTCCCGCTTCGACTCCTTCCTTTGCCCCCGCGATGGGCTCGGAGGCGGTTCATCAACAGGGCTATCGGGGCCGTTGCTGCTATCGCTGGTGGCTGAATTGGCGGTCAGACCTGGTGTAGAGGATAAAGATAGAGGCAATCCGAATATCGGATTCACTCGAGGTCTGTTTCGTCGGTGTCCTTCTTCTTCTATCGTGTCTTGCTGCGATGCACGAAGCCGTTTGCCAAATGGCGAGTTTTTGAGGCCGGACATGGTGGCGGTCAAGGTTCAAGATGAGAGGCACGACACAGCCACAAAGCCGGTCCTAATTTGGGCGACGCGTCCAGCGCCCGACAGGGGCTACTCAGGAGAGTATATCACGTGGCTGTCTCACCATCCCTTTTTAAGTTGGAACTTTGCCTCGCAGTAGTATTGCATTCAGGTTCACTATGGCCGACCGCTATAAAAGATGCGAATCGACGCGTAAGTAGTATAACCATGGTACACAGTTCTTTATTCTCAGACTACTTACACACCGTCGTTTTGCGAAGTTCCAGCAGGGGTCTTTCCTTCACTAGCACCGCGACATGGATGGTGATGGCTTCATTATATAAGTTTCTGATATGCTATGTAGCAAACTTGTAAGTAGATTGGTGTGAACCCATGAAAGGGCTTGATTGAAAAGGCTGATCTGAAAGAAGTCGGCTTTTGGGACGCCAGGCTGGTCTGAGGTAGAAATATAAATGCGTCCCTGATGTGTATGATTCAAACTTGGAAGGTCCTGAGTATAAATCACATCTCTACGTTGAGTGAATGTTCCACGTAGTTGGCCATAATTCGAGTAGTGCTAAGAGTGTAGCCTACTATCATGGATGTAGCTTTATAATGGGCCCGAACGGTATTAGTTTAGCATAAAGCTCCTGACTCCTAAGCCCTCCCTGGGATTGGCCCCTAGAGCTCGGAGGCTGGGGGCTGCTCGGAGGCTGCAGGCTGGAAGACCTTGCTGTTGCTATTTGGTTTTTCTGGCCAACTTACTTTATAAATGTTAGTTGGGATTAGGCGTTATATTAATCCGGCCTAAACACCCTCCCAGTGGCACGGTGCGAAAATATGGGGCGGGTTGCAGCGACAAACTGCGGCAAACAATAATAGGCGCCCCGCCCGGATATGTAAACCGAATTTGGGACGCGCAGCTGTTCCTCCTTACCCTCACCATCTCTTCAAATCATGCAGCCCTTCATTCACTGGTCGTTGTTGGCGATATCGGTCTCAACTACTCTTGCTACTCCCCTCTCCACTTCCTCTCATTATGAAGACAACCGTCAGCGCGCGCATATCACTCTGGCGCCGCTAGTGGAGAACGAGCACCCTCACGGGAGCATCAACAACTCCTACATTATCATGTTCAAGCAAGGAGTATCTCCGACGCTGATGGACAACCATCTCAACTTCCTGCAGACTGCGCAGCAGTCGGAGGACTCGATGTCGGGGGTCAAGCATGCGTACACTGTTGGTAACAGTGTGCATGGCTACGCTGGCGAATTCACCGCAGAGACTGTTGAACAGCTGCGAGGGATGCCTGAGGTCGATCTCATTGAGCGGGATCAAATTGTTCACACGACCACTCCAGCCATAGAGAAGGGCGCGCCATGGGTGAGTCATTTTGGTTCCATATCGCGCCATAGAACTAATGGCCTCTTTCTTTGACAGGGACTTGCCCGTATTAGCCACCGCTCGAAGCTTGGCTTTTCTACTTTCACCAAGTACTTGTACGATGATGAAGGCGGAGACGGTGTTGATGTGTATGTCATTGACACTGGCATTAACATCAACCACGTCGAGTTCGAGGGTCGTGCATTCTGGGGCAAGACCATCCCGCAGAACGACGTGGATGAGGATGGCAATGGTCACGGAACCCACTGCGCTGGGACAATTGCCTCCAGGAAGTACGGCGTCGCCAAGAAGGCCAATGTTTACGCTGTTAAAGTTTTGGGCTCGAATGGTTCGGGAAGCATGTCCGACGTCGTCGCTGGCGTTACATGGGCGGCTGAAAGCGCTCTGGCAAAGAAGGACCAGGCGGCCAGGGAACTTGCTGCCACCGGCAAGACTTCACACAAAGGATCCGTTGCCAGCATGAGTTTGGGTGGTGGCAAATCACCCGCTTTGGACCGTGCGGTCAACGCAGCTGTCGACTCTGGTATTCACTTCTCCGTTGCTGCTGGTATGTTATCTTTCTGGACGCGTCACCCTACATGCTGACTAATATTCCCAGGCAATGACAACCGTGACGCCTGCAACTACTCGCCCGCCGCTGCAGAGAAGGCCGTCACTGTTGGTGCTTCAACGCTCGGTGATGACCGTGCTTACTTCTCCAACCACGGACCTTGCGTTGACGTCTTCGCTCCCGGTCTCAACATTCTTTCCACCTGGAACTCGGGTCCCACTGCTGTCGCCACTCTTTCTGGCACCTCCATGGCTTGCCCTCATGTTGCAGGTCTCCTTGCCTATTTCTTGTCGATCTACCCTCACGAGACCTTTGCCCCCTTCCTCGACGAGCCCCTCGTCGCGCCTCCTACCCTCCAACACGCATTCTCTACTCCATCGTCGTTGTACACGATGGTTCACTCGTCTCTCCCCGTTTTCATCCGCAACTATCTCCCCAGCCCTAAGCTGGTTAGCGCTCTCGTTGGCGACGATGCTGCACTCTCCAAGAAGCCAATAACTCCCGCGCAACTGAAGAAGGCTCTCATTGGTCTGTCAAGCAAAGGTCTCTTGAAGGATTTGCCAGCAGAAACCGTCAACCTCCTTATCTTCAACAACGCAACCTCCGTATGAAGGGTGCTTGCTTAGATGATTTTACGGGGATAACTTCGTTCGCGCCGTATAATTCCGCGTTCATTTTTACGCCTTTGTCACGACGTACCGCTCCCCACTTTGTGTACATGTACCTTTTGACCATTATCGCATGTTTGAACAAGCATTTGCAACAGGATTGACATCGATTCAGCCAAGAATTGACAGTTGGTAACATCAAGATATAGCTGAGCACTAGATTGAAAAAACTAGTCCATTCGGATGATAAACTGCGAGCCATCAGTAACGCCGCAAGCAGCGAGTGTCATATCTGGAGAGCATGTGGTCGAGGTAATCTCCGAATCAGGGTTTCTTTCCAAGACAAGCGCAGCGCTGTCGCCAAAGATATCACTAAGCATGTTTTCAGAGAATAAATGTGACTGCAGCTTACCGCCGAGGGTCTAAACCGAATTGGCCACATGCAGATGTGAGAACCTTCTTGATGGTATGCCTTCCGCGAGTCTTGAACTCCACTGACTGATCCTCGTAAGTGATAGTGATATGGAGGTGTTGCGAATGAGGGGGCTCGTAAGTGGGGGTCACGGTCCTGGAACTAGACTCGGAAGCTTGCGACCCCGGGGGATAAATATGAGCAGCTATAACTGGAGGCGCGGCTGAGAAGGAAGCTCATTAAGGGTGTATTAGTTCAACGAGCGGCTTCTTACCTGGACGCGGCGATTTGATGCTTCGGCGAATAGAAGACGAGGCTGAAGCTCTCGAGGGAGGGAGTATCACTTCGCTATTTGAAGGCGTTAGAGCCTCTGCTATTTAAGAGGCATCAAATTGTGACATTACAAACGTCAGCCACTTTACTTACCACTTCGCGTTGGAGAACCTGGAATGGAAGCGGTCTGCGCCAACGGTGCGCGTGGGGCAGAAGTAGGAGGACTAATAATGGACGAGGCTCTCGCCTCGGCCCATTCTTGATCATCGAGTGACTCTTGTCTGGCGACAGGACGCCTGGGGCTTTCGGGGGTCTCTTGTTGCTCGTCAATAACATCCGCGTCGTGCACGGGAGCAGAAGCATTTGCGCCAGCCTCCTCCTCTTCTTCTTCAGCAGCGTCCTCCTCTTCATTGTTCTCTTCATGCACAGGTTCAGAAATGGCGCGTGTACTGGGCTCCTTTTCCTGCTCGTGAACCTCGTTTGCTGGCTCCTCTGTGCTGGGTGAATCAGACGGAGGTCCACCTTCGCCTTCATCTTCGTCCTCCTCTTGAGGAATTTCTTCGTTGGCATCGCCATGCTCAGGCGGGGGAGTTGACATAACCCTGTTGGCAGCCGCACGTCTATTCCGAGGAGGGGCTGGTTGTTCGGTCTCCTCTTCTTCAGCGTCGTCGTTGTCGTCGTCATCATCATTCTCAGACGGAATTTCATCATCGACTGGTGCTGGGGATGAAGCAGGCAGTTCAACGTCGTGCGATGAGCTTGCCACTGGCAGGTTGGTAACTTGAGAAAAGCCAAATAATAATAATCATAATCATAATAATAAGCAAATGCATGACTTTTGAGAAGGAAATGATTTCACCTTGCACCTCGGCCGAAGACTTTTCCGTAGGCTTTACGGCGACGTACAACGCGTCAAGGCAATGCCACATCGCGCCATATGCGCCTTTGCTAATTCTAACCTTTTGCTGACGGCAGATATCCAGCGTGGAGGTTTCAAATATCACAGCGGTGCTTTCAGCCAAGGAAAACTCTTCGCGCGCAACCCTCTCTAGTTTCTGTGAAAGCAGCGAAGTTTAAACTCTGAATGACTCACGGGAAACAAATTGTGGGTGACGCGTACCTCGTACGTCCTTGGCTTGCCAACAAAGACCATATTGTCACCGTAGGACAACAGCAAAACGCAGACATCGCCTGCGGAATTCGTATTTGGATTCACAACTGAGGCGATATGCATTGTGGCGAACCGTGGAACGTGGCGAACTTCAAGTTCAAGTTGAAATTGACCTGCGAAGTCAACAAGATGAGAAGCTTCCGTTCACGTGAGGTGTCGCAGAGGTCCCCCCTGAACAACCCAGAACCATATAGGGGCCATACAAAGTCGTAGAGGCGACCATCTTCGCCGCACTGAATGCCCGCTGCATGGGGTTCGGGTATATCTAGCGTACACGGTGCTGCGCATAGTGTACGCACAAGCTACTACCCATTCGTTTCTCATTCTCACCTACGAACTTTCAATCCAACTTAGTCATCATTCCCCTCTGACATGAGGGATCAGTACCAGCAAATGTATATACTTCAATTCCAGGCTTCCTGGGCATACACACCAAATACCTGGTTAGTCAATAAAGGGCTGTAGACCTGAACATCGTCCGCACTAAATACTCTGTCTTTCTGAACCGAGTTGAGAACGTTCAACAATTGATCCTGGATGAAATCGACGAAAATCAAGTCGATGGGCGTGTCGGAGGTTACACTGGGCACTCCCGAAGCGATGAAGTCCGGGAAGGAGAAAAATGGCAACGGAGCGTGAGGAATATCGTCGCCGACGCCCGGGCAAGACTGTAAGATTGTCAGCATCTGACAAGTATGCGAAGAGTTTGCAGACGCACATCATGGGTGACATATCCCAAAGTCAGATTCCCAGCAGCGCGTTTCTCCTCGCCCATCCTCTTATCCATAGCCTGCAGCCATTGCCGGAAACGGATATCTATATTACCCTTCGCATAAAGCTCCTTCTCTCTACGATCCAAATCATCCACGCTTCTCCTTAGCTCGCCTTGGCTATTCAGTATCGGAAGGACGCTAGTGGCCGAAGATAACGTAACATTAGAGATGAAGAGGAATTTGTTGGTGAACGGGGAAGCGACGATTTGGTCATTCTTGGTAAAGGGACCAGCAAATACATCGAACCGTTGCGAGCCAGAGTTAGTAACGAAGTAACTGGGAATGGATGATCGGGTGTTGTTGACAGATAGCGCAACTGGGACGACCTATACAAGACTGAGATGAGTATTTTCGCAACAGACGTATTCGGCAACCCACCTGCTCCGCGTAGAGGGAAAGTAATGACTGGTTGGATGGATATGGTGCCCTACGAAGCCACACTGACTCAATGCAACGGCACACTGTAGCACGACTGCTTACTGATTGATGACATAGTCTTGCGGGGCAGTCCCAAACACGAAGTCGAGGTCGAATCTCTTCGCAAGGTCAAGAAGCCCGTTCGTGATGCGCTTTCCGAGGGGAGTATTGAATTTGCTGGACCTCTTGCGTGAATGGAACTATTGTATACGTAGGCAATGAGAATGCTATAACGTAGCCTGTGTGAGTCGTAACTCACCTCATACGTGACACGGTTAGCATCGAGGTATCGCCTACTAAACTTCAGATCCTTGTTGCTGCCACGTCTGTCAAGGTCCATGGCTACAGGTAAACTCAGCACGCCGAAACCTCCGTGTTAACTATAATACAACGTACACATCCATCCTAACAAAATAATATGAGGGCAATTCGCACACGAGAAAATAAAAAGGCTTACCGATGGTTTCCATATAACGTCCGCTTTCCAAAGCCATGCTGCGTCCATCCAATTGAACTACGGCGACAGAATCGGTATGAGTCAAGCCTCCCTTTGATATACTCAATGATTTTCTTACCGCAGTCCCGAATATGCGAGTGGCCACCTAGAATGACAATTGGTGTACTGCTGTGGACGGCACGGATCGCGTTGAATACCAAGGGAACTATGAAATGCCATGTAGGGGCGAGGAGAAAGAAGATAAAGATGAACATACAGTCATCCCTTTGCACTGGCATATGCCTGCAACGTGAGTGTATTAGTACCGGGCACGCCGCACAAGCAAAAAGTCCAACCCAGTAACCAAGAAGAAGTCAGGCTCGTCTTGGATAGCGTCATGGAACTGTCACGGCGTGTAATTCTGAGGTCGAGCAGTTCCCTGGAAGTCACTAAGCTTACCCATTTTTCATTCACCATATCAGAAACCTGTTGTACTGTGGTATTCTTGTCGTTACCAGTGAAATTAAATAATACTCCGAAAGCCGTTACTCGGCGGCCCCTGACGGAACGCGTTAACAAGGCGCACAGCCAGGCAACTAGTCGAGAGAAACTTTCGACTTACTTTCGCGTTTTGAATTTCGCAAAGCGATCTGAACGCGTATTTTTAGGGCACCTCTCGATGAATTGAGGTTGGGATACACTTACTGCCAAGGGGGATGCTAACCGGATTCCCTTGCTTATCTGCAACAGTTATGTTGACGTTGGAGGTTAGATACCTCCCTTTAAGTTGAGGTGCGAAATTGGTGTGCATGTCGAGGGCATGAGCGTAAATATAAAGTTCATGACTGGTGGGTCCACGAAAGCTCTACTCAGACGTGACATTGATGAGAAGGACATCAAATACGTACTTGCCGATGGCCATCACATCATAAGGGACTTGGGCTAGGAATTGATTCGACTTTTTGACAAATCAGTTGACGAAGGGACAAAATGACGAAACATATTCACATCGTGCCCGTCAATCCCACCTGGTGGGAAACCGTCCGAAAGACCAGTGCCTTCAAGTAATGTCCTCAATATACACGTTGAAGAGAGTCGAAAAGAGGCACAAACCATCGTGTAAATCTCCCGTATCCACGAGTAAGAGATCAGCGTCGCGGTCCTATCAAACGTATGGTCCATTAACAAGCACAACACTCCCACTGAGACTCACAATGGCACTTTGCTTCATGTGAGACACGAAGGATGCAAAATCGCCCAAGTCCCCACTATAGCTCAATCTCAGCCCATACCGTCAAAGTATCCTTCGGAAGCTAACCTGTAGTTTGGTTCTGGGAAGGACTTTTTCTGGTGGCCAAGAAGCCAACCATGGGTGTCGGTCGTATGAAGAATGTTGATGTCCCCCCATTGCAAAGGTCGCGTAGGAGGTGATAAAGGTACTGGTGAGGCAGCTCTCCTGCCATGGTCGTGAGTACCATCATCCCCACAGGCGCATGCCTGAGCAGCGGTGAAAAGCAGTAAGATCGCGCGGGCCACCGGCTTCAGTCCGTGCATTGCTGATGGACCTGGGATGTGGGGGAAGCTCAAAACTTTTGCTTTTGGGTGTCCATGCGGGGTGTGCTATACTTATATCGCCATGAAGTCCATGCTGGCATGAGAATTTCGCACCACATGGTAGTAACCTTCGCTGCCCGTCATTTGAGTTCTTCAACTTCCCAGCATCTCTCGAAATCTCCCTCGAACTAACGATTGATGCTGGAAGTGACCCCGGCCCCAGCAGTATCCATCGGCAGGACTACAAATTGAAGATACAAACTTACGAAGATTCTGTCAAAACCAGCCAGGGCTCTAAGATTTGCATGTGGGACGCTGGTCCGAGTAGCACAAAGTTGAAGAGGCTCAGGAACATGTTCATGAGGACCATGGTGCAAAATTAGGTGTCGGCTGGCTGTAAAAGATATGTTCTCACAGAGCGCGGCCCATGGAACACGGAGAGGTGAAAGTCAGGGGCGATGGATTACTGAACCAGTTACGGCCTAGTCACCACAAAGTTCTTTGTATTTTCCAGGCATCACAATGTAATACAGCATCTAATTCCACATCAATTGCGCGTAGACACCAAGCACTTGATTGGCCGTCAAATTGCTGTATAGCCGAACATCACTCGCAGAAAAGTTCTGATCTTGCTGGACTGAGTTCAGTGCGCCCAATACCGAGTTCTGGATGAAATCCAGAAACACAACGTCTACAAGGGTATCCGAAGTAGCATTCGGCACATTGGAACCGATGAACTCGGGCGCCGAAAAGAATGGCATGGGAGCGTGAGGCGTATCATCACCAACGCCGGGACATGACTGTAAATTAGGGGATAAGATGAGAATCGATGACAGAAAATAGGCTACTCACATCAGTAGTAACATAGCCAAGTGTCAGATTGCCATGAGCGCGCCTCTCTTCCCCGGATTGCTGGTCCATTGACTCTAGCCATCGTTTGAAACCTGCGTCGATGTTGCCGGAGGCGTAGAGTTCCTTCTCCCGCCTGTCAAGCTCTTCCGCACTTCTACGCCGCAAGTCCCCCTCTCCGTTCATTACTGGAAGTATCTTCGACACCGCTGATGCTGGGACACCAGGAACAAACAGGAATCTGTCTACGAATGGGGACGCAGTGAACTGATCGTCCTTTGTAAACGGTCCAGCATAGATGTCGAACCGCTGTGACTCCGCATTTGCTATGAAGAAACTTGGGATAGAGGCCCTTGTGTTGTTGACTGACAACGCCACTGGGATAGCCTGAATACATATGGTTAGATTTGAAATTGGCGAACACAGCTACCCGCCTTTTCGATGAAGAGAGAAAGTAATGAGCCCTCCGAAGGGAATGGTGATCTGTTGAGCGTCAGCGCAGCTAGGTAGATATGCGCTGGACGTACCGGGAGAGCGTGAAGTCGTGAGGTGCTATACCGAAAGTGAACCCAAGGTCAAATCTCTTCGCAAGGGCCAAAAGGCCCTTTGTGATACGTTCGCCGAAGGGAGTATCTAGGTGTCTTGTGACATGGCGGGTGTGGAACTAGCGTACACCTTAACGTCGAACTACACCCGATGCACGGCTTCAACATAGCTTACCTCGTAAGTCACTCGATTCGGATCGAGGTATCGCCTGCTAAATTTCATAGTGTCACTCTTGTGACGAGGGAGCTTCATACCTGACAGAGACTCAGCGCAAGGAATGCTGGCTTTTTAAGTTGAACTCACTCATCCATCCTATCGGATAGAGCACAGTGAGATGACTACTCGGAACAAAAAGCACCTTTGTACTAACCAACTGTTTCCATGAATCGACCACTCTCAAGCGCCATGCTTCGACCATCCAATTGGACTACCACAAGGGTAAGCATCGCAATCAACATACGACACAACGGATACTGACCACAATCGCGAATATGTGAATGGCCTCCGAGGATGAGAATGGCCGTGGTAGGGTGGACCGCACGTATAGCCTCAAACACGAAGGGCCCTGTAAACGAGGGTATTTAGGAAGCGCGTTGCTTTGGGGTCGGGTTAACGTACAGTCATCTCTCTGTACGGGCATGTGTCTATTTCTCATCAAGGTCAGCGTTCATGAGTGACTTCAAACTATGCACGAACCCGGCTAGCAAGAAGAAGTCTGGCTCTTCGCGGATGGCGTCAAGGAACTAGGCTGATGATTAATTATTCCATTCAAGAGGTGAGCCGCGAAAGAACTGCCTAACCCATGTTTCCTTGACCATGTCCGCCACTTTCTGAACCGTAGTATTCTTGACATTACCAGTGAAACTGAACAAAACGCCAAATGCTGTCACGCAACGGCCTCTAAATAAATCACAGATCCATTAGACAGATGGGGCGGTTCTATCATGGTTGATGAACTCACTTGCGTGTACGAAACTTGGCAAAACGGTCTACATTGGTGACCATCAAGTAATGATCCAAGAGAGATGTCTATTAATGCTTACTTCCAACAGGAACACTGACCGCGTTCCCTTTGTTATCTGCCACAGTGATATTCACATTAGATGTGAGGTAACGCCCTTTAAGTTGTGGAGCGAAGTTTGTGTGCATGTCCAGGGTGTTAGCATAAACTTCGAGTTCGTGGCTAAGATTTAGTCATGAATATTATATCTCTACCAGGCACGATAGAAGATTGTCAGTGTATCACGTACTTTCCAATGGCCATCACGTCGTATGGAAGCTTTGCAATGAATTGATTCGACTGACGACGCGCCCATAAGTTAGATGGCTTGATATGTCGAAGTGTGGCACTCACCTCATGTCCGTCTACGCCGCCCGGGGGGAAGCCGTCAGATAACCCAGTACCTGGGTGCGAGTATGTTCAGTAGCATCACCACGTCCTGATTCAACTCGATATACCATCATGTAAGTCACCAGAATCTACTAATAGAAGGTCGACATCCCGTTCCTGATGCGTGACTCCATGTGAGTGTTATTGAGCACATCACCCCCGTGATGACCATACCAGAGCAATCTGCTTCATGTGCGTCACGAATGATGCAAGGTCACCGAAATCACCACTAGAGTGTAGATCAGTAGCAGCCAAGTACAATTTATCAAACATGATTCATTGATTTCTGGTACCTATAGTTTGGCTCGGGTAACGAGGGCTCTTGGTGACCCAACAGCCATCCATGAGTATCGGTGGTGTGGATAATATTCACATCGCCCCAGTCCAGGTCTCGAGTAGGCGGCGTTAGGTGCGCAGAGGGGAGGGCTCGCTTGGAATGGTCGTGGTCGGTGTGATCGTCGCATGAACGGCTCGGAATGACGGTAGAGCAGAAAACAAAGAAGTAGAGAATCGTCTTGGCCTTTCCCATGATTCCGAAAGGGTGGATTCAGACGTCGGTCCTCGATAGCCATGCGCCTTATAAGCGTGCATCTGTTTTATCCAAGACTGTCATTGGCCATTGGTATAAGGTTAGGTATGAGAACGCTTCGGAGTCGCTCCTATCCAGAGATGCTGATTCCAACTTCTCAGGGCACAAAATGCCGTGTTCCATGCAGTTTATTAGCGATGCGTGGCGTGGTGTATAACTCGTCTATCGGAAGGTCGAGGGAAATCAAGTTCCAGCATCAGGCGGCAGGCCGGGTATCAGGACGAAGAGCGTTATTATCTAGCCGTAATCATGATATACCCATTCATTTGCATCTCATGTGTCGTCCTCGGAACATTGAAGACTTGAAGTGATGCAGAAACAAGGCCAGACGGTTGGCAGACGCCCGCGGGGCTTGAAACTAGTGCCAATATATGTTGGATACAACTCGCCGTATCTTTTCTAGTCTCAGAGGTTCTCAGACTCATAAAAGTTGGCGTCTAAATAGAGTGGAACGGGTGTTGCACAACAATTTTGTAAAAGTGGGCGGTGGGGACAAACGCTCACGTGGTATCAGGGGAGACTACCGTCTCATCTGCCCGTCCATCCAACTCGTTTTGGGATAACGAAGAGTGTATTCGTTGTCGCCAAAAGCTCTCTCGTTCAGCGACTGGTCCACGGCCCGGGAACGGATGGAACCCGGGAGTGGGACACAGACGAACTCCTGAGATAGGAGAACCCCCTAACAGGGGCCGAACTCAAGCCGGCCTAGGCGAAGTATGTAAGTACGTAGACGTAGCGAATTCTATGTAGTAGATGGAATCGATGTAATGTTTTAAGTTCGAAGAAGTGGAAATGAATCGATGTGGAAAGAAGGGTAAGCGATATGGGTGGGGAAAAAGAAGTGAACAACTCGATGTACTATCGAGCGTGAACGTAAGAAGATGCGCTGGTAAGGTAATAATAGATTAGTTTACCTATCGAGCGTGAACGTAAGAAGATGAGAAGCTAAAGCGGGAGATCGTGCTATATATACGTGCGCGCAAAGACAAAGGCGCAGATACTCAAAGGGAGAGATAGGGGAACAGGGGTCTCACGTGCACTCGTAGATAGACCGTGGATAAATTTCATCTATCCTCACAACTCGGCGCCGGCCGCCACTTGAGTCCGTCAAGCGGACTATCTACAGCTACAGCACTCAGTGGTTACTGACTCAAGCCCGATGCTGGACGCCGAGAGAGATCTGCTGTACGTGTACGAGAGAGGTGTTTGTTCAAGCAGATACTTATATTCAAGACTTGTTCAAGATACTTTCGACTCGCGGTTCGCGGTTCACCCTGCTCGCCTTCGACGGTGGTCCCGTGCATTGAGACACCATAGAGTGAACTTTAGCTCTCTGGACAGCCCAGAAGAGTGGACGGCAAATTATTTGGCCGGTGCGTCGCTACTCAAGTAACTCAGGCCCCGTAAGCTCTCTGCCTTATGTGATATTGTTCGTTGAATTCAAGCAGGTTACGTTACGTACGGCCAACCTTATCTTTATTTCTACAGGAATTTGTGTGGAAAACATTTGGATCCTGCTTATCAAGGCTTGCGTGCGAAACAACACCTCAAAACTCACAACAGGCTCCCGCGTTGGTGTAATAGTATCGTGCTGTGGCGTGTTGTGAGATGCCGCATTCCCAAGATACTGGTTCGTTATCGCACAATGATGAAGTACCGTATCGGAGTGGATGTTGGAGGTGAGTGCTTGTCATAACATCGTAGTTATCAAGCAAGACCGTGCCGGCAACGCTATGCAGGAACGAACACGGACGGCGTCCTTATCGATCCAACTCGCGCAGCCGAACAGAGCCGTGGCGTTCTGGCATTCCATAAAGTTCCCACTACGGTAAACGTATCGGAGGGCATTGAAGCAGCTATCCGACAAGTTCTCCACTCGAGTGCTTCAGATCCGTCAGAAGTTGCATGCGTAAGCATTGGTACCACGGCGTTCATCAACGCCGTGCTAGAAGCTGATCCTCGAAGACTGTGCAAGGTAGCAGTAATTCGGATATGTGGACCATATACTCGACAGGCGCCGCCGTTTCTCGATTTTCCAAGGCGATTGAAGCGACTGATGGATGGGCACATTGGTTACATTGATGGTGGTATTGAAAGTGCGCGGATATCCGTCATCATCCTGTCTACTAAATGAGGCGGCCCGTAGTTGATGGACGGCCGATAGTACCAATATCCGAAGAGCAAATACAGGGACAGTGTGAAATCATCAAATCAAAGGGCTTGTCCAACATAGTACTCTCGGGTGTATTTTCTCCTTTAGATAATGGCGGCACCAACGAGTACGCTGTGCGAGACACTATTGTCCGAATACTGGGACCCGCCGTCAACGTGGTATGCTCTCGCGACGGTGAGCAACTCCCAAGGGTTGACACTCGTCCACTAACTTCGTTTTGCTTCGTTGCCAGTCGGTCAACTCGGTTTGATTGAACGCGAGAACGCGTCTATTCTCAATGCGTCTATCCTCACTTATGCCCAACGTACGATAAGAGGCTTTTCTCGCGCCATGCTCGCCCTCAATATCGCTGCGCCTGTATATATTACGCAAAACGATGGCAGTCTCACAACCGCAGCAAAGGCGGCTAAACTTCCTATCAGAACCTTCGCGTCCGGCCCTACCAACAGCATGCGCGGCGCTTCGTTCCTCGCCGGGCTTGATCATCAACGAGGCGTGGGTCAGCCAGCGATTGTTATTGACGTAGGCGGGACAACTACTGATATCGGGGTCCTCCTGCCCACGGGTTATCCTCGACAGGCGGCTTCGTATATCGAGATCGCCGGAGTTCGCACTAATTTTGCAATGGCTGACGTTCAATCCATCGCTTTGGGAGGTGGCTCGAAAATACGTCAGGCTGATTCCGGAGCGATTGTCGTTGGACCCGATTCTGTTGGTCATCAGATACAGTCGGAGGGGATGGTTTTTGGCGGGAACATACTGACTACAACCGATATCATCGTTGCTGCCGGAAAGGCGAGGGTAGGGGATCCATCGACAGTGTCCCATCTGGATCGTACTCTCGTCGAGAAGAGCATAGCTACTATCAACAAGCATCTGGAACGTATAATTGATAGGTCAATGGAAGCATACTCTTACTACCGCTCTTACTGATAGTGCTTGCTCCTGCGTAGGATGAAAGTGTCTCCCGAGGACATCAATGTTTTGCTAGTTGGTGGAGGTGGCATCATTGCGCCTGACAAGTTAAGCGGGGTATCACAGATAATTCGCCCCCCATTCTTCGATGTTGCCAATGCTGTTGGAGCAGCTATGGCCAAAGGTAGATTATCCGCTCACTCACATTGCGCTCACTCACCGACTTCATCAGTATCCTACGAAATTGACACCATCGTCGAAATAAAGCAAAAGCCGTTACCCGAGATCATGGACAAGCTGAAATCGTTAGCGATCGAGAGTGCAATCGCAGCAGGTGCCGAACCATGTAAGCTTTGATACACTAAATTCCCCAAATACCATCAGACCTCTTCTACTGCGTAGCATCTACACGAATTGTCGAGGTTAACAATCTCCCGGTGAACTATGTCACCAATCAGTCAACTCGCGTTATCATCAAAGCAGCTGGTGACTTATCCCCTTCCCCCACTCACATCCTAGACGCTGTGGAATCCGAGCGCCGTTATGGAGATGAGGTGCTGGACAACGGCACCGAACCTATTAACGAACATTTAGAAGCCCCTGAAGCCCCTGTCGATGTGAACACATATCGCCCAACTATTCGGGCTGACAAGGTCTGGGTCTTGTCAGAGATTGATCTTGGTGAACGCAGTTCCATCATACATTGAGTCCTATCTAATGCAATGTATAAACAGAGTGGATTGGGGAAGGATGCAATATACTTGGAGCTGGTGGCGGTGGTCCTTCCTACCCAGCGTTTCTAATGGTAAGGCAACTGCTTCGTGAAGGGAAATCGATACTGGTGGTTGACGCCGAAAATGTGCCAGAAGACGCGTTATTCGCTAGATGCTGCTTCATGGGTTCGCCTAGTGTTTCGGTCGGTAAACATTTGTACCATTCGATCTCATCCTGACACGTTGGGGTAGAGCGAACGCATTCAAGGTGGCGTCGAGATCCCCGCCGCGATGCAAGCGTTGAAACAATTCATGGGCTTCGATGATTTCTTCGGGACAATCAGTGACGAGATAGGGGGAGGAAATGGCATCCAGCCGTTAATCATGTCGGGAATGTTGGGTAAAGTCACGATAGATGGTATGTGTGAACGCCCGTATGCCCATTGATGGTGATGTATCTGTGTCCCTTAGCCGATCTTATGGGAAGAGCCTATCCACACGTGGGTTACAACTATACAAGTATGAATGTTTACTCATGTCAGATTTAGATGTGGCAATCTCTTCCCGGAGTTTTTGGTATTGAGAATGGGCTGTTCCCCGTGGCACTTGCCGATGGGGTCGGCAATGCTCTAGTAAGTCATGCGGGTTCCTGGGCTCTGTTGTGTTCATCACCTGTAACATGAAGGTCATGGGCCGAGCAAGAGATGGATCAGCAGTCGAAACAGTCCTCCGCGGTGCTTGCACGGAGATGGGAAGCAAAGCTGCAGTAACATTCCCCCCTCTGACACGCCTGACTTGTCAGAAATACGGTCAGTTATCATCGTCTTCATCGCTCTGTGGCAAGCGGTTGATCCCTGTTACAGGTGTTGCACACACGGTGTCACAGGCCTGGAGAATGGGACGCGCCGTAGCTCTTCGTCGCCAACAAAGTAACATACGAGACGTAGTCGCTGGACTTTTAGAGCTCCAGAATGGGGCATGCTTATTCACTGGTAAGATTGTGGATGTCCGAAGGGTGAGAGTCTTATTCATCCGCGCTGGGGGAAGATCTAATATCTACTGTAGGAGGTGCGCAAAGGCTTTACGTGGGGCGAGGTAGTGATTGCTCCGTTGTCCAACGATGAACTTGAATACACTGGTGCTATTTCCACGCACCAAATCACTTACGGCGCCGACGCTAGATTGATCGTCCCTTTCCAGAACGAGAATATCTACGCGTACGTTGAGACATCTGGATCTGAAGCGAAGGAGGTACGGATCCCATTTATTACAGTGATCGACTGGCTTCATTTCTCTGCAGATAGTCGCGGTTGTCCCGGATCTGATCACTGTCCTTGATTCTCAGAAAGGTGTTGCATTGGGGACCCCCGACTATCGATATGGTCTGCGTGTCACGGTCATAGCTCTCGCCGGAGATGAAAAATGGTCAAAAACTGAGGCGGGGCTGAATGGAGGGGGTCCAAAGGCGTTTGGGTGAGTATAAGTATTTTACGAAGACTGAGATTCATCTAACGCCTCGTCGTCGCGAGTCTGGACGATATTCTGTATAAATCCGTAGGGGAGTACAAAGAGCCGCGGGGCGTGATCGAAGAGTACGCGTAATGGAAGGGCTCTAGAATTGCTTAATACTGCACGAAGGCAACAATAGTACCAGTTGATTGAAACAAAGGTTGAGGCGCGCTGATATCTATACCTCAAGTTGCTCTTTCGACGTCGCTGCTTCATTTTCTTGAGGAGGCGGTACTCCTGTTATTTGAGGTGCTAAGAAACTCTGCCCATGATTCCACTCCCGCTGCATCTCGGTCAGCAACATGATGGGACACCAGGGGGGGCAGCGTTAGACTCACTGGAGCGACACGAATGGCCATACCAGTGGCTATATTAATTGTCACCGAATCGTCCGCCGTCCGCTGAAACATGGGTCTAGCGTTTAACCTTTTGCAGCACATCAGATGTGAAGTTCGAAGGCTGACCAATGGGGCATCGAAGCCGACCTACGTTGCGAGCATCGTCATGGGATAAACTACGCAGATCAGTAATTAAGCTTCGTAACCACACAAGGAAGGAGAGCCACTTACGACGAGATAATATACCAGTAAGGTATATCCACGAATCTGATTCATGACTCAATGAGTTCTCTGAAAAATGGATACAAGCAATCTCACTGACAGCTATTCCAAGCAGCTATGAACTTTACTTGTCGTTAATTGGCAAGATTATCGAGCAAGAAGGGAAGGACGCACTACTACTAAACTGGCGCACGCGACAATACTTGTTATCCAGGAGGGTCGTGTTTGAATCCGAAAAAGTACGTTGTTGGGATGGTACCGTACCTTGTTATCAGTCCCGTTTCTATATATAATGTCAGTATTTGGGTTGAACAACGATCCTGGGGCCCGTACGAATAGTCCAGACAATCAATTGGTCAAGTAACTTCCCGCATCTGAGTCAACGGAGAGAAATTAAGTGCTATTCCACAGGCCCGAGGTCGTGAAACCAACCTTGTAATATGATCGGGATCTTTTCGACGATATAAGATATAGCAGAGGATCACGGTGATTGCCAGGTCGATCCCTGCAGAAAGGGCCATGCTTGCAATATACCAGGAATCCCATCGAAGCTTCCACTGGTAATTGACGCTCTTGCTTTGCGTAAACCCAATCGACGTAGTCAGGTGTATCGCAAAACTCGCAATCGTCGCAAGCCAACACAAGTAAGGTGCAGCCCGAGATTTTGAGAGACGAAATATCCTGAAAATATAGTAAGCCTTGAGGCGGTAAAGCGTGTATCGTTAGTACTAGTGGAGTTTGGAAGGCTGACGGTTGGACCCACTTGAACCAATGGTCCGGTAAAACTGTTCAGAACGCCGGGAGCGAGCACAAAGGCAGGGTCCTGATCGTCCTGCCTTTGGCGTTGGTGTCCAGCTCCCGCGTAAAACCCCAGCCACCTGCAAGCCATTCCAGCCATTTCCAAGGTCCTACATCCTGTCTCAGCATCGGAAGGTGCAAGAATCTAGTAATATATATCTTGCCAAAGCAGGGCGACCTATGTATAAGATAAGCACACGAAGACATATCAGCAGAGGCGAGCAGAGACCAACTCTACAAGTACTTACGAGGCTTCTTACTATTATTCCATCATTCTTGTCGCTCCGAAAATAGTTCCAGCATTGAATTGACAACATTCCGACAAAGACTGGCTCTAGAAGCGTCAGATCTTTCCATTCAACCTCCAGAAAACATCTAACTCACAGCTGGCAATAGATACCATGAGTTCTTGAGCTCCTTCCATTCGCTCGTAATTATGCATGGCTTGAATGGTATGAGTAGGTCCAGAAAACGGTGAACCTGGGTTCACGCTGCTGCCTTAAGTACTGGGTCATAGATAGAAAACGACATATGAATCTTACGCTCATTTGGGTAGCATCATTGGACAGGCTTGCGTGTAACTCGCGTGCCCTTGGCCGCACACCCTTCGCCGCCCATGTATGTAAATTATTTCCAGGCTTGCGCTAATCGTGCTAGTAGGCGACTCCACATGTCACTTCGTATGGTTGGCTCCCCCGAAAACGTGTACGTTCTCGAACGTCTTATTGGATGTCGGGGAAGAGCCCGGAAGACCAAGGACACGGAAAGTCCTCATGGACGTTGGCGCGAGAAGTAAGTTTGATGGCAGAGGGATGTTCCCCAAAGATTCCTCAAAGTGGTCATCTACGCTTGGCGAAAGCGAAGATCGTCGTTGATCTTGAATGTATTGAAGTTGTACGTGTCAGCAGCATCACGGTCAATGAATCCGAGATTCGAACGATGCTATGCGTTCATGGATCGGAGGCAGGGATACAGCGCGAAATAGATGCGGACGGCAGTTAGAGTATGGGGATAAAGCTTCGAGGGTTGAGCTTGCTGGGGAAAAGATAAATGGCTGTCCAAATGTTACCTGGATCACAGCGATGTTACAGATGTTGTGTAATTGGAATTGTTGATTAATTGTGTTCTCGGCCATTGTATAGATATGGCGAGGCAAATTTATGCCCACTGGCAGCGGGGCCCCCGTAGACAAGCTGCTCAGCGCTCCTGACTGCTCCTGACCTACCGGTCACCTGACACAAAGGTAGCGTGCCGTTTCCCACAGCGCGAGTCGGAGTTCAAATATGACACTCTACTCCCGCCGCTGTGCGAGACGACGACGAGGATGAATGTGAGCTAAAAGGTCTTGCTTCCAAGGTTCATACGGCTCATTTGGACAGAATCTTCTTCGCACCTTGACAGAGAGCCGGCTGCAGGCCGCGCCAGATGCCAATCTCAAGCTTCTGCTCACCACTGTCAAGGAAGGCCGAGTAAGCATTCGTCTCGATTGTTGCGTATGGGAGGAGTTGACAGAGTTTCAGCGGCAGAGCCACGACGCGAAGCTAGCGGACCCCTTCTACGAGTCTCTAGAAGGCCTATTGCATGACCTACGAACAATCACTATTGTACGTGACCATGTCTCACTAACATCGCGTGTTGACGAGCTACTCGCAGGACAATCGCGACGCGGAGGCATTCCTGCGCCCGGTGAACAGGTCGGAGGTACCAGACTACTATGACGGTGCGTGCCAACCCAGCTATCATATCTCTCACAGTTTCCTAATTGGGGTGTAGTCATATCGACACCTATGGACCTGCAGACGATGCTCAGGAAGGTAAAGCAAAAGACATACAAGTCGAAACGCGAGTTTAAAGACGACCTGGATCTGATATGGTCGAACTGCCGCACGTACAACGCAGCAGAGAACCACCCTCTCCAGCTATGTGCGAGGCGCCTGCAGGCAAAGGCGGAACGTCTGCTGAAGAATATAACCGACCGGAAAGAGCGCACCGACCCCACGATACCGTCTGAACTGCCGACGCGATCGAAGCTTAATGGCGTGAACGGATATTCCAAGTACCGATCACCATCGTACCGTGCCGAGACTCCCCGCTCAACGCCTTCAGTACTCAAGAGACACTCTCTGAAAGGCGTTCCTTTTGCCGAGTCCCCCGCTATCGTCCGCACGCCGGAGAGCATGGCTGCGTTCGCGCGGCTGGACAGAGACCTTGACTCGCAGGACCCAACTAAGCAATCTGCCGCCGCTGAACAAATACGTGAATACGCATCATGTTCTCGACTTGGTGGCGACTCCCGCGAAGATGACTTTCATCCTATGGACATTGACGAAATCGGCGATAAACGCAAACTGTATGTCTCATCTATTGTTCGTACAATACAGTGTCTTACGTGTCTACAGAAACGGCGTTGACCATCGGCCACGGAAACGCACACGATTTACTTCCCCTCCGTTAGATACTGATGATATTACTCATTTATGGTGGAAGGCTGCGCATTCGGACGAATTACTCGGCAGCGGCCTCCCGTCCATCCCATTCCCCTCATCCTACTCTCTGCGCAAGGGCAAGCCTTCCATCATATCTAGAGAACCGCCCTCGTCGCCTACAGCCAAGCGCAGAGGACGCAGGAAAGTCGAGGCGGACCCGCCTCCGCCGCCCAAAGCGCTGCTGACACTGATGAACAACAACATACGTACAATGCGGCGTGTGCGCCAGATCCACAGCAAATTTGCTGCGCTGAACATCAATACTTCGAATAACGAAGACGGAGACGGCGTAGTTGGTGATGGGCCTGCGTTTACCATCGGTTCCGGATCGGGGAGCGGCGGTGGGGTTATAGAAGAGGATATGAGCGCCGTAGGGGTCGTCGATGTCGATCAGATTGACGAACAGCCATGGTTGGCTCGCATGCGGGGACGGCGGAAGGTGAAAGGGGGCATCGAGATGGGCGAGCGCAACGCTACCGACTGTTTGAAATGGACATGCAGTAAGGTCTTAGAACATTCTGGGTTTCAAGGTGCGTCTGACTGGTGGTTATTCGTGGTGCGTGCAGCTGGAACTCGATGCTCGTTGTAGGTACTTCGCGGGAGGCACTGGATGTTTTGGTTGGCGTTACAGCGGAGTACCTCTCGAACGTCGGTCGCACGATGCGCTTTCTTACTGATAAGCACGCCCACACTATGCTACCAGAGGTTGTTCATCCCCCATTCGTACCGGCAATCATTAATCAAGTATTTGTAGGAAATTATCCTCCATACTTTATTCGAGAGTGGTACCTCTCAGGTGCAAGACCTCGAACGGTATATTTCTGATGACATAGAGCGTTATGGCGCCCGGATCACAGATTTAGAGAAGAAGCTTGATGGGGCGTATCGCGAAGTCGTGAGTGCATTCTGCTAGTCAATATTCGCATTCGCTCACAATGATGTAGACTGCTGCTGATCAGCAGGAAGATGAGGGGCTTTTCGAAGAGGACGAAGAAGACGGCGGTGCTCTTGTGCTGTGTGTATCCTTTTGCACCCATAGGGAGATATGACTGACTGTCTCCATAGCGGCAACTTTGCCGATGCCTTTGGAGAAGATTTTCTGGGCCTTCGAGAGCTCGGTATTGCTGCAGAGCACGGTCTTTCAAGCCTTACCATCCCGAAGCGACTCCTCAAAGGGAAGAAAGGGGATGGCAAGTCCAACGCATCTTCGTGCGTTATCTCCCTCTTGGCACCAACATACGTTCATGCACTCACCATTCTTTCTTTATCAGCGCGAAACCCACCGAACCACCCCCACCGTTCCCACCCCCACCCCCGTTCATCCCCCTCGATTCCACCAAAGTCGAGAATCAGATCGGTCTACTCAAACCATACTACCAATCTCGCATTTCGTCGCTCTCTACAACTACCTTTATACCCCCTCTCCCCGGACCTGTACCCTACCCCGCATCCGCTACACCTTACGGGCTCCCGCCGCACGGCGCCCCTCCCGAACCCCAGCCACTGGCTGTCATCACGCTCCCCGACGACCTCCCTGCTCTCGCGCAGACCAAGATGGGCCCGCTCGGACAGATACTCAAAGCCGGCCCCGCGGCTGGATCATCCAAGAAAAAGGGCAAATCTGCGAATGCTAATGCTAACAACACTGCTAATGCCATCAGTGTGATGAAGACGGAAGGCGAGGATGCCATTATCAATGGTACTCCGCCGAGTGAGCCCGCGACTGCGGCTGCGCCCAAGAAGAAGAAGGGCGTACTGGGCGTAGGCTCGGGCAATGGGAGGAAGAAGAAGTTCGGGCCCGATGGTCAGCCTCTAGCGGGGGATGGCGCGGGCGGACAAGGGGGTACGCCCATGCCGCTGCCAGCTGTTACGGCCAGCGCGTGATGTTCTTATATTATTCGGACTGTTGTTTATGTTAGTCAAGTAGATTAGTTTATCGCGTTTATCAGGAACCTTCCACTATGTCAGGGGATGTGACTGATACCACCGGGTTGTGAAGGTCACAGTGCGGCATGGGTACATCGATTCATCAACAAGAATTACAGGCTTCGAACACATTACAAAGGTGGTAATCCACTTCTGATTCAGCTAGTTTAGGGGAGGGAGAGAACAGTTTGCTGTGCGAAGTCGGTCATTAGGAGGGTTGTTTCACGGTGATGCAAGTTAGAACGCACCATAAACTGCTCGTAGCTCATTTGGACCCATCCACTGCGCTGGGTGTCCAAGCGTTGGAAGGACTCCGTCAATTGCTTGATCACAACGCAAGCGCGGACGAAGCGGTCAAAGGAGATACCAGGTTGTGGTTGGCCAGGCCGGACAACACCAGATGCTTTAATATCTGACCCAGATACGGGTGAATCTGTAAGTATTTTACACCCATGTGTGGCAGGGATTAGGGGGACTACGCACCGTATTTCCTTTGGACCTGATCGAGGATCTGAGGAGATAGGTTGTAACTGAATGGTAGGTGGTGAATACAAGTTGTGATGAGCAGAGCGACGGGATGAGGCGGCTAACCCGAACTGCGACAGAGCGGCGTGGAGCTCTTGACCGTCGATAGAGCCTGATCGGTCGCGATCAAAGTGTCTGAAGACACCTTGCCAGTCCTGAACAACAGTTATGAGTACTGGCAACGTAAGTAGCGCACTAATAAGGACCGCACCTTGATGTATTTCCACAGCCCGGCGAACTCGTTGAATCCGATCGTGCCGCTGCGATCAGTGTCCTATAAAGAGATTAGACGGTGGCAATGATTGCTTGAAGGTTAAAACGTACAAAGATCGACATGAGGAGCTTTACTGTGTCCAGATCGAATGCTATAGATGGAAATTAAATGTGGCGTGCAAGGTCGGGAGACAAGTGACTCACGAGTCCAATCGCCATTGATCAATGCGCGCTCTGACCGAAGATATTGTCAGTAAACCCAACCGACCTACAGAATCGAGCGCGAGACACTCACCTAACTCCTGAGCGGAAATATGGCCAGATCTATCCGTGTCAACGGTTGAGAACCACTGCCAGAGCCTTCAGATAGCTGGTCAGGGGTTGTGTACCACAGTGATATGACTTGAAGCAACGTACTGAGGATCTGCGCCGGGAGGTGGACCTTGGGGGGGAGGCTGTTGGAAGCCTCCGCCGTAGCCAGATGGGGCGCCGTAGCCTCCTGGTGCTCCTCCTCCCCCGTAACCTCCTCCCCCATAACCTCCTCCTGCAGGTGGTGGTGCTCCGTACTGTGGTCAAGGCGTGGCCCTGTCAGGGATCGCAACGAGGTAACGGGCGCAAGGACTCACGTTGTACGACATTGGTTCAGAAAGTAGTAAGTTGGCCTGATCTGAACTTGGAGATTATATACTGGATCAAGCAGTGCAATCTATGATAACATGATGGTCTCGGCTACCGCCGACACCGCCAAAAGGCTATATCTACATACACTGCCGCCTGCCGCCCACGGAATTCACTGGAATTCGCCCCTTTTACGTCCAAAGAGGGGCGTCTCCTCGAAATTCTTCCGTCCCTCGCACTGCACGCTGGGTGACAAAAGCAAAAATATTTGACGAGAGTGGGATTCGAACCCACGCCCCGAAAGACCAGATTGAGTGCTCATCGAATAAGCTGATCCTTAGTCTGGCGCCTTAGACCGCTCGGCCATCTCGCCCGTGGAGAGGAGGTTGCAAAGCGTATACGAGTGAATCTATCTAACTCGAGCCGCCGAGTAAAATAAAGCGCTACAAAGTCTTTGCACTTCCGACACGGGGAATCGAACCCCGAGCTGCCGCGTTCACTTTGAAAGGCGGCAATGTTAGCCGTTACACCATATCGGATCATACTTGTAGTTCTCCTTACGGACGCCAGATTCCACATCTCTCGGTGACCTAATTGAGGTCCGTTGGAACATCCTCCCTAAATTCCTAATAAGGAAATTTTTAGCTCACCCCTTTTGGTCCTACTTTACAGGGATTATCGGAGGTCCTGTTGCAATCCACACGGCATCGTTCCCGTCACCCAACTCGATCGTGACACGCGGCTCAAGACATGGGCATGGACTTCGACACTTGTAATCTGTGTGTTTGTGCCGTGTTTCACTTGTGAGGACAAATGCTGATGGGAAGGCGACGCAGAGCCCGAAGACAATCAGCATCCGTAAGTTCTCCATTCCCGCTTCGCAGCTTCCTGATATACGAAGAGTACATTTTGCTTCTTGTATCGGTAGAAACCTCAACGCAGAAGCCAAGTCTTGTGCCGTTCGGTATGAGCGCGAACGTGTCGCCGCAAATTCCATCGTGACCTTCCCCCACACCATCCCAATGAATGCGAAAGCATCTTCGATATACTCCCTGTACGAGAGACGCGCCGCCTATTTGTGAAGACCTCTGCGGCCTAGCCTACCACCGTGCAGATGCTGCCGTCGCGCTGGCGCGGATTTCTTGCGCGTCCTGCCATCGTCGTAGCAGTTGCACCGCTAGTGGTAATAAACGCTTGCGAGCTTCGAGAGTGTAACGGGCAGGACTTCCTACTCATTGATCCTGATCAGTTGTCCGAGCGACCTCTCAGAATTCCTGGAGTAGCTCGTATCAACGCTCCTTTGGTCGCAGTCTCTCCTTCATTTGCACCCACACCAATGCCTGCTGTTTCTTAGGAGCATCGCTTCCTTATCACCGTAAGCTGGACAGCGATAACACACCCTGCGAATCGATAGGTTGACTTGTTAACCACATTGAATGAATGCGAGACTGACAATACCATTGGAACGGCGCAATAGATCGGAGGAACGATACTTTGACTGTGCGGCCCTTCAGGAAGTGTCGAAGTGTCCTTCCGCCTTGACGCCGGTCCATCGCCCATCTCCTGGAAGCCTAACTCGTGTGTACGACCACTCGAGACTCCTGGTTCGATTCTGCCTTGATTCTCCTGTATGTTCGACACCTGTATTCATAGCGTCATTCTAACCTTCATCGCTCTTACTGTTGAGCCACACACACACGGTATTTATAATTTATAATATATTATACGAACACTACTTTCCGTTTATATCTATTTCCATATTAGGCGCCCTCCTAGAAGAGGCGCTTACCCTGGCATTCAGCCATATATCGTAGAACTTCGGACATTAACTCGGTTCTACACTTACTTCTCCGTATCTAGGTACACGTCGGCGTGGATACGATGTATCTGATGGCGTAGCGCGATGATGTCCACGGTCTAGAACTACTGGCATGACCTGTCCTCGACACCTTGATTTCGCAACAACAGTCGTTGGTCCTTAAAACGCCGAAGACGTGGAGCTGGAAAACTGTTTTATGACGTTGTCTCGGTGCTCGAGGGCAGGATTCTTCACTAATTGAATATATTGGATATGTACTAAAATGATGGACAAGTGAGGAAAGGAGTATTAAAATGCGACTTGGGAATTTAGTTCAAGGACCATTAAAGTCAGGCGGAGAATCGGGAGACGTAGTACGCATATCCCGACCAGGAAGCCCGGCATGCATCATTGCCCTGAGCATACGCCTTACACTCTGCTTCCAAGTTGTAGACGTTCGGACAATTAATGATGCGAGCTTGGTGGAGACGTCTGACAGCCTCTTTGAACCAAACCCTGCAATCGAATCTAGGCTCGTAGCCGACTTCAGACGGGGGTATTTGCATGGGAATTTGAGAGAGGCAATCTTCGAGGGCGCTGACTTGAAAGCCTGGCCTGAGTTTGCCTAATAACCGTGTTAGCCTAGATGAGTTCATGTCAAAATCATTGTGACATACCTATCTTGACGGCAGCACATAGTGTTCTCGATTGAAGGAGACTGTGAAGAGGAGCCGGCCTTTCAAAAAACCAATGATTGGGAATGGGCTCCTTTGCGTGGTATTTCACAGCGGTCGTATCGTCGATCACAACGCAGATTGCAAAGTGGTACGTTTCACCGTCTCCTCCGGAGAAGAGGACGGCAAGGATATCGTTAACTATGAGCTGGCTGGACATTGAGGACTTGAAAAATACAAGTTAGCGATTTGGGAGATCTTCGAATAGGTAAGGAGAGACGTACTGAGGAGTTTGTGGTAGGTGAATTCAAGTTTGGGGGATGTATTTCTCGACATGTTGATATTACCCTTTTATAGTGTTGGAGAGGATGGTGAGTAGTCAATACAATGTGCGCCAACGAATACAGCTCGATGCTGAAAGCGAACGTTTGCGCCTCATTCTTGTGCGCCTCTCCCCAGTACTTCGCCGCAGTAAAAGTGCCTCAACTTAGCAGAGTGAGGGGTAATACATGTTTCTGTTTTCGTATATACCAGACAGTATACGACGAACAGTCTTGTGTGATTCGCCTAACGTTGGGTGGTGCACTTCCGAGTCCTGACCTATTCGATATTGTTTTGAACAGGGGTACTAACAGCACAGTAAAACGGCGACTCATCTAGCAAGTTTGTGCGCTTCCGATCAAAGTACAAGATAACCAAACCCATTGACTGAACGGTTGCCACAAATGTTCCACGACACATACTAAGTGTGGCGTAAGTTGTGGCCACCACCGTGGCGTGGGAATAGTGGTCTGTTGTATAAACTTTTGAACTTGTCCCTTCAATCACTCGTTCCCAATTGCATCAGTCATGTCAGCTCCGTGGTCTATTCCTATGAGATTTCAATATAAACCGTAAGATGGACTCTCTTCTCGCAGATTGTCCCTCACAGCTTCGTAGATCGTCAACCATACGAAGTTGGCTCTGGTCGTTGTGGCTGCACTCTCCGCAATGTCTTCGCTCGGCCGTTTACTGCTTCCTTGTACGGCGCTTTGGCACTCGCTCTAACGGTAAACCCTTCCGGCTTCCCTTTGGTATCTACATCAAATTCGGTCTCACTCCCGACGAACCACTTCCCATGGACTTCGTCCGCAAGAACACACATATACCCGTGCCAGAAATTCTCGATATGCTCCCAACAACGGTCGACATAAAGCCCCCTGGTCGAGGCTACACGAGTATATCAGTCGAGCAGAACTCCGAGGGTCAACCTGTATGGTGGATCTTCGTGATGACGACCATTCCCGGTCGGCCTCTCTTCCAACAAGGACTAGGATCGAGACTCGTAACGGCGACCGAAGAGCAGAGGATGTTGGTCCAAGATACAGTTGGGTCTTGGGTGGATCAGCTCCACGCCATCCATCCGCCTCCCGATTTCCCCTCGCAGCGAATCTCGGGCTTTCTGGGCGGGCCCTTCCAGAGTTACCGGATTGACACCCCAGGTGTCGTTGGGCCCTTCGAGAGTCCAGCTCAGTTCCACGCCCAGGACTTCTGTACGGTCTGGCCAGATCGAGTGGAGAAAGCTGACGAATACATTCGCCGCTTCATTGCTGAACGACCGCAGAGGCACTATCAAGTCTGCCTCACTCACGGCGACTTACTTCTTCACAATATCATTGCGGACGAAGAATGCCGACCTACCGGGCTTATTGACTGGGAGACTGCTGGATGGATGCCCGAATACTGGGAAACCGCATCGTCGAGTCGATCAGTGTATTCGCGGGTGTATATATGGAAGGACATTTTGCGTGAAGCATTTCCTCGCTACGACGACGATATAGCTGTAGAGCGCCTCATACAGCTTGACTACGTATTTTAGTATAAGAATGATTTTATGTATGTCCACGCGACACCGTTCTCATTCAGATTATAGGGAGTGCGAGAGTTACGCAATGTCAGGGAGATCTGTTGAGTGCCAGCGCAATATAGCTTCAGTTTGGATATGTAGTTCCAACCGACAAGCATTCTCAGAGGACGCCACTCGTCCTCGCACCACGTAACGACACTATGGCAGTGACGAGCTTCGATGCTTTTCACTCAGTATATATCACAAGCACGATAATCGGATACATTTGCATTCAATTATATACACATCGGCATGCGATCACTAGCTCTGAATTTCAACTGCGGTTTCAACCTAATGATGTAGCTTCAGCTTACGACTGGGCCGTCGATGAGGGATTACTCACTATATTAGTTACCACCGCCAGCAGCGTCTTCGACAGCATCCTGTTCAACAATATCCGATGCTGTAGCACGCCAATCCATGACGCCCGGCAAGGTCCACTGGGGACTCAAATCTATCCTCAACGTTAATACATCGTTCTCTACACCTTGATGCTGTTGAACCAGAGTCACCTCTTTGGGCCACAGCGTGCTCGTCCCTTTTCGGTATACCGGTGGTGTTGACATCGGGGACCCCGAAGTCATTCGCGGTGATGGAAGTAGTGGGCTCGACACGCTGGGATGACATGTTTGTTCCCAAGATCGATGGGTGTAATAAGGCTTGAGGATGCCCTTACGTATATACAAGCGAATCGACTTTTATACGAGGCCTCTCCGACCTAGATATTCATCAGCACAGAAGCACAATGCAGTCAAAGGCTTATCGTGATGCTCCTTCATCATAACGGCGAATGTTAGATTTATCAGACTTCGAGAGATTCCATGCCCCCTGCTTTATCTAACCTTGATGAAAGTAAGAGTTTGATAGTCGAAGAGCCAGGACATTCGGTCACACATCCTTCCCGTTCCGAGACCTAGTATAGAGTGTAAGCCTACGTCACGGCTGCTTCCGAAATGGGATCCAAACTTAGTGAGGTTGAGGATATATTCAGCGCCGAAATTAGTCCTTGAGTCAGAATCATTGATGTAGTTCATTCCACAGTGTCTGCAACACTCCGTTTAAGGGTGCCATGACCCTCTCTTCGGTGGAACCTACTACACCTGACATGGCCCGGTATCATAAAATCACCTCGCTCAGTAGGTCCCCGCCTACGAAGTTTCTCGGCGACGAAGGTGGAGGACCGACATACAGGTGGTTCATCACTGAAGACGAGTACTTGCGGCTCTGCGATATATTCGGAGGACGCGACTTTCAAGAGACCAACGTGGGTGCTACAAACGTCATTGGGGTGCCCGCTCCCTGCAAGGTGTGCGGAAAATACACGGAATTTATAGACTGGTTCGTACAATACACTTGGGGCTCGAAGACGTTCTGATAAATCGGTTATTGTCAGGGTCTGGACGGCGCTGCAGCGAAAGGTCCACACCGCCGACTATATGTTTGAAGCTCTAAAGCACCGTCGTATGCCGAAGGAGAATATGCACGATGTGTACTGCTCGCGGTGCGGGACTTTGACCCAGTGTCGCTCACGGGATAGTGCCGAAGGGAGTGCGCCACATATTACGCACGCAGCGGTGAGTGGTGAAGGATTCGTGTGTTAAATTTGAGCGCCAACGGATAAATAAAATTACAGAGCCTTCGAAACGCCGACAGAAAACCTGCTGGTGTTCCCCAAGATTCGAGCTCGAACCAAGGCAGCCTTCCTGTAAGCTTCCCTCGCATGCTTCTTTGTGACAAGTTAGGCTTAGCGTCGTATGGTATCCAGGCGCCAAGATGGGGGAGGTGGTGGCTCGATGAGAACGGAAGTACGAAGTCGTGGAGGGACGAATTGAAGTCCCAACCTAGCAGCATTCAAGGCGATTGAAACTACTACGAAGATTACTTTGAATTCGAAGGAATAAATGGTAGGATTCCCGACGCTCACCTGGTTGCAAGTCCTTGTTGGCTATTGCCAAGGGCGAACGACATCGTAACTAAAGGAAGAAAGTCAGAATTGAGCCTTTGCACGGGAGCTGTGCACATACTGGTCGACATCATTAAGATTCAAAAATGATACCGTCACCGGAGAGTGATCGGCGACTACAGGTCCAGAGATCGTCGTCCAGAAATCGTCGCACTTGTGACCGAAAGCCATGCCGTACTATCACGTGTACTATAGTGCAAACAGACATAGATTTGCAAAAGTATTTTTAGGTTCTTGCAGATTCAATATTTCACCTTCGGACATACATAGCATTTGAGCAATAGACATTATTCACCTACTATAAAAGTTTGAGGAGAGTTAGAGAGCTAGAAGTTTATTTCCGAAGGCGAAATGTGACGCAAAAATGGGCACTTCAGAATCTACTTGCATAATATGACGGCTGTACCATGCCTATACACTTGAATTTTTTTCTGTAGGTCGCATAGTGGTATGAGATTTGTCTGCCATCACCGCTTGCTTATATACCTGCTGGTTCATGTACAGGAAAATCAACTACATTTTGCGTGACAAGGGAGCCCCTGTTTGCATGTAAAGTTCAAATTCCGATATGTCATGCTTTGCGCGTCTCTGATTGGTTTGATCGCTGCCGCGCTGCTCTTGTATCCGAAAGCCATGCCGTATCGCGAGAGGCCAGAGGATACAGACAGACATTGACACAGTTGATTCTTCTACGCCTTATCCTTGCAAAGTGATATCGCGGCGTCTTATTCACTTTCCACAAGGGCTTGGAAGTGCACGAACATTTGAATCCGGGAATCAAGGGACACAATACTACGAACAGGTTGCTTTCTGCAACGTTGGCGATAGCAACATAACTTGTCGTTGGATTTCGTCCCTGTCGCGACGCGAGTCCTTGGAAGAACTGATACCCGGGGACGAAATATGTAGTCGCCAGAAGGACTACCATGGATGCATAGGGCGCGGGTAGATGGTTCCTCGCCTTGATTGTGCGTGACTTGGATCAAGCGGCGATGATGGGGCAGCCGTTGAGCGGCGAGTCTTTGAGCTTCAAGGCTGCCCTGGAGAATATCCCAGCTTTACTCGCGGGGTTGTTAAAAACCAATCTCTGAGTTCCGCTTCAAGGTCCGACGCGGATTTCTTGGCTCATTGCCCGGACACACGTGATTATCTTCGCGAGCCCATCTCCGTCCGCGTCGAGTGGCTTCCGACTAGTCCTCCATCCATACACCATGAGTATCGTTGCGCACAATATTCGCAAAATCGGCGTGATGGGTGCGGGGCAGATGGGGACGGGTATAGCCCTCGTCTCCGCTCTCCGGGCCAAGGTTCCGGTGCTGCTATACGATCGTTCCCCGGAACAGACGACGAAGGGTCTAGCTTTCGTCGACAAGCTGCTGGAGAAGGATGTGAACAAGGGGCGGATACAAAGCATAGATGCTAAGGAGGCCAAAGACCGTATTCAGGTTGTTGGACATGAAGAGGGGATCAAAGGCATGCGGGATGTGGATATGGTCATTGAGGTATGCCTCGTCATTCCGCGGACGGTCTTGTAGAGGATACTTCTGACCCTTGTTGATGACTTAGGCTGTATCAGAATCTCTGCCATTGAAGCAGGCGATATTCGCGTCTTTGGCCGCTGAAATCAACCCCAATGCTACCTCGCAACAAATACTAGCTCGATAAGTATAACCAAAATCGCTGCTTCAGCTGTTCCGAAAGATGTCAGCGCGGCGAGCGAGGAGGGCAAGAAGATCGCTGGGCGTGTTGTCGGTACGGCGTATTGCATGCCAATTTCTGGCAATAGTAAATTGGAGGCTAATGCACGCGTATCGGATCATAGGTCTCCATTTCTTCAACCCCGTTCCCGTCATGGTAAGCTCTTCGAACGCGTCCGAGATATAAAAATGAACAATTGTCGTAGAAACTGGTCGAACTTATATCGGCTCTGCAAACGACGCCGGACGTGCTTAACCGTGCACGATCCTTCGCCGTGGCCTGCGGCAAAGGTTCGTTCTAACATATTCCACGCCGAACATTTAATTCAATACTGTTGTAGAGGTGACAACATCTAAGGATGTACCTGGATTTGTCTCCAATGCCCTCCTCATGCCGTTTATCAATGAGGTTCGTGCCGCGCTTCCAATTGCTTCAACCCTAGGCTGACCTCTTCGTATCCAAGGCTATCATGTGTCTAGAGAAGGTGAGAGCGGGTGCTTCATGGAACCGTATACAGTATTTATCATAATACTCTGTAGGGCATCGCAACGAAAGAAGACATCGATACTACTCTCAAACTCGGAATGAACCATCCCATGGGCCCCTTGCAATTAGGTTTGTCTCTCACTCCTTCCTCAACATCCACCTCGTGCTCACCAACCTCTCCTTACCTGTATAGCTGATTTGTACGCATCACTTTAAAAATGTGACGCTAACACCGAAGGACTAACAGTTGTTTTCTTTGGCAGCATCGGGCTAGATACCTGCCTCGCCATCCAGCAGACGCTCTACGAAGGTACCCGCGACTCAAAATACCGACCTAGCATCCTTCTGGAACGAATGGTAGATGCTCAGTGGTATGGGAAGAAGAATGGAAAGGGTTTCTACGAGTATTAGAACAAATAATCACCTTGGTTCGAAGCACTCTGTAGACTTGAAATAATCATTTATAGGTCGCCTAGCCTTTCAACATCATACAGATTGCAGACATGCCATCAGTCCGATATGGTGTAACGGCTAACATTGCCGCCTTTCAAAGTGATCGCGGCAGCTCGGGGTTCGATTCCCCGTGTCGGAACTTTTTGCACTTTTTGCAGGCTATCGGAAGAGGACGTGCGATGGATCCACTGGTAAAAATGAGGACAGAACATTTTACCACAAAGTAACACGCCCGAAATTTCATTATTTCGTTGGTGTTCAGTGAAGGCGAAGTATAGATTTCAAGTGTGTAGAGTATGTCCATGAAAGATGGACACCTCGCAATTAACTTTAATGGTACTACCACTTATGAACTGGCTAGGTGATGGTTACATTACATACACCATAAGTAATAGCTAGAGTAACGAATTTGATCAGTTGAAACATGGCAAAAATATTAATACATAAAGCAAGAACGAAGAGGAGGGGAGGGTATAGATATATCATTATACCCGCGTAGACATTAACCACACAATCCAGAATAATGGCAGTAGAGCCACGTTTGGTGCCGACCACCGCATACCAGCAGCATCAACCAAGGGCACGTTGTTAACTATCGTATCGTTCAAGCAATTGAGGAGGGTGGCATCGAGCCCGGCGGGTAGAGGCGTGTCTGGCGTCCCCTCATCTGCGAGCGCGCCGGTATTGTTGTAGCCGTCGAACGTGAGAGCCACGCTGCTGGCACGATAATACTGAACAGTTTGTTCTGGCTTGGGCAGCTGGTCGGGGTCGAAGGCAGACGGCGTTGTTGAACTATTAGCTGCCAGTGACGATGAACAGTTGCCTCGGATATCCTCGATCAGCGATGTCACGGTCGCGTTGTCGGCCATCAAACGGAAAGTATTGGTGCCATTTGAACTTGATATGAAGACCGCCGTGACCTCGACGCCGCCCGGACGAGTCGAATTATCATGTCGGCCATACTGGATCAGTTAAAGGTCAGGTGCATGTTAGGACCGAGAGAGTAATTCACTTACTTCGTTCGAATGCAAGTAGGCGCCTGCTCCGACACCAGCAGCACCTCCCCAAGCAACTGGCCAAAAGTAGAAGGGGAAGCCACGACCTGCAACACCGCGGCCGGCTACGCCGGGATACCCGCTGCCGTATTGTCTAATCAAGGATATGAGTGGAATCCCACCGCCAGGCAACGACGAGAGCACGTACTGGGAACCGACCACTTGTTGCCTCGTCCCTCCGCCCACCGACCGACCCGCGAACGGTTGTCCAGCCGGTATTGATGTGACCCGCCCACCGCCGTTGCCAGCAGAGCTTGCGCCGCGAGTACCAGATCCTGTCGAGACAGAGGACGATCTACCGCCTGAAGAAGCCCCGGCGCTGCTGCCGCCGCCGCCTGAACTTTTACTTGAGCCCCCAGATGAAGAGCTTGAGCTACCACCCCGGGACCCACCTGAACTTGATCCGCCGCCGCGGCCACCACCGCCACCTCCTTTACGACGTTCAAGCTGTCTTTTTGACGCTCGTTTTGTGAAGAAGGGCACGAACATGCTGAGGACGAAGCTGTTCAACAAAGTTTAATACGATCAAAGGGCCTTCTTAAATGAAAAGCTGCACATACGATCGTCACTAAGTTCAAATTGCAGTGCCAGCGGTCGAGGCAGTGAGGAAAGGTGGATTTCTCAGGAGCCATTCAACAGCAAAACTTAGTAGTACACAGCCTCTCAATCGACACTTTTGGAAATCTTGGAGATTCCAAAAGTATTCAGGGGTTATTGAAATTCACGGACTCCACTCACCAGCATGGGCGCACCACTTAAACTTTCCTCTTCACCCCGATGACCAGCACACTACCGCCGTTGGTTCAGGCCGTCTCAGGCGCCATTGGCAGCGCATCCGCCAATACCTTGACATATCCCTTTGCCCTGGTGACTACGCGACTGCAGTTGGAGAAGGGGCACAGAAAGGAGACCGGCCTACGCCGAGCGTTCCATGTATTATACGGGATATTTAGAAAGGACGGCTTGGAGGCCCTATACGATGGGCTTTCAGCAGATACAATCGCAACGCTGTTGTCGAAGTAAGTACCAACTTCGATATCACGATATAACGCGGAACGGTACGCTGACTCGAGGGGATCATAGTTTCTTTTATTTCTACTTCTATTCGTTTATGAGATCGCTGGTTACGACGCGTCGTCTGAAGCTGAACCCGGCGGCACATCACAAACCCGGAAGCGTGTATAAACCTACGATAGTGGAAGAGCTAGTCCTAGGCTTCGTGGCTGGCGTCGCGTCGCGCGCAGTGTCGATGCCGATGAATATTGTCACTCTGCGGCTGCAGACTGAAAGAGGAGATAGCGAGACGGACAGCGAGGATATCGCATCAGATGTGTCCGAGGAAGAGACAGCTACACCTTCCGACAATAGCGTTAGTGAATCCGGATTACGCTCGGTCTTCGCTTCGATTTACCGCGAAGAGGGATTGGCTGGGTTCTGGAAAGGTATGTTGAATGCATGCAGAGCAGGTTGGAATGCACTTTGCTGACGGACTGTAGGCTTCAGGTTGTCGATCCTGCTATCCCTCAACCCGTCCATATCTTTGGCGCTGTTCCAGCTATTTCGCCGCGTTCTAGCTGTGGCGAGAAGAACCCCGACTTCTCATGCGCTACCTAATGCAAGTCCAAAAGAGGCGTTCTTCGGTGGTGCTATCTCAAATTCGTTGGGTACGCAAACATCCTTGTCCATCTCTTGCAAGCATTTGACATCTTTATAGCGGTTGCTCTGCTCTACCCTCTGCTGCTTGCCAAGACGCGGTTACAGGCATCGACTGCTGAATCTCTGCAGGAAGTCATTGTTGATTCGTACACTGGTACCTACCACAGGCACCCTTCAAAATACGCTGGTAACTCGCTTCCTCTACCTGGAAACACTAAGCCTCTCAAGGCGGGATCGGGGAGGGTCTCGAATTGTATCAAGCTCTCCCTAGTCAATTAGTGAAGGGTTTCCTTAACCAGGGCATGACATTCCTGGTCAAAGGTAGAATTGAGGCGTTGATAGTTCATCTGTATCTAGTAAGGCTGCGTCGCCGATGATGATGTGGTGTAAGAACTGTTCCAATCAGCCGACAGGCTCGTTAGTGGTCTTCGGAGTGTAACAACGTATGTCCGATATGGTGTAACGGCTAACATTGCCGCCTTTCATGCGATCGCGGCAGCTCGGGGTTCGATTCCCCGTGTCGGAACTTTTTGGCGCTGGGATCTCTACATGGAGAATTCACACACAATCAGACTGTGCCTCCTGTCTGCAGTGTCGCAGCTGCATCTTTTCTTTCATGACTCTCATTAGGTTCAAGTTCACGACACAAATATGACTGCCACGAGCTCCACCACGTCCTCCTCAAATCTTGTAGATTTGGAGGCTGCTTTTGATAAATTTGCCACTTTGTTTTCTCCAGCGACTCCACGCGCATCCCCCACGCAACAGGCGATCCCGCTTCCCGATGTTGAGTCGCGTAGCGCCCCGACGCAGCCTCACCATTCCCGGCGAGGACCATCGACAGGCTCGGCAGATGATTTCGGTGCGTTCGTGTCTGTTCCAGCAGCAGAGGATCCCCTGGCAGCGTTCGCCACGCTGGATAGCCCACCGGTGGGGCCTGGCACACTCGATAGTGTCGCAGGTTCGTCGAAACGTCGCTCTGCTGGTCTTGACTTCTTCGACAAGTTCAGCCGCGATGCGAAAGCTGCTTCGGAGCGAAACAAGAAGGGAGTCCTAGACGAGTTGTTGCAACACGAGGATGATCCGCTATATTGGCTCAAAGACGCCAAAGAAGACCCGCGAGCTGTTTTAATAGCCAGTGATGCTGAGAAGCAGCAAAACGATGAATTTGGGGAAATGGTTCAGGCGGGAAGTCCCAGAAGCTCGAGGGAAGAGTCACTTGTTGATCTCGGGTTCGATGACTTCGCGCCCCTGCGGCAGGTCGATTCTCGTTCATCTGATACCTCTGTGGATAAACCCAATTCCCATTCTTCATCCCCTACACGCCGCTCAAATCGATGGTCGAGTACTGCGCATCCTCCGTTACACCGTAAGCGATCGTCATCACTTCACCCGCCCACCCTTGCACCGCCCATTGCATCTACATCATCCGTTACATCTGCGCCATCCCCGGTAGGAGGACATCCAGAGAACTACTTGCCCTCTGGGTCCCCGCCCCGACCGATTCCCGTACGTTCCCCGTCATACCAGACGCTTTCAAGTCTGTCTTCGAAATGGATGTCTTCATTCATATCGTCCAACCGCCAGTCCCCACCGGCTAATACACTGGAATCACTATTTGCTCCGTTTGCTTCTGTCGCGCCTTCTCAGTCGACACCTTCTCTGCACCAACCATCTGCCTCGCAGACACCAACACTGCACCATGCGTCTACTCTGCCGTTTGCGTCCTCCTCCATCCCACCAGTTCAAATATCTCACGGAACTCCTTTCGCTCCTCCTCCCCCAAACTCTACAACCTCGCCATTCGGCCCACATATATACATCCCACCAACAGGTGCTCCCGGCTATGCTGGAGAGAGTTATGACTGGGACAAGGGCTTCTCTGAAGAGCTGCAGCACGAACTATCATTGGCCAGCGAAATGAACAGCGAAGTTGCAGCAAAAGTGAATGGCAAAAGTGAAGACGCCAATGGCACAGTCACCAGCGTCGGGGGACTAATGGAGAAGAAGAGTGGAAGTATCGAGTTGATAGGGAGGTGGGGATCTACCGATGAAGTGCTCAGCACGGGTTTAGCTGATTTGGTGAGTAGTATGACATCCCTCCGTCACGATTAGTCGTTGATCCAAGACAGATCCGACCACATCTTCCCGCTCTTTCCCGCCTTTCGCGCAAGTGGAATCTGGTTTACTCTCTCGATCAGCATGGCATCTCCCTCAATACACTTTATGACCGATGCGAGCGATTAGGCCAAACTAAGACCTCGACAGGCACTACAAACCGGGGTGCTTTGATCGTGGTCAAGGATTCGGGCAATGTTGTTTTCGGTGCGTGGATGGGTGAGGGCATTAGGATGACCAAAGGGAGAGGGTATTATGGTAGCGGGGAATCGTACGTGTTATGTTATTTGGGGCATTGGTGAATGCTCACTTCCCTGTACACAGCTTCCTCTGGCGGTTTGCAAATCATAAACTGGACGTGTACAAATGGACTGGGAAGAATGAGTACGTGACATTGTGTGAATCAGGGTTTATATCTTTCGGCGGAGGGTAAGTACTACAACTCTTCCTCTTTTTTCTCGTGTTGCGGCATTGTGGCTGACGCACCATATTTCTGAAGGGACGGCCACTATGGCTTATACTTGGACGATACACTGTTCGATGGCTCTTCTGCGAAGTGCCCTACATTCGACAATGACCCACTTTGCTCTCCTGGGCCGAAGAAGGCTGGTGCGGTATCCTTCGAGTGTGTGGGCTTAGAGGTCTGGAGTGTGGCCTCGTAGCTACTCGTGAGTAGTGCTTGCTCTCTCTCGCAACGTCAGCCTGGCTCGGATCCGCCTCCTGGAGATGTGCACATACATAATACTGGGTTTGGGCTGGCTGCAAAACAACATAATGCGTAATTCGCCACTATTGTATAAGGCGCGCAACATCTCACTACTTCTACTATCGCATCGCTTTACGTGTATCAATCGCTCGTCCATCACCGCCATTCACAGTTTGCTAATATATGTATCATTATTCGACGGTGCTGTATAATTCAGCGACCCAAGTTGCCTATCCAACGTTCATCCCATCCCACTCAAACTTAGCCACGCAGACGATTAGCTCCGCTCAACACAATAGCGACAGAAGGAGAACAATACCCCCTCGCAGGGGCGACTTCCATTGTTGACCATATTAGGAAGACAAGGAATGAAACCGTAATTCGGAGACGACGCCACTCAAGCCACTCCGCGAACATGCAAGATACAATACAATCGCAACGTGTGGTTTGGTCTTAACTTTCTACCACCACCACTCATCAACCACACAAAATTCATCTTCCCTTTGAGTGACGGAGGGTTGGTCTTTGATTCTAATGGCGTCGAAGAAACAGACCAAAGCACGCGATTCCGCGTCGGTGGTACGGACGACGCGATCGACGAGAAGTGCCGACCGATCTCCATATGCTAGACGCGTTACTCGCAGCAGTGGTAAAGCTACTGCAGCAGTTGAACCGGATAATGGGAATGGTCAATCTCAGCCTCCATTCCGGCGTCGCAGCAAGAGGAATGAAGGGCCCGCCTCTCCCACTTCGTCACGGCCAACAAATAGCTCTCAGCCCGAAACGATCGCGCTGCGTGCAACAGAAAGCAACTCGACGCTATCTCAGACCTTAGTAGCAGAGGGCACGCAAGCATCAACCTCCAACGACAACGACACCGTCCATTCTCGTGCAGCTACACCGAAATCGGAAGTTCAGGATAGCGATGAAGATGAAGGGGAAGACTTCGTTCAATACTTTATCGCCCCTGTCGATCCCTTCCCTTCTCCACCTCCTGATGAATACTCACCTACTCCCGAGCGTGATTGGCAACCTTTTGACCCGGTTAAGAGCCCTACTCCTCCTCTTCCGGGGTCGAGAGCTCAAATAGAATCAGGTGAGGATATGTATCTGCTTTTCGTCATAGTCTTATACTCACGACCGATGTCAAACCCATGCTCTAGCTGTCCCCGACGCTCAGCGCGTTGCCACTCCAGATGACGACTCTCCTCCCCGTTCAACGCCTCCGCTGTACTATCCTGCCTGGCCCCCATCTCCCACCCTACTGGACCGACATCCTCAGACATGGCTGGATGAGGTCCTCGTCAGCATCGAGCGCCAGCGCGGGAATCTCGTGAGCGAGCTCAGGGATGCTGAAGTAGACGTGAAAGATGCTTTGGCGGAGAGCTTTAAGGCGTTGGTCGCGGTAAAGGAGTTGGTAGGTCCGCAGGGACTTGATGGCTTGGAAAAGGCTCTGGACCTCCCTAGAGGCGGGAGACGTAAAGGTGATAGACGGGGAGGGGATCCTGAAATTGTGGGTCTTATGCGGATGGTTCAGGCAATGGTCGGTCCAGAGATGGTGAAGAAGATGCTTACGGATGCTCGAGATACTGCTGCTGGTGATGACTTTGAAGAGGACGCACAGGCTGGAGAGGGAGTGGTTGATGTGGACGGGGAACATGGTGCGGCAAATCAGAGATAGGCACGCCAATGGAAGTGACGGTTGGGGCGTAGTAAAAGTTGGAGAACGAAGTGATGAGATGAAGACTTTAATGCGAAAATCATGTATACCCCTTGGACAAGATACCAGTTGCAGATGTACTTATAGTGTATTGAGGTTGTTTATTTTGATATCACAATTTGACGAATCATAGCCGTTAAAAATTGAAGTCCACGGAGGCATATATTGTAAGCAATGATGTACTCATTCTATAAGTACGAAGTCCCAGTCCTATCGATCCAGATGCATAATGAAGTACAAAGGTATAAAGGTATAAAAGAAAGTCGTGTGAAGGTATGGGGTATATCGTCTTGATCAATCAAGCACTCTACTGAGGTGGGAGGACAAATCCAGCAACACCTTCCCTCTCATACCCAAGCGCGGCAGCAGCGTTGTTGGCTTCAGGCTCAGAGGTGGTATAGAAATGATTCTTCGCTACAGGATTGTACAGCCTATGCAAGGGCACGCTCCCACAAATCTGGGTCTTGAAGATATGCCCAGTGACGCCCTCGCTCTGATATCCAAGTTTCTGGACGGCATTATCGCGTTCCCCCTCCGAAGTGGTGTAGAAGTGATCCTTCGCCTGCGCGTTGAACATGCGGAGGAGCGGGATCGTCATGGCCTTCTCAGCGTCAGGGAATACCTTGGCGACATGGGGTTCCTGCCCGTATCCAACTGCCTTGCTCATTTCGGAGGCGTCGGTGGTGTAGAAATGGTCTACTGTGATGCCGTTGAATCCTCGAAGGAGGGGGACAGAACTGGAGGCGGCTGGACAGTCATCAGCGGGAGGGGTCTGCGTAGATTCTGGGGGTGGGGTGACCGCAGAGCTTGCCGGAGCGGGAGGCTGCGACGAGGCTGGGGGTGGCGCCGCCGAGTCGGACGCTGAGGCAGATGGAATTGCTGATTCGGTGCTCGCTGGGAGAGTCGATGCGTCTGGGACTGCAGCAGTGGGGGCTTGCGATGATGTTGTGCCTGAGGCTTCAGAGGTCGCAGGAGGGGATGCCTGTGCATCGGACAGCGCAGACGAAGTTGGAGGTACTTCGCTGCTGGCTGGTGGTGTAGCGCCCGGCAACGACGAAGAGGGAGGGATGTACGTATTGGCTAGGGTGGAGCTCGGTGCCTCCGCTGAGGCGGTGGAAGGTTGGGCAGGTACAGAAGGGGTATAATGCTTTGGGTTGGATGTCAGTTTGCGGTTGCTACTATTAGAAGAGGATATTCCATACCTTATAGCCTCGGGCGTCGTATCTAGCAGGGAGGGCGAGGACGTCTGAGGCACACAGCACAGCTGCGACAAGGGTGATGGTGAACTTCATGGTAAACATTAGCAGGGTGTCGAAGGCCAAAGAACGAATACGAAGAAGCAAGGGAATGTGTAAAGTAAAGGGAAGGCAACTGGATTGATAAAGGACTGGGAAGAAAAGGAAGTCGAAGTAGTGAATAAAGAATGGGAGATAATGGCCTGTATATATATGTTCTGGGATCCAGGAGGGCTATGCCTCCGGGAAGAGAGGATGGCCTGTTCCAGCGGTCGGAAGTAATCTTTAGTACCGACGTCAGCTCGAGTGGAGCCCACTAGCAAATACAACAACTAGCAACTGACCAACCGTCAACCCGTCGATGTTTCAACACTTGTCGTCAAGTGGCAGCATGTCTAGTATGTCACTAAATGAAGCGCCGTAGTGTCCTCGTCTGGCAGTATAACACTGTATTATCCTTGCGTGCTGTCTAGCTACAACATGTGTGCTTCGCTAAGTACAGCAAGGACGAAGTGATTTCGTGCCGCCTCTTTGGCATTTGCCTCGCAAGCCTACATACATGAACGACACAAATTTAGTTGCTAATTCACAAAGAGTTGTAATAGCACCTACCATTGATTTTCAACGCCAATGGGATGTGATAGAACGGCTCTCCCGTCATGTATTTCTGGCCACAAATGTCAAATATCAATGTCAAATATCAATGAAGGGAAACGTTGACATAGTCCTGACAACACCATTTAGTGGCTGAGACTGGTATTGTACCTCAGAAACGCGACCGACTACAGGTGACACAAGCTTACAACTGTGAAACAAGCAATTCTTGACAAGCTGAAGCTCGTAGCATACTGACATGTCTAAATTGTCAATGCAATGGTATATAATTCACACGATCAGTTTAAAGTTCTCACAGTACGAAAGAAGGCACAGTTAAGTCTATATGGAATGTGACGTAGGGTTAGGGTTAGAACGTACGAATAGCGAAAAAAAAATGGCCTGCCCAGCCAGAGTGGCCGATGCAGGACAGGAAAATATAGAGACGGTGCATGAGCCGAAGCCCATACAAGCCGAAGGCATCCCCTGTATGGACAGGGTCGCCGTGCTATGGAGGATCCCCACGGCCCGTAAACCCAGGTAGATGAAGGGGTCTACGCCATCAAGGTAAGTATGAGTTGCTCAGAAGTCAGAGAAGGGTTTTTATGCTTCGTTGGAGCTCAGTTAGTGAGCACGGACCATTTGCATGTATTTGGTGTCAATCGCATCGAGCGGACGAGCGAGCGACCTTCACGTTCACGTGAGCGCGTCGGTCCCTAACGCGCCACTATCGTCGGATTCATTGCTTCTTCAACGCCATCAACGAGGACACCGACAACAGCGAGGAGAGGATGAATATTGTCTCATCGCCGACTCTACTAGCTTCTCCGACAACCTCTTCATGCTCCTCAGCTACACAGCATCGACTACTCTATCGCGGTGCCCTTTCTTTACCAGATTCTCATTTGCTCCTCGACGGGTTGACATTCTTTGCTACGACCTCCCAGTCTCCTGAAAAGGCTCTGCTGGAGAATCCCCTTGCCCTTGCTCTGGAGAGCATGCGTGGCCGACCAAGCCTACGATTCCTGGGTCTCGTTGTGTTGAAAGATTTATACATGGATTACAGCGGGAACATCTCAGTGTGCGTCTTCGTATTCTAGCTTTATACGCGTAGCCAAATAGTTCGATGTAGCGACATCCATCCACAAGCGTTGCTATCGCAAGTCTACTTTGAGAACGTCTTTTGTTTGAAACCACAGAGCGAACGGGGAGTTAAAGTTGCCTTAGGCGATACCGATGGTCCCGAGACGACCCAGATAGTCATATATGCCCGCCGCGATGGACATGCTATTAACCTGTGTGTTGGAAGAATTAGCACCGCACCCCCGCCACCATCAGTTCCACGTCTGCCGCGCCCAGATGACCCGATACCCCGCGTCCCTCCTTTGCATCTAGGTAAACACCCCCGGGTCCGGGAACTGAAGAGGGCACATACTTCTGTAGAACTTGGCAGCAAAGGCGGCAAACGTCAAAAGATTCTCGATACCGATACGACTTTCAAGGTCCCAACGATCCTAAGCCGGGGCAGTGGTATCCCGCAGACGAAGGCGAAAGGAAAGACAAAGGAGAAAGGGGACGAAGCGCACGAGGACGTTTTCGGGACACTGAATGCGCAAACGAAAGGAAAGCGCAAGCAAACCGAAAAGTCGAGCCTTCAAATCGATCCGGAAATCGAACAGGGCAACAAACTGGTTCGTCCCATCACACGTCCCCTTCGAAGGCACTCATCTGTTTGATATAGCTTGTCAAGCAAATGACCGTCCAGTACCTCACATTAGGTCTTCCTGCACCGCCTCCTGGCTCTCCTCTCATCGACGCTTGTGGAGCATGTCCTCCCGTATCAAAGACGCACCCCGAATACAAAGATATCTTAGGATGGATATATCGGGGCGTCTCATATGCATTGGTCAGTTTCCACTCCCATCTGAAGTTGTGTTCACAGCCTTTAACCTGGAGCAGAGAACCAAGATCAAGTCTACGCCCCTGGATCCTCAGGTCGTAGACAAGTTGGTTCGCGCGCACGTCCAGATGTACGCAAGTGCAGTGCCTCCAATCAACGGTCTCGCAATGGTAGAGAGGGAAGACGTCTAGACGTCCCGCGCGCGTATGTGTACTATTTATGCCCACGCAATTGTATAGTATCGCATCAATGATACGGCTGATGGGCTTCTATCTTTACAGACTGGCCCCGAAGGGCAATAATAGACCGGGCAACAGCATTTTTGGTTAATTTTGGAGCCCGTGTCTAAAGTCAGCTCCTCCCGCTCACAGGGCTTGTCCGGTTCAGTGACCCATGACCATAATTCTCATGGAATCGTCAGAGTAAATAACGGACACATAGATAGAGGTCCGCAGACCTGCTATGGCTTCTATCCTTGCTGTTAGAGAGCCGGCAGTGAAGGCCAGCAACACTGTATCCATGTCGGCGACGACCAAACTCGATAGCTCAGGTTTACCTCTCATCCCTCAGCCGACAGACTCACCTTATGACCCGTTGAATTATCCAAACGTGTGTGTCGAGTCCTGCCCTCGCCGTCGTTGTCTGATCGTAGAGTATCCTCGCAACAGTGGTTGAAGTATCTGATACTTGGCCAAATTTCCACTCTTGCCTTTCTCGCGACTCTGAATGTTGCAATCATCAATCCTGCAGTAGTCCCACTTTCTGAGGAATTTGGCATCGCACCTGTGACAGCGACGTATCAGACCACCGTCGCTATTGGCACGAGTTCGCTAGGCCCTCTGATATTCACGCCTTTCGCCAATGTGTACGGCCGGCGTCCTGCATACCTCTTTGCAGTCCTAGTTGGCTTTGCGTCCGCTGTGGCGTCTGCGACCTCCACTAGTTACGGTGGCATGATTGCCGCGCGAGCGATAAACGGGTTTGGGCCCAGCGCAGCTATGGGGCTTGGAGCTGGGACGGTTGTTGATGTGTTCTACATGCATGAGAGGGGAAGGGCTATGGGGGTGTTTACTTTGACGATGACGAATGGGGCGCACCTTGCACCAATCGTATGTACCCAACGAGCAGACACGCTAGGGCGTAGGGTTGACGGTTTGTCTTCTAGGTTGGTGGATATGTTGCACGTAATCTTGGGTGGAGGTGGTGCTTCTGGGTCGGCGCTATACTGAACGGTATGTCTTCGCCATGAGCTATGCCCGTTTATCAATTAACCGCTCGTCAAACAAGCTGCTATGTTTGTGATATGTCTCTTTGCCTTGCCTGAGACCCTGTTCGACCGTCCACTCACTACCGGACTAGATGAGAATCTCGCTGGTTCGAAAGGCGAGGTCATTCATGTGGAATCTGACACGAATGTGCGGCAAGAACCGTACGCTTCTCCTCCCATGTCGTGGAGGACGTATGCGAATCGTCTTTGCCTATGGGATCTTGAGCGACCGACAGGCCGACGAATGGAGGCCTCGGACTTCGTCGTCAAACCGCTAAGCATGTTGCGCTACCCGTCGGTCGCATTTCCGGCTCTGTTCTAGTGAGTCTGAAATTCGATTGTGGTATCAGTTTGCTGACTGCTTCAACGGCAGTGCTGTCACGTACGGATTTGCTTCCATCGAACCGGCGTTGACGCTGGCTCCCATATTTACTCGGCTGTATCACTTTGATACCGTTAAGAACGGGTGGGTTTGCACCTTATGGCCCATAACCTCGTCTTACATCCGTTCCGATGGTACAAAAGATTGGCAAACGGAGTCAGCCTTCTAGTTGGCGGGTAAACTGTTTTATCTACTTTTGCAAGGGACTGCTAGTGCTAAACCATGCGGACCCGTCTCTTTCAGGTCGCTAGGGGAGCTTTGCTCTGGGCCTGTTACGGATTACATGATGCGAAGGGCTCGACAACGTCATCAGGGCGATGGCGAACCACCCGCAGAGATTCGTCTCCAAGGAATATGGACGGGGGCGATCGCCGTGCCTGTTGGTCTACTCATGTGAGTTCAATGTTGGTTGAGTGCCATATGTTACTGTCTAATATCGGACTTCGTAGATGTGGGTGCCGAATACCCCTCGCAGGGGGAGACCGTAGCCTCGCTTACTTTTTCTGTGTTATAGATGGATTCACCGTTCAGTTTTCCAACACCTTCGTCGCTCCATGCATTGGGATGGGTACGTAACGCAAAAAAATCCGTGACTTCGCTACCTGACGATCTTTGAGACAGCGTTGGCCTGTTTTGGCGGTGCGTTTGGTCATGGCTTGCGGCTTGGGCGAACCTCGCGCTAATTTAGAGAGTCAGTGCAAATCGTTACCTCGGTCTGCTACACGTATAGCTGCAGCGACTGTTATCGGACCAGAAGTAATGACGTTAGTCAGTGCTTCAAGTATGTTCCGATACCTCACCATCATTATGATTCTTAATATCTCTGCCTCGGGCAGCTTCTTCCGACAACTGTTCGGCATGACTCTAGGATTCTACTCGTACAGTCATATCTCTCATTGCTTGGTGATGGTTCGTCTGCTGACCGGTAACCCATGGATATAGAATTCCATTTGGAGAAAAGGTATCTTTGCCACACTGATGCTTAAGGCATGAACTGTATTCATTTCTATATTTCACCGCAGATCGGATTCCACTTGTCTTTCACTCTGTTTGCTATCGTGTGGTGAGCATGATTCACTACGATTATCCGATAGTGATAGTGACACTTATCAACTGCATATAGTGTTGTCACCTTCCTCCCGATCTTGACCTTGATGAGATGGGGAGGTATGTGGAGGAAATAACTGTCCTAATAACCGTTGGGTGGTTTATGTCGTGTTTGAGTGACCTCCGCAACATAGCAACGCAGCTTCTATATGTCCATACATAGGAAAGGATATGCTAATTGCCCCGTGGCTTAGTTGGTTACGGCGTCCGACTGTTATGCTCCCGTCGCTGTATAATTGACATCGGAAGATCGAGAGTTCAAGTCTCTCCGGGGCAGCTGAGCCGTCCATCCCTCCTTTTGGATGCCCATACTAATTGATTTGAGTCCTTATTTTTTTGGGCAAAAGGTCATATATACACGCAATAGTTTACAATACGAATACTCGCATCTACGCAAAGCTTTAGAGACTAGCAACCAAGACTCTGTCGCCCCTATCTCCTACTCTATGTCACATGATCGAGACCACGTCAATTGAGTGCTGCCAGACCACTCATTGTATACTCAAGTTCATCTCTATTCACTGTTCAGAACGGCCTGTGGCTTGGTCGGGGAGTATGTACTCTTTGAAGCTTCTAGGTGCACTCGTTCTACTCATATCTGTCCCTCAAACATTTGCTGTCAAGTCCCACGACTTCAAGACATGTTCTCAAGCAGGTTTCTGTCGCAGGGGCCGTGCGCTAGCCTCACGCGCCAAAGAAGCATCGTCCTGGGCATCGCCGTACTCGATAGACCTCTCCACCATTGAAATCGCTCATGACTCGGCCAAGTTCACCGCCCAAGTCAAGTCATCTCTGTACCCCGACGTCAAGTTTGGTCTTGACGTTCGACTTCATACGGATGGCGTTGTACGCGTCAGAATGGACGAGATCAATGGCCTGAAGAAGCACTACGACGAGGCAGCATCGTGGGCGTTGATATCAGAACCCGAAGTTAGCAAGAGCATGAAGTGGTCAGTCGGGAAGACAGAATTCAAGGCCAAGTTCGGAGAGGGACAAGAATTCGAGATAGTGGTCCAATTCAATCCCTTGAAGATCGTTCTGCTTAAAGAATCGAAGGAACAAATCGTGTTGAACGGCCAGGGACTCCTACACATGGAGCACTTCCGGTCCAAGAAGGTGGAAGCTGGAGGAGAGCAGAAGCCTGAAGGGTCTGAAGGCGTGGAAGACGCTCAAACGGTTATTAAGGTCCAACCAAACGCGTGGTTCGAGGGCGAGGACGAGGACGCGTACTGGGAAGAAACATTTGGCTCATGGACCGATTCAAAACCCAAAGGTTGGCTTCCCACTGCTTATAAGACCATAGCTGACGCCCTCAGTCAGGACCTGAGTCTTTGTCTATTGATATATCATTTCCCAACCATGCAAATATCTATGGCATACCGCAGCATGCGACACGCTTGTCCCTTCCCTCTACCACGGGCGAATCGCCTCATTTTGAGGACCCATATCGCCTATACAACACAGATGTCTTCGAATATATCGCATCATCACCAATGTCCCTCTACGGCTCCATCCCTATCTTGCATGCTCATTCTGCTGACTCAACCGTCGGTATATTCCACGCCGTGGGCTCGGAGACATGGATCGACGTATCTCATGCGACCGACAAGTCTACAGAGACTCACTGGATCTCCGAATCCGGCATCCTCGACATATTCCTCATGCCAGGGCCTACTCCTGCTGACGTCTTCGCTCAGTACGCAAGACTCACTGGAACACCTGTCCTTCCTGCGCATTGGGCATTGGGGTATCACCAGTGCCGATGGAACTATATTAGCTCAGATGACGTCCGCACCGTTCAAAAGCGCTTTGACGAAGAAGGCATGCCAGTAGATGTATTCTGGCTCGATATCGAGTACTCTCAAGATCACAAGTACTTCATGTGGGAGCCGAAGAACTTCCCAGACCCCGTTGACATGATTAATGATGTCGCTGCTACTGGTCGGCACGTAAGTCCGTGCCGCCTGTCTGGAATTCACTTTCTCACCTGCCTGCCCGCAGATGGTCGTCATTGTCGACCCTCACTTGAAGCGCGTCAACGAGTATCCTGTATATAAGGAGGCATCTGAGCGCGGTGTACTCGTGAAGCCAAAGAGTGGCGAGGGTGAATATGAAGGATGGTGTTGGTCCGGCAGTAGCTCGTGGATTGATTTCTTTAACCCTGGTGCTTGGGACTGGTGGAAATCCCTCTTTAAGCCTTACCAACTTGCGAGCGGCGGCTGGTCGTGGACACAGAGCACCGAAGCGGTTCATATCTGGAATGACATGAACGAGGTACTTATTGCTTACGTCTGTATTCACGCGAACGGAACTCATTGGTCCCTTCTTTAGCCATCTGTCTTCAACGGTCCGGAAATCTCTATGCCCAGGGATAATGTCCATTACAACGGTTGGGAACACCGAGATATACATAACATCAATGGCATGCTTTTCGTGCGCCCTTTCTTTCAGACATTTGGAGTGTAGCTGACAACATCGGCAGTCTAACGCAACATATCAAGCCCTTCTGGAACGCTCTGACCCTCCTCAACGCCCGTTCGTCCTGACGCGGTCCTTCTTCGCTGGCTCCCAGCGTTTCGGTGCTATGTGGACCGGCGACAATCTTGGTACCTGGGAACACATGGAGGTGGGAGTCAAAATGGTACTAGCTAATGGAATTGCTGGAATGTCATTCGGCGGGTGTAAGCGGTTTTGTTCGTCTCCAAAAAGCGTTTGCTTAACTTCGCTTCACAGCTGATGTCGGCGGCTTCTTCGGCAACCCGGAGCCCGAGATGCTTGTCCGCTGGTACCAAGTCGGAGCAATGGCCCCCTTCTTCAGAGCTCATGCTCACATCGACACAAAGCGCCGCGAGCCCTACCTTCTTGATCAACCATACAAAGATATTGTTCGTGACATCTTGAGATTGCGGTACACCATGCTCCCCGTGTGGTACACTGCTTTCCGAGAAACTACCGTCACAGGGCTGCCAGTTCTACGGTTTGTTTTAGTTTTGTCGTGTGTGATCGATGCATCTGAATTGTGCTTCCAGCCCTCACTATGTTATGTTCCCCGAGGACAAGAACGGATTCGATCTTGACGGTCAGTATTATATCGGTTCGTCGGGTTTATTGGTCAAGCCCGTGACCGAGAAAGGTGCTACCGAAGCGTCCGTCTACCTTGCCGAGGATCAGGTACGTGGCTCTTACTTTGTAGTAACGTTTAATAACTTACGCTTGATGTAGGTCTATTATGATTATTTCTCTCACCAAGTTTATCGAGGATCAGCGAAAGGCAAAAACATCACCGTTCCCGCTGCTCTCCACCAACTTCCTCTCTTCATTCGTGGCGGCTCCATCGTCAGTACCCGGGAACGCCCCAGACGCGCCTCCACACTCATGAAGCGCGATCCGTTCACATTACGCGTTGCATTGGATAAGAAGGGCAGTGCCCGCGGAGAACTCTATATCGATGACGGTGAAACCTACTCGCACCGCAATGGGGAGTTTATCTGGAGGCAGTTCTTCGCTGACAAGGGAAAGAAGGAGCTCCGTATTTCAAGCAAGGATTTGGCCGCTTTGAGGCCCAGCGACGCGGTGGATGGCGTCGCCCTGAAGACTTTCAACCCCGCGAATGAGTTCGCTAAGAGCGTCAGCGGTGTTCGGGTGGAGCGAATCGTCGTCTTGGGGTTGGGAAGTAAGCCCAAGAGTGTCAAGGTTGAGGGTGGCCAAATCCTCGAATGGGAATACACTCCTGGGGCTGCATCAAACGACAAAAAGGATGGTGCTGCCGGTGTCCTCGTTATCAAAGATCCGGCTACTCCAATAGCGAACAACTGGGAAATCTTAGTTCAATTTTAGTTGATATTTGGGGTGTAGTTAGAAGCCGTGAAGTTTTCATTATTGGACGAACAACCAGAGGCGTACATCGTAGGAACTATTTCCTCCATGCACCTCCCCATTTCATCAAGGCTAAGATCGGCAGGAAGGTAATGACACTATTTAAAGGCGATGAGCGACGTTGGCACTTCCGGAAAACCCTACTTGCCATATGACAGCAAACAGGGTAAACGATAAATGATACCCAATCTAGAGAGTGTTAGCTTCTTGTTGAACGCCTCGGCATGGCTTTAGCACCTTGTCTCCAAATGGGATTCTACGCACACCCAGTTATTATGAGAATGACTAATTAGACCCTGGACTTACGAGTAGAATCCCAATGTCATGCCGAACAGCTGCCTAAGGAAACTACGTGGGCGTGAAGACTGCCGAGAATGAGTGTCTCAGATGAGGCTTACTTGAAGCACTGGCTAGTGTCGTTGCCTCTCGAGCGATAGCAATCACTGCAGCTGTACGTATAGCAGACCGATGTTATGATTTGCACTTTTGTTAAAGCCTGGAATTAATTGACGTATGGCGAATATGAAGATAGCATACCGCCAAAGCAGGCCAACGCTGAGTTCGAGCATGAACGAGCACGAGGAAATTTACCAAACAGGGAACATCACGTACTGATTGCGATGCATGGGACGAGGAAGCTATTCCCAAACTGCACAGTGAAACCGTCTGATCAAGGTCACCAGTAGTAGATCGTAACCAGGAAAGGGAAATGCAACACCCACATCTACAGAGCCGAATGTTAGGCGGTCCAACAGCCAGTTCTGTGTTTATCTCACATGAGTAGACCGACGGGTACAATTATGGCGCCTGTCCATATCCCTTGCAGACGAATCTCTGCAGGTGGCTCATCATCGCCTTCAAGACGCTGTCGAGCCCTTCGCATCATGTAGTCCGTAACAGGCCCAGAGCAGAGCTCTCCCAACGAACTGACGAACTGCGGCGTTAGCTGGTAGCTATTCCTTATATGATTCAACTCACCCGCCAACTAGGAGACTGACCCCGCTGGCTAATCTGTGAGGTGGTGGAAGGTAAGTTTAAATGTGCGGTTGTACGGAGTAAAAAAAAGGGTTTACCCGTTCCTGACAGTATCAAATCTATATAGCTTCGTGAATATGGCAGTCAGTGTCAGTGCCGGTTCAATGGAGGCAAACCCGTATGTGACAGCACTGTTGTTGAAAAATGAATAAACTAACCACGGTGATCGTATATCGTGCTCACTAGAACAGAGCCGGAAATGCGACAGAAGGGTGCCGCAGCATGCTTAACGGTTGGACAACAAAGTCTGATGCCTTCATTCGTCTCCCTGTAGGTCGTTCAAGGTTCCACAAACAAAGCCGTTTGGTGTATGTCCTCCATAGCATTGGAGGAGCCGTGTATGGTTCTCGCCGTACGCTCGCACTTGATTCCGCATGGACGATCTCAGCTTTCGAACAAGGAAGGTTTTTGTCCAGTTCTTCAATGGCGAGTGAACGATCAAACTGGGTCTCGGGCAGGGCAAAAAGACATATCACAAACATAGCCGCTTGATATGGCAGTTATCAGTTGAGGCGGACGGGTAGAGCCCATGTCGGAAACATACCGTTCAATATAGCACCGACCCAGAAGCACCACCTCCACCCAAGATTGCGGGCAACATATCCACCAACCTAGGGACAACCCATCAACTATACGCTCTTGTGTGTCTGCTCGTTGGGTACATACGATCGGTGCAAGATGTCCTCCATTCGTCATCGACAAAGTAAACAATCCCATAGCCCTTCCCCTCTCATGCATGTAGAACACGTCGACGACTGTCCCCACTCCGAGTCCCATGGCTGCACTAGGACCCAAACCAATGACGGCCCTTGCGGCGATCAATCCACCATAGGTTGTCGTAGTCGCTGATGCAACTGATGACGCAAACCCGACCAAGATCGCCAGGAGGTACGCAGGACGTCGGCCATACACATTGGCAAAGGGAGTGAACAACAAAGGTCCAAATGCGGCCGCCCCAATGGCGACGGTGGTCTGGTATGTGGCAGCAACAGGAGTGATGCTAAATTCCTCCGAGAGAGGAACTATCGCGGGGTTGATCATCGCAATGTTCAGAGTCACGAGAAAGGCGAGAACGGATATTTCCCCCAGTATGAGATACTTCAGCCACTATATCAAGGAAGTTCGACGGTTAGAAAACGCTTGCGGAAGAAGAATTGCTACGCACATTTGGATAATTCAGTGGGTCTGACGGAGAGTCTGTTGGCTGAGGAATAAGGGGCAAACCAGAGTGATCTAGTTTTATGGTCGTCGACATGATATTGGGTAATCTATTGATATTTCACTGGGGCGGACAAAGGTCAGCACTCAAGGGCATGTTCGTTATTTATACTTACGAGTCCATGGGAGAACAATTGGACTTCCGTAAACACAGTCATGGGTTATACCAGCGTTGCCTATTTTCAAACGCATGTCCTATGTTGGGAGTGAATGAAGGGATGCCGGAAATAACAGGATAAGGGAATACATGCTTCCTCCGTCAGAGCGTGTGGTGGTTTGGTGTCGTGACAAATCTGTGAAGACAAATTTGATACTATGCAGATGCTGTATAGATAGACAAACCATTAGAAGCAACGGATTCCTGAACCGTGGATCCCTTACGGAAAATGAGCTCCAGAGTCATCGTGTCGCGAGCAAGGTTGATGGGTAAAGATACATGCATCAGTATTTGCGTGTGCTAGCTTGTATCTTTCGGCTCACTTCACGCTGGCCCTTTGCCTATAGCTGGGCGATTGAATACAACCAAAACATAACAGCAAACTCACCGCCAAAAGAATTGCTTCCGAGTATGTAGGGGTAATCGGCCATTAGTCCTTGAACGTTCCTAGTAAAGGCCCTCTTTGGACAGATCTTTCCGTACTGGAGGATCAAGTCCAAAGCATGGCGCAGCGTGGATGCAGCGCCGCGGCGAATACCGCACGATTGAGTCGTGGCAGTCAGACATTGCCCATGTACCATTGCCAGCCCCTCCAAAATGTCGTTGTGGCTAGCTATCCCCCGGCTCAATGACTGGTGTCGGATGCTGGTTCGAACCAGTGGACTTGTAGCGGGCCGTTCTAGGCGCACACCCTCATTGCCCTGGGACAATCTCAACATGGCTGATGACGAGGTTGGGCGAAACAATTGATGTGGAGGACACTACTACATAAAGAACCAGTACAACAAAACCGATAAGCAAACGTGCGAGACAGCTGACATACATATGTACGAAGGAGCATAAGGCAAAGATAAATTCATGCATAGATCAAAGCTCTTGGCTTTGAGACACGGTCAACACAAAATGGTACGTATATCTGTCTCCTAATATTATTACCGGAGGAGTCCAAAGTTAAGTAATACAACAAGCAAGAAGACCGTGCGTAAACAGATGAAAGAAGAGCGACGGTCGATGTGCAAGAACGTTATGGTGATTAGGGCGATCACCATATTGGATGGTCAAGCGTTGGCGCGGATGAGAGATGGGGTACATTCGAACCAACTTTCAAATTGACGCCGCCTGGTTGAACGCGGGAAGGAACGATCCAATCGCCCACACTTGTCGGTCGAAGTGTTGGGGGTCCTGGGACGAACCCTTGCACCTGGAGTTGAAGTTGCATCTGCATCTGCACCTGTAGGTAGTGATTTGGAAGGGGCTGCATACTTGGAATGTAAGGATGATGAGTTGTCATGTACGGTAACAAGGCCACGTTTGTTGGGACAGGAAACTGAGATGGGATGGTGGCATAGGGAAATGAGGGGATGGCGGGGGTGAAGGCATGATGCTGTGGTGTTGGTATGGAGATAGACAAGGGGCGAGGGGGCTGCGTTGTTGGTGTCGATCGTTTGCTTTGCTTCTTAGAACTGGGATTAGGACTCGACGACGAACCACGGGATTCTGCGCGCTTCTGGAAAATTGAAGAGATGGACAGGTGCTTAAGAGCGGCCGCAGCCGATTCCGCGCGCGCAGCCATGTTTTCGTCGCAAACCCCAGAGGATGTCGAGTTCGTTGTTTTACCATCCGGAGAAGTGGAACCGCGATGTCGGTTCAAAGCCAAGAACAACGCTTGGGCCCGCTTCGCCTTGTCACTGGTAAACGCCTCAGTCGTAGGTTCGCTTGCATCCTGGGCCTCGTTTCCGTGTGACGGCTCGTCACGCTCGCCTGAGCCACAAGTGAACCAGCCCTCTTCATCAGGCTCCAGAGATGATGCTCCATCAGTGTCTCGCTCCCCGTCTCCTCCGTTTTCCGACATAGACGTCCGAGGCGTCATAAAGTCCGTAATGTCAAAATTGGGGCTACGTGCTGGTGTGATGCTCGCGCTTTTCGTTCGGTTATCACTACCGTCTACGATGGTCCAATCGGACCTCGAGCTTTGGTTGGAAGCGGAAGAGCGTAACTTGTCGACGATTGCGCGAGTCTTGGAAGCTGGTGCCTTCCGACGAGTGGGTTCATGAAGGAAGGCCGGGAGGAGGGCCGAAGATGACCTGGATTGTGGGGCGGAGGAAGGCTTTGAAGAAGTGGTTTCAGCCTCAACTTCGACCTCGGTGACAAAGCCTTGGTCATCCTTGGTAATCTTCACAGAGGTAGGTCGGTCGATAGAAGGGAATGTGAAGTTGTTCAATGACGGCAGTGAAGGGTCTGAACTCGAATCGACTGGCTTGGCGGAGTGAAAAGACGGAACAAACGTTGATGCTGTCGCGTTCAGACGACTCGAAAGGTGGAATTGGGGGCTAGCGATGTTTGACGACGAATCGTGCACGGCTACATCTTCATTTGTCGTTACCCGAGGGGTCAACGGAAGATCAAGATTGCTCAAATCGATGCTTGACAGAGTAGAAGTACTGCTGTGGAGGCCTGTGCTGCTCGTCAAGGGGCTGAAATCGCTTGTCCACGAGCCGGTAGGAGAGTCCTCGTCTTCACCAAAACGTGCGTCCAGTACGAGACCTCCGGTTACTTTCTGTACGATATCGTCCCAGTACGCACGTCCATGTACGAGCTCCTCATCTGAGACGTTCAGCCTCCGTGCCTTGAAGTCTGATGGTGGGAATTCGGAGTCGGCTGGGGAGTGCGATTGTGTCGCATAGAAAAAGCCGACGTTTATCTCGTAAGGGAGTAGGATATCCACAGCACCTTTGACACCAATCAACTCCGAGCTGAGCTCCATTTCCGTACCCGTTCCAGCGCGCCCGTCGTCTTCGTAAGCCCGCACATCCCCCTCGACACTAGCCATAGTGGCTGATGAAAGGCACATTGCATCGGCAGGGGGCGACTCCGAGTGAGAGTGATGATTGTAGGGGGGCTTCGCGTACACAATATTGCACGTAGGAGCTGTGCCTTCTTGTTTCGTGTCCAGGGGATACGACCATGAAACGGAGTCAAAAGGGGTGCGCCACCACTGTTCTTCAACGAAGACCCAGTCTCCTTCTCCTAAGCTGGGAGTTGCATTCTGTCGCAATGGCATAACGAAAGGTTCTGAGGAGTCCGTAGACTCTCTATGAGTAACATAAAAAGTCAAAGACGTCCCCCAAGGTGCAGAGCTGAAGTCGCCATACCTTGTGTTGTAGCCACCCCTCTGAAACCACGTCAATTCCAGGCGACTTGTGCAACGTAGCGTCCGAGAAGGAATTGAGTAGGTGGTGGTACAAAAGGAACAAAGGTCAAGGGATTATCAACCGTCAATCTACAACATGCGGAAAAGGTCAAGATCCATTTCTAACCAATTGCTCCCAGACTGCTGTTCAAAGTCATGGCACCGGAATGTTCTCACGGTCACAGCTGGAGCAGGCCTTTTTGGGATGGTGGCGATCTTCTAAAGTTCAAGCCATTTACTTCCAACAATGATCTCCATGGAACAACTCTGCGCGACTGGCAATACAGAAAACACGAGTTCCCTGCGCTTTGAAGAAGCTTGATACATAGTGACTCTACTCAAGTTTCGCAGCATCACCGCGCCAACTTTTGTTCGTGAGTCATGGTACATTGCTGACAGTGTGTGACGCACAATAGTCACTGCGTTACGATTTCAGGCAGTAGCTGCCCCCAAAAGTACATTTCACATGAGTCATGAGAAGGCGTCGATGTCTTAGTCCGGGTGCCTTGCGTTCCAGTGTGCTAATTGCCATGTAGACGCGCATGCAACCGTACATCAAGGTTGTGACCATCATTGAGGGTGAACTGCGGGTGTAGGGGAGTTGACGAAAGTAGACTCATAATATCTGCTCATGGGGATGTAACTCAGCTCGTCGTCCCTGACGGTGCGTACAAACCCCCAGAAGTTTGAATAAGGTGGTAGACAGGGGCATATTAGGAGCTCAGAGTTCAAGCTTCTTCTACTTCTGATAGTATCAATGATGGTGTACTTATTGTTTGCATCCAATGTTTGCGGCTCACAACCACCGGGCCCGAAGCCATGCTATGGAAGATGAACACTTGTACATAGCACGACATATTTTTAATATTACATGGTAAAAGGCAAGCATTCGGAACTTCGTAACGCGCGCGAGAGCATTGGCAGTTGCACGGATGAAAGATAAAGAGAAGCTATGTACAAGTTGGCAGGGTCAAGGAAAGATAAAACGGACTAATCCCACTGCGTTGGAATCGGGAGGTGGCGAGGAAGCTTTGGGGCGTCACGGAAAGGCCCTTTAACTACCGCGTAGTCCGACGCGGACATGGGTACTTTTCCTGCGGCCATGAAGGATCCTGCCTTGCCTTTAGTCTTACGAATAGTCGACTTCGAGGGCGCAGCGTTGGCAACATCGTTTGTGGATCCCTCCCTTGGCTGTCCTGAAGCAATCAAAGCCTTCACAATTTGGTCGGTGTTGGCCTTGCCCAGAGACGCTTGTCGATGTGCCTCTCGAATAGTTTCAATTTCTTCCCCGGGACCTTGATAAACATCCATCATCCCATCCAACCATTGATTGATGTACGCCTTCGTTTGAGGGGAGCCTCTGCTAGAGAGCTTGCTCTTGAGCTTCTTCGCCGTGGCACTGATATCGTCGCCGTCGTGGGATTTCTTTTCTTTCGATGCAAACTTATACTGCGAATGGGTAAGCATTAGGATGATTTAATTTGTCGAACGAATCCGTTACTTACTTGTGCTCCAGGAACTCTGGACCGCTTCCTCCATACAGGTGCCAGGGGACGACCGTATAGGTCGTTGAATCGTTCTCCTTTGGGGGTCAGCGCAGTGGGTAGGCCGGGTAGCTTGCCGTGAGGAAGGTCTCCATGCGCGATTAGGACGTGCCCCCCGTTCTCCTCATCGGTGTTAGATGAATCTTCGTAAAGCTGGACCGCGTCGGTACGAGATTCGGTGGAAATTACAGGCCCGCTAGACTAATAAACACTCAATTTAGCTAGTCGCTTAGCATAAGGTTTAAGTACAAAACTCACTAATTCCGCGTGCAAGGGTACTTGGGCGTTGGTAGCGAAGATAGACGACATCTTGGATTGTTGTACGAGGGTTGAGTGATAGATGGTGGTAGTAGATGGTCAAGGAGGGGAATGTAGTTTATGTGGTCTGAGCACGCACTATAAACATGTTTGGCGGACAATAGACCGTAGCAGGTTAAAGTGCCACTGCCCTCAAAGGGTAATTGCGTACTTTGGCCACCAATGTTGGTGGTCACAGCATGCCACTTGCGTGTCTCACAGGACAATGTAAGCAAGAAATCACCAAAACATTCTATCGTTCCGGAATATTTAGTCGGCTTCTGCATTGTAAAGAGAACATCCCAGATACAGAGTTTAACAGGGGCTTCAGGAGACTCAGGGAGAATCAGTATGCGAGATGATTACAGATTTACAGACGCATTTCCCAAGTCAAAGTCAGTTATCAGTGCATCCTGCCGTACAGGAATGCTACTGGTGGCGCTGCACCATGCAAGCAAAGCTCTGGTGCTCATTCGCCGATATAACGAAAGTTAGATGTCTCTATGATCACGTGCTGCTACCGCGACAATATTCGGTCTCACTTTCATACTGCTTCCTTTTGTACCCCCATCATCGATACTACCGACTGGTGATACCGTAACAAGACTCTTTCGTGGCGTATACAATTGAGTCATGACGAACGTTCTAATCTGGGCAACGGTGAGTTTCAGTAGTGTTCATCCGCATATTTGAGTCAGGAGCCTGATACAGATACGAACGACATACTAGCGACTGATTCACGGCGCATACAGTGACATCTACGACGACTCGAACGTCTCCCAGCGGAAGACGAGTGCGTTTCCAGGACCTCACCCTTACGGCGACTCTAACTGAGGTCCTGATGAGCTCACCAAGTCCAATGTCATAAAGCATACTATTGAAGAGGAAGAAGTGGCTTTGACGGAACTCATAGGGCCTGGAGTGAATTTGGAACGCATATATCGGCCTTCATATATCGGCCTTTTGTCGGTTTGACGCGTATATCCTCAAATTTGTGCCCGCACGCCGTTGCCATGCTCCGTCTGGCATCTCCACACTCATGGCCGAAATGCGAACGAACTGCGACGTTGGCAAGGGTGACCAATGCGTGCCCACTTGCGGCCAGCATGTTCGTGAACTCGGTTTGTACACGACAGACGCCATGTAGTATACATGGAGATATATGCTCCTCTCATGATAGGTGAGTGTCACATCGTCGAAAGTGGGACGATATAGGATGACGACGAGTCTTCAGGTTGTGATCAAGACGCATACATGAACCTTTCAGCCTCACAGACTCATGCCTGGGGTGCGTTCGTCACCCGCGTTCTAGAGCCTTATTTGAGCGGTACTGGCACTACGAGGCTGGATTACCATTCCGCGTGGAAATGCCAGTACGTGCTCAGTACACGGCCGATGATGTCCGAGGCAGATGGTACGCCGTCCCAAGAAAAGAACGTTTAGCTGCATATGACATTTGACCACAGGCTCAGGCTTTCGACCGTGTCATATCTGCGATATCGTCTGAATCGTGCATGTGCATGCGGTTTACGCATTGCACCATGAGAACGCAAAATACAGAAGACCCGATATTGACATCGCTTGAACCTCATGCTCTCTGAATTTCCCTTGAACTTACGTTTCTTGTTCTCGTTCTCGTCCTTCTAGTGACCAGGCGTTGTACTTTATATTCCTAGTTGGTTGGATTTCAGATGCAGCGGCGTCCATGCCTTCCGGCTTATCAACGCCGCCAGCATTGGACAACAACGTGATAGGCCTGGTTTTCCCACAGTCAGTTGCAGAGTCCCAGTGACAGGTGTCAGACTCCTCGTATGGACGATGCCAGCATTGCACCCAATTGCGTTCCTTCACGATTCATGATATAATTCAGGTATGCCTTGTTTCCTTGTTGATTTCCCTCGGAACAATGATACACTTACCACGCGCTGGAAACAGAATCGGCGCCTCTGATAGTGACTTGTATCAAAACTATCGCGTTTCTGCACGGAGTCGCCCAACCGATCCTCGACGTGGGAGACACTCTGCAACAACATGGATAGCGATGCCGCTGATACGGAGAGAGTTACCGAGCTAGGCAGCGATTCGGAGGGCCAGGATGCCCAGAACAAGATTGAACAGCAGCCTCGTTCACGCCGCGTGGGGATGCAGCTCACAAACCCACCACCCAACCTTGTCCTGAGCTTAGCCGCACTAACGTATACCGGCCTCGATACTATCACGACCTCCTCACCCCTGCCCCAGACTCCAACTACTACGGACAAGCCTTTGCCTCGTCCACCACTTGCATCACCCCCTCTTCCCCCTCGCTCCCCTCTCCGCCAACCTCCGCGACGCAATATCGCCCCACTAATAACCACAGCACCATCCAGAGAGTCGCAAAATTCAAACGAGTCGGCTGAATCTCATTCCGGGCACACACCAATCGAGACGGCCGAAGATTTTCCAGCCGAGGCGTCTAGGTGCGTTCCCCACACAGGACTTCTTTGTTTCGCTCTCAACTGCCTTTGACATAGGGAGTCCATTATGTCTATTACACAACTCCTTGAAGAGATCAACTCTGCAGCGCTCATTGTACAGCCTTCCACGTCTGCAATGATGAACGGCACCATGTCAAAGTCCGTCCCAGTCAAGCCTTCTGGTTCGCAGAGACCTGACTCTCCTCCATTACCATCACCACCATCGCCGAAAGAACTGAAGGAGACTAAGGCAAAGGCAAAGGCAATGACGAAGCGGCAGCACGCTCTACATGAGTTACTGTCATCAGAGCGTGCGTTCGCTAGTGATCTAGCTTTGATCAGGGAAGTCCACATTCCGCTTGCAATGGGTGAGCATGCCAGACTCTTATTTTGCGTTCGACTTCCTGACGCGTCGTGATAAAGGTCTTCCCGCGTCATTTAGTCTTCCCGCTGCACCACACGAGGGAACGTCAACAGAAATAGTCGTGAGTAATGGTTCGCGCACACTTTCGACCGCATCTTCGTCAACAACATCATCCGCATCCACCAACTTCTCGTCCGCATCCTCATCCACCACCGCAACCTCTGTCTCATCCTCAAGCACGTACACACCCTTTTCAACATCGAACCCACCTTTCTCGCCTCTTGACACGAAGGTCATCTTCTCGAATATTGCAGAACTAGCTTTCTTCAGTGATAAGTTCTGTGACTTGCTGGAGGAGGCTTTGGGGGCTGAAATAGAAGGAGGGCAAGGAGAAGACAGGGTCGGGGATCTTTTCTGTCGAGTGGTGAGTACAGAGTGTCGCTGGTTGAATATCACAGACGAAGTTGAAAGTGATCGCTTAAACTAGATTTCCGACCTTGAAGTGCCTTACAAGCAGTACATCACGAAACATCCGACCGCTTTGGCGCGACTAGCGGCACTGACGAAGGGGCTGCCCGCCCCCGACGACCAGGCGTCGGAACCGTCACAGCAGCCGCTTAGCACTTATCTCGCTCTTACTCAACGAATCGCTTCTACACACTCCCATGCATGGGATTTACCTTCACTACTCATAAAGCCAGTTCAGCGCTTGTTGAAATATCCACTCCTTATTCAAGCCATCATCGATGCCACTCCTCCCTCGCACAGCGATTATCAGCGCTTGAAAGAGGCGAAAGAACGAACAGAGGAAGTTGCGAGAGCCGTTAACGAGGAGCGTCGGAGGAAAGAAGTTGTTATGGAGGTGTTAGAGAAGGGAAGGAAGGGGGCGGGAATTGGCATATTGGCATTGAAAGATTTGATAGGCATGGAGGCGATAGGGAGTATTAGCGGGTTGGTCGGTGCTGCGGCAAGCCCGAAGAAGAAGGGACTTGGCGGGAAGATGAAAGGGCTGAAGAGTCCAATGAAAGGTGCTAGCAGCGACGATTTTGATTCTGGTTTTGCCTCGCCGCTCTCTCATAATGGTTCCACTGTGACGCTTACGTCGACCTTCTCCGGCGCCAACACTCCCATGAAAGACACCAACTCTGAAAGTCTATTGGTCCTAGCCCTCGCATGGCACCTTGACGAGACCTATGCATTCTTGCATAGGTTTGCAACTGAGATTGTCGACTGGTCGCGGGTGATGAAGAAGAACGTCGAAGCATTGGAGATGTGGGCGAGGGCGTTCGGGAGGGTGATTGGGCTAAGCGTGGACCCCTGTCTGTTTGATGACGATGCTACCCTGCTTGATGAATCCTTTGGCATGGGCAGTCAAGGCTCAGGCGCAAGTGGGATGGGTGGTGCCCAAGGATCTTACTCTCATTCTATGTTTGAGGAAGAAGTCATGCACTCCGAGGCGTTCGATGCGTTCATCAATCTTGTCCGTTCAAGACTTCTTCCACTTACGGCCCAGCTAGAGAGGGATATCAAATCTCGCCTACTCGATCCGATGACCAAGCTTGTGAAGAGCATGAATGAACCCAGGATCCTCATCAATGCTATGAATGGCTTTCGACCTATTCACGATCACCTCCTAAACACTCCTATCACATCATCATCGGGTAAGAATCGACCTTCCCCGTCGCTGCTACAGGCATCGTCAACGTATCTCGCTTTACGAGGGCAACTTGCCACCGAACTGCCCGCATTTGTTGAGCTACTGAACAAGGGGGTCAAGGCCACGCTGAAAGAGTGGGTGGGCATGCAAGTCGATTATTGGAAGGAGGTAAGAGTGCAGTGGATGGATTTGTGGGAGATGCTGAGAGTCGAGGGTGAGGGGAACGGAGGGGCTAGGGAGACGATCGGCATTTGGGAGAGTAGGTGGAGGGAGGTTGACGAAGTCCTTCAGATGTTGCCGATTGTGAGGCCGATTGTTGGAAGCAAGGAGAAGGAGAAGGAGAAAACGGGAAAGAAGGACAAGAGCAAGGCAAAAGACAAATGGAGGGCAAGGAGTGGTAGTGTAGGGGCGAACATCAACGCGCAGTGGAGTGTGGGTGTAGCGGGCACGTTGGAGAGCCTGGATCCGACGAAGACAGGTAGTAGCAAAGGGAGAAGCAGTATGGGAACTACCGCGTCGGAAGGATCAGTCGCGACTCGAGCGGGAGGCATACTTGCGGCGTTGGAGCCTTCTCTTCAGCCCCATCATGGATCATCTTCGTATAGTGGCCTCCCCAGTCCAGGGTTTGGGAACGGTGGAGGAATTCCATATGTCTCTGGGCCTCTTCCTTTAGCGCCAAGAGGTCGTGCTCGCGGAGGCACCGAAACTCCTCTACGGCACGGCGGGTCCAGCATGTACGATATGCCTGGCGCCATCAGAAGAGATACGTCCTCGCATGGAGATGTGGCGACGTCGCACAGTTCAAGTAGATATAGCGGTGGAAGTGGTAGCAGTGGTCGGCCAGCTGCTGCTGATCCTGATGAGACGCTGGGTTTGTCAGCTGCGAGAACTGCGCAAGCTAAGCGTGGCTCGTCGCGATCGCGGAGGGATCAACAACAAATTGATGGTGCGCCAACTGCTGTTGTTGACTACCGCGTAAATGGAGGGGGCGATCCTGGATTCGGCGAGCTCGGCGAATCAGAATATTACCAGGCGGATATGGCAGATTACCTCGTCGCTCTGGGTCTGGACAACTCGTCAACTAGCTTTGACGATTATATTGCCGTCGAAGAGCCCCCGACAGCGCGGCCGACACCCACCAGCTCGGCGCCTAGGCCCAAGCCATCTATGCAGCCCCGTACGAAGAGTATGCCGACTTTGACTCAGGCTGGCGGAAGTAGTTCAGAGGTTCCTTCCCTTCGGAGCTCAACGACGTCTGCCAAAATTCTTTCGGACGAGAACCAGAGGGAAGAAGAGAGGGATCGAGGGAGAACGTCGAGAAAGCCTAGTATACGTCGCAAGTTTACAGATAGCCTTCGTTCATCCCACTCTTCGTCTTCGTCCATCCAGAACCAGGTTCAGCAGCAGCAAAGCCCTTCTCAACCTCGTCGCCATCGCTCTCCTTCAGCCAAATCTACGAACGACACGTATTTCTATGTCGATCCCAACGCTCCACCAACACCTGGTAGCAATGTAACAACCTTCGCATCGTCGGCAAACCAGGGGTATATAGCTAGCAATGGCAACGGCACGTCACGGAAATCGTGGTCGTCAGCGCCACCGAAGTATGTCTGCCAGGTCGTGCATGCATGCAACCCACCTTCGGGCGTTTCGTACTTCAGTTATCCTTTCTTTAGGTTGGTTGAAGGGCACCTATACGAGGTACTTCACGAAGCCGGGCATCCTAGCATGCATCCCAAGCTCCCGTTACATGTTGACGACGGCGCCGACTGCTTACTTCTAGTGAGGGACGCTAATAGCACCGTTGGTTGGGCATTGGCGAGTTTCCTTATCCCTTTAGAAGATGATATATAATTTGCTCTTTCATTTATCCTTTCCCTTGCGTTCTAATCCGTAGACGTTTTCCTCAGCATTGCTTCTGGTCGCAAGGACGTTGTGTTTATAATATTTTGGCCGATGCATGGTTCTCAACGCTACCTACACCCACTATTTTCATGCATCTCTCGTTCGCATAGCAAACACATTGTATTCGCAATCTACACTCTTGTACTTATCCTTTCCTCTGCATAATCGCTTGTAAATTAATCTGACATGTCTGGTGGAACATCTCCCTTGACGGATAGGTCTCGAGAGTTGGTATTTTCATTGTATGTTCGCGGTAGGATCAACAAATTCTGTCCCTTGTACCAACGGAATGGCTACTTTATTGAAAGTCCAAGAGGAACCCTGTTGAATGTATGAGAAATGTTTGATATGTCCATATACACGGGTAATTGTCCTTTCCCCCGCAATGTCTATCTGGATAGTCCTATGTAGTCGTATGCTGTTGTGTCAATGGTACTAATTCACTGATTCGATTTGCTCCTGGAGGCGTGGGGGGCTCGTGCTCGCTGGGATCCACCGTGTCTCCTGCTGCATTTAAGGGCCAATACGAGTGCCGGAAGAAATTGTTAGGATCGTAACGTTGTTTGATCTCCTTCATCCTCGCCCAATTCTCGCCGAAGCAAGACATGGTGCGAGAGGCAGGTTCATGTCGTCCGAGGAACTATGGCTTCACATTAGCATATTACAAGCAGAGGAATGTATGCTTACGCTTGGGAATGGACCCCCGATTTCAACCGGCTTCAACGTATGTCTGATCCACTGGAACTCGGTTCAGCTGCGAGGCACCAATACCGCCGAGGTGGCTGACTTACCTCTTCGGCGGCTTCGACACAGCGGGCGTCGTCCAATCCCATTTCCCACTGATGTAGCGCGGCAACAGTGAACGAAGCCTCGCGCTGGCCCTTGGGGATACAAGCGTTCTCAAAGTCGGCGATGGCGCCTCCCGCCAATTCGAACAACCAAGCTTACAAGACGTCAGAGAGATCATGAAGAATAAATAGCCCCACTCACTACAGCCAACAGGAGAGTCGGCGAACTGGAGCACCGTTTCGTTTACTATATCATCTGGCAGTGACGAAATCAGGGAGGAGCGAATGAACCACTGTCGCCCAGCTATCAGTGGAAAAATTAGCTAGCGTAATACATAAGGTGAGAATCGTACCTTTTCCGCGGAGAACTTGCGCGACACTATCTTGCTGATGGAGGAAACTCTTCTCGTCGACCTCGTTGAGGAGGCAACGCTCGCCATCCCAGGAAGATATGGCAGCGAGGTATTCTTGCCCCTTCTCTTTTGGACCAACGTAGCACATCTGGATAACGACCAATGAATCCTTGCCGGCGGGTCCGGCGGTGAGGATTATATTTGCATACAGCTCGCGGGGTGCACCCTTGATGCAGTCGCGGAAGTGTTTTATGAGCGAAGGCGCAGTGGCTTTGTGAAAGCGGCTGTTCGGATGTCTTAATATGAATTAGCGTGCAGCGGCGTCGTGACTTACTAGATAATATTCCCGGCAAAGACGACGGGGACAGGGAATGCTTTAGCTTTATACCGAGTAGCTATCCCAAACGCCGGACCACCACCCCGAATTGCCCACCACAAATCTGGATATAATATATTAGTCGACCAAAGCGAGGCTGAATATGAATACTTGCCAGTGTGCTCATTTTCGCTGACGATAAGTACACGGCCATCGGCCAGTACCATTTCTACTTCGACAAGGTTGTCGACGCTGAGGCCGTACATCCTACTCAGGAAGCCGAAGCCCCCCAGAACCATTATCGAGGAACCGGCGGGGTGCGCGCCGCTTCAAAGGATAATTAGACATGTGGGAGTAAATGAATCCATATCAGGTACTCACAAAGGTACGTGATATGGAACTCGCCCAGTAACTCCCATCACAGAGGCCCCATCAAGAGGATTAGCAGCACAGAAAATATCCACTTCTTTTTGTCGCAACCCAGAGCCAAACGTGAGAAATGCTTGTTGGTGAACCGGCATAGGAGGTTGAAAGAAGCCCGCCCCAACCGGCGGAGAGTTTGGATTGGTCAATAAGGTTGCAGAAGTTGAGGCCCATGAACTAAACGAAGGTTGGGAGAAGGCTGATTGCCTGGTAGTCGCGGGGGCTGGTGCAGGTGAGGCCGATGTGTTGAGGTATCCGAACGGATCACCTCCAGAGAGAACCTCGCTAGGCCGTTTATCGCGGGGGCTCGCTGGTGCTTGTGAAGTCGCTGCAGTGGACGTAATGGACACGTTGCTGCCCCCAGAATTGGAGGACGATAACGTTGACGTCGAGTCATTTGATTCGCCCGAGATCTCCCTGCTCATGCTCGTGGCAGGAATTGCGTCTTCTAATCGCCTCCTCACGGCCGGCGGTTCGGCGGTTTCATTAGAAGAATTCAAAGGCCCTCTGAGAAAGCCAGCAACAACCGTGGATGCTGAGTCGTAGTTTCGGAGTTCAACATCTTCTTCCCTACGCCTCTTCCCGCTGCTGACTGTTGACATGCTGCTGACTGCTTGCTTCCCTTTGCTGTGCGTTGACGCTACGTCGTGCAGACTAGTGAAAGAACCGTCAGATTTGGGAGGTTCAATGTCAATATCAACCAGTTTATGCAAGTCGATGATGATGTCGCCTCCGACCGCCCATCCAGCAGTGCCATATCCGCCTGCTTTGATAGACGGGGACAAATTATGCTCAAGACAAAAAACAACGATCCTAGATGCGAAATCAATAAATGCAGGAAGATTAAGGGTATATACTCACTTGCTCACGTCCTCGGCGTCTACTGGGCACGCTACGGCCCTTGCAATGGTGACTACATTTCCATTGAATATAGTCGACAAATCTCGAAAGCTATGAAGAATGTGAGTGATCCGTGCACAACGACGTGATAATGTAAAATCACCTAGGTTCATCGTCGAGGTGTACTTGACCTCGGATGTGTTCTCTGAGCTTTTGCAACGTTTCCCGCCGGGAGTTGTCCATGAGAAAGGATGAAGAAAGATAATCGGGGAGCCGTGGTGTGCCTGCCTTAAATACCAGCTCCCGTCGTGCATAACGGCATTCTTCCGCGGGCCGAGTAGTATATCAGATCGTCCTCTGATTCGTATTTACAAACTGGAAGACGCTTGTTTACGGATCTGATGAAATAGCTGTTGCACGATTTCGTAAACGAGGTTGGCTGTGGAGCGAGTCAAGAGCAAGTTGAATCTTCAGGACACATTGATGTGGCGTTTGCGGGGTATCAAAACGAGACCCTGGACAGTGGGTATACTTCCGCATTGAGATGGACGTTGGGCACTTTGCGTCCGACCGCTCGCAGGCTGCATGGCTTGGGCGCTGCACCAACGCGTACCAATGCCGTACCGCATTCAATTGAGGAGATCCGGTCACTGGCGCAGAAGGTGAAGCTATATAAAGTTCGCGACATGCCACTGTCGCTGATTATTCGCTGACTTCGTCACCCGATAGCTCCTAGATCGAGCAGGGTCCTTTCGTGAATCTAGATTTACGTTGTTCATCTCACAGGTCGAACGAACAGCACCAATGTGCCAGACCAGGCTAGACACTCCTCGCGGAAATGACTGTCGTGGTGTAAATGGCCTCCAACGACCACATGCAACGATCGTGCACTGTCAAAAGCGGGGGAAGTCCACAGGGGTAAACGGCCCAGAGTCTCTAATTGATCTTTGAGCGGATGTCTTGCCTGGAGTCGCATGGTTTCGGCGATAAAATTACATTTGGATTGGCATTGGGAAGACTAAGCTTTGACAAGATTATGAAAACGATAGAACGTACAATACATTAAGCATAGCCGTAGTCGGTTCGTCGTCGGCTCGTGGTTTCTGCGAAAACCCTATTGTCTTCTTGGTCACCTTGCTGAGGTCTCGTTGGTTGAGTTTAGGGGTGCAATTTCGTTGAGATCGCTAACAGCTTATTCCAGACTATCGTAAACTTGTCGAGAGTCAGCGTAATACGAGAGAAGGTGTTGATGAGCGGAGATGATTATAGAATAATTGATCTTCATGGAGCTTCAGAATCCAGAGACCTTTGTATGGCCGATATGCTAGCCTTCCTGTCGGTGCCACGCCTCGTTCCTCATCGGATTTTGACGGTGCTCCGCCTTCGAGAGGATCGCCGTCACGAAGGCACTGCGCGAACCAGTCCTGTAGGTACAGGGTGGTTCTCAAGCGTCTGTCCTGTATCACACTCATAATTGGGGGAGTGTGAACGGCAGTGGCGATTTGTGTCAGTTGCCGAAAGGACCACATGTGCCCTCTAGCAATGGCCGCGTATCTCCCTGGGGCCTGGGTACAATGAAGGCTGGGTTGTGCATGCATATACCACAGCGCGCAAGATCTTGAGAGTATATCGGGCATTGTCACGTTCGACTACCAGCAGCGAACGGTTGGCTAAGAAAGTAGGGTTATGGATTTGCTGGACGAGGTCGTATAGAATCGATGGATACACCCCAAGGCTGGGGGTAGAATTCGAATAATCCGGAGCTCAGATTTCGAATGATTTCAGCGTCGGGCTGCTTGAAGCTGCCGGAGGTCCTACTTTGGGGCGCTTGCCAAGTTTTGCCCACCGACGATGCCAGATTTGTTTGTCAGATCCGGGGCACCCGGCACATAGAGAGTGTTTACGCGAAATTTGGTGCATTTCTATGGGTGTAGGCCTGATTAAATATCCAACACGGATCCTTGGCCTCGGTTGCTGAACTTGCGGCAGTTTGACCTATTCCGGGGATGCCTATCAGGGTCCAGAAGTGACAGCAGTAGAAGGGAACGAGGGAGCGATACGTGATGCATCAACTTGAACTTGGTCCGAACAGCAGATCGAGATCTCGGCGAATATCAAAACAAGTTGGTGCATGGGAACTATGTAGAATACGAACTTGAACAACGTCCTGTATTAAACCAGGTAAGGCAGGTACTTACCAGCGTCCCAGCTACCGAAAGAGGGTGGTTGCCCTCAACAAGGCTTTCCTGTACTGCATCAACAGGGTGCAAAAAACACGCATATATGCGTCTTTGATCCACTTTAACCACTAATGGGTGAGATTACTGCGTCGATATAGTTTGAGGAACGGCACCAAACGTGTCTTAGCTGAAGTTATTTCAGAAAGGCCGGTCAATGCACTCAGAAGCCCAAGAACGCGATTGCATGCATGCGCCTTGAATTGACGGACTGATTCCAAGGTGGCTTCTGACCCTTCGCGTCCGAATTCAATAGCAGTAGACCCTAGGTCATTTGTAGTTATGGGGAGTAATATTTAATTACCTACGTGAATTAGTTGAATTTCGCTGCTGTTCGAGCTGTTTGGGGAACTCGAGCTCGCGAAGATCGACATGAGAACTTGGGGTAGGATATGCGTGTGCACATCGCCGAATTGAGGAATGCCGACATCTAGAAGATGGTGGGAAGAAGGAAGAAGCAACTTGAAGGATTCAAGGGTGTGCAAACACGACACCACAGAATATTGCCGCTCATTCAGCGAAACCATGACCTCCAGCACAAGAGGCAGGAGTCGTTCACGTTCGCCGGCTCCTCATAACCGTAGTCGGTCAGCACGACCTGAGCGGCGGCGGCGCGATCATCGACCATCACGTTCGCGCTCACGTTCGCGCTCAACCTCTCGAACCAGATTGGCTCAACGCTCTCGTAGATCACGCTCTCGTTCCAGATCACCTCGTACAGATAGGCGAAGGGAGAAGGCCAGAGAACGGTCGCAAGATGGAGATAGAGAGAGGAACATACGGAAACGTGGCCGTTCACGGTCTCGGTCTGTCTCGAGCTCGTCGTCTTCGTCGTCGGACCACAAACGACGGAAACGGAAAAAGGACAAACACCGAAAACGGCATGGCAGCAAGGAGAGAAAGGAAAAGAAGAAGAGCAAGAAATCAAAGGTACGCTGTCTCGTGTAGGCAGCTTAATCGATAATCGACGACCAATCTTGCAGAAGTCTGGCGGAGAGAAGCCCCATTGGGGGAAGTACGGAATAATCACCGAAAGCGAGTACGTGCCACATTTGAAAGGCATACAAACACTCATGTTTGATAGCATGTTCAATAAAGCTTCAGAATTCCATACTTGGCTTGTCGAAGAGCGCAAAATCAATCCAGAAACGGTATCTAAGGACCAAAACAAGAAGGAATTCTCTCGGTTCGTAGAGGATTACAACACAGGTAAGTCCCCACTTCTCTCTCTTATCTCCGATATCTCAACGTTTGTGAATAGCCACTCTACCGCATGAAAAGTACTACAACATGGAGGCATATGATCGACGAATGGCTGCCTTGCGGGCGGGTGAATACGTTCCCCCTCAGAACGATAGCTACGATCCAAACGCCGACATGCGAGCATTACAAGGAGTGCACAAACGTAAAGTCATTGAGCAAGATACGTATTTGTCCAAGGAGCAGTTGCAAGAACTCAGGAAGGTTCAACAAGAGCGTATACAGGTAGGCAATGTACCCCTCGTGGCTATTTATCCCTTGATATTAATTATTTGTGATAGGCGAGTAAGATGAAGAGCATGGGCATGGATGTCCCTCAAACCATGGGTGTGCGGATGGACGGGTCCATGTTCGATGAGTAACTCAGTCCATTGTATTCAGTTCCTTCAGTTCCTTCAATTTGTGCTCTATTCTTCCATGTAGGTATAGTGCTAGATTAACGTATAGTATATGTCTTATATATGTACAAACAATTCGTACGCCATAAATTATTCCATGAAAAAGCTCAAACACTTGCGGCCGCAGAGAGAACAACACTAGGCCCTCTCCTCAACTTCCCCTCGCCATCCGCCCTCGGTTGCGTCCCACGACCGTTCCATCCTCCGCCGAACCTCGTGGAGCGTTGCCGAGGCACCCGCAAGGGCAATAAGCACCCCTAGATCCCTCCATCCCAGACTAGCCGTCTGGAATACGGCCTGAAGGAACGGCACGTAAATCAGGGCAAGCTGGGACAAGAATGATATCGAGACGGTCGTTAGGAGCATTTTGTTTTGCTGAAGACCGCACGACAGCCCCCGATTTTGTATAGCGGACACAAGGTCAAGGAATACGAAGCACGTAAACGTCTATCAAATCGGCAACTGGAGTTAACACATCGGTTGATTAATTAAGCTGAATGCGACTTGCCATTGTCTGCTCTCGTCTCGACACATCATCATCATCAGAAAGGGCGTAGATGTAGACAAACATTGTTCCCATCACAATCATCGACGCGCTAAATAAAACGCGATACAGTAGATTTTTGGTAATGACGGGGGCGTCCTTCTTCCGAGGTGGACGCCGCATGATAGCTGGATCAACGGGATCGACACCGAGAGACTGGCTGGGAGGACCTGAAAAAGCAAGAGCATCCGTAAGGTCCAGCAGCCGGCTATATTACAAAGACTTACCGTCCATAAGAATATTAATAAACAGTATTTGCATAGCGTTCAGCGGATTGTCCAGATGAAGCATAGTGCTAACGGTGATCAACGTAAGAGCAGCCGCAGCCGTGCTCAGCTGGAAAGATAGGAAATTCTGGATGTTATGGAAGATTGATTTGCCTGCGGCGTTCGGAAGCAAATTAACTGCAGCCGTACATAATTAAAGGAACCAAGACTTACCTTCTTCGACGGCCGGCAAGATTGTGCTGAAGTTATCGTCGACAAGAATCACGTCAGCAGCTTCCTTTGCCACGTCCGTCCCACTGACACCCATTGAGACGCCAATATCTGCCATCTTGAGTGCCGGAGCATCATTCACTATGAGCGTGAATCAGCAAATGAACGACACCTATCAGAGATGAAGCGAGGTATTCGCGTGTAGAGTACCGAAGACCCCGAGAGGCTGTGGGAGGAAGAACATGTGGAGAAACAAGGAAACCACACTAACCTCCATCACCAGTCATAGCCACGATATCCCCTCGGCTCTGGAAAGCCTCCACGATAGCCATTTTGTGACGCGGTGTGGTCCGGGCGAACACGCTAACGCTTGCAACACGTTCCCGCAGTTGAGCCTTAGTCATTTGGTCGATGTCCTTCCCGGTTAAACAATAGTTGGGACGGGCTCCAATACCATCAACTCCACCTGCAGCCGTGCCTTGCAAGGGCTCCATCCTCACTGAGCTAACGCTGCCTCCACGTAGATGTCCCCCTGCGCCACGCCCCAACTTCAAGCCAAGCTGACGAGCGATAGATAGTGCAGTTTGCTCCGCATCACCGGTTATCATTACGACCTGGACGCCACCATTCTGTAAAAGAGCGATCGAGTCGGCTACACCTTTGCGCGGAGGGTCGTACATGGCTTGGAACCCTACAAAGACGAGATTCGATTTCTCTTTGTCTCCATAAGGGGAGGGAGAAGGAGCAGGGGATGCCGTTCTGGATGAAGGAGAGGAAGACGAAGGGGAATCGACGCTTCCGAAGCCGTACGCCATGGCGATCACACGTAGTCCCCTGGAAGCCGTAGAGTGGGCCTTGGTCAAAATCGCCTGTTTGGTGTTCGAGTCGAGACCAGGGGTAGAATCCTCTGAAACATAGTAGAACTTGCACTTATCCAAAATCGCGTCAATAGATCCCTTGATATAATACAACTCTCTGGCAATGGGAGCGTTGAGGTTCGCGGAATCGGCGAGGATCCCAGAGACCGCCATGTATTTGTTCTCGGAATTAAACGGTTTCTCGCCAAGTCGTTTGAATGCCTGAAGGAGATGTCAGATATCACGGGCCGTAGATAACGGTTCCAAAGTCCTTACGGTGCGCTTATCCGGTAAACCAAATACATCCAGCACATTCAGCAACGCAACATCAGTACTCTGTCCAACAAAGATTCCGTTTTCGTTCTTCACCAAGCTGGCGTTATTGCACAGAACGCCGATGTCGATCGCCCTCTTTATAGCAGGTGAGAGTCGAGATGCAGACGAAGTAGATGTCGAGGGGTAGGTCGGGACGCCAGTAGCAGGGTCGATATAAACTGTTTCATCAACAGCGTAAAGTTCTGTAACTGTCTGCTCGTTCTTCGTCAGAGTACCCGTTTTGTCGGAACATATAACAGAGACCGATCCGAGGGCTTCAACTGAGTGCAGCTTCTTCACAATGGCCTTGCGCCTCGACATTCTGAGCACGCCCAGGGCCAATGTAACGGTCGTAACAATGGGAAGTCCTTCTGGGATAGCCGCGACTGCCAACGAGACTACCAGTCCAATGGATGAGTTCAAGTCATCCTATACCTGCAGTGACAACGTACCTCCAATCGTGAACATTTCCAACCAAGACCGACTTTGCAAGACGCCAATTATACAAATCACACCAATAACGCCAAAAGAGATCATCGACAACTTCTTAGCCAGCTCGTCCATGCTCAACTGCAATGGCGTCCGCTTCTCCTCGACATCCTGCATCATGGTGAAAATCACTCCGAACTCGGTCTCCGCGCCGGTAGCGATGACTACACCCGTGCCTCGTCCATTTCGAACGAGAGTACCCATATACGCGATGCAGGTCCTCTCAGCTAATGACACTGGCTCTCCCACACCGCCTCCCATGGATGTGACGAACGCGCAAGTATCAATCCCCTTCTTCCGCGAATCTGTCTCGCCCGTCAAACTGCTCTCGTCTATCTCCAAGTCCACAGAGGAGATGATACGTAAGTCAGCGGGTACGCGATCACCTGTGGAAAAAGTAACGACATCTCCAGGTACGAGTTCGTTGGCGAGGATGTGCAATGACTGCGATTCACGAACGACGTGGCAATGGTGCGGAACAAGCTTGTTTAGTGCCTCCAAAGACTTCTCGGACCGTCGTTCTTGCACAAACCCGACTAAATGGAAGAATGGGTTCTCATGCACACGGGAAACATGCGTGTCACGTACCGGTGAGAACGATGAGAACAGCAATTGTTATACTCACGGCATCGTCTACATTTCCCATGACCGCGCTGATACCAGCACTCCCGCACAGCAGGAGTATCAACGGGCTCTCGTATATAGTCTTTGCAAATTTCAGGAGCAATGGCTCTGGTGTCGTGACTGAGAATTCATTGTAACCGTGCCGTTCGAGCAAGCTCGGAATATCCTGGTGGAGTAGACCGCTTGAGGCCGATGTTCGATAGTGTGCGATCGTGTCCTGCGCCAAAACGCTAAGCTAGCCAAGAAAGCAGGAACACGCTACTTACCTCTACTGAGCAATGCGCGAACCTAGCCGACACCGTGTCCTTCACCGCTTCTTTCTGCGCTATTGGGGGACTGGCCCTGCCTGCCTCCGCCGAATTCGCGCTTCCTGTTATGAATGCCACGACCCTCTGCCATATGCTATTCGCCTCCGCCTCAACGGTCGCCAGCGAGTCGTTGTGGTGTCTTCTAAGAGTCGTACTGTAAGCAAAGTGCGAGTCTGCATCGGGCGTCGGCCTGAGTCTGGCTGAGCCATCAGCCGACAACAAAGGGAAGTAGGAGGATGCTGGAGGCGATGGACTTCGTGGCGCCGGGTCATTGGCGGCTACATGCATCGAACGGCTACGCCTGAAGAATCCGCTGGACGACGTGGAGGGTTCCTCAGATAGTGAGAGGCTCGTAAGAGGCCTTTTGCGCTCGTATCCCAGCGGAGAGTTGAAGCGAGTATTGGACATCCAAGTCGTTACAAGAGAACGAGGAGGAGTACCGCCACGAAACTCAAATTCGAGCACGTGACTCCCTGAATTCCCCCTATAGTACTCAGTGGCAGCGCGTAAATCCGCCAAGTTAATGAGCAGGAACGAAGTGAAGCTAGCCTTTTCATCACATATCTCGTTTATTAATCTACTAAAATGCAACGAGAATACAATGATTCGATGCGGCTTTGCGAAGAGCACTCTCAAAGCTCTCTGATGACAAACGTTGCAGCTGTTATGCCACATCAACAACGGTGACACTCATGTTGCAATATTTTCTGTGTCGAGTTCATGCCACGCCATACTTGAGCGCACATAAAGTGCGAGGATAGTTTCGCCTCCTGAGTCTGTGAGGTTTCAAGTGAATGTTTCGATTGTGAACAGGGTTAAATAAGGGACGCTGCTAGTTGAGCAACATGAAGCACTTGCAATTCGACTACAGATGTAACAGCTTATAACGGACGCTCCTACTCTAAGTCCGGAGTAGTACTTGATGTCGAACGACTCGTTTACCCCTTAGTATACCGGTTATACACTTAGTTAATAATGACACTCGACCTTAGGACTTTAATTGATCTTGACTTTGTTGGTTGCCTGCTTCTCGATGGGCTCGTCGAAGATGTTTATATCCCACTTGGGCTTGTAGGTGTACGGAATGTTGAACCTAGATATTCATATGAGGACCAAACGAGCGCTGGATATAGCAACTGTCCCAAACCTTGTATAGTTGTCCTTCCCGACCGCCGAAACTGCTTCATAGTCTTCTTTGCTCAACTCGATCTGCTTGAAGTTGGAGATAATGCGCTCTTCCTGGACGCTCTTAGGGATGACGATATATCCACGGTATACCCCCCATGCGATCAACACTTGTGCGGGAGTAGCACCGAGCTTCTGGGCGATTTCTTGCACGACTGGGTAGTCGGTGAGTTTGGGCTTTCCGACCACTACCATTCAGGTACATTAACTGGAGTGGTTAGAGTGAGGAATAGAGCACATACAGTTGTTTCCGAGCGGACTGTACGCCGTGATCTTAATGTCGTTCTCGTTGCAGAACGCGACGAGCTCATCCTGGGGAAGCAAGGGGTGCGCCTCGATCTGGTTGACAGTCGGTACGACGCCAGTGGCACTGATAAGTGCCTTGATGTGTTCGATCGTGAAGTTGGAGACACCGATGTTTCGGACCTTCGACTTGGGGAGCGCGATCATGGCCTTCCAGGTTTCGACGATCGATGGCTCGAGGTCCAGGTACGCCTCCTCCTTCGACGGGTGTTTGGGCTGGAGGGTGCCCTTTCCGGGAACGAATGCGACGGGCCAATGAATCACTACGCGATAGATATTAGATTTATATGGTGCTGAAGGGGAGGAAATTCACAGTAGAGGTCCAAGTAGTCTACGCCGAGCTGGTTGAGAGTCTCATCTAGCTCTCTTTCTACTTGGTCCGGTCGGTGGCCCGTGTTCCAGAGTTTCGACGTCAAGAACAGGTCCTCCCGCTTAACGACTGACGGAATCACTTTCTTCAAAGCGGCGCCCACTTCATCCTGGTTCTCGTAGCACATTGCTAGATCCAAGTGACGGTAGTTATTGCGCACGGCGATCTCAACCTACATCAATCCGTATCAGATTGCAAGACTTGCCTCGCAATAAATGAAACCTACCGCTGATTCGACTTCTTTGGGTTTGGAGAGCCATGTCCCGAGCCCGATCTGGGGCATGGGGGCTTTCGACGAGAGCGTTATAACTTTTCCAAGAGACATTGTAGACTTGCAGATCAGAACACTGAAACCTGGGGTCCTTTATACTTCTCGTTCGAAGTGTTGCATCATCCATGCGCTCACGGCCCGCCATTCGCGGCCCGGACTGGGGCCAGTGGCTTAGACTCAGCTTACATTATTGAAGCGTACTGGATCATGTGCGTTTGCGCAAATCTCAAGGAGAAGATTCGGCGACTCGGTGTAGTACTTGCGCCAGTATAGTGGAGCCTATCTGCCATGCACAAGGAACCAAGGGTCAAGGTGGGCCCGGGGGCCCTTGTACGTACCTCTCAGTATATATTGTCTGACGTTACTCAGAGCAGATACTGAGCCACTCGCACGGTGCTCCTCCCATGCACGCGAAACATTTGGTAAAAACATAAAAACGGTATTTGCGTCGAAGTGTGGGTGAGATAGGAGGGATTATAGGAGCTGATTTATTTGCGCATGTTGTACTCCACCTTGCGGCTTGCTGCAGTGCGACCTCCTCCTCGTCCCAGTCTCCAGACGAGTATTTCTACGAAATGCCCATTCTGGATGCATTGGTTTCTCTATTCTCCTTCAAAACGGTGCCCACGACGGTACTTGTGCTACTGGCGTATGTTGCGGTGCTCACTTCAGTCTTGGTGACCGACGAATTGCCGAACGTCCCAAAGCATCAGAACGGGCTCAATATTAGCAAGGCTTTTACGGACCTACGTGTGGTACGCGTCTCGCGCAATGGTGGCTTTCTACGACCAATCTAGGTGTAGATTACATCCCACCCACACCCATACAATTCGCATGCGAATGATTTCGTCCGCTCCTACATCCTTTCACGCGTCCGTGGTATTGCTCAAGATCACCCGCATGTCCATATAGATGACGATAACGTATCGAACGGCTCATGGGTTTCAAGGGGATACGCTGTTTACTTCGAGGGGATGAATATTCTTGTGAAGATAGACGGTTCCGATTCAACTTCTGCCGGTGTTCTATTTTCTGCACACTATGATTCCGTTTCCACAGCTGCCGGTGCAACAGATGATGGTATGGGTGTATCGACTCTGATACAACTTGTCGATTATTTCGCACAAAATCCACCGGAACGAACGGTCCTTTTCAACATAAACAACGGGGAGGAGGATTGGTTGAATGGTGCACACGCGTGAGGATAGCTACCTAATCCCATTGCTTTCCGTTGACGGAGCTGACTCAGATTCCTGCAACATCCGTGGTCGAAGATCCCTGATACTTTTCTTAACCTTGAAGGAGCGGCCTCAGGCGGGTAAGTAACCAGTCAATGGCAAGTCACTCTTTATTAACACTTCTTAGTCGGCCTATATTGTTCCGCGCTACATCCACGTCTCCTCTGCTCGCTTTTGCTGCGGGTCATGTACGCCATCCACATGGCAATGTCCTCTCCGCAGACGCATTCGCGCGTGGCGTGATCCGCTCGGGCACTGATTACTCTGTGTACACGGAAGGCGCTCATATGCAAGGCCTGGACTTGGCATTCTATAAAGGCCGCAGCAAGTACCACACCAAGTTTGATTCGGTGCCGTATACAGAAGGGGGAGCGAAAAGTCTCTGGAGTATGATGGAGGCAGCACAGGGCGCTGGGATAGCACTTGCTAACGACGTCAAAACACACAACAAAGACTTAGAGAAACCTGTTTACTTTGATCGTGAGTACTCACAAACGATCTGCCTGTCAGCTTTCTCTCATTGTTCTTTCAGTCTTCGGCGCGGCCATGGTTGTGTTCTCGCTCAGAAGTCTCACGACGATCAACATTGTGATGCTGGTGATCGGGCCTGTTATGGTCATCCTTCTTTCCGCCTGCGAATATATCATCCAGATGAACACCCGCCAAGGAAGACATAATGGTTACATCCATGGAGGAGACCGGAGTACATGGCGTCACTTCTGGGATTGGTTCGTTGGCTTTGAGTGGTTCTCCGGCTTCTGGAGGTGGGCAAAGTTGTGGGTAGCTTTGGGCGTCACTGTAGGATGTCAAGCACTTCTTAACTTTGGATACCTGAAGTTGAACCGTTACGTATGGCTCTTCCTTGTACCACACTTCAGGATCGACGCTAATCTGATTCGACAGATCGTCTATTCCTCTCCGCACATCGTGCTGATTTCCTCGATAGCCCTGACATACTTAAGCCTGTCAACAATACTCAACACCCCCGTTCGGTGGGACGGCCGAGTGCTACCGGAACAACAGAAACATACGGTCCTTCTCCAGATATACATTTTAACCTGGCTACTTCTAGCTCTTTCAACAGTCGCTATCAAGACAGCTGACATCGGAGGCGTATATGTTGTCACCATATGGAATTCTCTTGCGTGGCTCGGTTATATACTGAGTGGATTAGAAGAGATCCTTGGTGCTCGAGGAACCACCGTTTGGGAGATACACGCCGAGGAGGCAGAGCGGACGCGTCTAGTGCGAGGTGTCAGGTATGACGCTATACCACAGAACGAAGAACACGAAGGGCACCCACAGGAGGTGGAAACCGAACCCACCGAAATCACACCACTTGTTGCCCAGCAGCGGGCCCGCTCTCGGACTCCTCACAGCGACGACTTGAAGTCCGAAGAAAACGGCGCCGTTGGATGGTGGATTCTCCAGTTCCTAGCTGTTGTTCCTCTTCCCGTCATCTTGTTCAGTCACATTGGCATCATACTACTGGGGGCCCTCCCTCAGACTTTGGCAGACGGCAGTAGTGCCACAGTCGGTAAGCGACTCTTCTCGTATCCTGTGTCCATCATCTCAATCCAAATAGTTTATTCTGCGTTGTCTTTCATCGCTCTGATGGTTGTACTGCCAATGTCGCCATTCATGTTCAAGACGCAGCGTTATGTGGCGTATGCAATGCTTGCTGCCTTCATTGGCACTGTGGTCTACTCCTTCTTGGCCTTCCCGTTCTCGCTGGAGTCACCCTTGAAGGTCTTCTTTCAACAACAACTCCTATTAAATTCACTGTCGGAAGATTCATCTACTGGCCGACTGACCACGACATTGACAGGCATTCCAGAGTTCTTGGAGAGCAAGATTCTCCCCGCATTGCTTTCGGCAGAAGGGAAGACCATCGAATGCAATATGGCCGCGGACAGACTAGGATTGACCAGTTGTTCTTGGGAAAGCACACTTATCCCTTCACCTGCCGCAGGCGGTGATGCGAAGTGGCTTACAGTGAACGTTACCCGCCTCGATTCCACTTCGGCTCGCATATCCATCCAAGGGCACAACACGCGATCATGCAGGGTGTATTTCGAAGAGGGCAGTGAGATTGCTGAGTATCAAGTACAAGGAGGTGCGCAGGGTGTTCAAGAGGGGTTTGAAGGTGATAGGAAGTTGAAAGAGGTGAGGCTGTGGAGTAGGACATGGGACCGCACGTTCGTAGTTGACATCAAGCGCCCCGAAGGAGTTGATGGGATGAAAGGCCGAACCGCCTGTGAATGGGCCGAGTACGAGAGCGGGATGACTGGGATCGAGGGGGTTGATGGAGCGAAGATACCCGCGTTCGAAGAGGTTTTGAACTTCCTGCCGAAGTGGGCAGTGGTCACCAAGATGGCAGATGGTTTAGTGGAGGTGATGAGCGGCTTCCAGCTCTGACTACGACCAACATGACCCTGATCACTCACTATTTATGTATGATCTATTCCATGTATGTATCTGCTTACATCGTGGAGGCGGCCGTGACTTACCAGGCCAATGCTCGCACCGGCGACGCATCGCTACCGGCAAGTTTCAAAGGGATAAACTGGACCGTCATACCTTCCTTCACCAATTCGAGACCAGTCAAGTTCTCAACGATGACACCGTCAGCCCCAAGTATGATTTCATGCACGGCAAAGCCGCCCTCCCCCTCTCCGTCTATCACCGTTTCATCTGGGTTCAGCGAGTCGACGCCTACAGCTCGCACGCCGGTCGCGATGATACCCTCTGCTGCCTCTTTTGTAAGATAGGGATGATCTAAATATTCTGGCGATCCCCAGAAACGCGACCATCCAGTACGTATGAGTAGAATGACTCCAGATGACATTCGATCGGCATAGATAGCGAGATCGGAGTCCCAGTCTATCTTTGCCCTTGGCTTCTTTGAGGTAATATCCACGACGACGGCAGGCCCGATGAAGGTAGACAAGGGGATTTGGTCTATCGTCCTGCCGTTGTCGATGAAATGCATGGCGCGTCGACGTGGGTGCCAGTGTGCGAACCTATGGAAAAGCGAGATACTGCGTAGCCATCAGGCTTGATAGATGCGTGCGGGTAGGATTGGAACAACGGGTCGCCCGGGTAAGTCTGCATGTTATTTTCCAAGTTGTGTGAGAGGTCGACGATGTTAGCGAAAAGGGCCATGACGGTCTGAAGTCACGGAAGAGCCTGAGGGCGCCTACCAGGTGTGTTCCACACTAGTGACTCATTTACTTGGACATGCTGGAAACGGTGAAAACATAAGCTATATATGTGGATCCGGAAAGGAGTGCTGCTCGCACTTTCTGCTTCTTCCAGTGGCCTTCGATTGGGATGCTTCTGAGGTCACTGAGACGGAGCCTCGGCTGGTCACCACATTGTAGGATATCCGCTCTGAAGCCCTCAGGCCTTATCAAGTTATGTCATCGATGTTCTCAACGGAGATGACAAGGCAAACGTGGGTCACCTTGTTTCAAGTTGTTGTACAACCAGTGCCCACTAATCACCACCCCTTCTATATGCCAGGTGCTGTACTATTGAGTCTGGCGTGTTCAGTATCAAAATTACAAGGGTCAGTAATGTGTTAACGGTCGAAGAAAGGCGGCTGTGTGTATATACTCACGCAGCCGAGATAGTAGCCGTTGACGATTTCATTTCGTCTCTGACTCACGAAATTTCTGAGTTCCAACAGACACGTACGATGCGACGACCATCGGTTTCGGTATCCTTAAGCGTCGACCGAGCAGTCGGTCAATCACCGAGATAAATTTAGCCGCGAGACAGTTCACCGCAGACACACCATCCCTGATAGTTATCCGGGTATCGGGTTCATGGTGTTGGTCCTGGTAATACCTCTTGAGTAAATGGATTTGAAGTGGACAATGGGTCTGTTGTCTCGAGGTATAAAAGCCTGAGTGCATGGGGCGGACTCCATTACAATTTTGACATGACTACTCCCATTCCACAACCTCTATCCTTGCCTTTCGTTGGCAATTTGACGTCGCTCGACAAGGAACTACCCGTTCGTGGTTTCCTACTCCTCGCTCAACAGTATGGAGAGATCTACAAACTCGACATCCTTGGTTTGGTTCATCTTCTGCCTCCCTCGTGCGGTGCGCTGAATGGCATACGGTTTTAGGCGCTACTTCTGTGCATGCCAATACCTATGCCCTACTTAACGAGCTCTCGGACGATAAGAGGTTCCACAAGGCTATCAATGGCCCGCTCAAGCAGGTTCGCAACCTGGTTGGCGACGGTCTGTTTACGGTCAGTAATCTTCATTTCGCCACTCCTCAACCCTCGATCAATGACAATACTAGGCATACGGCGAAGAGCCCAACTGGGCATTAGCTCGTAATTATCAATCAATCTCTGAAGCAACCACCACTTGATAAGTCTTGTATGTCATAGATCGCTTGCTCATGCCGGCGTTTGGGCCGACCTCTATCCGAGGTATGCTCGAGGACATGAGGGATATCTGTGACCAGATGGTATTGCGATGGGAAAGGTACCTTCATTGACGTTCATTCCCTTAGCATGGTTAACAATCTTGTATAGGTTTGGCTCCGAGAATATCATTGACCCAACGGACGACTTCACTCGAGTCGCGTTGGACACCCTAGCTTATTGCACTATGTCCTACCGGTATGTTCATATTTGTGGCAGTGTGTCGACTAGCTCTGAGTTTTGAGCTGATAGAATGAACTCGTTCTACTTCGTACGCTCTACTTCAGCTCGTAATGGGCACAATCATCTGATCCGTGTCTAGGAACAACCACCTACGTTTGCGAGGGCCATGGCCGATGTTCTGAAAGAGTGTTTTAATCGATTTTCCCGCCCTACTATCGTACAGTCTTTGCTCAAGGGCACGACTGCCAAGTACTTCGACGACATCAAGGTGATGACAGACATCGCTAACCAAAGTAAGGAATGACTTGAACCGTATTTATTCCGTCGTCCACTCACACTCCTTCCTTGGCATGTCTAGTGATCGTTGACCGGAAAGCTCACCCAACGGAGAAGAAAGATCTCCTCAATATAATGCTAAACTCCAGGGACCCTGCCTCAGGTGAAGGGCTATCCGACGAAAGTATAAGCCGCAATGTACGTGACTACATTACGGTATAAAACGCTTAACTCATTAAGCACCTTGCCAGCTCCTTACTTTCCTCATTGCCGGTACGTTCATTGAGTGACAGACTATCAGTAAATTTACACGCTCCTTTTACTCCAGGCCACGAGACCTCTTCAGGTAAACACATCTGACTGGTGAATGCGTTACCTCGCTGAATCCTCGATCTAGGGACTCTCGCATTCGTCGTATACTATCTACTCAAGAATCCCGAAGCCCTACGCAAACTACGAGCCGAAATCGACGAAGTAGTCGGTGACGGACCGGTTCAGTACGAGCATCTCAGCAAGTTGCCTTATCTCGTTGGTGAGCATTACTCCGTTGTGTCAGAAGTACCGCGACTAATTCAGATACGAAGCTGTTATGCGTGAAACCTTACGGATGGCTCCGACTGCCCCAAGTCGTACTGTCGCTCCTTACGAGGACACCGTCCTAGGAGGAAAATACGCCATCAAAGCTGAGCAGCTTGTAACTCTTCAGATAATCGCCATACATCGAGATCCCCTGGTGTGGGGCGAGGATGTGCGTCTTCAGGTTGTCCATTGTCCGCACATGCTAACTATCTAACCACGCGATCCCAAGGCTGCTGAATGGAAACCTGAGCGCATGTTGGACGGAAAATTCGAAGCCCTCCCGGTAAGTTTCCAGATAGACTGACGATACAACATGGCCACTTACCAGAAGCCTCTCAATTAGCCCAACGCGTGGCAACCGGTAAGATCCCTTCAATCCTCTGTACTCAGTAAATTCATCAGTTCGTCTCCAGTTCGGCTTTGGCCTTCGTGGATGCATTGGAAGGCCCTTCGCTTGGCAAGAAATCCAACTCGTCCTTGTTTCTATATTCCAGCGCTTCGACATTTTCATGGCCGATCCTTCGTATACTCTGGAACTGAAGCAGGCGCTGACGATTAAGCCAAAGGATTTCTACATCAAAGCTATCCCTCGCAACAGGCCGCGACTCTACTCCACTCCGACCCCTTTGGCGGCGCCCCAGACCAACCAAACTACCAACCAAACTACAGATAAAACCGTTGACAGTTCGAAGCGTCTATACGTCTTGTACGGGTCCAATACTGGAACCTCTGAATCATTCGCGCAGCGTGTTGTAGATGACGCACCTAGTCATGGTAATCACTCCGCCACCGTGACTCGTCTATCAGCTCATCCCTTTCCGCAGGTTACAAACCTTACATTGGTTGTTTGGATTCGGCTACGAATAACATACCCACAGACGGGCCCGTGCTCATTATAACCGCATCCTTTGAGGGTGAGTTGTTTTCCCCTCAGTCGAAGGCTACTCCACTGACATATATTCAAGGCCAACCCGCTGACAATGCAAAACAATTTGTCGATTGGCTTAGTAACTTACAAGGCCAGGAACTTCAAGGAGCGAAGTTTGCAGTCTTCGGTTGTGGGAACCACGACTGGGTACAGACATATCAACGCATCCCGGCTTTATGCGATGATCTACTGGAGAAGCGTGGAGGAAAGAGACTCGTTCCTCGTGGTGCTGGTGATGCAGGCCTAGCCGAATTCTTCCAGGTGTTTGATGAGTTCGAGGCAAACTTCTGGGAAGGCCTAGCTACCGTACGTGGCATTCAAAGGTGAAAGGTGGAGAACATTTCTGATGTTGATGCGGTGGATTAGGAATACGGTGCTCCGGAAGGCACCGTTGCCCAATCAGAATTCACGGTCAAAGTCTTGGATTCGGTGAAGGAGCGTCCCACAAGGCTCCGTCAAGGAGATGCTGCTCTCGGGCGAGTGATTGAAAACCGCGTTCTCACCGGGGAGGGGGTACCAGTCAAACGGCACATTGGTGTGTTCTTTAACAAAGCCCCACATGACTTTCTCATCATTCGTTATTAGAATTTGAACTACCGGAAGGCGTAACTTTCCGCGCTGGAGACTACCTGGCTATGTAAGTTCGCGTATGTCTGATGTTCACCTTTTTTCATTCGTCTCCTCCCTCAGACTCCCCCGCAACCCCACCGTCATTGTGAAACGGGCTTTGAAGTACTTTGGATTAACGGAAGAAGAACAGGTACGTGCGTTACTCCAGGTAATCCATGTCTTGTACTAATAAACCTGTCTTAGGTCATAGTCTCTGCTGGCGGGCCCACCTCCCTTCCTACTGACAACCCCATCCTTCTTTCGGAACTATTCTCCGGGTACCTTGAATTAGCGCAACCAGCTACTACACGGGATATCCAAATCTTATCTGCTGCTACTGAAGATGCAGCTACGAAGGCGACATTGAAGGAACTATTGACATCTTATGCAGAAACTGTGTTGGGAGAACGCATCAGCATCCTCGATCTCCTGGAAATCAATCCAAGTATTAAGCTACCTCTGGGAAGTTTCATCCACATGCTCCCACCAATGCGCATGCGACAATATTCCATTGCCTCCTCGCCACTTGTCAATCCCCAACACGTCGCCCTCGCCATTAGCGTTCTCGCAGCGCCCTCGCACTTCGATAGGACACGAACATTCTTCGGGGTGGCCTCTAACTATCTCGCGAACCTCACTCCTGGCGAAAAGGTTCATATGAGCGTCCGTCCTTCTGCTGTAGCCTTCCATCCCCCTGTCGACCCCTCGATCCCTATCATCATGTTCTGCGCGGGCTCCGGTCTTGCCCCGATGAGAGGCTTCCTCCAGGAGCGTGCGGCACAGAAGGTAGCATCACGCGATGTCGGACCCGCACTATTGTTCTTTGGTTGTCGCTCGGACGCTGACTACCTATACTCGGACGGCGATCTGGCTCTTTGGATCAAGGAGGGCGTTGTAGATGTTCGCCCAGCATTCTCACGAGACTCTGAAAAATCCGACGGCTGCAAGTATGTGCAAGAGTGAGTCTTCCGTGCTTGACCCGCCTTTCAGGTCGTTCTGAATATTTGCATAGCCGCGTGTGGCACGATCGAGAGGACATTGTGAAGCTGTACCGTCAGGGTGCCAAGGTAAGCCCACCAAACGTCCTAAATGCATCCACTGAGCCCGTCGTTTCTTGTCAGATGTTCACTTGCGGCTCCGGTGCCATGTCAAAAGGCGTCAAAAGCCGCTTGATTGCTATCATTCAGGAAGTGGATACTGGGTTGGACGAAGTGAAAGCAGCAGAGAAGTTCGCACAGATTATGGAAGGACGATACGCTACAGATATCTTTGATTAGTCGTATGTAAATTGAGCAGGCTGCAGAGGTTCTACTGGCAAATTCAAGTTCAAGTCGTTTCCTGTTCATCACGTGCACACATATATATTTGGCCATGCTTGGCAATATCACCATTTCCTCATCCTTTCGCTCCACCACCACGACCTTCAGTTTGCCCTCAACCCGCCACATTATTCACGACCGTCCACAGTGTCAAGATTCGATCTACCTCATCACGACAACGGGTGCAGGCTGTCTCCAATCAGTCGAGCACTTCCTTATCTATTTTGTGTAACGAACGTAACGATAATTATGACCCTTAATATTGGCCGTATCTCTCCATCATCTCCCCCGTCCCCGCCACTGAGCTTATCAACAACATCGACGCTTATCTCAACTCCCCCGGCGAAGTTGCTGGGCGGGGCGCGTCGTACCGCACTCTTGAAGTCCCTGGATAGCAGCGACAGGGGCATGATGAAACCACGTGGAAATCTCGAGCCCCACATCACTAACATACCCCGACGGAGGAAGAAGGATGTGAACGCAGACAAAGCCCAGGAAACTCTGCAGACACTTCCAGAGGCTGTGGTTCCAAACTTTCCATCTCGCCCAGAAATAACGGTGCAGCCGCCAGAGTCGGAAGCCAGGCAAGACGAAGCTCAGCAGAACACGGTGACCGCCCCTTTGGGTTTACAGCGGGATCCACTTCGCCAGGCTGACACGGCCCAAGCACTCACGAATCTCCCTCGCCGCCGCAGAAAGGCCCTCACCTCAGAACAGCTTACCATACAGCGCGCATTCCGACGGTGTCTGCAAGAGGTCGGTGACGATTCCGGGGTGTTTGTGGCGTTCACCGAGGTAGACGATGAGGAAGAGCAAGCTACGAGGAAACTGCGCCTGCTGGGCGGGGAGGATTTTTCATACGTCGTCAAGGTATGCACAGCCAACGAAACCAAGATATGGAAGGAGGACGAGCGGACACTTTGGTTGTATGTTCCATCTGATATATGCTATGACGACGGCAACGCGCACCTCGATGAACAGCAGTTGAGGGTTGCATGCAGGTTTCTGGGCCTACAGGGGAGCAAAGAGAAGGTGTTGATCACCACGCCCCGGGATCGGGCTGCAGACGGGATGTCGCTCGCCGTCCTTTATCTTGCTATCAGCAGGCGCTTCGTCCCGCCGCCGATCGCCTTCTTAGAGCCCACCGCCTCCTCGACGATAGGCCCCCACCCATCATACATGCTCTCGCGCACGTCTTCGACCTCATCTACCATCTCCCACTACTCCGAAGCGGGCAGCCAAATACATTCTTTACTCGTCTATCTGCACGATCAGAGTTGTGATGATATAGAGGAAGCGTATGGTCATATTCTGCACGCAGTAGGCCGGAGCCGCTCAGGACGCAGTGGCTTAACAGGATGGAAAATAGGAAGCGGGTTGAGGATTGAATGGCGAGGTACGCTGTCCCGAGAGGGCATAGATTTCTTGGACGATGTGCTACATGTGCTCCTCAGCGAGCAACAAGCCATTTAGTATCCTAGATTCTCAATCACATAGAACACTCGTAGACTAATTATTGCAATGCTTTGTATCACTTTTGTACGATTCGTAATGTTATTACTTGTAATCCATCATTTACTTCAGCGTTACTATGACTTTGTCCTAAGGCGAAATCATCAATCTTGTCACTCTGGAGACTAGGGTGCTCCTATTGCTCCTATTCAACGCGACAGGATCACGTGTCGAAGTGCCCCCATTCGGCCTCGTCAGTGCGCTGTTCCTGCACTGCGACGACATGCATCATTATTGAGACTTGAAGCGACGTTTCCAGGACTTCTCGTCAACCAGCAAGCCAGTACGCAACTTTGCTACTACTATCATTCACGGAGCCGATATATCTACTCTACACTGAAGGTGTAACACTGAACGTTCACCGGGAGTCATCTATGCAATATGGCTGACTTCGAAGATCCGCACGATTCCCCAACTTCGGCCCTCCTTGGGGAAGAAAGATCAGATAGACACGCCCGCCACGGCGGCTCCTTGGTAATTGAAGACGACGGACATACGTATTCCTATTCGTATGGCCCGCCCGGCGTATCCGGACTACTGCAGAATAAAGTAGCTCTAGCATGCGCGGGATATGTGGCTATTGGCGGTTTTACTTTCGGTTACGATCAGGGGGTCATAGCGAACGTTCTGGTGATGCCGGACTTCTTGGGGAAGTGGGGTGAAATCACCGCTTGGGAGAAAGGAAGCATGAGTGAGTCGCTGCCATTTTGTGCTTGAACGAGATGCCATAATCTTGCTTGCTTTGTAGCTGCCGTGTTGGAGCTGGGTGCTCTGTTTGGGGCACTTGCTGCCGGTGTGCTAGCGGATCGCTATTCTAGAAGATACGCCATATGTTTCGCGTGTAGTGCGTACTCCAGAGGCTAGCATCTGAACGCTGGTTGACTTGCTGCGCGAAGTTGTATTCATTATAGGCTCGCTATTCCAATGTGCAGCACAGTCATTCAGCCACCTGTTCATTGGCCGTGCTGTTGGAGGCTTCGGTGTCGGTGCATTGAGGTCAGTCTAATTTCACGCCAAATGACTAGCTGAATTAAGACGACCAATGCAGCATGTTGTGCCCTCTCGTATGTCCTCGACTAACTTCCCCGCGTATAAGGGAACTAAACGCTTTATAGTATATGGCTGAGATCAGCCCGCCGGAAATCCGAGGTTCGCTAATGGCTTTGGAACAGTACGCTATCGTTCTCGGCGTCATCGTTGGTTTCTGGCTCGGATATTTTACCAGAACAAGTGCGTGTATCTACCTTGCTAAATTAGCTGAATATTACTTACGTTTGGCTCTAGTACCTGGGGCTGCATCGTGGAGAATTCCGCTAGGTGCGCAAGTGCTTCCGGGTGTATTTCTCGCAGTCGGTAGTCTACTCCTCCCGCCGTCTCCAAGATTCCTCATTGGTAAGGGGCGATATGAAGAAGCTTTGAGATCCCTAGCTTGGCTTAGATTTCACAAGCTCCCGTTCTCAGAGGCCTGTGAGGAGCCTTTATTACAGGTAAGCAGTCCATTTTGTCACGCGTGAACTTGCGATTAATCGCTGCCGAATACATCTAGGTTGAGTTGATGGAGATGCGTGTCGAGGCTACACTCACTGAGAGAGCATTCGAGCTAGATAGTGTTCAGAGCGGACAGTCCATAGAAAAAGACGGGTTAATAGTGAGGGAGTTGAAGGATTACAAGCGACTGTTCCTTCCCGCTTATAGGGATAGGACGATGATAGGCATTCTAATCATGGTATTCCAACGTGCGTATCGCGGTCTTGCCCCTCCATTTATTTCTATCTAACTGATGCGAATAGAATGGAGCGGCATTAATGCTCTGCTGTACTACGGTCCTACACTCTTACAAAGTATTGGTCTAAGCGGTGATAAGGTCTCGTTGTTGGCCTCGGGAGGAATTGGCATCGTGCAAGCCATCGCTGTCTTCCCAACGATCATGTATATCGACCAGTGGGGTAATGTAGTCCCTGTGTTAGCCGTGACGCCAACCTAACGTCTCCTCCCGCAGGCCGCAAACCACTGCTACGATGTTGGTTTGCTCATTACTCTCTCGGCTACGTACGTACTAATGAAACCTGACGTCAGACGGAAGCATTGTCATGACTACCTCGCACTTTCTCGTATCACTCCTGGTACGCTTATACTTGCGCTTCTCTTACTCATCTTGAACTAACCGTTTTCCCGATGTGTGTAGGTTTGGCGCTTCCAGGACAACTGGCCTTTACATCCGACGGCTGCATGGTCAGCCGTTGGGTAAGTAAACGCTCTCTACGTAAGATACACTATGACTTATATCGTTGCTCGCAGTTGCATCTACATTTTCACCGCTGCGTATGGCATCTCGTTCGGACCCGTAGCTTGGGTGCTTCCGAGCGAAGTCTTTCCACTGTCGATGAGAAGCAAAGGTGTCGCCCTTTCAACGGCATCTAATTGGTTCAACAATTGTGTGTATTTCGTTTACACTGCACGGCGTTCATCTGACGCTGTTGATCACTAGTCTTCATCGGGTTGATTACACCGATGCTGATGGAAGTATCGCCAGCGTAAGTCCTCCCTCCATGGCGTTGGCGTTGATTGATGCTCATGTTGCCATTATAGCACGACGTTCATGATTTTCTCTACAGCCTGCTTTATGGCGTACCTTTGGTCAACTTATAGAGTACCCGAAACAGCGAACGCCTCGCTTGAAGAGATAGATGCCGTCTTCCGTTCCTCCGCTGGTCAGGAAACCCAAGCTTTGAAGGAGCAGGTACGTACAGGCAGAAACTGTTTTTATTTATATCTTGGCCTTGACCGACGCCGTGCAGATCGAGCAAGAACTGGGTTTAACCCAGTTAATACAGAGTCTGAGAAGAGACACATAGGCCGGACATCGGCAGGCTTTTTCGGGTTTTATCGGCTTAATTACTTACACTACTGCAGGTATAATTGGATGCATAAAGAGTGGCATACCATAATGCATGGTCTTCTGCGTTATCTATTCGTGAGATCGACGCTCCGTGAATACTTGCCACGCTTCCCAGACATACTCGTCTTCCAGACATACACTCTGCCCAAGAAGACGTGCTGCCCTTTCTACTTAATGACCGCGCCTCATCCATCCACCTTGTCTTCGGAACAATGTATGGCGATGGTGTCAAGATGGTGTCGGTGTTTTCCCGGCTATCGCAGTTACCGCTCATAGCATCAATTGCACTTGGGATTATGCCACTCCGTTGTACCGTAAACATCAAAGTCGTGTAGATAATGACACTGGATGGGGCAAAGAGAGGGGTGGGCTTCCATTCAGAGGCTTGTGATTGGTTGGGAACCCGGATATTACATACTTAAATATATATTTCTGTTCTATGATGCTCCGGATCCATAAAGAGTCTTCTCTCAGCACGTCGTCCCGGAATGTCCTCGGTTTCTTCAGCCTCGTCGCTAATGGGCATCGATGGCGTTTCAACGGTGCGTAATGAGGCGCAAACGTTGCTAGATGTGGAGGGCGGCGCGCGACACGAACAGTACGGTAGCACGGGTACCAGTGAGTCATTTTGCACTTTGTCGCTATCGATAGCGAGAATTGGCGGGAATTTCGCATGATTCGCGGCGCGCGGGCGCGGGCTGAGCTGAACGTTGTTTGTGGTCCACAGGCACTCCCATACCACGAAAACCGGACTCGAAGCTGACAAAACGCATCAAATACTACATACCCTCCACGGCATGGATACCAGACTACTCGCTATCACTGTACGGGTGTACTTGGGGGTTTCCTAGTCGCCAGCTGACACGGATTTTGCAGGCTCGGCGGAGACCTGCTTGCTGGCCTCACGGTTGCCTGCATGCTGATACCACAGTCGGTCAGTTACGCTTCATCGCTGGCTCAACTTAATCCTGTGACGGGCTTGGTGCGTTTTCATGTCGATCGTTGCTCGAGGCCTGCTTGACGGTGTACGTGCAGTTTGCGGCTTCTATCCCAGGGATCGTCTACGCGTTTCTCGGAACATCCCGACAGCTGAATGTTGCGCCGGAAGCCGCTTTGAGTTTGATGTTAGGACAGGCGGTCGCAGATATACGGCGGGACCTCCCAGATCCACATTCTGGCGATGCTGATGAGTTGGGCCTGTCTGTGGCTACGGTTATCACGTTGCAAGTGAGTGGTCGTAGACTTCCCCCGTCCTAACAAAACCTAATTCGAGCCCAGGTTGGACTAATATCATTCCTACTGGGAGCCTTCAGATTGGGTTTCATCGATGTTGTTCTAAGTCGTGCGTTGCTGCAAGGTTTCATCGCAGCGGCAGCAGTCGTAATCATGGTGTAAGCACGCGACTGGAACACCAAGATTGGAGCCTAATCTATCCAATCTAGTGAACAGTTGATGCCGATGTTGGGGCTGTCAGCCTTGATGCACCAAGTACACCCAGAGACCACACTAGACAAATTCATTTTCGTCTTAGAGAATGTATTCACACACGGCCACCGTCTGACGGCCGTTATAAGTGTCACCGCTGTCGTTGTTTTGCTTTCGCTCAGATGGCTGAAGAACGCGGGCAAAAAGTATTGGTTTATACATAGAATGCCAGAGGTCCTTATTGTCGTGGTCGTCTCCACAAGTAAGTATTCGGCCGGGGAGTGCACAGCATCGTTCTAACTGCTATGTAGTCCTGTGCTACCGGTTTGGCTGGGATACGGATGGCGTAGATATCCTTGGCCGTGTTTCTATCAGCACCGGGGAATCCTTCATTCAACTCCCTTTGCGAGCATCCAACGTGCGCTACCTCCGGCGGACTACCTCGACCGCAGTGTAAGTAACACCTCATCTATCCCAAGGAACACCCCTCACTCTCTGCAGTTTGATCTCTGTCGTAGGGTTCCTAGACAGCATCGTAGCCGCCAAACAGAATGGCGCGCGCTTCGGGTACTCGATCAGCCCGAATCGCGAGCTCGTCGCTCTGGGCGCGAGCAATCTCGTGGCGTCGTTCGTGCCCGGCACGCTCCCCGCGTACGGCTCGATCACGCGGTCGCGGATCAACGGGGACGTCGGGGGGCGCACGCAGATGGCGTCGCTGGCCTGCTCGGCGATTATTTTGCTGACGACGTTCTTCTTGCTCCCGTGGATGCATTACCTTCCGAAGTGTGTCCTCGGGTCCATCATCTCGTTGGTGGTGTTCTCGCTGCTTGCGGAGACGCCGCATGAGTTGAGGTACTACTGGAAGTGAGTCAGCTAGTTGTTGCTGGGGTTAACGTTGCTAATGTAATGGTATGTAGGATGAGCGCGTGGGTCGATCTTAGCTTGTTGTCCCTGACTTTCATACTGTCCATGATCTGGAACGTCGAAGTCGGAATTGTAGTCGGCCTTATCTTGTCCTTGCTTCTCGTGGTCCACCGGTCAGCAAAGACACGTATGACCATTCTGGTAAGTCATTCGCCGCTCTATTCACGTATATCGTATCAATTGCTGCGTCGTATCAGGGACGAGTCCCTGGCACTGACCGCTGGAAACCCATCAATGAAAACCCCGAAGCTGAAGAGGATCTTCCCGGCGTGTTGATTGTCCGGATACGCGAGAAGCTCGACTTCGGTATGTTTCTGCTCTTAACATTGCTTCATGTCCTCGTCCTCACCGCAATCCTTTTGTAGCCAATACTGCACAGTTGAAAGGTATGCGATTATTGTGTTGGCTTTGGCCTTTGACGTAGTGTGGCTTGTTGATACTTGTGTAGATCGGTTGCGACGACTCGAGTTGTATGGTGTTGAGAGGAGCCATCCTTCAGAAGACCCGAGGCGTCCTAGAGCTTCGGTCCTTGTGTTCCATATGGCAGATGTCGAAAGCATAGATGCATCGTATGTGTCCCCTCCTATACATCTTCTCCGCCACTCATTCATGTCCTAATCCTCAGAGCTGCGCAAATATTTTCCGAACTCGTAGAAGAATACAAGGTAAATACCACTTCATGCTTACCCACCCCTTACCTTCGCCGGTCTCTTATATGATGGTTACAACATTTCATACTCATGGACTGTTTCTGTTCATCCTATCAGAGTCGAGGCGTCAAGATTTTCATCACGCATCTTTGCCCCAAATCTCACCGAACGCTGGAAAAGGCGGGCGTCATTAGATTGCTAGACCCCGAGGAGCTGCAGGCTACTGTGGCGGACGCGATAGCAAAAGTAGAACAGAGCCGCTGGGCGCAGTCTATCTCACTAATATCGTAATAGCTTCCCGCTTATTTCATGTCCTGCATTTTCACGACCTCGTAATGAACCTCTTATAGTATTGTATACATAAGCCTTCAGACATAACTACAGAAGTACGACCAGGAGAACCACGGACAAGGCCTCGGCACGTGCCACGCTATGTCGTACTTCTCTCAGGAACTTGATGACTCCTCTCAGTAAGACCAACATTGCCTCCAGTCTTCTTTCTGCGTTGCCAGCATGGCGCGCTCTGGGCGCTGCAGAATCCCACTAGATCCCCGAAACCTACTCATCAACATTCCAGGGGCTAATATCCATCGTTTCGGCCAGCCCAACTCTGTTGCACCGGTATTTCGTGATGTGCACTGGACGGTGAGCGAAGGGGAAAACTGGGCTGTGGTGGGCTCGGCGTCTGGTGAGAAAGCCACTCTTTTTTCAGGTCTGCGTCTTCGAACTCCAGACATTTCCGTTTGCGTGCTTATGTAGACCCCAGACGTTATTGGGACATCTCCGCATTTCCCCGCCCCCGCCGACCAGTTTGTTCCCCATGCTCAGCTTGGATGGGAGCGACCCATACCAGAAAATCAGTATGGTCTCTTTCGGAAACCGCGCTCGTGGATCGGGGGCGTTCTACGACTACTCTGCGAGATACGGCGCTGTGCGGGAAGAAGACCGGACGACCTTGCGAGAAAGCGTGTTTCCAGAGACGATAGATGAGGTCGTTGGTGAGCTTGGCTACCGGCAACGTGAGGTGCAACGCGCGAACGAAGAGGACATGCATTACTTCGAACAGCTTGCAGATAGGATGGGCCTCACGAAGTTGCTGGATCTGCCGGTGGTGGCCCTGAGCAACGGCCAGACGCGTCGAGCGCGCGTCGTGAAAGCGATATTGCGCAAGCCAGAGCTCCTTCTGCTCGATGAACCTTTGAGTAGGTGTCTGCTTTCTGATATATACTGTTTAACTCATACAGCTTAGCTGGACTTGATGTACAAACGCGGCCGGCCTTGCTATCGCTATTATATGAGCTGCACTCTGCTCGGCGCCCGCGGATTATCCTGGGATTACGCATACAAGACGACGTACCCGAGTGGGTCACTCACGTCGCGCTCGTGGACAGCGGGAGGATTCGCACAGGTACCAAGGATGAAATAGAGCGCCTTGTTCGAGAATCAGGGAGCCTATCAGAACAGAGCAGATTGTGTAACGACGTGCCCAAGGTCTCAGTTGATCATAGCGGTGAGATATTGGTTGATATGAATAATGTCAGCGTAAAATATGGTGATCGGACGGTATGCGTTTTGCTGCATGGTGCATATATACGCTAATTTCGAGCATATGCAGGTCCTGAAAGCTATTAACTGGCAAATAAAGGGAGGCGAACGGTGGCACCTTGTTGGCGCTAATGGTAGGTGCCATTTTCACAAGTGATGTGTTTGATAGCACCTCAATCATCGATCCTACAGGCTCAGGAAAGACTACGCTCCTCTCACTCATTACGGGTGATCATCCCCAGTCATACACCCAATCATCTCCGCTATCGGCACCACCCTCTGAGCCCGCCTCCCAGCGTTATCTACGGCTCTTCTCTCAACCACGTTCTCGTATCCCCACACCCACTCTTCACTCCAAAATAGGCGTGGTTTCCCCAGAGCTATTCGACGCATTTCCACGGCGAACGGGTCTAACGGTCTGGGAGGCCGTGGCGACCGGTTTTGAAGGGGTGTTCTCCGTACCTAGGAACATAGTTACTTCCTCGGGTAAACCCCAACGGAGCGTTGGCGGGCGAGTAGGCGAAGAGCTGACTGATTCTGAACGACAATGGAGAGAGAAACGGATATGGGACGTGATCGAACATCTAGGACCAGCTGCATGGGCTACCCCCGTCGAACCCGGACACGACCAAATTTTGCCTGTGTCAGAAGAGTTTGCTTCACGTTCATTTGCGTCTCTCTCTGTTGGCGAACAACGGGTCGTGCTTCTCATGCGAGCATTGGTTGGACAGCCACCGCTGGTTTTGCTGGATGAAGTGTGGAGTGGGATGGACGCGAGTATGATTAATGCTGCGAGATCTTACCTGAGGGGTGAGAGCGGAGTGCCAGGTGATGGGAGAGGGATGGCTAAGGATCAGGCGGTGGTGGTGATCACACATTGGGAGAATGAGGTGCCGTGGAGTGCTGAAGATGGCGTGAAGAAGTTTGTCTTGGAGAGTGGGGTTGGGAAGGTTGTTCGGTGATGCAACATGGGTTCGTTGTGAGTGATCCTACCTCCCTTCTCAAAGATTACATAGCTTATTCGATGAAGGATGCCTTGCAGCGACTGACGTTAATTTAGTCTATCTATGATGCAATTTAACGACGTCTGGACGAAACCTCGGGGCTTCTGCGTGTGTTCCTTGACGTGCGCGACTCAACATGTGGACGGCTTGGAGCTGGTGGAGCTTCGTAAATAGCGCAAGGCATCCGCATGCCGGACACTCAAGGCCGGAAACCACTCGATGCTGTATGTCCATCATGGCGGTTGGACAACAATCTGCCAACCGTATATCACACAATCCCAACTTGGGTTCCTCCACCTCTTGAGGATTAGCTCGGGTGGTTGTCGGCCTTTTCCCTAGAAATCTTAGGGCCCGTAATTCCATTTCTTTTGAATGATACGTCGAGCTACAGATCCACCACAGTCTACAACTCGTCATTTGCTCAAGACCAAGCGAGACCGGACGCCCCAAATGTTGCATCCGAACCCTGAATTTCACCCCCCTTATTATTTTCCAAATACGGCGAACATGCTGCGGACCGGGCGACCGATCTTGGTGTGAAGGAAAGCCGGCTGGCCGTTGGAGCCCTCGAAATTTTCTATGCCTCGGCTACCACATCTGATATATAGGTTGTCGCGCTTCGCTTCGGCTGGTCTTATCGCTTATCGCGCCAACCGAAGGGAAATTGGTTAGGAGTGGCTCAATGAACGTCATTCTATCTCCCCAAACATTATGAACCATTTTCCACCCACCTAGCTTAACTTTAGCACTCATCTACCCCCAACAGTTCCCTTGTGAGGCCATATACCGCCCTCTGATCATTTGGCGTTCCCAGCAGTCCTACGGATGGACCACACACCAATAGCTGAGACGCCTCCGTCGCCCTCCGTACCCTCAGGTAGTAAGACGCCTCGGAAAGTTCAATGGTTAGATGAACGAGAGACGCGCCTGCTCGACGAACAGGGTTTGAATGTACGTGGCTTCTTATTTTGATCCCTATTATGATGTTCATTAGCACTAAAGCCTGAAGCCTTTGAAACCCTCGCTGCTGCTTTGGAAAGACATCGTTCGACATCTCAAGTTGGAAGTCTACATGAGGCGACAACTTCGGCTCACCAAAATAATATTTCGGTGTCCGCTGGGGCCACACCTCCCGAATTCTCTGAAAGCAATGCTTCCTGCCCCCCTTCTCCTCCCAAAGCAAACGTTCCGGATAATTACATCGACCCCAGCGAGTCTGCGGGCGTCCCTCTCCGAGATAATCCGACTTCTCATGCTGAAAAGCAGGCCAAACAGGTCGTTCGCGCGCACACGCGTAAACGTTACTTCGCAGGTCTTCGTCGAAAAGCTCAACCTTCTATTCATGGAAAGTTCGACGTTGATGATGGCATTAAGAAGAGGGACTGTGGCACCCAATCGATAGCATCAAGGACGTTGAGAAATTGGGAGAGCATGAATCCCGAAGACCCATGGGTGGAGGTGTACTGTCTACGTTGTTGACCCTGTACGACCACCAGCAGTTCCCCTCTGGAGCATCGACACCGAGTCGGAGAAGCTCGATCAGCGAGGACGGTGAAGATCGGGATGAAAGCTGGAGAGCCCCTCGAAATCGACGAGAAAGAGCGAGCAGAGGCAACGATGCAAATACCGCACCTCCGTCTCCTTTGGTTCGTGAAATCAATCTAGACAATCCAGAAGTCACGCCGCAAAGGCCAAAATACCACCTACCCAGGTATATCATTCTGAATTCTGTGCGTCTGTATTTCTCATTACGCGGAATCAGGCATTCTCTAGATAGTCATATGTTCAGGCGATCAGTCCCAGTACCTCGGGACACCGAACTCCCTCACGGCATACGTACCAGTGACCTGACCCAAAACACCTCTTCTTCTTCAACGGAGTCGGCTACATCTCGGGCGAAATGGGGACAGAAACTACGCGATTTACCCTTCGCTCCGTCCGTACTCAGCCTCTCGCACGGCGGCTGGAGCGGGCGATCGACACCAACCACGGATGACGAAGAATGGAGAGAGAACGAGAAACGTGAAAGGCGAAGAAAAAGAAAAACGAAGGAGATACGGGTATGTTTCACTCACTTTATTCATTCCACTGGGTTGATTATTGGCGGGATAGATCACACGTCATGTCGCCGAGATTATCAAGCGGCAAGAATTCATTCTGAAACTGGCACGCGCTATGATGATGTTTGGTGGGCCCTCGAATCGCTTGCAAGCTCAGATCCAATCGACGGCTCGCGTGTTGGATATCCCTCTCAGTTGCATGTACTTGCCAGACGTTATACTCATCAGTTTCGACGATAACATCACTGTGACGAGTAATGTCAAGTTGATTCGCCAGTCAAGTGCCCTTGATCTTGGAAAGCTCAAAGCTGCGTATCGATTATACTGGAAGGTATGTAGTACCGGTTGTCCACTCCCACCCACTCTGTTGATCATTGATCTGTGTAGGTGATTCACGATGATCTATCGGTCGAAGAGGCGTCACCGCAGCTTGACGAGCTGATGTGCGGTCCACCGACATATAGAGCGTGGCAATCGATACTCATCGGCGGCATGTGTTCATCTGCCATTTGTACCGTGGGCTTCAATGGTAGCTTCATTGATGCCTTGGTAGTATACCCATTGGGGGCTCTTCTAGTCGCAATTCAACTACTCAGCGTTCGGAACGAGCTATACTCCAATGTCTTCGAGTGCGTGCTCCCGCTCTTTACCTGTTGCGCTTATTTGGTGACGCCTTGTTCCATTTCTAGGATTACCATTGCGACTCTGTTGAGCTTTCTGTCTGCCGCTCTCGCTGAAACCCATAGGTTCTGCTACTCAGCGGTGGCATCCGCGTCTGTCGTCCTCATTCTCCCTGGTTTCATCGTTCTCTCCGGGGCCCTCGAACTCATGTCCCGCAACATCGTCGCTGGATCTGTTCGGCTATGCTATGCGGTCATGTATTCTTTGTTCCTAGGCTTTGGCCTTGCTATTGGGGCAGAGGCATACCAGACGATCACGGACAATCGCATTGTGGGTGCAGAAGACTATACGTGCGTTCAAAGTCACGATCCGGAGGGCATGTGGTATCAGCAGACTCCGAGTATCTACTGGGGTAAGCTGGCATCAAATGGCTAGATCACTCTGTGCTGACGAGATTCTTGTTTGTTCCTCAGCATTTCTCAGCGTGCCATTGTATTCGTTCTGTCTCAGCATGAGGGTACAAATGCCATGGAAATGCAAAGAAATGGTGAGCATCCGGCGCATACTCTATTTACGTCGCTCAAGTTAACGCTATGTAGATTCTGCTCGTTCTAATTTCATGCATCGGCTGGGTTACCAACCATTTCACTGCTCAAAAGTTCCGGAACCAAAATGATATTAGCGCTGCTTTTGGGTAAGGTGTTCTGAGACACGTTCGGCCCACCATATGATGCTGATCTTGGTTCTCAAGCGCCTTCGCCGTGGGTGTCGTTTCTAACGTTTATGGTCGCTTCTTCTCCGGGAATGCTTTCGTGGTCATGGTTCGTCCCTCATCTGTTCAGATTTATGTGTTTCTTGCTGACTTAGCGTTTCTTCAGATAACTGGCATATTGTTCCAACTTCCATCAGGCCTAGGTTATGGGGGTCTCCTTACATTTGCCTCGCAGCAGTCCTCCGGCTTCTCGTCATCTTATGTCTCTGGGTTCCAAACAGCCTTACAGCTTATCTCTGTGGGGATAGGCTTGTCCGTTGGACTAGGTATTTCTTTGGTCGTGGTACACCCAATTCAGTCACGTCGCAGGGCTGGCGGCGTCTTCAGTTTATAAAATAGTCGAGTTGTTGTTGTACATTTTCATGCTTTCTTTCGCATCTGGACACTCTCTCGCATACGCTCTCTCAGTCTTTGCATAACTCCCAATTTACATATCGATTTCAACCTTCACGGACTATATAGACTTCCCCTCCTTCCATTCTCTTCTTGTAGCAATAGCCAACGCAATTACATTACAAGTCACTCACATATCTTGGCATAGCGACCGTTGTTGAACGCATTTGCCCATCTTTCGTTCTTTCGTGGCGTCGAACCGATATGACAGAGTCCTAGTACTCAGACGTCAAATCCCCCCAATAAAGATACACTACATAGTTAGGACATTATAACGAAATGAAGAGCGTGTATGTGACCCGGCCGTTTCTCAATTATGACGTCGAAAATACTTGCGACGAAGCTCACGAGCAATCCGCTCATTCCAACCGTAAGTAATGGCATTTGCGAGGCCGACGAGTTGTGTAGACGCCTGCAAAATCTGGGTGATTTTTGATGAATGCCCGGAAGCTTCAACAATGCGGTTTGCAAGCCCAGGTATCCATAATATGATGTAGAAGAAAGGATAGGCGTTAAGAAGTAGGATCCTGTGGACTGCTTTGTAGCGAGGACTTTCCGTCTGGGAGGTCGTGGAGGGTAGCGTTCTCGAGGCCGAAATAACGATGGCATTGTGATTGCTGAGCGTGTCCATGGGGGTGTCATAAGTCTCGGACAGGTCCCGTTTCTGCTCGCACTCCAGGTTGCTATTGGTAAACGACATTGGCGAGAAGGTGGGTGATTGAGTGGAGTCGGCTGGCACGCTCGAAATGATAGGAACACGTAGTGCTCGGAAATGTCGTCGAAGGAAGATATACTGTCACGAAAGTCAACGAGGAAACAAGGAGGCGAAACGTAGTCGCGTACAAGATAAAGAGATAAACAAATCTAGGGCGTCCGATCAGCGGGCAAGTATTTCCGCATCGAACGGACTTACCTCAATGAGCATGAAGAGATATCTCCAACCATGAGTGAGAACATATCGTAAGAAAGATGGCTTCTCGACAAGCCAACACCTTTCGTCATAATAAGTAACTAACCATGATGAATTCCCAAAGACGTACCAGTTTCCCGAGACCGGTCCATACCAGTGCATTCCCAAAGCAAGGAAGCCTAAGCAAGGACATTACAGACGTGGCCAACAATAGCCGAATGTGAAAGACATACTCGTAATTGCGGGGAGAATCCATATCGCGATGCAGGTTAACACAATGGCACGATTTGACCATTCAGTTTGAATCGCATGAGAATGTGATATCCTGGTGATTATATAGACTGTAGTGATGGTGATAGCGAGGATAGCCGTGTCGGTGGCCTGTTGGATATATCAAGGCAAGATGTGGGTGCAATACATGGTGCGCTCACCTGAACACTAATCTGAGTGACGAACCCGTTGAGAATACAGGCTGGTCCATGTGAGAGGTTTTCCCTCCTAATCAAGATGAGGGATCCCGAAGCAGAGTTATTGGTAGCATTGATGAAATCTAGTATAAGAGGATTATTTCGTGGTTCTGTGATGTCAGTCTTTGGTTATACCAGCAATAGCCAGATTGAGGATGAGGACATGCCGAAAGTGGCGCCGGATGGGTAAGACTAGGTAGCAGACAATGATAAAGCCCGACCCGATTGAAGACAGGACACTTCCAACGAAGTTCAGCACAGACAAGGCTAATGTGAAGTCAGATAGCGGCATAGGAAATAATGGGCCCAACAGATGACACTGCGTCTAATGGGGGCATATATACCCGTCGAACGAGCGCTATCCCGTTCGTGTGAACGAGGGCAATGATCTGGGCATGGAGACATGATGTCGACAACCTTGCAGAGGTTCATCAAAGATGCATAGGTGGGGCACGCTTGATCAACACATGGAGCATGCACTGCGCATATTCATCTAGCTCGCTAGGGGGGTTAAACGGGACACACCGACTGCTGGACTTGAAGGCACTCACTGATAAGCTCGTAGACGACCCTTGATCACGGGTGCAACGCTCACCAATGCGATGCTTTATAGGCAGAATGAAGGTCGAAGTGATGAACGCGGGTTGTACCCGTTTCACCATGCACCTGTCAATACAGTGATGGCCAGCTGTCAAAACATTATATTGTGATCCCAGGCGGCTGAAGCAGTGGCTAGTTCAAATGCTCAAGAAGCCGCATTGACGAGTCGAACTAGGGTGAACTCACCGTGTGTTGTCAAATTTAGACTGGATACCATACCTATTACCCACCCGGCTTGAACCCAAGATGTAAGTATATGCTTCTGGCATCTCCATATGCAAGATTCGTGACGAGTCCATCAAGCAGCAGCCTACGGGTGTGATGCATCCCGTCCAGGTTGGCTTGAATGAGAATAAAATACGACATATGCGCTTGTCAGGGCCATCATGCCAGGTTGAGATTTGGCGGACTTCAACACCCATTTCTTGGGTGCCCTGCTATTTGCTATTGGAGTGGAGTCTGTAGTACGCCCAGTCATCATTCCTTTGACAATAAACCGAGAGATTAGTATTTGAGTCGTCGATTGTCAGGATGTGGAGATCGTTGTGGTTCGAGGGGAAAAGGTAAAGCGTGGGAACAGACTTCCCTCCTCGAACGTGGTGGCGCCAACTGAAAACTTGAGACAGGGTTTCATGATTGTCGTGATGGCTACATTGTAGTGAAGTACTGTAGGCGTCGGTGGTTCGCGTAATGGAATTTGCCGTGAAATTGACCATAATCCAAGAGGTTTATTTCTTCCTTGGTGGTTCCTCCTCCTGTACTGCATTTGTGTCTGCCTTGCGCTTCCGGATCAGCTCAGTGACGCGTGTGACATTTGTGATCCCAGCTAGGGACGTCTTCATGGCTTCGAGCGTTCCAATCGTTGCGTCAAGTACGGGCAAGAATGTCGGGCAGGTCAGACTTGATCGGGAGACTCTTTTCCACGGTCCTGTAGGAACGTCTTATCGTGTATCGAAAGTGAAGAACAAGGCTGTACACAGTCTTGAGAGGACTCTCTGCTATCGATTTGGCGAAATCTGGATATTTGTCCTCTAACGCATTGCGGCGTTCGATGCCAACAACACTGAGGTAACGAAGTCGACAAAACATGGGCGAACGAGAGACTAAGAATGAATCGAGCAAAAGGGGCTTGATTCTGTATATCACAGTTAGTAGGTTTCTATGCTATAGTAGGAAGCCCTGACCGTTACGATATTGAAAGGCTCAGAAACCATAATATGAGAACGCGCAAAAAACCACAAACGACAGTCCGCGTTCTCTGTTGTCATCCCAAAACAAAACATTCGGCAAGGATCGTTTCGAAGAATGTGATGCCCGCTCCACAAAATCTTTTCGAAGGTCTATGTAAATATCTTAGTTGCAGATTGGAAACGGGAAGCTTGACCCACATCTAAAGCACCCGCTTCGGATTTTATACCTTCTTTAGCAAGTATCATGCCACTCCATAAATCATCCTCTGGAACTTGCTGCTCTTTTGTGTAATGCGCAAGACGGAGCTCCCGTAACGATCGGGGCGCGAGTTGTTCGATCTCTCAGTGTTGGTCATTATCATGCACGTTTGTTGCCCTGTGTACTGCTCGCCTGCAAGTATAATCGCCTCCGAGAATTTGTGCACATGAGCGAAGACATGGCTCTCAAGCTGCTCGCTCTCCTTGGGATCATTCGAGGCGAAGCCGTGCATTCGCCCGCTATTCGTAATGGAGCCACTCCCCTTCAACTTGCCCAAGATAGCCTGTAGCATCTCTTCCGGCACAGTCGGGGTGACAGTTTCGAAAAACCCAAGGGATGCTATGGGGATCTCAGGGTGATCTATAACGACGAGTTGTCTTCGAGTGTTGAGTTTGCTTGTGAGGTAGGTCGAGCAGAGCGAGTGGTATGATTTGGGTGGTGTATATTCGTTCTGTGCTGGCATGATGTTGATTGACTTCACCAGAAACTTAAAGTTGTGGTGAGCGCTTTGTTCTGGTTGAAATGCGCTATAAAACACGTGATCATCAGGGACTTACTTCGGTAACTATTACTAACTCAAGGGCATCCAGTCCAGTAACTTATCGGACGAGTTATTAGAACAACTATACGATTAGTATATGAATATGGCTCACATCTCGAGATCATGTGCCCGCCTTTTGGAGTTTTGGTGCAAGTATGCTGTGTCCGGACAGTGCAATGGAGCTCCCGAATTCATGTATCCAGTATTTGGCCGAAGGGAGAGGAGACATCTATTACACGATTCTTTGACCGCATTTGGTACAGCTTCTTTCAGGCGTCTAAGATCCTAGTTTAACACACCGCCTTCCATTTTGGGAAGAAGGACTCTGGAATCTCTTGCCCACTTGAGCGCGACTGCACAAGCTGATTCGCACTCAATGTACTCGGTTAGCGACAGGATAAGGGCGAGCTTCTTCTTAACATGACTTAGTACCGTCGTGGCTTTTACTATCTGACGAATATGGAATTTCTTGTCGAGAACAAGGTATCTGCAAGCGTCTAGAGACAAGGCAGATTGTTGACATAGTTCTCGCACAGCATAGCAACCTGCACCTTGTGCAGAATGTATATATCCTGCGGATGTCCCATGCAGCTACTCAAGACGAGGACTGACTCCTCAGTCATCCCGAATCATGGTCTTCTCAAATTTCCTCCTGCGCAAAACACCACGTCAACACATTCAAGATTTCAATCAAATGACTCAAGAAGCTGCCAGTCGAGGCTTGGTTTATCGTCAAGTACCCTCAAAGATCCCGCCTAGGTTTCATACTCCCTCTCCTTCAAGTTCTTATTTGACTCACATATTCATTTGACAACAGGCACGCACGGGTTGCCTTTTATGACGGATTATGGAAGATCGAGGAACTCCAGCGCGCCGATCTTTATGCAGACATACCGCTTGAGCCCTGCGGAGGGCTTGACTTGCGCAAAGTCTGCGCAACCTGGGGTTTGGAGGGCTGCCAGGTAAGACGTGTATGGCTGGATTAAATTCTACTAACGCATAACATGAGTAGCCGATCGATCCAATGCGATGGACGGTATTCGAACCAGGAAATCCGCACTTCCTCTCGAGCGTAGCAGTCAAGGTTCTCTCCGACTACGATGGTTGCATCAAGATAATAGGTGGGTAAATTTGACATATCTACTTACGCTTGAATTGAATCTCTACCTTAGAACCTCCCTTGTCCGATTCAGCTCAGCAGAAGCGGCGAATGCGCGAGTCCACCAGCGACATTACAGTTACCTTCATATCGCTGATGGCAATGATCCCGCTCGCCTTACAAACCTATGCGTCCGAATTTGTGGACGAACATACGTCACTCGCTCGCATTTACCGAAACTCATGGCGAGAACGCAAGCAGCTCAAACGCAAAGCGGCGTCATGGGTGACGTGGCTATGTGGCTTTGAGATCGACTGGGCCGCCGCGGCGAGGCTAGTCGTCGTGATCGTGACCTTGGTGATGCTTGTGGCCGTCATCACTGGCAGAGTCGAGCTGGCTGTCCGACAGCGAGCTCGCAATTGGGCTCACACAGGGTCTATCTCTTTATAATTTCTCAACACTATGCTGACCATCTATGACCTTCCAAAATTATGCACCTATGCTTGCCTTACATACTATGCTTTCCCCCGATTGAAACCCCAACGCCTTCGTCACTTATCTGTAATTTAGCTTGTACTTCGTACTTCGAATATGCGAATCTCCCCTATATTCTGACATCCACGTCCTTCCGAAAGTAAGAAAGAAAAACAACATGATACCCCATAAATTACAACAAGTGGAACATAACTTAGCACAACAACAGGATTTTTCATAAGGAGTCGTAGGGACACCGATGAATTTAGCGTCTTGGTCGTTCGTATGCATCGCTTTAGTACTTTGGCAGTTCTGGTCCCAACCTGTGTCTCATGTACTTTGCTCGGAGCTCGCGCGCGATCCGCTCATTCCATCCATAGGTAAGCGCATTCGCTAGGCCCACGAACTGGGTCGACGCCTGCATAATCTGCGTAACCTTGGATTTATTCCCCGAGGCTTCAACCATGCGGTTAGCCAACCCAGGTATCCAGAGGATAATATAGAACAGTGGATATGCGTTGAGAAGGAGGATCCGTTGGATGGCCTTATATCGCGGGCTTTCTTGTTGCGAAAGAAAGTCAGGGGGTACGAACGACTCCCTGCGCTTGAAGAAGGGGACGGGGGCAGGTGCTACCTCTTGTTCAGACGTTGCGGTTTCGTGTCTGGGAGTTAGGGGGACGTTAGAGTCGGAAGATTCAGAAGTAATCGTGGGTCGGAGATTTGTTGAGTCGCGGCGCGTGTCATGAGTGATGTGGATAACGATGTCCGGTTTGGACTCTGACGGTGCAGGGCCACCCCTGAATGTCATAGGGGAGAAAGAGGGCTGGGGCTTCGCTGACGATACGATAGGAACTTTGAGAGTTTGGAAGTGGCGTCGCAAGTAGAAGTGCTGATTGCGGTGTCAGATCATATGTACACGATCAACTCAAAATCCACATACGAGATAGATGGATAAACCGATCTGTGAAGAGAAGGATACTCAGATTTGGCCAGGACGAGTCAACCAAAGAAACTTACCTCGATAACAATGAAGAGATACCTCCAGCCGTGCGTTAGTACATATCGAAGAGGAACAGGCTTCTCCACGAGCCAGCACCTACGCCCACATCAGCAAGACAGGAGTAAGAATGCAAATCATCCGCTGCGTACCAGTTGCCTGAAACGGGCCCATACCATCCTTTCCCCAAAGCCAGAAAACCTAAGGAGGCTCGTATCAGTTACGCGTCCTGCGCAGATGTCGTTGATATACGCACTGGTGAAGAATGGCAAGGCCCATATGGCGCAACACGTAACCAGGATCGCTCGTCTCGACCACTCAGTCTGGATCATGCGAGAGGAGGAAGTCCTGGTTATAGTGAACACGGTGACCAGTGTTATAGCCAAGATCGCAGTATCGGTCCCCTAAGGGTGATTGAGCGGGTGTGTAGGCCAATTGAAATAGATTCATTCATACCTGGACACTAATTTGAGACATGAAGCCGTTGAGTACACAACCTGGACCAGGTTTGAGATATCTCTGCTTGATCAGGATGAGGGATCCCGATGCCGCATTATTCGTAGAGTTCAAAAAATCTGCCACAATTTCTAGGATCAGTCCCGACGATTGGAGGTGGTTGGGGATCTTACCTGCTATGGCGAGATTTAGAATGAGAATGTGTCTGAAGTGTCGCCGTAATGGAAGGATAAGATAACACAAGATTATGAACCCGGAGCCGATGGACGAAGAGACGCTTCCGACAAAATTCAAGATTGACAGAGCCAGAGCGAAACTCGGAAGGCCCATCTTGATCGAATGTTGAGGCGGTATACCAAGTGGTGATGGGGATTGATTGGATCAAAGTGTGTGTTATATACAATCGTGGTATTCATGTCCGAGAAGGAGGGACCGGCGATATGTTTCAGACATGATCGCTTCGGCGCTGGGCGATCATAACATTCGGACGAAGTACCTGCGCTCATCCACAATCTGTCATTCGGACACTGATTCGTATTCGAGACATGTCTGAGTATCCATGTAGAATACTAGTATATCGGTAAATAGATTAGTGACTAGCCTGTAAGAGGTGACGAAGATCAAAGCAACTCACCACAGAAGTTGAGAAGGCCCATCGCGATGTCCGCTGTAAGCACACCGGGCGTTCAAAGCAGGCGGTGTGCGGAGGCTTGGTGGCAAAGGTTTGACAAGGTTGTGGGAAGCCCTTTACACCTTGATTGGCTACTGATTCGATCAATTGATTACCCCGTGGGTCAGGTTCGACGATGGATAGCGATTGGACCGAAGTGCCAACCCAAACACGGACGCGTTTCAGTGAGCGCGAAGCGAACAATGATTACAACAGCTACACCTACATCATGACATGCGTAGAGACTAGCAATTGCGCACGACCTGCAATCAGTTTTACTATTATCAATGGTGCCATATATCTCCCGAAATTCTGGATGAAGAGAAATCAGTACGTCCTACTATGCCAACTATCCACTGTATGTACAACTCACGATAGTACAACAATGGGATTTACAGCAGCAGGGGCCTGGTCAGCGACCAATTGAAAATGAGCGAACCTCCGACAAGCTCGAGTGTGCTGATCCGGTGATAAACCTGGTCCGTCAACATACTCTTCTCGATGGAAGACATTTGTCGGCCGCAATAGTCGTGGTCAACCCTGGCGATTCATGGGACGATTCATAGCCACAATCACAATCTACTTCTTCCCTTTCCTGTCGAAGGTGGGCCAATAGTTTCATGATCACATAGTTGAATCCTGATTGGAGGTCTTAAAGGTAGGTTCCTCGCCGAGTGTGGCCGACTTTGAACCAAATGAGATTACTAATGAGTGCTCTCTCCTAGACGTTAGACGTGGTATCAGGCTAAGCATGTCGGTTGGTGGCTACAGTAACAAAGGGCTGGCTCACGCGTATCACCACCAAGAGCTGCGAACGAACCATAAAATCATGATATCAAGGGCCCGACGTTGCTGTCTTCCATAGAATAAAGCTCCTTTGTTTTTGGGAGCTTGATATGACTGCGAAGATAAACATAAACAGTTTGCTCGAGCTTTGGAAGGTGGCAAGGTGGCCGTCTGCCCCGCATTCAATTATTGTGGTCTTCCCATAAGAACCAGTGAGATTCAGAAAGGGGCGCAGGGGTAGCACGTGGTATTTCTCACCCAACCTGAATTCAACGGACTCATAGTGACCCTCGGTCCCGCCGAAGACGAAGTTCCTCGAAATATTTCGAAATTTCTGTCAAACTGCCTCGTCAAATCTCACTTGCAAGACTGAAATCCAAAGCTACGAATGCAGGGGAAATGACCAAGTCCGACATACAATCTTGGGTAGCCTCTGCAGAAGCACCGCAGGAACTGGATGGCTCCGATGATTCTTGGCAGCGGGATCGTGTACTGAATGAGTGGCCTTGGGCCATGCAGACGGCCCACCAGCGACTAGCGACGAGCAAAACGAGACCAAGGATACGATTCTTGAAGGAAGAACTCTTGTTTTTGGCCAAACACGCAGGTAGATGATCGATGTCGGTTTGAAATATTCGCTGATCTTGTGTTGAAAGATCTCAACCTATCGCAGACGTTGGATATATTCAAGTTGCTGACCGAAACATACACCAAATACTCTGACTCATCCTCGAGGGACGCCGTGGAAGATGTTGGCAGGGAGCTTGTGCGACGCGATGAGGCTCGAGGAACGCCTGACGGTCCTGCGGACGAAAGTAAAATGGGAGTGGCTGAACAGGTACTAGCATGGATGAAACTTGAAGTGAACCGTATCGTCAAGGCAGGATCGTCGTCCCACGCGTCTTCCAGTGTATTCGTGCTCCTTAGCTGGACATGCGGACTCTACACCGCGATCCTCAAAGTGAACCCCGAATTCACGGTGACACACTGTTGGTCTGACCTCGTTGGGTGCATGGCGCTGCTGCTCGATACCATACAGGATTCTTCGCACACGAAAAAGTCGCTGCTGCACAGCGCTCTCGTGCGTGTTCGACGCGCAATACGCTCAGTGCGTACTTCTCGTTAGCGTTGCGACGCTGTAGCTCAACAACCTTAGGCCCCCGAGAAAATACCAGAGCTAATAGACACGCTCATATCGCACGCTCGGGCGTCATTGCGACACATACCGCTTCTTGGCACTTCAATAGACGTGTTGATACGTCTGAAGAATGTGAAGGAACTGCCTTTTGATCGATTGTCGGCTGAGCGCAAGGTGCGATATTACTAGTAACGGCTTTCAGGTATACTATATACTACCGCTAGTCATCCATACTCAACCTGTATACGACTACTATCTTGATGTCCAAGTCCCCCGTCCCTTCCCATGTCGTGGTATGTTCCCATCTGACTCTGCCATCTGCGTGACTTACTCTCGTTTAGAATGCGTACCATGATTTCATTCAGCATTTTGTTACAGCCGAGGACTTGTCAACTCTCGTCATTCCCGCGATAGAAAAAGCACTGCTTCGCTCGCCAGAGATATCTTTGATAGGTAACTCTATACGTGAATACTTGATTGTGTGCTCACTCTGCCTAGTTATAAGCCAGTTCTTCGATGCTTACTCCCATCCCTTGTCAAGTGAAGATTTTCGACGGGCGCTCGTCCCTACGCTGAATAGCTCCAAGTCCTCAAACGCTCTCGTGCGTGGAAATGCTATTGGGCTCTTCAAGGCCTTGATCACCGATGAGCTCGAAGAATCGTCTTCAAGCCTCGCTGCTGCTGAGTTGTTGAATTTGCCAAAGACGGGAAAATCGAATGGCCCCGACCACAGGACTGCCCTATATTCGATGTTATCCTACCTGCAACCGTCCATCGCAGTGTCTTCAACGCTTATCAAAGATGCGACACCCTTGTTAGCGAAGGAAACCAATGATACCGCTATCTCAACTCTCGCGGCTGCTCTCCCTCCTCATCTGTCGTTCCTCTTGTCAAAAAACCAAGATTTACCCTCCGAGATCACAACGCTAATACCCAAAGAAATGAACAATACTAAACCCGTTATCAGACATGCGTTCTGCTCCCTCGCTGGCGCTTCGTTGATGGGTATATCAGGTCTCGACACTGACGCTGGACTCGCGTTCGCCGCGGTTCTCCTTCCTGCGTTTGAAAGTAACCTGAAAGCCGTGGCAAGCAATCCGCTCAACGCCAGTGGTGGTCCTTTGGAAGGTTATATTGCCCTCTCCTGCCTTCTTGGACCAATACGTTCCTGCAGCAAATTTAGTAAACACGGTTCTGTCTTGTTGGTGAATATGCATTTGTTGATGTTATGGTTTCTTAGCCGAATCTATCTCAAAGATTACCACGATCCAATCATTGTTTGCGAGTACCGTAAAGCCTTCCTTCTTGCTTTGGGACAAGGTCTACCAGAAGGTATCAGACCCTGCAGAGGAAAAGTGGCTCCTGACAGCCCTATCAGCCGCGATCCCAGTCTTCAACAAGGAGCTAACAAAGCTCGAAGTCTTCCGGTCAGCCGCGATCCCTTCCGTTCGTTAGTGTTCCCTGATGATCTCCATAGCGTACAAGCGGGGCTCCTCTTCATCCACTTGGCTGTAAACAGCGGCTCGCCTGAATCTCGCCGGAACGTACTTACCACACTGAGTTCACTTTCATCGCAGTTTGCCAGGCTCACCAACGATATCTTATATGATGCGCTGGTGTCATTCCTAGCCAACGGCAAGACAGTCACAAAGGCTTCTAGTCCTGAAGGCCCTGATGGCACCTGGAATAAACATAGTCGTCTGTCCACGCTGTTACTCAGCTGCTTCAACTTCTCCGAGGATGTTGACGCGACTCTCCGTGAGGATATCTTAGTCCAACTGTTGGTGGTGGCGCACCATGAGCATGTCTGTTCGTGCCTCTCCTTCTTTTCCGCGGTGGCAAGCTGAATTGCTAGAGGCTAGGCGAACCCTCTCGTCAAATCTGGATTGAATTGTGTCAAAAGGCTGATGTCGATCCCTTCAAGCTAGTGGATGGGAATGTAGATAGGTTGATGAAGAACATCCTTGCGGCATCTACGATACCTGCTAAAGTGAGCTGCCCATCCCTCTGCAATGAAAGTTTTTCATATAGACAATATGGTAGCTTGGATTCGCGGAAGCGAGCTACCGTTCTGCTACGACGCTTGCTTTCATAGCCCCGAGTACCGTCGTCCCTCTAGTCGTCGACCAATTGAAGGTAAACCTCGATCCTTCGACTATAAACGGGTTGACAGATATGGACCTGGGCGTCTGGTCAACACCCGAGGGCGTTCCCTTCGTTGACGGTATGCCAAACCTTCTCATTCAACTCGCTCACCCATGAATCCATTGTCTATAGTATTGGCCTCCAAGAAGGACGACACGCCCGTCAGAAAAGGAAAAGAAGCCAAGATGGCTCAATGGGAAGCAGATGTTCGGAAATCCCTGGCAAACAAGAAACCAGCCAACGGTGTTTTATCAAAGCAGGATCAGGCTGCGATCCAAGCTCAGCTCGAGAAAGAGCAGGGTATACGCCAGAAGGTGTTTGCCGTCAAGACAAATCTTCAACGAGGGCTGCATTTCATTCAGAGTCTCGTCGCATCCAACACGGACGAGTTCAGATTACACCTGTCGACAATAGCTGCTTTGTTAGTTGACGGGGCTTTGCGAAAGGGAGACATGCTAGTTAGCAAGGCCCCGTTTGACACCTATATCGTGAGTCCCAACCACACACTCGTTGACTCATGGCCACAACGTCTTTCAGAGTCTTGCCAAATGCTGTTCAGACAGACTAGGAGTGACTAAAGAATGGGTGGGAATCGCGACGCTCCGTGCGCTTGATGTCCCAGCAGTGCCAGAAGAACTTCAAGCCGAGCCCGCAGATTGTGGGTATTCATTTTGCGTTCTTGTCTACAGCCGTTTCATTCACTTCCCCAGCGTTGGTTCTCAGAGTTCTATATCGGCTTCGGGCGTTATCAGAACAAGCGCCGTTCGATGCAGCCACATTCTCCTACGCGTTCCCTCTTCTTCACCAAGTCCTTATTCGCGGTGGAATTAACGCAGCAGAAGGAGATAGCGCCCTTGAACAAGTCAAGTTAGCTCTGGACATAATTCGGTTCCATTGCGCAGAATGTAAGTGCTCCCTCTTTGAGAATAGATAGATGGATCTTATTGACAGTGTCCCAGTCGGCGACGCCGCATATCCGCGAAAGATGATGATACAAGATCTTCTACATATCATCAAGCAGCAACCTAAGCTTGCTAAGGAAGCCTCGTCGACATTGATTGATCTTGGCGAAAGCATTTTAGCGAATGTGTCGGACGTCGAGCTCGATTCATTAATAAAAGGGACGCTTGTTCAAGAGCCCCACATCCGGAATGCCTGCCTCTCGGCCCTTCAAGTAGGCCCTAAGTCATACTGATTTCAGCGCGCCACCCTGATATTGTATCTAGCCGTTTGATCTCACCGATTTAGATTGGTCGCCAGAGTTATGGATCGCATGCCACGACGACGACGAGCAAAATTCCAGGCTGGCTCGACATCTCTGGGAGGACAACGGTCTGGACGTTCCCGAGGCGTTCTTGAATCGCCTGTTGGAGTACCTAGGTGAGATCAAGCTTGATTACTGGCGTTTAGAGTTTACCAACATATCTTCCAAGGTCATGAACACTCCTACGTCCGTAACAGCGCTGCAGCGGCCATCACGGAAGCGGTGGAGACTTGGCCCCAGTCTCTACTCACCTCCGTATCAGTTTTGCAGGACTATTATCGAGACAAGGTTAGTTCATTCCTTGAATGCTGTTTACTCAACAAACTCACCTCGGTTCTAGGCGAAGGTACTGGCTCCGGAATATGACGAATATGTTAGTTTAATAATTTGATTGCAGCGCCGGACATGCTAACGGTCGTCTTAGGGCATGGTCATCGCTCGCAGCCTCGAGCAATCGGATCCTTGGCCAGCGCGTTTGGCCGCTGCTCGCACCTTCGCACTTTTGGCCCCTCTGTTCACTTCTGAGGCTGTCATTCCCTTCTTCGAGTTCCTCATCAAAGATGAAGCCCTAGCTGATAAGGTCTCGGAAGTGCGACGCGAGATTTTAGGCTCAGGAATCGCCGTCATCGATGCACATGGTGCTTCCAAGCTAGCGGGGTTAATAGCAATGTTTGAAGCCCATCTCGCTGCTCCTACTCCGCCCACGGAAGCAGGGGATCAAATCAAAGAAGCGGTGGTGATCCTCTTCGGTCGTGTGGCAAGGCATCTGCAACCAACAGATCCTCGCATTCCCCTCATTGTATCAAGACTTGTCGATGCTCTCAAGACGCCAGCTGAGCAAGTCCAAATCGCTGTGTCTGACTGCTTGGTTCCCTTGGTAAAGCTAATGGGAGACAACGTGTCGAAGCTTGTGGATACCTTGTTCAACGAGCTTTTTAGTGCATCCAAGTATGCCGCACGGCGCGGGGCCGCGTATGGATTGGCTGGTGTCATCAAAGGAATCGGGATCAGAGGCATGAAGGAGTACAATGTGCTCATTAGGTTACGCACTGCAACGGAGGAGAAAAAGCAATATGAGCATCGCCAAGGCGCTATGTTTGCCTTCGAGACTCTATCTACCACTCTTGGGAGAAATTTCGAACCTTATATCACCTTCGTTCTTCCCCTGCTTCTTTCAGCATTCGGCGATTCTACTTCGGATGTCAGGGAAGCTGCCCAGGACGCGGCTCGTGTTATTATGAGCAATCTCTCCGGGTATGGGCTCAAGCTAATCCTCCCTTCGCTACTTGCTGGTTTGGAAGAGAAGCAATGGCGCACCAAGAAGGGTTCCATCGAATTACTTGGAATGATGGCCTACTGCTCGCCACGGCAATTGTCATTATCACTCCCCATTGTTATTCCTCAGTTAACGTCCGTCCTCACCGACTCGCACGCCCAAGTGAAGTCATCGGCCAACAAAAGTCTGAAGCAGTTCGGTGAGGTTATCAGCAACCCGGAAATCCAGTCTCTGGCGCCCGTTCTGTTGAAGGCTATGGTGGATCCAGTCAAAATCTCCAACGCATTATCTTCCTTACTCAAGACGTCATTCATGCACTACATTGACCAATCGTCACTTGCTTTGGTCAGTTCCCTTACGTTTCTATTCCTCTCAACTTGACCCCATGGTTTAATCTCAGGTTGTACCCATTTTGGAGCGGGGACTAAGGGAACGCAGTGCGGAGACAAAAAAGAAGGCTGCACAAATCACTGGGAACCTTGCTTCCCTCACGGATGCCAAAGATTTCGTTCCTTATCTTAACACGCTTCTTCCTTTGGTCCATACAGTTCTGGTCGACCCCGTTCCAGAAGCTCGAGCCACAGCTGCGAAAGCTTTAGGTACCCTTGTCGAACGCTTGGGCGAAACGCACTTCCCGGATCTTGTCCCGGGCCTGCTTCGAATCCTCAAAACGGATACATCCGGTGTCGATCGTCAAGGTGCTGCTCAAGGACTCAGCGAAGTACTATCTGGCCTTGGGATGGAGCGCCTTGAAGGCCTGCTACCGGATATCATCGCCAATGCGCAATCTCCTCGACCCACTGTACGAGAAGGTTTCATGTCGCTCCTCGTCTTTTTGCCGGCAACCTTTGGGTCTAGATTCCAACCCCACTTACCTAGGATCATTGCACCTATTTTAAGCGGTATTTCGGACCAAGAAGACTATGTTAGGGAGGCTGCTATGCGTGCTGGTAGAATGGTGGTCACGAACTACTCGCATAAGGCTATCGACCTGCTCTTGCCTGAGCTTGAGCAGGGAATGTTCGATCCTGGATGGCGTATCAGAGTGAGCGGACAGTCTCGGCCTCCAGCTTTTGCTTTCTGACCCTTCTCCTAGCAATCGTCCATTACGTTGGTTGGTGAACTGTTGTTCAAGGTCTCCGGTATTAGCGGGAAAACCGAAGTCGATGAAGAAGAGGTGGCTGCTACGACAGTGGCAGATTCCTCTCGAAAAGCTCTTGTCGAGGTTCTTGGAGCTGAGCGCCGTGACCGCATTCTATCATCCTTGTATCTTGTCCGTCAAGATAGTGTTATGGTTGTCCGACAATCCTCCATCCATATATGGAAAGCCTTAGTCTTCAATACTCCTCGCACAGGTACGTACCACTTTTATGACGTTCGGCAGCTGCTTGACGCTAGAACGCAGTGCGCGAAATTCTCCCCGACCTTGTCACCCAGATTATACGGCTTATATCGGGCGACGAGCCTGAACAACAGGAGGTGGATATCAGCTCGAAATTTGCAAAATGACTACTTACCGACTGATCACAGATTGCTGCCCGCACCACAACGGAGATATGTCGCAAATCCGGCGAGAAGATCATGGGTGAGATTATCACAGCGCTGAAGAGCAAGTCTTCGTCGTCGGACTCGCGTACGCGCGAAGGAGTGTGCCTCATGCTTTGCGAACTTATGTTCGTTTCGCACCTATCGCATCCTGTGCTTTCTGTGCTGATGACACCTCTAGGGAAAGCTCTTCTGAAGGCCAGCGCGATAGCTATGAGGACGAGATCATTACCATGGTTCGTGTCTCCTTAGTCGACGAGGAAGCCAATGTACGGGCAGCTGCAGCCAAGGCATTCGATATCCTCCAAGAGTTTATCGGCGTCAAAGCTATCGATGCTACTATTCCAACTTTGTTAGAAGCTCTTCGTCAACCAGGACAAAGTTCCGGCACGGCCCTTCAAGCGTTACGAGAGGTCATGTCTGTAAGTCATGTCCAAATCCCTGGTTTCAGTCGTAATTCTGATGAATCCCAGGTCCGAGCTTCTACAGTATTCCCTGTTTTGATACCAACCCTTACGGCTATTCCGATGTCTGTGTTCAACGCCCGAGCGTTAGCGTCTCTGGTCACTGTGGCCGGCGACGCGCTGAGCAAGCGCCTGACGCCCATCATGAATGCTGTGACCAAGGCGATGGAAGATGGCGGGGAAGACGAGCTGGTAAATGCCGTGGATGAAGCTATTGAGGCTCTCATGGGTGCTATTGAAGATGCTGAGGGACTGAATACCTTGATGATGATACTCTTAGGATGGTAAGTCGAAATTCGTCCGGGCATTGATCGGCACTCATACCCGCATTTCAGGGCTAAGCATGATTCCCCTGTACGTCGTGCTAGCGCCTACAAACTGTTCGCGGTCTTCTGCGAGGCAACGGAGCTAGACACATCGTTGTATCGCGTCGACTGGATAAGGCAGCTTGTTTCCGGCCTCGAAGAAAAAGACTCTGCGATCCACACCGCCGCCTGGAGTGCCTTCGACGTTTTCGTCAAGTCTACTCCTAAAGATGAATTGGAACCTCTCGTTGTACCCCTCCGCCGCAGTATCGAGTCTTGCGGACCGCCAGGCTATCACGTTCCAGGGTTTAGCATACCCAAAGGCGTCGCCCCCATGGTGCCCATCATTATTGCCGGTCTTACCACCGGGAGCAACGAACAGAGGGAGAATGCCGCCTATGCGATTGGCGACCTTGTCGAGCGCACAGAAGAAAGCGCTATCAAGCCATTTGTCGTGCCATTCACCGGCCCTCTCATCCGCGTGGCTACGCAAGCAACGACGTATCCTCCTGCGGTAAAGACAGGGCTTCTAAGTGCCTTGATGTCTATGCTCCAGCGCATACCTGCATTCGTCAAACCGTTCTTCCCACAACTCCAGCGTACCTTCGTAAAAAGTGCGGGTGATCCAGCAAGTGTCATCGTTCGAAACAAGGCTGCCCAGGCATTGGGGGTCTTGATGAAACACCAGCCGAGAGTGGATCCTGTCGTTACCGAACTCATTTCCAGCGCGAAAGGTGCCGACGATGCGATCGCAAGTAGCTTGGTCTTGTCTCTTGCGTACGTCATAAAAAACGCGAGTGCCAATATCGGAGACAAGGCTCGGGAAGCATCCGTGGAACTTGTAGCAGAAGCATTCCGCGAGAATCATGACGGTGTGTTATACCTCTGCCAGTGCTCGTAGTTTGACTGACCTTTCCAAGATCACTACACACAATCCATTGCAACTTTGTTCAAGTCGCTAGGGGTATACGAGCAGTTACTGGAACCCATCGTCAAGTAAGGACATCTCTCACCCCACTCGTCTCTATCCTGAACACGAGCTCTGCCCTTGTAGATCCAACCTTTGTTCAGGGACACCTCCGTCTGTCATATCTTCTCGGATCATCCTCACTGTATTGAGCCCGGATGACGACGACGAGAACGAGGTCACTTCATCTCCTAACATTTTCCAGCAGTTAGGTGTTCTGCGCAGCGTTGCACAAAAGGTCCAGGAAAGCATGGGCAATGAAAAGTCATCGATAGCACGTCCGGCTCGTGAAGCTCGCGACTTGCTAAAAGACTTGGAGGATGAAGATTTACGAGGTCTTTTCTAACGATATACGTACACCACATTGCAGTTTTGTAGTAGCAAGATACATCACATCTCTTTTTCAGATGAACACCTTGATGTCCCTCTGGTTTAATTCACACAACAGCAGCATGGCGCAGGGGAAGCGCGCAGGGCCCATAACCCTGAGGTCACTGGATCGAAACCAGTTGCTGCTATAACTCATTTTTTGTTAATGCGGAGTTGCATGAATTAAAGCATTTATTGGTCGTCGAGTTGAATATGGAGTAACTCCATCAGTTTTGCTAGCCCAGCGTTGCCTCCCAGTCTAGCTATCTCCTCCAGTGTCTTCTGCTCTAGTTCGCGTATGACAGACAACGTGTAATCAAACGACTTTGTCTTCGTGCGTAGGTACTCGATCGTATGGCGCTTCAAGGTAGGAGTAGAAGGTCGCTTTTGCAATACATCTGTCGACATCAAGATCAGCGCCATGTACACACTACACAATGAACACGCACTAAGAATCTGTCGATTGGACGTATCGGCACGGATACCGTGTACGACAGGGAACGAGAATTTCCCCTCAGTAAGGTCCTCCGCGAACCCTTTGTTGACAGAGTATTCGCTGCTCTGGAGATTCATGTAATCGTCCCGGATCTGGTAATACACACCGATGAGATTGACAACGGGGACATAGTCTCTGCAGCATCATCAGTGAAGGGGATAGCGTATACCGCACGACATACACGTCGGTGTTTGTGGTGGAACACGCCATCATAAGTTTGATCCCGATCCGCAGAAGACCGCCGGTTTCTGAGCGAGTGTAAGCGGCGTACATGCTCAAGGGGCGGAACGCACTGAAGTTGACCATTCGAACATATTCCTCTTCGGTAGGGCACTGCAGACTATCTCTCCAGAGAATTTCGAGGCCCTGCCCGCGATGTAGACAAAGCAACTCCTCTTGTCCCCTACCGTCAGATGAAGAAACCCCCAACATTGACGCACTCACCAGTGACAATGCCGTCCAAATCTGCATTGCTGCCCTGCCTTAATGCGAACAGTTCTTTGAACGCCTGGAAATAGACGTAGTTTGCAGTGTTGATTGTTTGCGGTATTCCATATATCTTGTGGGCGACTGTGGATGCGTGAATTTCTGAGATCTGTGGGTCCAGAAACTAAAGAGACGAACCGGGATTTCCGCGCCGGAGCTGTGAGTCGTCTTCGATATCGTCAACTCTGCCTCTCAACCATCAGCGATTTCGCTTCGATCTGAAGATGTATGGTACTCACAGCAGACTTGCTGTATGTAGCATGTTGACGACCTTGGCGATTGTTTGCAGTTGGGCTTGAGGGACATTGAGCCATAGGTTGAATGCCTCAATCATGCGGGTGCGGACATCCTTGCCAGGATTGTCGCTGATGTACGAGTATGGCTCGAGTATCGCCTGGATCGCCGTCAGCCAGTCTTGATCTGAAATGCGGGGGGACGTACGCTCTCATTCGCAGTGGACCAGGAATCTGCATCGGTGAGGGCTTGCAGGATGTTGGAGTGAGTGGACATTTCTGGATGTCGACTTCTGATATTGTTTGGTCCTGAAGTGCTGCGGGCTCGGTTTTATAGCAATAGCTCGCGCTGTACCACTTACGCCGGAATGGCGATCCCCTGCAATTTCGCGCTAGCGCTATCAGATCCGATGGTGTGACTACTATGGTCAGCGACACAGTCAGATGCACGCCCACAAAAGCCAACGTTTCCTACGTTAACAAGTTAGATACACGGCTACTGCACTTATCATGAAAGCCTCGGCCCAGTAAACGTATTATTGAAGAATCATCTGAGTGCAATAGTCACCGAGCTTGCCAATATTGGGCACACACCAGGTGCTAGCCAAATTAATAGTATGTAACAATGATTTCTGCCCCTCGGCTGGGCGAATGGATATCCTTTCATCATTTCGTCATCCGATACAGTTGAATCTACCTACACATATGTATAAAGCGCGCGCACGGCTGTTAAATCCTGACCTGCAGTGTACAGCTAATTGGTGTCCTGATCGACCATGCCCATCGACCATTGTATCAGGACATTTATGACTCGGGCGTCGTATTAGAAGTGATACCGTTGGACGCCCTTGAGAGCCTTGGTTTCTTCGGGCTCCGTATTCCGTCGGCGAAGGCCGCAGCGCCTGCGTTATCTGCGAATGAAGTGGACTTGCGTTTGGCACTACTGCGAGGGGTGTTTGACGGCCCTGAAGCGCGTGGGGGTTCGATGATATCTACAAGGACGTCGGCGGCAAGTGGAAGCATGGACGATTCGATGGCTGATGTCCTGATCAACGCCAAAGGGAATTCGGGGGCGATTGACGTCAACTCGCCCGATGAATCCATTTGTGGAGGTGACGGGGTCGAGGGGGGCGCATCCACATCAATGATCGTTACTCCCATGTTTGGTGTTTTCGGTGCAATTGCTTCTGACGGTGAACTACGAAGTATTCGGAGAATGTCTGCTTTGGCTCGGAAGATGTTAGGCCGCTCGGATTGCTGCACTAGCCGAATCCGGTCCGCAAGCTTGATCATACTCGAGCACTTCATGTTTTCGATACGATCCGTATGTGGTGAGCCAACGGGAATGATTGAATCGACGAAGAACGAGGTAGGGGAACGGTAGATGTCATCCCACGGAATTGCGGAGAGTGTGCCGGGGGCCGGGAACATGGAACCTGCGACGATATGGTTAGAATCAGTGGTTTAACAGGATAGAACACACGGGTACTCACTCCAGTATGCCATAAGAAACAGCTTCACTTTCGCTCGATACTCCGAGAAAAGTTCATCATCCTCGATCTCAGGGAGTAAGTAATGTCCTAATTCATTGCGAGGAAAACACCCTCATAGAGGTCGTCGGGTTCAACTTCCGCAGGAGGGCCTAAATCATTGCAATATGAGACAGAGGTGCGGGGAATTCGAACAACCTCACTTCGTGAAACACGGTCCTTGGCAAAGTGATAGAAGACAGGTAACAGTTTATCCTTGAACTCGGGCGCCTCGCCAAAGCGGTCACATTCGCCGAGTCCAGCACTGTGGTACGAAACTAATCAGTAAAGCGTGTCACGGCGATGGCAAGAGATAATCGTTATTCACTCACCCGCCATACCTCCGTTTCCCATCCTTCGTGTTGAACATGAATTGGAAAGCAAAGCCGGCGTGTCCGACCTGGTCTGGCTTCGTCCCCACCGCCGCCGTGACGACCTGTCTAATGGTGTTCAAGAGAGCCATCTGACAGCTAAATCACACATCAGTGCCGGCGATGTAGTACTAGTGAGTTGACTCAAGTGATCAAACTCACGCTTCAATGTCTCCGTAGATTCTCTCTCGCTCTTCCTCTGCTTTGGCCTCATATTGGGCTTGCTGGGCGGGGGTTAGCGAACGCCATTCTGCGGCCCGCAAAGCCTCAGCCAGACGCCCAACATGTTGCTTGGAACTTTCGTCCTTCGTGCGACGATCGCGTATTACGGCGGCTCTGTGAGCCTCTCCATGTTCTTCATTAAAAAGCGAACGCGCGGTAATCGCGTTGATGGTCGAGGCAAGATATGGAGGCGGTGTCAAGCCTTCGCTTGCTGGTGTCCTCCTCGCGATCGTGTCGGACCTGCGTTGAGAGACAATCTGATTACGGATATTATTCCACTTTCTCTCAAATTTCGTCTGTATAAGTCATTAGGACGCCGAGATAGCTTTCTAGGCACTAAATGTATACCTGTGTGTCGGCATCGGTAGCGAGACCGTTTGACTTCCATTGCGCGAACTTTTCACTTTTCATCCTTGAATACACCGTACTGGAGATTGTTGGCCTTCGTTGGGGATCACTGAAGGTTGCGACCAATTCGCGAGCTTGTGTGACATGACGTTGGATGAATTTCTCTCCCGCTTCACCGAGCTTGAAGCGCTTATCGCGGTGGTATCCATCAGGAGGGTGAACTGTGATCTCGGGGAAAGTGAAAGTCGGTTCGTTTTCGTTGTCTGACATCGTGCGGACGAGAGAAGTCGAAATAGGCGAAAAATTGGGAATGGGTGGAGTCTGACGAGATGCATCCTCCTCGAAGTTATAAGGCGATCCAATGTCGCCAAAGTGGCTTGTTCATCTGCGAGACGGCCAAAGAGATTCGTGAGACAAGAGCAACACGCATTGGCCGTGCCACTTACTATAGTCACTGAGCAGTATGCGGTGGTAGAGGGAACAAAGAAACTTGCCAGAGTCGAAGTCAGACAAGAGTACCAGAATATGACAACAGTCAGTGGCTGCCGCTTTGGCCCAGCTAGAGTCTTAGGTCTATGTCCACTACAACAACCACTCTGCATACGTTGAAGGGAAGGGAGTCCTCGCCGTAAAGCAGCCTTGAAGACATTCCCCTGCAATGCCAACCTTTCATCCTGGCAGTAGCGCCTCGTACGAGGCTATCATCTATGTGCCCATAGAAGACCAGCTAAGAGTCTAGTCACTGAGTTCCTCGCAAGAAATTCGGCATAGAGGCCGTCTCATCGGCTATGCGATGATTGCAGAGACTTTCGCAGTAACTCATAGTGTACAGAAGAGAGCAAAGTCAGAAAATGCGTCGGAGCTTTGTTGCCACCAACCCTAATCCGACCCTAATATGAGGTTAGGGTTAATAGTTTGTTTATCACCTCTCGGTCCAAACAACCGTAATTTTACTCCGTCACGAAGTTCAAAATTTGAACGTCGACTGACCGTGTTCACCAATCCCAGTGAATGGGGACCACAATGGACGTGGACGCGCCCACGAATCGCTTCAAGGTGAGTATCTGCTTGAGACGGTGCTGAAATATCTACCTGAACATGTATCCACAGCATAAATCATACAACGATTCACTACGAGAGGTCCACCTGCCGTCTGCCCTTGCTCAAACAGAGCTCGAACACAAGATTGGGGTCAGTCGAAATATTCATTGGGATGTCTGGAACAACACTTACTAGCCGTTGCATAGGAGAACGGCTCGCAATTCTACGAATCACTACAACATTGGAAGCAGCTTAACCTTTCTCCATCGTTTCTTCAATATGCCAACCTGGTAGAACCGCTGTCGGCTTCCATGCCCCTTTTGCTGCATAATTGGAGGGATGTAGTAAAGCTCTGGCTGGACGCGTTGGCATCGTCAAATGACGAGGGTTTCAAACCTCTTCTCGAGTACGTACGTTTCCCCCACGCTTGGCCACCAACTCACTTGTCGTAGCTTGATGCAGAATCTAGCACACGATCTGCGGACGACACTTTTGCCTATGTATCCTGACATACTAGCCCGACTGTTGAAACTTTTGACCCGTTCGATATCAGCCGCCTCCCTATCCACTCTTCTAGCAACTTTCTCCTCCCTGTTCAAGTTCCTGCTCGTGCCCTCCATACGCTTCGATCTACTGGAAACGACGTGGGCTGCAATGTCCAAGACCTTACGTCAATGTATTCCGGAGGTACAACGCGCCGTGGCCGAAGTTTGGGGTTCAGTGTTGCGTCGTTTAAAAGCAACTGGGCGTGAAAAGGCAGTCCAATCCATTGCAAATGACCTCGAAGGGCTAGAGGATGCGTCCGCGTGGTGCCTCGTCTTCGCATGCAAAGTACATATACCTCTCAGTTCTCCGGCTTGTATCTAACGTTCATTCTTTAGTCTGTATCACAGACACTACACACATCAACACTCTCCTTGCTATCGCCATTGATCTCCCTGTATTCATCAGCATCTCAGCCCGATGCCTTGTATACCTTGATTCGACGGCTCATCACGGCGCTTATTCACCACGTCAAGAATGCAGAGCAGTTTACGCCTCTCGGCGACTATCTCGTTACACTGTTCCTTGAGTCTTCGAAAGCCGCTAGCACCGAGGAGGAGCAAGAAAGGCTTAGGCGGAGCTTAGAGCTGATTGGAATACCTTGTGCTGTTCGCCAGGGTTCGCGGTTAACTGGTGCGTCGGATGAATTACCACAACTGAGCCTTTCATTCATTCCGCCATATACAACAGAAAAGCACCTTAGTTCAATAGCTAATGAACTCGCTAACAATGTCCCCAAAATGTCCGCTTTGCATCACGCTCTTGGGAAGGTCACTGCTGCAACATTACTCGCTGGAGAAATGGGACTGTGGCTTGGACCAGGTCGCAAGTTGTTAGAGAGCTCGTGGAGCGATCCAGCGTACGCCATCAAGCTTCACGGAGCTCTGGCGGATCTAGGATGGGGTGGGTGGAAATCATTGGCACTTCCCAACGTCCTGAAGCAAACACCAAACTTGCTGCAAAATGATCCTCACAACACCATTCACCTCCTCTCTGTCCTACATCGTGACAAACGTTTGGGCGAGGTCGATCTCGTATGGAAGCAGCGATTTAACACTTGGGCTAGCGGGCAGCTCCGAAATTGGGAGCTTACCGGCGATGCAGTACGTTCCCGTTCCATTTTTGCTGTGTGCTCGGGCTCATCGTATGCTAGGTCATGGACTTGGGGAGTATTTTATCGATGGAAAGCTATATCACCACACTGGGCCCTTCTTTGATTTCAATAATCGAGAGGAGTCTGAGTTCGATCGACAATGACGACGGTGAGACCATGATTGCCAGTAGATCCAGGGTAGTTGGCGTATGCTTGCAGGCACTTGCCAAACGGAATCCCCAAGAGTGGAAAGACGGATTGGACTTGGTAGCCTGCACTCGTAGATGCGTAGCACGGTGGGCAGACTCGGAATGGGTGCTCGGTGGCTTGGATGCCTTATGGACTGCTAGGTAAGTTTGTGTGCGCTTCGTCTGGTCGCCCTTCTTACATTTACTGGTTAGCGGTATATCTTCGGCACTCCCCTTGGACGAAGTTTACCAGAGCCTCAACCGATCTATCCTATCGCATTCGAGAGCATTACGTCTGCACTCATTACGCCTGCTGTCATCACCCTTCGTTCAATCTTCAACCGCTCAACGGGAGGTCCTCAAGCGATGCCTACAAGGGGAGGAAGTCCCCCTTGATATGCAAGGAGTCCGGGAACGTGTTCTCCGCATAGGAAGACTCAGTCAGCTTATAAGGGACGATGATGAACTAGTGGCTGATATCTGCGTACGATGGCTCTTAGGTCAGTTTCCTGATTAAACCTTAATATCCCATTTATTAACAGATAGTTCAGCTCAGCTCAAGGTTAATCTCCGTCCATTATGGTCACCTGCCACCGGTGCTTTGTCGACTTTGTCAGACAAGTTTGGTTCCCAAGTATGGGCCATCCTCCTTGAAGAGTTGAAAACACTTGTATCCACCACCAACGACGCTAGGGAATCGCCAGGTGAAAATCAGAATGAGAGCGAAGGTGACGACCCGAGTGATCCTTGGGAAGAAGAAAAGATGTGGCGCGATCCATCAGCTCATAAGATGAGAGGAGTAATGGCACAGTGGATGAATGAGGATTGGCATCGGACTGGCGCGTTGACGGTAATGCTACTCCCCCTCGGGTTGTTTATCTACGCTAACTTTAATTAAGCGTGCACAGACTCCGAACGCTCGATTTGACCGGCAGTCATACGAAGTGCAGCTGTTGTCGTGCCTTTCGGAATGTCATAGACTTGCAGAAAAGCACAACAAGGACTTGGTCCCCCTTTTCCTCTCCTTTTCGACCAGGTCTACCGGCGCGAAGCCATCGCGGACGAAGCTAGCTGCGTGGCTTACGCTGTTCTCCAAATTCAGCAATCCCAAAGCTCTTTATGCGACCGAGGCTCTGCATTCCGTATATACCGTCCTCCTCTCCCATCCCGACCGCACTCTCCAAACGCTCGCTCTTTCCTGCATATTGACGTACAAGTCCCCACATCTTACGCCCCACGAAGATGAAATCAAATCGTTGCTCGATGTTACTCGGTGGAGGGACGCACTTACGAATCTCGACCTGTCGACCCTTGAGGGCCCTACTCGTACGGAAGTTATCAACACTATCACCAGGCTTCTCTTCGGCATTATGCTCGAGAAGAAGGGCCGTAGTCGCGGGGCTGACCGCAGAGCAGCCGTCCTGGGCACGCTGGCGTCGTGTACTGACGAGGAATTGTTCTTGCTCGTTGACCTCATGTTACATCCAACCACTTCTACCTCACTGGTGCCGCCAATGGATGGCCAAAGCACGATGTCACTGTCCGAAGAGAAACAGCAGCTGGGCTTCTTGACACTACTGGGCGACGTGTTGAAGAACCTTGGATCAAGGCTGGTGGCATATTGGCCAATGCTGCTGAGCCAAACGATTGCGATTACCGCACGGGCCCATTCACGCTTGACTTCGCGTAATGAAAATGAAGAAATCGAAATTGATGACGACGCAGAAGAGGAAGAGGACGAAGAAGAGGCCTCGGGCTCAAGTACTTCCAAGAACACGCGATTGATACGACAGACAGGACTTAAGCGCTTCGCTGATTTTTTCCGTCAGCCGGTATCATTCGACTTCACTTCATATATGAAGGGGGCCTTCGAATCCTTTATATCCCCACGTATCGATGACCTCGACAAGGAAAATATACAAGCACCATCCGCTCTTCTAGAATTGTTCTTCACCTGGACTCTCCAAAGGGATTATGTGCCCTATTTGATCAGTTTCGACAACAGATTGATACCTAGTATCTATAACTGTCTCGTTGCAAAGAATGTCAAAACATCCGTCATCATGAAGATATTCGACATTATCGATAGGCTGCTTGTCTGGTCGTCAGATGATGATACCATCTCTGCCTCCGTCGTCATCCCGCACATGTCTTTACTGTTGGGAAATATAGCTGTCTTAGCCGAGAGGACGTCTGGCAACAAAACAGTGGCTACGCCGCTGGGCCAACGCGAGATTCACATCCTCTCTCAAATTGCGCCTTACTGCAGAGATCAGGGCCAGGCATCAAGACTGCTTAAACTCTTCATCCCTTTGTTGCGCAAGCCAACAAAGGTCGTACCGGAGACGGTCAAGGTTGATTTGGTCAAGATCATTTACAACATCATGCCTATGATACCCGAGCTGGCAGCCCCGTCAGATAGCCTTTCTATGAAGACGTACGAAATGCTCTCGCAGCTGTTCCAAACCCTGCGCTCCCGCCAAGGCCGCCTTGCCATTGTTCAAGCTTTCCACCGCTTTGCATCTATCGACACCACCTTACAGGACGTCGCTGACGTATTGACATCCCTCAACTCCTACTCTCCTAAACGTATCGAGGAACCGAACTTCGAACGTCGCTTAGAAGCCTTTAACTTGCTCAACGAGATCGTTCATAGCAAACTTTCGTGTCGACAGTGGCTTCCTTTGCTCTACAACTCACTGTATTTCATCCAAGATCCCACTGAGCTCTCTATCAGAAGCAATGCCTCTTATGCACTTCGCCGCTTCATCGACCAGGTAGCCGAGGGTGAAAACGTCGACGAGTTTCAAGCGGGCTTCTTGAGAATGTTGTATCCCGGTCTCAAGAACGGCCTGCGTTCCAAGAATGAAATGGTACGGGCTGAGATATTGGGAGTCCTTTCCTATGCTGTGGATCGGTGCACTCGAATTGCGAGTCTTCAGGAAATGCGGATACTCCTCGCGGGTGGTGATGAAGAAGCGAACTTCTTCAACAATGTCCTCCATGTTCAATTCCACCGCCGTTCCAGAGCCCTGCGGAGGCTCGCGGAAATATGCGAAGCAGGTCATATTCGCAGTAGCACTCTTAACGAGATATTCGTCCCCTTGGTTGCCAACTTCATAGTGTCGACGTCCACCCTCGACCATCATCTTGTTAATGACGCGATCTCAACAACTGGTCGGATGGCCAAACATCTTCTTTGGGGCGCTTATTACGCTCTGGTGCAAAAGTACCTCAAGCTGACTAGCGACAAGGATGAAGCCGAACGTGTCTACGTTCGAACATTGGTTGCCATCTTGGAAAGCTTTCACTTCCCGATGGACGAAGCCGTAGCCGTACCGCAAGACGTTCCAGAGGCGGGTCTGGAAGACGTGGATGATGAGCACCCCCTCGAAGAGCCATCCGCGCCTCAGGCGGCTGCAATCACCACCAAGGTTGCCGACGCTGTGCAACAACGTCTTCTCCCTCGGCTCCTGAGCCATCTAGAGAAACGGGACCCAACTACCGAAGACGGATCTCGAATCCCTATTGCTCTTGGTATCGTGCAGGTGGCTCAGCATCTTCCAAGTAAAATGCGAGAGCCCCAGGTATCTAGGCTTCTGACCATCCTCAGCCAGATTCTGCGCAGTCGATCCCAAGAAACACGTGACTTGACGCGCGACACCATCAATCGAATCGCCATCACTTTGGGATCTGCCTCTCTTCCGACATTGCTTCGTGAGCTACGCGCCGCTCTACTACGAGGGCCACAGTTGCACGTTCTCGCCTATACAACACACTCTTTGCTTGTGCGCGTGACATCAGATGAACACTCAAAACAGTTCGACGTACTGGATAGCTGTGTAACCGACGTTGCTCACATCGCTACCGAGGTCGTCTTTGGGGAGTCGGGTAAGGATGTCCAGTCGGAGGATCTCAAGACAAAAATGCGTGAAGTTCGGGCTTCCTCATCAAAGGGCCTTGATTCATTCATGATCATGGCCAAGCATATCCGCCCCTCAGCTATAAGCGGACTACTGGCTCCCCTTCGGTCGATCATGCATGAAACAGAGTCGTTGAAGGTCATGAATCAAGTCGATGAAGTCCTGAAGCGTATTGTAAGCGGCCTCAATGCGAACCAACACCTCGTGCCAGCGGAACTTCTGGTGCTGTGTCATACGCTGATAACCCAGAACGCGAACTTCTTGAACCAAGCCCCTGCGAAACGGAGAGCGCAAACGAAAGACGACGTTATTGTGCAAATCAAGCGCCAGATAGCAACCGACACAGATCATTACTCTAACAATGCTCACCGGTAAGCCATTTCGCGCCGTCGCCGCGACAAGTCTAATCAGTCTCCAAAAGATTTGTGGCTTTTGGCCTTGATCTCTTCAATACTGCCTTGAAGCGCGGTCGCTTTGATTTCAAAGATCGCGATATCATGTCACGCTTGGGGGGAATGATTGTGGCTGTCGGGAACACACTCTACTCGACTGACAGTCCCGTGCTTGTATTGGGTCTCAAAGCCGTCGCAGGCCTGGTTAAGTGCCCGTCCAAGGTCCTGGAGGAGTCGCTCCCGGTCTTCATCCGTCAAGTCCTAGATATCATCAAGCAAACTGGTAGCACGGAATCGGAGGTCGTGCAGGTCGCATTCAAATCTTTGGCTACTATTCTCCGTGACGGACCAGCGGTTCATGTCCAAGAGAAGGACCTCGTCTACTTGTTGGAACTGCTCGGCCCTGATCTGGAAGAGCCTACACGGCAGGCATCCGTATTCGCCATGCTTCGCGCAATCGTAGGGCGGAAGTTCGTTGTCCCCGAAATCTATGATGCGATAGACAAGGTTTCCGAAGTTATGGTCACCAGCCAGTCCGCGCAAGTTCAGGAACTTTGTCGCAGCGTCATCTTGCAATTCCTCTTGGACTACCCACAAGGCAAGGGTCGACTTCGCAACCACATGACCTTCCTTGCCAAAAACCTATCATATGTGTACGACAGTGGTCGCAAGTCGGTAATGGAACTGCTGGGGGCCGTCATCACGAAGTTCGACCAGAAGCTGATCATTGAATATGCCGATCTCCTTTTCGTCTCCCTCGTCATGGTCATCGCCAACGATGACTCGGCTAAATGTCGCGAAATGGCTTCTGAATTGATCAAGAGTCTTATCCTTCGTCTAGACGAAGAGCGTCGGAAAGTCATGATGTCACATCTTCATGCATGGGTATCGCAGCAAAGCCAGGTTCAACTGATTCGTGTTTCCCTGCAAGTCTATGGCCTCGTTGTGGATATAATGCAGGCCGACTTGGACTCTCAAGTCTCGATTATATACACCGACATATCGGGATCTTTACAATACAGCACGAAGCTTCTACAATCAGTGACCGAAGAAGCCAACATGGATATCGACTTGGATTGGCAGGTTCCTTATCATTCGCTTCTACTCCTCGAAAAAGTCCTCCGTATCTTTCCAAGCCATACGACCGACGGGGGTAAAGTTCCTTGGGACACCATCACGACACTCCTACTGTTTCCGCATGCGTGGGTGCGAACAGCATCTTGTAGACTGCTCGGGATGCTTTTCAACGTAGTCCCTGCTGGACCTCCTTCGTCGTACCTCCCAACCGCAACAGATGCTATCAACATTTTCTCTGTCTCAGGGTCTAAGAAAACGGCCGAGAAGTTATGCGTGCAGTTGAAGAGCGAGCATCTCGATGAAGCGCTTAGTCTCCAAGTGGTCAAGAATTTGTTTTACTTGGGCAAATGCTTTGCGGCGATGCCCCTGGCTGACGAGGTAGAACGCGAAGAAGACGAATCATCTGTTAGGGCGAGTCCCCTCCCGTGGCTATTCTCCAAGCTTTCGTATCAGATAAAATCTGCACATATCGCTCGGCGGAATAAGCCTTCGGCTAATGTAGGTACCTTCGCCATATATATTTACTACCAGTGTCTGACCGGCGTCAACCTATCTTAGGCCAACTGGACCCAGCAACCTCTTGCAATCCTGAAGTGGTTCGCTGCAATGACATCCCATTTAGACGCCGATACATTGGAGCGTTTCCTGGTTCACATTTTGACACCAATGTACCGGATCCAAGACGAAGATACTATTCGGGATGAGAAGCTAGGTATGTCGGCACGATAATACGCTGCTTCTTGCCCGGATTGACATTACACACAGAGGAGCTCAAAACTGTCGCATCTGAACTGCAAGACTTGGTGCAAAGCAAAGTTGGCGTCACCAAGTTCTCGACGATATATCAACAGATAAGACAAGGTGCGCTTGACGTACGACGGGATCGCAAGGCGACTCGGGCAATACAGGTACTACTGTCATGCGAATATCTCCTTTGAATGGTGGCTGACGAGGTTCATACCCAGGCGACAATTCACCCAGACCTCGCCGCAAAACGACGCAACCAACGCAACATCGTCAAGAAGGAGAGTAAGAAGAGAAAAACGCAAAGCTTCCCGTAAGTACTTCCCGCAAGCTCTTAAGCTCACCCCTAATAATGTCTGTTACAGTGAACACAAAGGCAAAATGAAGCGAAGGCGGCAGGACTAACACTGACCAGGGAGAGACTGCATCATGTATGACTTTCACGACCATTCACGACCCATTGCATCGCAATTTACCACAATCATTTATCTTGCATTATTCAATCTTCGTTCACTTTGCATAATATCTATGTATGTATGTAGAAATAGAGTTAGTGTTGTACATGTTCGTGTCCAAGCGCGATCATTGTCTTCATGGCACCCCTATAAAACAAGCTGCCTCACATCACTTGGGACCCGGTCTTTCTGACTCCCCCTTCGAGATTCAGGCAGCTTGAGCGAGAGATCGATTGGCGGCTACGAATTCATACATTCGCATTGCCACAACGAGACGGATAGAAGGAAGACCACCGAAGAAGACCGATGAAGGAACAGGCGCGCTATCACGTGACTGAAAGGTCGTGGCGTAGCACCACTGTACACTGGACGGTGATTGTTTCCTTTCGACTTCCATCATGCCAGAGCAGAACAAATACACACCGCGCAGATGGCGCCACTCGCTCTGCTCAACCTACATCACTAGCAAACTCGCCACGCAAAGGCAACTCGTCGTCCAAGATCACCCTGAGATCCCTGTTGTATCCCTCGAGTTCTTCCGGACTGTCACCCCCGCTGTACCGGACACAATGCGGGATGCCGTCTTGGCCAAGCTGAAGGAGGATGGTTCCATTACGAGCACTGGACGAATGTTCGGCTTTGCGAAGAATGACCCCAAGAACAGTGGCCGTCCAGAGAACCACACGTTCACCCACATACATAATTTCACTAAGGCGATTATACGCGCCGGCGAGGATCATACGCGCCAAAAATCGTGTATGACGTTAGGCCACAGTCCAAACTCGACTCCCTCGAGTGAGAGGGAGAACTCGTCGCGTCCTGACGGCTTCGGGCGTTCCGCCATGGCACAAAACGTCGACGAAGTTGCGGAGACCAACCTCGCTCAACACGACGACGAGGTTACGGAGACAGAATTTCCCAAGCCCCTACCGTCATGGAGTGGCATAATACTCGCTAAAGAGGACAAGAAAGCTGAGAAGGAGTCAGACGCTTTAGACGTAAGTGCACCGCTCTCACTAATCTAATTCTGAAGCCAAGTCGTGTGGCAGAACTTTGCAAAGGTTATGTGGAGCGGGCACCACATTCTTCGAAATGACCCACGTCGAAATTTCTGCTTTGGGATTACCACAGAGAACGCGACCTGTCGTCTGTGGTTTTTCGCGCGTTCTCACATCATGGTCTCAGAACCATTCAACGTGATCACGGTGAGCGACTCCTTTCATCACCTTCAACGCCTTTACCTATCATGTATAGGACCACACTCCGCTCGTTCGATTCATTCTGAGCCTCTCGTTTGCCCACGTTCTGTCGACGAAGGCATCAAGATCGTCTCTCACCGGGCAAGCAAGTCTACCCACCGTTGACTCTTCATCAGCGATATCTGCAAGTTCCCCTCTTACCGCGACATCAAGCTATTCCACCATCAATGATGACATTACTCCCTCTGAGCCAGCATCTGGAGTCTCCCCCCTCTCCGCACAATCGAGTCAATCTACCATTCACGGGAAAGTATCAGCCGATGCATCTAATCCCTACACTTCAATAGACTATGACTTTGCTTGGGAAGCGCATGGCTACGACCCTACGATACAACGGCAAGCTCATAGTGTTTATCGTATTCGCGTCGGTGACACATGGTATATCACTGCGGGAATATTGTCCGATTCTCGAGCGGAATGTATTTGCGGCCGCTGTACCCGAGTATGGAGGGTGTACGAGGACAAGAAGTATGAGGAGGGCGAAGAGAAGGTATATTACGCTCTCAAAGACCTTTGGGTAGATTCCAGCAACGATACGGAGGCCGCTATATGGAGGAGATTGAAAGAGAAAGTCAACCCCGATGTCTTCGACCGACACTTTCTGACGCTTGTAGCTGCATTTGAGCCGGGCGAGGGCGCAACGACGTGCAGTTTCTTCGGCCGAGGAGGCTACTCCCATGCAAAAAATGTGGATTTCATGGATAGCCAATTTATCGACATTTTAGACCTCGAACCTTCGCCGTTGATCCCGAATAAAGGAACGGAGCCTGTTTGTGAAGACAGGTTCCACATTCGAGGGGCACCAGATATGGAACCACGCGACAAACGCGCCAAGAAACGGCCCCGATATCATCCTCGCACTCATGACCGATCTATTTGGAAAGAAGTTTGTGAGACATACCATGATCACGACGACATGCAGGTGATGTTTACGATGCTTGAACATGCGGTGAAAGGTAGTTCTTTCTTGCCGCCGCGTGCGATTCTGATGTTTGCTCTGAAGCACTTGATGCGATGTGGGAGGGTGCACACGCTATTCATCGTGACATTAGTACAGGAAATATCCTGTTCGACGGCGCGAACGGTCGATTAGGGGATCTGGAATACGTCGTACTTTGTGACGACGAACCCTCTTCCTTGCATAACGTCAAGACTGTGAGCCTAACTATATTGTCGATTATCGAAGCTAATCACATGGAATAGGGGACGCTGCAATTCATGGCCGTCGAAGTTTCCTTTGGTGCATATCTATTTCGACCAAGAGCTGCCGCAGAAGATGTATTTCTGTCTCCAACCGGTGTTCTCCCTTCTCGTGGCACCAAGCCTGTGCATCCTTTTCGACACAATGTGCTGCACGACCTGGAGTCCATATGGTGGCTGGCTATGTGGTCGATCTTCAGGTATTATCCCGAGAATGTCCGCCTCGAGGTACAGGCTCTCAAGAACCAGCGCCGCACCTACGAAGCCCTTTTCTCTCCTACCTTCACCCTTGACAAGGAGCGCAATAACGCGTTAGTCAACGAAGAGCCGAGATTTCTTCTATCAATAGTACCTCCCTTCCATAACATGGGCGAACTGGCACTTCGCCTGCGGAACATGCTAACAGTTTCTTATACAATAGCGGAGGCGACGCTCCCGATCAAGTCTGACTGTCAGGTGTTTCGTCCCGCGTTCGACACAACGGCAGTATTGCTCAGACACATGAAGATGTCCCTCGAGAGAGATGGAATCGCGGGTGTTACCAGTGTCTACGAACTACTCTATCCTCAGAAACGCAAGGCAGAAGAAACCGGAGACGTCCAGGAGGAGGCACCACCGATGAAGAAATAAGCCAAAGTGGCGAATAAACTGATTTCGATCGCATCTTTTGGGATATTTGCCTTACTACTGAGCTCGTCATGAGTAAAGCGAAGAATTAGATGTTAGCCTGACTCACTGAATGTAGCTTCTTCTGCCATGGACGCTGGCAAGGTTTGAAAAGTGTCGAAGATGGCCGGGCCACTGCCAGTGTGCGACCGTCGTGACGACTAGCTCTAGTCACCGTCATACAGGACCAGATGGTAAGTCAATAAAAGTACTGACCTACAATGCTATTGCCCTTGCTATCTCACAAATAAATGCCAGATCCTGCCAGACATGTAAATATATGGTTTCTCACAGTCCATGCAAAGTAATTTGCCACCAATACGTCGCTCAGAATAACTCAATGTGATCATCCTTGCCAATGATGATCGCAGCATGATGACTGATATACCATAGCCACTCAGTACTTACTAACATGATAATAGCAAGTCCATATATGTAGTATATGTTATATACTGAAATGAGTATGAAAGCCGACGGCATAATCTTGACAATAGGTACCACGTGTTTTCATGAAGACGCGCATTTACTGATGACTGGTCAACGCAGGTGTGGTGGGTAAGTGGTCACCTTTCACCGTCGCCGTGAGACACTTTATTAAATCAAAGGGTGGGATTCGGTGAATGCGACGGCTTTACTGAGACTCCCGAGTTCAAGAATACACTGATGCCTATCTTCAAACAATTTACGAACGACCATGTCTCACGTGAGTAAGGTTGCTCAAATCCCCTCTGCTTTTGCTTGATGTCACAACAGCTTTAGTCCCGTCTATGGAACAATGCAACGATCCATACGGGCGTATTTGCTCGCAATGAATTGGGCTACTACTTACTGCCTGAGTTTGAGGATGATGAATTGTTCTCGGAATCCCGCACGAAGCTGAAGCTATTTCTGACGGCGTACTGGGGTAAATCTCCATTTATTGTATCCTACTAAACCACTAATATCAGCCTTACTATTGCAGATTCAATGTGCTCTATCCCAAACCAGCGCTCCACGATCCCGTGGGCCGACATCTACCGTTCTCCCACCTCATTCTTTGTCGATTTAGTCATCCCCGCTAGCTGGCCATCCATGGATCGTATCGAAAACATGAAGTGCTCGAGTATGATCGAGCTTGCGGACCGGATTCGGCTAGTGCAGCAATCCGAGCGGCCTAACATCTTCCGAGCCAAAGCAGACATTATCCGAATACTTCGTAGTTCACCGTCAGAAGTAGTCGCACCGAAAACACCAAACATGGGAGTAACTATCATTGATGTGGATGCGCTCCCCTCGACACCGTCACCTCCGCAGATGGATTCATCGGGCGAGTTGACGTCAATCGCCCCCGAATTCCCTTTGGCGTTGATCAGGACATCAGCCATCGAATCGTCCATGCTTCCACTTGCCGCCGACGTCCTTGTAGATATCATCGAACCCCCACGCGCTTCAGGGCCGTCAAACACCCCTCACAGTAGTGCCAAGCGCAAGTCCACTTTATTTGCAGATAACGCAGGCGCTGCGGCCTTCCCCGACGGAACACGGAGCCCAAAGAAACCAAGGCTCTCAAGGGCGTCCAACGGTATCACTTCTAATACGACGCCCAAGTCATAAACGTCCCAATACAATGGTCGATGGGCATGGTCGATCAGGACACTAATTAGTTGTACCCTGCCCATACACGGCTCGTTATGGAGGCGGAAAGCCTAGTTGAATACTTGAAGTGTAACGAGTCATACTTTTGTTCTCGGACTCTAATACTTGGACTATACTAGCACCATTATTCGTTCCTGGTGCCTTTTCGTCTCGGACTTTTCCTTCATCTGACATTTCTCTTAGCTACAAAAGCCTCCTGTACTCGTAGTTAGAAGAATCAGATTTGTTTCCCCCCCACATCGAGTCAGATTCTAAGCCGTCCGAACCTTTCTTCTCATCCGTTGTCAGAGTCTGCCGCTGTCCGAGTCCGAGCCCGAGTCCGATCCGAAGTTGCTTTCTCCTGCCGTCCTTGTCATTCTCCTGCCGTCCTCGTCGTACTATCCGAAGCCAAGTTGTCTGTCCGTGTCCGAGCGCGTCCGAAGCCATCCGAAGCCGTCCGAAGCATCCGAAGTTTCTCAGTTGTTCGTTTTCACTCTCGGACTCATCTTTATCATACTTTACTCACGCGGGTGTCGCACGGACTTGTCCTGCCGGAGGTGGACCCTCGCATTTTTACTAGACTACTATACTAGTCTACGCGTACATTTACTACTACAGTATAGACTTTGTAGTGAACTGGAAAAACAAGATGCGCCGTGAAATTGGTTATGATCCGAGAGAACTATTTCTTCATCGGCGGTGCCTCTTGTATTTCCTCTGTTTCTGCTTTGCGCTTCCGAGGATAGAGTAGCTCGTAGACACGAGTAACATTTGTGATGCCAGCTTCCTCGAGGGACGTCTTCATGGCTTTGAGCAGTACTGCTGTTGTTTCAAATGCAGAGTGGAAAACCTGACAGTCAGACTTGATCGAGAGTGTTGCCTCCGCTATCGTATAAGAGACTGCAAGCAAGTCCCGCAGATGAAGTGCCAGTTCGCCCATGTTATGGAAGGGAGGTACTATTGATAGAAGAAATCTCGGCTCTTCGTTGACTAACGCGTTATTGCGCTCCTTGTCAAGGATGAAGGTAGGAGAGAAAAGGGCTTCGTAGGTATGACGTTGCTTCTTAAGAGCTTCTGTGTCAACACCAAGGTTATCAGGATAATACCTAAAGATCGACCACATAGCCAGCCACCATATGGACTCCAGGTCGTGCAGCACATTGTGTCGAAAAGGATGCACAGGCTTGGTGCCACGAGAAGGGAGAACACCGGTTGGAGACAGAAATACGTCTTCTGCGGCAGCTCTTGGTCGAAATAGATATGCACCGTCGGAAACTTCGACGGCCATAAATTGCAATGTTCCCTGTTCCATGCGATTAGTTTCGGTAAGGGACAATATGATCAAGCTCACGGTCTTGACGTTATACGAGGAAGAGAGTTCGTCGTCATAAAATACGACGTATTCCAGATCCCCTAATCGACCGTTCTCGCTGTCATACAGGATATTTCCCGTACTAATATCACGATGGATAGCGTGTGCATCCTCCCACATCGCTTTGAGGGCTTCGGAGCAGACATCAGAAATGCACTGGGCGGTGGGAAAGAGGACTACCTTTTACTGCGTGTTCGAGCATCGTAAACATTACCTGCATATCGTCTTGATCATGATATGTCTCACAAACCTCTTTCCAAATAGATCGGTCGTGTGTGCGAGGATGATATCGGGGCCGTTTTTTAGCACGTTTGGCGCGTGGTTCCATATCCGGTGCTCCTTTCATGTGGAATTGGTCTTCGCTAAATGAGCCTGCTACTTCCTCCGGTATCGTCGGTGAAGGCTCGAGGTCTAAGATGCCGGTAAATTGGCTATCCATGAAGTCCACGTTTTCTGTATGGGAGTAGCTTCCTCGTCTCAGGAAACCACATGTCGTTGCGCCCTCGCCCGGTTCGAATGCAGCTACAAGCGTCAGAAAATGTGGGTCGAAAACCTCGGGTTTGACTTTCTCTTTCAGTCTTCTCCAAATAGTGGCCTCTGTGTTGTTACTGGAATCTACCCAGACGTCCTTTAGGACGTAATATACCTTCTCTTCGCCCTCCTCGTACTTCTTATCTTCGTACACCCTCCACACTCGAGTACAGCGGCCACAAATGCGCTCGGCCCTGGAATCGGACAATGTCCCCGCAGTGATGTACCATTTGTCACCGACGCGAATTCGGTAAACGCCATGACGTAGCCGTTGCATCGTAGGGTCGTAGTCATGCGCTTCCAAAGCAAAGTCGTAGTCGACTGACACGTAGAGACGAGAGGCATTGGCTGATATATCCCCGTGAATAGTTGATTGACTCGATTGTGCGGAGAGGGGAGAGGCTCCAGATATTGGCTCGGATTGGGTATCACCATCGATGGTGGAATGGCCCAATGTAGCAGTAAGGGGGGGGACTTGCAGATATCGACCGCGTTGATGGGTTCTCGCCAACAGTGGATAGACTTGATTGCACCGCGAGAGGCGACCTTGACGCAGTTGACAGAACGTGGGCAAACGAGAGACTCAGAACGAATCGAACGAGAGGAGCGTGATTCTATGCATAGTAGGTAAACGCGTTGGAGTCATAGAAGGAGGCGCTCACCGTGATCACATTGAATGGTTCTGAGACCATGATGTGAGAACGCGCGAAAAACCACAGACGACAGGTCGCGTTCTCTGTGGTAATCCCAAAGCAGAAATTTCAACGTGGGTCATTTCGAAGAATGTGGTGCCCGCTCCACATAACCTTTGCAAAGTTCTGCCACACGACTTGGCTTCAGAACTAGATTAGTGAGAGCGGTGCACTTACGTCTAAAGCGTCTGACTCCTTCTCAGCTTTCTTGTCCTCTTTAGCGAGTATTATACCACTCCATGACGGGGGGCGCTGTGGAAGTTGGGTAACTTCGTTGTCGTGCTGTGCAATGGTGGAACACCCGAAGCCATCAGGACGCGATGGGTTGTCCCCCCTCTCACTCGAGGGAGTCGAGTTTGGACTGTGCCCTATCGTCATACATGATTCTTGGCCTGTGTGGCCCTCGCCGGCGCGTATAATGGCCTCAGTGAATTCATGCACGTGAGTGAAGGTGTCGTTCTCAGGACGGCGACTCTGCTTGGGGTCCTTCTTGGCAAACCCCCACATTCGCCAGTTATTCGTTATAGAGCCACGCTCCTTTAGCGTTTCCAAGACAGCGTGCAATAGTGCGTCCGGCACAGCGGGGGTGACGGTTTGGAAGAACTCGAGGGATACAACGGGGATCTCAGGGTGATCTTTGACGACGAGTTCTCTTTGCGTGGTGAATTTGCTAGTTGTGTACGTCGAGCAGAGCGAATGATACCATTTGCGCGGCGTATGTTTGTTCTGTTCTGGCATGATGGAAGTCGAGAAGAAAGATCACCACCGAGTCACGTCGCGCTTCAGTTGGAATCTTCAATCACGTGATGGCAAGAACCACTACCCACGCTTGGCACTTCTTCTCATTGTCCCTACTCGTTACGCCTATCAGTCAGTCGGCAATGGATCCTTTTGAAGTGAGAATGCAATTCCTTGGTCTTCTGCGCAGGCTTAACGCGTTAGTCGCAGCAAATATGCTTCTAGAGGAATCCAGTTGACAGGTTTCAGTTCGCAGCAATCCATACAAAAGGTTGTAAGTTTCGCAATCAAATTCTTCCCGCCCTGCGGGGAGGATCTTTGGGACTGTGTAGTAGAGGAATGTCAGAAGGTATGTCCATTCCTTTCGCCATCTGCCGAATGTCACTCAGTTCGTTTCAGGGATCAATAAATTCAAGAATAAATATCTTGTACTTTCTTGATTCTCTGTGCGAGACTTGTTTGTTGGTCAAATCGCATGCGAGCACGATAGGATACGACCAGCAGCACAAATCTTCAAGTAGCAATCGCTACGTTGATTTCGTTCAACGAGACCTCAGTAAAATAGTGGAATATGTCGTGCCGGAAGGAAGGCAGGGTCTACCAAATTTGTCGAGTACTAAACAGGTACGTTTCTTCTAGTGTCCGAATATCTCTCTTGAATCGGCGGCCCAAAATTCTCAGGTGCTTGAAAGCTGGCGGTCCAAACGTGTCATAGATCCTCAAGTCATCGACAATATCATGGATCAACTGGATACCCGTAGATTCGAGTCATCTCCTGTTGTTGCCGAAGCGTCGACATCTACCTCGAGTCGATCAACTACTACTCACCTCCCCCGCGGAGAGATATTCAAACGGATTGAGGAGGATCGCGAACGACACAAGCGACTGAGGGAACGACGATGGGTACAACCGATCTCTTTCACCCCCTTGGCCCTAGCATCATTTCTACCTCTGGACGAGCCGGAAGCAACCAGTTCTGATAAAAATGGGCCACTCCCCATCGACGTGGAGTTCGAGAACGATTGGGAAACGACAAGCGATTGGAATGAGGACGACGACGAAGCCGCAATGGAAGAAAACGATCTCTGCTTCCCCCCTGAAGGCGAAGTTGCCATGGATTTGTCGTAACGTTCGCCATTGGCTTGTTGTACTGTATATCTTACGTGAGTTCCAAAATCTTAATCTCACCAAAGGTTCTCCTTTTTTGAACGAACTTCTCTCACCGAAGTCCATTCACGCAGGCTGCACGAGGCAGCCTCACGACCCCACGCTGTTCAGTTAACTTTCCGCAGCTTAATCTCATGAGTATTCGCTGCGTAGTCGGTTGACTTCGCATTTGTTTATATACTTAATTCTCAGCCTCAGCCTCACAAATTATGCAAATGACAGCATTGTGTTCCTTCGATATTATTTGCCTTCCACTGTAGCCATCAACCCGACAATACGTCGACTACAGCTTTGGTGCCCTTGTACGCAGTTGCTGCGGCGCGAGGCTCCTTTTAAGCGTTCTTCTTCGGATATCACCTTCGTGGTGTTCTTTCTTGCTGTTCATCGATAGTGGGTCCACAGAGAGCGAATCAGTGAGATTTCTTCATATATATATACGTTAGAGCTCCTAGACCGACGCTTCACCATGATCAAGCCCAAAGCTTCAACAACGAACAATGGATCTCCCGCCTCGGCTTTTCCTGTTGCAAACCCCACTCTCCCTTCTCCTATCGACGACGGTGTTGGGCTGGCAAACGTCCACCTCAACCAAAGCCGACGTAGGCTCTTGGACTTATTGAACAAGCTGTACAACACCGGGTGAGTGAGATACTTGAATCAGAATATGGCCGTTGGTAACCGACCCTTTCCGGTTTGTAGTGTGCAGGCCGACGTCGATATCCCTCAGATTGCCGTGATTGGCTCTCAAAGTGCCGGGAAATCGTCTCTAATCGAATCCATCTCGGGCATCACGTTGCCTCGAGCCGCAGGGACCTGTACTCGGTATGTTTGTTATGCCTGCGTACTATATTCATGCCGCTCATTTCTTGTACGTGTAGATGCCCCACCGAGTGCAAGTTGAGCAGTTCTTCGAGTGACTGGACATGTATAGTAACATTGAGATTCACCACGGACGTCAACGGCCAGACCCTTGGTCAACCTCGTACCATCGTGTTTGGCCCCGCCATCACCGACAAAAGCAATGTTGAAGAACGCATACGCCGAGCCCAGAGGGCCATTCTCAACCCAGGAACATCGTACCAAATATTCCTCGACGGTGATGATGAGGACCTTCCGAAATCCGAATTAACGTTCTCGACGAATTGTGTGACATTGCAGATAAGCGGGCCTGGCGTGGCCGACCTTTCATTCTGCGATCTCCCAGGTTCATCTTCTATACTTGCCCACTTCCTGATTCGCGCTTAACACCCACTAGGTCTCATCGCAAGCGTGGGGGCTGGCGGCAACAATAACGACATCCAGCTTGTCGAAAGCTTGGTTACATCATACATCTCCAAGCCGAGCTGCGTTATCTTGCTAACCGTGGCCTGCGAGAGTGAGGGTGTTTCTTGTATTCGTGGCCTGACGTTAACGAACCAAAATCTAGCCGATTTTGAGAACCAAGGAGCCCATCAACTCGCCAAAAAGCACGATCCTCACGGAAAGCGTACCATTGGTACGTAGTATCTTCAGAGGATGGTGACCATGATTTCTTGATTGCAATCACTTAGGTGTCCTGACAAAACCCGATCGTATTCCCACCGGCGAAGAGGGTCGATGGCTTAGATTTATTCAGAATGAGATCGAGCCGCTAGAAAACAACTGGTTCTGCGTCAAGCAACCCAGTTCCAACGATCTCAAGCAAGGCGTGACTTGGGCCAATGCTCGCCAACGCGAGAACGAGTTTTTCTCCATGACGGCGCCTTGGTGTAACCTCGAATCGATGTACCAGAAGTACCTTCGCACTGGCAACTTGGTTGAGCGGGCAAGCTCCATCCTCTCGGATTTGATCTCCAGACGGTATGTCTGAATCCTGGCTGCCGTCTGCTATTTTAATGAGTGACTAGATTGCCTGTCATTCAAGAGGAACTTCAGAAGGCTCTCCGCAAGACTGAAGAAGCCCTTGCAGCGATGCCGAAAGAGCCATCCGCCGACGCTTTCAGCGAAGTGATGGCGCTCTTGCACACGTTCGCCACTGACGTCTCCTTCCATGTCGACGGAGTGCCGAACGAGGACGGGCTACTGTAATCTATCAGGCCTCATCAAATGCAGTTCCGAATGGCAATTCGTTCTACTGCGCCCCAGTTCGTCCCGTTGGAAAAACGTGTGACGCAGGACTTCACGATGACTCGTCCTAAATTTCTCGATCAAGAAGAAGGAACGGACGCCGACGCTACCGACGAAGATTCACTGGGTACTCATTTACGATCAATTAAGTACCGTGTGCTAACGGGGTGCCTAGTAGAGCACATTTTCATCGACGAAGTGATGGCGCGTGCTCAGAAGTACGTTATTCATCTACGGCGACACTACTTTGCTGACTTTCGCTTGTAGAGCCCGTGCACGAGAACTTCCTGATAACTATCCCTTCGTTGTACGGGCGAAGTATGTCTCGTCGATCACCGAGAAGTGGCACTCTCCTGCGCAAATCTTATGCAATCAGATGTACAATGTCCTCTTCAAATACATGAAGGAACTCATCCACAAGCACTTCGCGAGTTTCGGCCAAGGCAATCTTGAACAACGCGTCGGGTACGCCCTCATTTCAGCAACGCCCTTCTGAGCTTAAGCAAGTCTTCTTACCTCCCGTTCCGCAGGGTCATTTTGCAGAACCACATACAGGCGGCGTGTCACAGAGCGGAGGAACGCATCAAGTGGCTCATCAGCCTCGAGGCCCGCCCATTCACGCTCAACGAACACTACTTGTCCGAGTACAAGGACAAGTTCCTCTCTTTCTACAAAGCCGTACGACAGTCGCAGCGCAACCCCGAGCTGCTGGCCTCGATCAACGACCACCTCACGAACCCACCCAAAGCCGCAGTATACAACCGCAGCGGCCACGTCGTGACAGACGCCGTCCAGCCGAATGGTATTGCCAAAATTTTGTCTGGGCTCGCTGAAGTAGGCATCTTGGGCGTCAAGCCGGAGGACATTCCGAAACTGCTTCCTTCGGATACGATGGAGCCTGCCATGACAATTATGGCTGAAGTACGAGCGTATTTCCAAGGTACAAATCTGGTCTATCTGAGATACGGTCTTCTTAACACCCAGTTGCTCTAGTGGCGTATAAGCGGTTCGTTGATAACATCCCCCTAGCGATCGACCAGGAGCTTATCCTCGGACTGGAGCAAGATATCTTACCGACACTCTATTCTGGACTTGGGCTGAATGGTCCTGATGGAATGCGAATCTGCCAAGAGCTCACGCAGGAGAGTCCACAAGTCGCTGGCAAGCGGGAAGAGTTGAAGAAGAGGTGGGAGCGGCTGTCTGCAGCCAGCCGTGAACTCCTCAGCATCGGACTCTAAGCGGCGCTCTGAGTAGGCTGCCATTGTATCTCATATTTCTCATATTTCGCGCATATGATATACTAGTCAAGCGCATTTCTTGAGATTTCCGTAGTCTTTATATACCGTATACATATTTCTTGATCATCAGACTTCCTCTCAGAGCTTGGCTTTCGTTGCGTGGGGACCTTCCTCCTTCACGTCATTCACAAGTGTTCCGACTCCATTGCCGACCCACACAGACATATTATCACCGCCCTTGAGGTAGAGAGGGGGTTTCTTAACAAAGCCCACACCCTGTGACAGTTGTTAGTAGGAGCATTGTGACTTGGGGAGACTTCATGCCTTCGGTGTGCCCGTGAGGATGATACTGCCTGGTTCTAGCGTAGTGCCTTGGGAGAGAAACGCGATAGTCTGCCGAACATTAAAGATCTGGTCACTGCCATGGGATTATCGTTGATTTATCGGTTGAAAAAAGCCTCCAGTCGATCTGGGAAGTAAATGACGCACGCTGTTGTACCGTCTTGTACCGTCTGGCCGTTCAGCACACACTTGAGGGGAATAGTCTGCGGGTCCGGAATGGCTTTCGCGGACACCAAGCACGGGCCGAGAGGGTTCGTGTTGTCGAACGACTTTGAGAATCCCCATTGCGATACAGCCATTTGGTGATACCGGAACGATACGTCGTTGGCTCCGGTGTAGCCTAGTACGTACTCCAAGGCGTCCTTCTCGGAAACATCCTTGGCTGGCTTGCCGATCACGATGACGAGCTCGACTTCGTAATCTGGGAGGTGGTCCTTCGCCGGTTGTGCAACGCGGGGAATGGTTACGGTGGCTGAGGGCCCTATAAGCGAGGTGAGGGGTTTGTAGAATAAAATCGGGAACTTGGGCGCGGCAAGCTTGGCTTCTTCCTAGAGGTGCAGTATGTCAGCTATGCTGGGTGCGCGGAGTGCGCGTGAAAGCTTACAGCATGGTCAGCGTAATTTAATCCAAGGCAGCGTACTATCTTGATCTCCTCATTGGATAGCGGAGATAACAAGTGCTTCACTGTGAGTACGTTCCCCGAGACCTGCGAGGAGGGGTCCAGCGCTGAGCCCACTATCTCGTACGCCTTGATTACTTTGCCCTCGTGAAACGCCAATCCGACTGATATGCAGGGTGTCAATATGATTGGTGTTCAGCAAGCTGAGAGCTCGTCCTTACCATCAAGTGTCGTGTCGAAAGGTTCTCCTATGTGAACCCTTGACGTTTCGGCGGCGACGAAACGAATCAATCTGCTCCAGTTCTAGGAATGGGTGTTAGCGAGGTTATGGGATCATGTTGGAAGGGACATACAGTCGAAATTGGTGCCATTGTAGATAAGAGTGTTGACGTTCCGAGTCTATCCTTCTGATGGTTTAATGTCGGCCAGCATTTTGATGGCGTTCCCACCAAGTTCAACTAGGCCTACCGTGGCGGAATCTCGGCTCACCATTGTACTACCTTATCCCCACAGATAATCCGATCAATATGATTGGCTCAATATCTTACAAATGTTGAATACACCAGTTGCCTGGCAATTACGGTGTCTTCCTCAACAAGAACTAACTGAACATCTCCGTTTCGGGAGTAGAAACCCGATGTTTTTGGAGAAACCTCCTGGATACATTAACCAACGGAGCTCAATAGTAAGGCAAATATCCCAAAAGATGCGATCGAAATCAGTTTATTCGCCACTTTGGCTTATTTCTTCATCGGTGGTGCCTCCTCCTGGATGTCTCCGGTTTCTTCTGCCTTGCGTTTCTGAGGATAGAGTAGTTCGAAGACACTGGTAACGCCCGCGATTCCATCCTTCTCCAGGGACATCTTCATGTGTCTGAGCAGTACCGCCGTTGTGTCGAACGCGGGACGGAACGCCTGGCAGTCGGACTTGATCGGTAGGCTCGCCTCTGCTATCCCATAAGAAAATATCAACAGATTACGCAAGCGAAGTGCTAATTGGCCCATGTCATAGAAGGGAGGAGATAGCGAGGAAATGATTGCCGGGAGTCGAGTGTTCAAAACATTCATGCGCTGCACGCCAACGGCGATGTTCGGAGAAAAAAGGGCGTCGTAGGTGCGGCGCTGGTTCTTGAGAGCCTGTACCTCGAGGCGGACATTCTCGGGATAATATCTGAAAATAGACCACATAACCAGCCACCAGATGGACTCCAAGTCATGGAGCACATTGTGTCGAAAAGGATGCACAGGCTTGGTGCCACGAGAAGGGAGAACACCGGTTGGAGACAGAAATACGTCTTCTGCAAGAGGGCGTGGTTCAAACTGATATGCGCCAAGGGAAACTTCGACGGCCATGAATGGCAGTGTCCCCTGTCCCATGCGATTAGTTTTGATAAGCGACAATGTGGTTAGGCTCACAGTCTTGACGTTATGCAAGGAAGAGGGTTCGTCGTCACAAAATACGACGTATTCCAGATCCCCTAATCGACCATTCGTGCCGTCGAACAGGATATTTCCTGTACTAATGTCACGATGAATAGCGTGTGCACCCTCCCACATCGCATCCAGTGCTTCAGAGCAAACATCAGAATCGCACGCGGCGGCAAGAAAGGAGAACTACCTTTCACCGCATGTTCAAGCATCGTAAACATCACCTGTATGTCGTCGTGATCATGGTATGTCTCACAAACCTCTTTCCAGATAGATCGGTCGTGAGTGCGAGGAAGATACTGGGGTCGTTCTTTGGCGCGTTTGGCGAGTGGTTCCGTATCTGGTGCCCCTTGAATGTGGAACCTGTCTTCATAAACAGGCTCCGTTCCTTTATTCGGGATCAACGGCGAAGGTTCGAGGTCTAAAATATCGATAAATTGGCTATCCATGAAGTCCACGTTCTCGGTATGCGGGTAGTTGCCTCGCCTCATGAAACCGCATGTCGTTGCGCCCTCGCCTGGTCCGAATGCAGCTACAAGCGTCAGAAAGTGTCGGTCGAAGACATCGGGGTTGACTTTCTCTTTCAACCTCATCCATATAGTGGCCTCCGTATCGTTGCTGGAATCTACCCAAACATCCTTGAGAACGTAGTATGCCTTCTCTTCGCCCTCCTCATACTTCTTGTCCTCGTACACCCTCCATACTCGAGTACAGCGGCCACAAATGCTCTCGGCCCTAGAATCGGACAATATTCCCGCAGTGATATACCATGTGTCACCGACACAAATTCGGTAAACCCCATGACGTATCTCTTGCATCGTAGGGTCGTAGCCATGCGCTTCCCAAGCAAAGTCGTAGTTAACTGAGGGGCAGAGATGAGACGGATCGGTTGCTACTTCCCCATGGATGGTAGATTGACTTGATTGTGCGGAAAGGGGGGGAACTCGAGATGTTGGCTTAGATGGGATATTATCGTCGATGGTGGAATGGCTCGATGTCGCAGTAAGTGGGGAGCTTGCAAACATGGATCGCGCATTCTCGCCAACGGTGGACAAATCTGCATGCCTGGGGTGACATGACACTGACAAAGGTGACAAAACGTGGGCAAACGAGAGGCTCAGAACGAATCGAACGAGAGGAGCGTGGTTCTATGCATAGTAGGTAAAAGCGTTGGAGGTGATAGAAGGAGGCGGTCACCGTGATCACATTGAATGGTTCTGAGACCATGATATGAGAACGCGCGAAAAACCACAGACGACAGGTCGCGTTCCCCGTGGACATCCCAAAGCAGAAATTTCGGCGCGGGTCAGTTCGAAGAATGTGATGCCCGCTCCACATAACCTTTTCAAAGTTCTATCACAAGGCTTGGATGCAAAACTATGATGATTAGAGGGATGTTGTGCTTACGTCCAAAGCGTCCGACTCCTTTTCAGCTTTCTTGCCTTCTTTAGCAAGTATGATGCCACTCCATGACGGAAGCTGAGGAAGTTTTGTGTCTGTAACTTCGTCGTCGTGTTGGGCCATGGAGGAACGCCCGAAGCCGTCAGGACGCGACGAGTTCCCCCTCTCACTTCGCGGGAGTCGAGTTTGGACTGTGCTCTATTGTCATACATGATTCTTGGCCTGTGTAGCCCTCGCCGGCGCGAATAATCGCCTCAGTGAGTTCATGCACGTGGGCAAAGGTATCGTTCTCTGGACGGCCACTCTTCTTGGGGTCATTTTTGCCAAAGCCACGCATTCGTCCACTCCCCGTGATGGAGCCATGCTCCTTCAGATTGTCCAAGACGGCATCCAGCATTATGTCCGGCACAGCGGGGGTGACGGTCTGGAAGAACTCGAGGGATACCACAGGGATCTCTGGGTGATCTTGGACGACGAGGTGCCTTTGCGTGGCGAATTTGCTAGTGGTGTAGGTCGAGCAGCGCAAATGGCGGCATCTGCGCGGCGCGTGCTCTGGCATGATGGAAGTCCAAAGGAGACATCACCGTCGAGCGGAGGTGTATCTAGCAAGCCAGCTGATCACATGATCGCGGAGTAAAAATCATTAGATTCGACCACAAACTACGCGCAGAGGTAGCCTACAAGATACGGCATGCATGATACGGCCAGGAGTAACAAGTAAATTATGAGTTTGATCATGGACTCTGCACAACGAGTGTGCGAATTCACCGCGGATAAGACGAACTCTGGCGGGCTATTTCTTCGGCAACGGCCCACCCTGCTGTATAAATTAAAGTATTCCCTCTGTTTCATCTGATCTGTGTGGATAAAGCAGATCGAGGAAACCTTTGTGATTTCCTTGGCTGCAAGCTCCGACTTCATGCGTTTGACCAAGGTGAATGTAGCTTCATATGCAGGCCGAAGGACGGGACAATCATATTCGATCGGAAGGTTCGCGTCAGCTTGCTTGTACCTTGTACTACACTACGCGACTATATGCCCGTGCGACTACACGCTCGAAGGGAGGCGCGATAGATGAACGAAACTTGGGGTTCCGCTGGGATAATGCACTAAGGCGATCTAAATGGTCCTGCGCGTTGGCGGAGGGGGCAGGGAACAAAGTTATGAAAGTGTTAAGTTGTTTGACAGGAGCTGGGGTATGAGATGGGAACTCATCAGGGTAATAGTTGGAGAGTGTCCATATAATAACCCACAGATCGATTTCAAGTCATGGAGGAGGTTGTGTCGCAATTGATGCAAGATGCCCAGCACAGGAAGTTCATCGTGGTCATCAAATAGACCATCGGGTCGAGAATTGCAAAGTACATCCATGTCGGTCGCAGTTGGTTCCAACTGATACGAGCCATGGGCAACTTCGACGGCTATGAATCGCCAAGTAAACTACAACTTTAGATAAGTTTGAGAAGCCATCAAAGCGCTGGGCTTACTGTCAGGACACTCCGGAGCGAGGGAGCGTTATCGCCAAACAATTTGGCATAGTCAAGACCTGATAAACAACTGTTCTCCCCGTCGTACAAGACATTCCCTGCATTGACATCGCAATGACCAGAATAGGAGTGCTCCTACGTTACTCCCAGGGCTTGAGAGAAAATATCAGAATTGCACTGTGACTGTGGTTTGACCGAGTTTACCTGGGAGTCGGTGGGTCCCCGCTGCGATCTGCCTGAACACCCGTGCTCTCTTCTCCGTCTCGGTACGGTTTGCCTTTATGCACCCTTTAAATTCGAGCACAACGCCCGATGATGTAGTGCGTCTCGAAGCAGGGCAACTTTGCCTCGCAAGTGATGTACCATTTGCCACCATTGTGAGTTGTGTATGCGTCCCGGGTCCGACGTTGGATTTTCGAATTCTAAGGTGCCTCTTGGGCGAGGGAGGGAGGAGCACATTGAGTGGCACGACTTCGCCAACACCGAATTGACTCGATCTCATAATGACACGAGCGGCGCACGAGCGCAAATTCGCAACCATTAACCGCCGCAAGGACGACCCTCAATTGTGGAAGCGACGATAGATCATAGAAATGGTTCACTTTTTTCCGTTAAGAGCGATCACCTGGTAGACTATCATGTACGGAGTCTCGACTGCATCCTGACAGCCTCTTCTCCAAGTATGCCCTGTCTTCATCCGAGTTCAATGAAATTGATGCCTACCGCTCAGCGGCCGCACTTGAGAGTCGAATGAACGTCCTTTCAGATCTGGCATCATTATTCGGCGACGTGATGGCACACTCAGATTTCAAATGATTTAAGTAAAAACCAAAGTTTGCGAGTCTGGTGCCACTTACGGGTACTGTGTCGTCCTCCATAACATCATCAGGGATCAGCGTAGCCATTGAAGCCTTTGGACACGGGCATTCGAACCACAGTACCCGACCCTGCAGGGTCTGCTGCACGTGGGACGTGCGTTTGGATTTTCCCTGCCAATTTTGATGAGGCGCTGACTCTGCTGTTGGCGACGCAGGCAGCTTGCTTGAGCCCGAACCGCCGCCCCTTCGTGTTGCCAATCCTACCGCTCATCCTCATATACGGCTGAGTTTCGTGCGAGGCCGGAGTACCTGCCTTCTTCTGATTGATCTCATCATTTCCTTGTCCTCGACTCACGATTCGAACCTCGCACGGGACCTGTGCTAGCGTGAGTGTCTGCGGTAGAATATAATAAGATGGCCTTTTACTGATCTGCAGTCCATTCCCTTCCACACCCGTAGCCATCTTAACGATAAATCCAACGGACTGCACTCTGAGCGTCCACTCTTTCCGCTCAGAGCCCGTTCAAATCAGTCTGGCTTACGCACCCTGTCTGACCGCCTAAATCCGTCCTTTCTCATGTGCGTAATCCTTGTTTTATTGGAAAATTTGAACAATCGTTTGAGCTTTTGTGCTACGTGTCTAGTGCACGGAAGCATGCCCCCTTCGCCATCACAACTGTCGGCAACAAGCTCTGCTGCGACTGCCGAATCGCCTTCTACCAATGATTCGCGCGTTGTGGTGCTCGGAGTCGTTCTGGGCATCGTAGCTGCAATCCTGATAGCTGGTATCATCTACATGACGCTTCGCTTTCGTCGAAAACAAAGCGACTCGCCGGATCCCTCTAAAGCAGATCACCGACCGGGACCCTCGTACGGGACTTCTCTCTCTAGCAACCACTTCGCTGCCCGTATCACCCCGTTTGGAGCCTTGGGAGCGGGAGGGGAAGCCCCGCAGTTCGGTGAGTATTCCTATCTTTCAGCTAGTCGACATGCACCAATCGTCCTTGCCCCTGCATCAGCCCACAGACCGGGTGAAAACATGCGTGTCGCGATACGACGTGCGGATGGTGGATGGCAGTTCCTCGACCAGAGATCTCCCCGTAGTCCAGGGAGCTTTGATGTCCACGATACACCCTTGCCCTCGCCTGCACCATCCGCAACCTCCTTCAACACCCTTTCCTCCAGCTATCCTCTTCTCCCTTCGGCATCAACACAGAGTCTCTTGCCTCTACCGATGTCTGCTAAGGAACGCGAAGCACAGATGTACGCTGAACGAGCGCGTGGTTTGCGCCAGCTCGGTGTTCCCGATACGGAATACGCCGTAGACGACGTCCCGCCCCCTGCGTATGTCCACGATGGCCGCGATGTCGTCCGAGGCAGACCCGGAACGGGCTCAGGATCTCTCCCTCCGACGCCCCGTTGATACACTCTCCTCGTTTCCCTTCACTTTTTTGGTTTCGATTGGGACAATCCGTTCGATTGCTTCGTGCGCTGTACACCATTTGCTTCATCATTGTAATGCTACCGCTCTTTTTAGCATACCACGATTTCGTTACGACTCCACGTCATAGGACGATTCTTTTTTCCTTTGTCGTTCCTTTCTTCACCCCGACCGCCTTCCTCCCCTCTCTGTGGTGAGGCGTGGGCCGTGATCGACGTCCTCCAACGATCACCCATTCGCATTCAATACCTACGTATATTCATACCATCTTCGCTGTGGACATCCAACACTTCCAGGGGAAATTGATTTTTGAGCAACTTGACTTATTCATTGTTTATTCTCCGGAGTCGCTATCATTGCAACCTGCTGTCGTGTAACATTACCATTAGCTACTCAGTACTCGGTGACCACGTTATCATTAATGATCCTTCTGCACGCTTACCCATTATGCATTGTGCATTGTGCGCAATGCACCATCATTCCATCTCGCTATCATTCTATCATTCCTCGAAGTTCGCCCGTTTGGCAGCGGCGCCGATATTTAATATCCTTCTCAGTTTCGGGCCATTTGCTCAGCATTCTAGACCTGTCCACTTTCTCCACCTTCCATTGCGCGTGAGTCTTCCTCCTCATTTCATCGATCATCAGTCGTGATGTCTGACAGTCGCTCCGAAAGGTATGCTTTAAGTTTAACTTAAGGTATAGCATAGCTCGGCGCGCTCATGCAATCGTATGCCTTCGCAGCACCTAGAGCAGCTGTGCATAGTGACCAGGTACGCGCACCCCGCTGATCTCAATGTCTAAGCTATGTCTGGTTTGACCATTGCTGTAGGACATCCACAATCTGCGAGAGGGTTCATCAACTTTTGATGATTTAGACATGAGGGCTACGGTAAATGTTATACAGATATGACAAGAAAATTCGCGCCAAATTGTCAAGCCGGCCTTCGGCAATAAAGTAAGATTATCTTATGTCGCAGAGAGGGCGATCAAGAGATGATACACCAAGTTGGAACGGCCGCCTTCTCTTCCTCTTGAGCTGCTTCGTCCTCATCGAACAGTGTTTCGAGCGAGAGTGTTTCGAGCGAGCCGTCATCAGATAAGGCGAGGGGGTCTTCTTCAGCAAAGGAAGAATAATCCCCATCATTCCCCCTTCGCTTATATCACTTTCTTCATCTTCGCCACCTAGGACCTGGGAGTCGGCTTCGTCAACAGTTGTCGTGGCACCAGAGGGCTCAGCAACGAGGATACCGGGAGGTGTCTGACGGTCAGTTTATATATATGAACAAAGAAGCAAATGTGAGTAGACTCACCTTCCTTCCGGTACTGCTATACCTCATCCAATGGACGCCCTCCTCTAGATCAGGCTCAACAAACCCGCATACTCGAAAGAGTGACTTGATGAAGTCAACGGTGCTGCGATTATCCCACATTTCTAAAGTATCGAGACAGGTTTTGCGCGAAGGAGACCAAAGATTGTGGCGGTAGAGGAACGAAGAAATTGTGGCAGTAGGGAGCTCCGAGCGCGGGGGTAGGTGAGCCACTGCAAACATGCATCAATAGACCAAATGCTCATGTCGCCACACCTAGGAACGGTAATGTTTTCTTCGAGTTCGAGTTTGGTAGAGACGGGCGCGTTCCGGTGTTTGTGGTTGATATGGCCCAATTTAGCAATGTGATTTCCTTTCTGGAGGACCCCATACACTACACGGTGAGTCCATCGCGTTGCCCACCATCGTAACTGATGATGTATACATTAAAGCAGAATTCATCGAATATACGCGAAGTCACAAAGCCGCAATTTGATATGACAAGGTCATCGTACGCAACAACGGGTGTGTTCAAGCAATGATGCACCAAGATTGGAAGGCGGGCTTCTGCCCTTCCTCCTGAGCCACATCGACCTCTTTGGAGTCTGCTTCGCCAGCAAACAACGCGGAGAGATCCCCGTAGCATTCCTCTTCGCTGACATCGTTCTGTTCATCTTTATCCGCGTTGCGAAGGAGGAAGGCATCGTCTTCGTTGAGTGTCTGCGCATTGACACACAACCCAGTCGCGTAGACGACGGAAAGTATCTGGGGACATGTTGATACTCAGTAGAGAACGCAAGATGTAAGCCAACTCACATTTCTGCCGCTGCTGTACGTCATCCAGTCCTCACCCTCCTCGAGATCAGGTTCATCAAGCCCAGACACTCGAAAGAGCGACTTGATGAAGTCAGCAGTATCGCGTTCGTCAGACATATAATGTGTGCGGGAGAGTCGCAACGACGGGGGAGAATTATGCAGGAAAGATTGAGGATGGTGGCGGAGAGGTATTATGGTCGTAGGAGGTCCCAAGCATGGCCTTGAAAAGATATGCGCGAGCCACAGCAAACATACAACAACTCATTTTGCCACAGCTAGGTTTCTAGAGCCCACACTTAGCAAGTGTGTTTACGGTACTCTGGTGAGTATGGCCTGATGTAGCAGCGAAATTTCTTTTCTTGAAAGCTGATCGTTTGTTTGGTTAGGAGCGCGATAATCAATGCACTCGTGGAGTACAGTATTGAATCCTTGCCAGTCAGGGATAGGACTCTGATGCTGCGCGTCGCGTTGCGCCGATTCATACGAGCTCCCGTATTGATCTCCTTGACACCTCGGGGCACCGCTCTCTTCGTTTGAAGTCGCAGGATACGCACAAAGGACCCACAGCAGCCGGGTTTCCTGGCTTCTTGATTGATCAATCAGCAGAGTCAGCGCAAGTGTAAGTAGTGAGTGAAATCTTCGACGTCTTACCAAAGGAAACTCAGAGACTTTGTATATAGATTGAGACGAGAAGATAAATACTGGGTAAATATGTATGGCAGTACGAGGGAGAGGAAAGGTATGTAAATATAAATACTATATGTATGTCTCCTGGAGCTGACGAATATGAGTATCTAGGACTGAGTACTACGATATAATTCCTCTCGCCCATCAAAGGGAGGATGCGGGTTCTAAACCTGGCCGCTTTCCGGAGGACTGAATCCACCTGCCCTGTTGGGTCTTGCCGGACGCAGGTAGGCTGATGCCAGTTGCCCCGGCATCAGCCAAAACTCCCCCCGACACCACCGAAGTGGGCCACCAACATCCGAGGACTACCTACTTTACACAGACCCGAGCGACATGCAGAGAGGGAGAAGGGAAATTGAGGAACCCGATCCATCCCGAGGTCTTAAGGTCTTGAGTTCTTGAGGGCGACTCTTGAGGTCGAGACTTTGACGTTGAGGTCTGCGGAGATAAAATACGGAGAGCACCTCTGCCCGCCTAGTCAGTACACGCCAGTCGGACAGATGAAAGTGAGAGCTCACCTAACCAACTACCCATCCGTGTTGATCCTTGGCGCACCTCTCACTGACTGCTACCGACACGCAGAATGAAACCTCCCCAAAAGGGCAAGGTCAAACCGCGAGCAAACGTAGGCCAAAATGAAACCGGGGGTTTGCGCCCATACTGGTGCGCACCTGCCGGATCACGGGGAGTCGACTCGAATCCTGAGGAGACGATAACCGAAAGCGTCGAAGGCGGTGTCAATGCCGCCCGCCTAAGAGGTAAAACGGCGATGAGCGTATATTCTCAAAGGCGGGACAGATGCACTCACTGCGAGCAAAGCAACCGATGCTGGGACCATCGTGGCACCCTCCCGCAGTACGGCTCGCGCGCGAACCCCCTCGTGGGGGACGAACAGAAGCGGTAGGCAGAAGGTGGTTGGTAGCTTGCGTGGTGTACCCAAAGTCGATGGCGAATGAACCCTCCCCACTCCTCCACACGGTGCTCTCCGCGAGCGTCAGTATCTTCCCATCCTCCCTCCAAGCTAATGGCGCGGTGTCAGCAATGGCGGGGACGACGGCGAAGGGGTGTACTCACCGATGGGCCAGACCAAACCTCTGTAGAAGGCGGAATGCTTGCGGTCAGTAGATGGGGAGAAGAGCGAAGGCGAGAGACGTACCTAGATGGCAAAAGCCAGGAGCCGTAGGGGAGAGAAGGTGAACGGCGAGGTATTTATGTGCTCTACTGGCGGGAAACAAAACAAAGCAAAATAATGTATTCAACAAATGGATAATTCAGCACGGCCACTGGTCGATCGCGACGCGACGCGGATGCTGGGAGCCCATCGCCGTACTGAAATCACGTACGGAAGTTAAGACGACCGAGCATGTCAACCTTGCCCAGTTGCACTAGGCAGCCGGATGGCACACCCCAGCGCACGCTGCCGCCCGCCTTTGTCAGAATTCAAGGATTGAGAACGTCGTCTTAGATTGTGTCATTTCAGATCAATCTCACACCCGTTCATTCGCCCGCCCTGCGAGACTATCTTGGTGAAAAGCATACTTCTAAGAATCAAAACTTCAAACAGGAGCTAGGGGTATGTCTTTAGATTAGTACTCAGCGACTCTCATTCACGGAGGAACCTTGCCCTTGACATTGTTAAACGTTGAGGACAATTTCACAAGCTCGCCGGGAACATGATCCCGGTCCGGGCGATGCACAATATGGCGGATCTGAGGCGTCGCGCGTCAAAATCAAGAGGTCATGGAAGGATCAATACAAGTATGATTCTCTATGATAGGCCAGATATAAATAAATCACTATGGGTTTAGAAGGAACCAAGAAAGAAATAAGCCCTAATCGAATGCCAATTGCCACTAGAGGCCGATGCTAAGGAGCTCCCGACTTGCTGCAGACAGACGTTCCATCTTCTTCTTCAATTCCTCGCGCTTTCCGGCAACCTGTGGACTTTCCTGGGTAAGCTCCTGGCAGATCCTCGTACCATTGGCACCATTAAGGCCAAGCCCGGCGTAAAGCGTGGGGAGAATGTCGCGTTCCAAGCCGAAGATGAGTTCCTGGTCGATGGCCAGAGGGATATTATCTACAAAGCGCTTATACGCCACTATGAAAGGTGAGCGGGGGCTACCGCAGGCCGAACGGGAGTCGCATACCTTGAAAGTAAGCCCGCACTTCGGCCATGATGGTGAGGGCGGGCTCCATAGTATCAGGAGGGAGGAGCTTCGGGATATCTTCAGGCTTGACGCCAGTGATACCGACCTCAGAAAGTCCAGATAATATCTTAGGAATACCGGTCGGCTGAAGAGTACGATCGAAGGAGTCGTTTTGCGGCGGGGCGATGGCATATCTGTTGATATGAGCCAAGAGAGTAGGGCTCCGCTGCGATTGTCGGACTGCTTTGTAGAAGGAAAGGAACTTGTCCTTGTAGTCCGCCAAATAATGCTCGTTGAGTGTGAAGGGGTGAGCTTCGAGGCTAATGAGCCATTTGATACGAGCCTCCGTCCTTTGACAGGCCGCTTGTACGTGATTCTGTAAGATTACCCTACAGAATGCGATGTGAGATAGTTTCGTTATCAGCTAATCACAAACGAACCCTACGCGCTGTTCGAGGTTTCCTTGACCGAAGCTCGCGAAATGGTCATGGATGAGGGACTTCACATGCTTGAACAAGACATTGTAGACCTGGTTGCACAGGATTTGGGCGGGAAATTGCCACTTCTTGGTGATCGACGTGATGTAACTCGATCGTACCACGAAAGGGTAGTTATCGGGAAGTTCTCTTGCGCGAGCCCTACGTATCAAAGTAAGCGAAGATTCTATGATTGGGAAAAAAGACATACTTCTGTGCCCCCGCCATTACCTCGTCAATGAAAATCTGTTCTGAACACCATGTCCGGTAAGAGATGACGGAAGCAGTTCATGAATGAAGACTAGATACCTAATGCGTCGTCGTCCTCTTCATCTACTAATTCACCTTCTTGTTCGAGAAATTTCGGCTTCTCCATTGCAAAGCCTCCAGAACGCACTGCAGATCTTTCTAATGGTACAAATTGAGGCGCTGTGGAACGAATCGCCCTGCGAAAATCCATCTGATAGGGACGGATGAGCTGAAGCAACCCATCCTCACGGGGTACGCCAGCAACATGATATGAGATATCCCCAGCGAAAGTATGAAGAAGGCCCATGACTTCGCTGAACGCATCGGCGGACGGTTCCTTAGGTAGCTCCAACAACGACTCTTCGGTTTTACGGAGAGTCTTCTGAAGTTCGTTTTGGATAATGGGGAGCCTGATGACGGATAAACATAGAGGTATATCACATTAAACGCGCATGCCTACCTCTTTGAAATCAGGTCGGAAAGAATGGCGCTCGCGCGCTCAACCAAATTGCCGGTGCGAAGGTACTTCTGATACATAGGTTCGAGGTCAGACCAGGGCGCTGTCATGGAGAAAAACTCATTCTCGCGCTGGCGAGCGTCGGCCCAAGTGACGCCTTGCTTGAGATCGTTCGAACTAGGCTGCTTGACACAGAACCAGTTGTTTTCGAGTGGCTCGATTTCATTCTGGATGAACTTGACCCATCGAGCTTCCTCGCCAGTAGGAATACGATCGGGCTTCGTAAGGACACCTGAGTTTTCGTGGTCAGACAATCCTCGCTGTGCCTGTAATCCGAGGATATTACATACCGATAGTACGCTTCCCATGGGGATCATGCTTTTTGGCAAGTTGATGGGCGCCTTGATTTTCGAAATCGGCTAGATTGTACTGCGTTAGTGGCAGGCGACAAGCGCAGGAGCCAGGTACTCACTCTCGCAGGCAACGGTCAACAAGATGACACAGCTGGGCTTGGAGATGTAGGAGGTGACCAAGCTTTCGACGAGCTGGATGTCGTTGCTATTTCCTCCAGCGCCCACGCTAGCAATAAGACCTGCATGTTCGTCGGCTAAACGGAGATCAAGAAAGGAACGACGATAATAAACGAACCAGGAAGATCACAGAACGAAAGGTCGGCAACATCAGGACCGCTTATCTGCAGCGTCACGCAATTGGTGGAGAATGTCAGTTCGGATTTGGGCAAGTCCTCATCGTCGCCATTGAGGAAAGTTTGGTATGAGGTGCTTGGGTTGAGAATGGCCCTCTGTGCTCGGCGAATACGTTCTTCGACATCGCCTTTGTCGGTGATGGCAGGGCCGAAGACAATGGTACGAGGTTGGCCTAGAGTCTGACCATTGACATCCGTAGTAAACCTTAATGTTACGACACAGGACCAAGTGGTCGCCGAGCTGCTCAACTTGCATTCAGTTGGGCATCTACGTATACGTATGTCAGTCGCGTAGCAACGAGATAGCACTCAGGACCAGACGTACCTAGTACATGTTCCTGCGGCGCGAGGCAAAGTGATGCCGGAGATCGACTCGATCAGGGAGGACTTCCCCGCGCTCTGGGCACCGATAACAGCAATCTGGGGGATGTCCACATCGGCTTGGACACTTAACAATAAAAAAGCATCAGCGTCGCTCCCCCAAAGTCGTACAGAACCCTTACCCAGTGTTGAAAAGCTTATTGAGTAGGTCCAGGAGCCGGCGGCGGCTTTGATTGAGACGGACATTGGCGAGGCCGACACCAGCTGTAGGCGAAGATGCCTGCGGATCGTCGAGAGCGGGAATTGAAGTGTTGGTAGAAAGCATCAGGACTCGGATTGTAGGGGTTACTTCCAGATGCTTATATACCGTACGCGCAAAGTGAAGCGCCACTCCCTTTGATAGCCAAATGTGGGCGCACTATTGATGAAAGCCCAAACGCTGTGAGCCATCACTAAGGAAAGAATAAAGACATGCCCACATGGATACCACTTATGCTACAGACACAGCCCTACCTTTACGAGATAAGGGAGAGTGGTGAAAGGGAAAAGGAGAGAAAGCAAACGATACCCGTGCTCTCGTTGAAATTTGTAAGTTGAAAGGGGTCAATTTCGATTAAATAACGATCACACCTTTGTCCCGACTCGCCTCGTTTCACGCGCCTCACCAACTTGAGGGTAGCTTAGACATAGTATATCTTATAAGCAATGCAGCGGGACAGCAGTGGCTACGTTGTAGCGTTCGGCCGCCCAAATGTTTCTGAGTCTGTCAGACCATGTCAGCGTCCACGAAAATCGACCGCGAAACGTATCGTTGAAGGCTAGTCGGCAACGAATTAAGAACCTCCGATTCGTCGGAGCGATCCAGGAAAGGCTCGGGTACCGGGTCACATGCACGACTTCAGGAGATCTAATGCATTAATTGGGGCACGATGGGGGCACGATGAGGAGGATGTAGTACGAGCCGTCGACCTCTACGAGAAATAAGAGTCAAGATGCGAAAGTATTACAATTACATTGCTAAGGGTATACAAATGGGCGAGAAATGGTATACGAGTGCTATGGTATCAATCGACTACTACGAGGTGCTGGAAGCTCTTCTTCCCAAGTGCCTTGTTCATGATTGCGAGAGGGTTGAAGGGGTCCTGCTCTACCAGCGTCGAGGTTTCCATTGCGCTGTTCACCTCCTCCCAAGCCTCCTCTTTTTCTTCTTCCTCCCCCATGAATACCTTCAGCATCGCGGGCGAGAACCCATTCATGATCGCCACGCCCTCCCTCTGCGCCCTCACCTCCACCGTCCCAAAAGCCGCAAGATCCCAGTACACAATCTGAGGCACCTCGTATCCCGCCTCTTTATACGCCTTCGCCACCAAATCGTGAGTCGTCTCCCAATTTCCACCCCTCTGTGCCGAGTCGAACTGCATATCAGAGAACACGAATATCCGCTTGATCATATCCTCCTGCTTGATCTTGTTTTTGAGCGCGAGTGGAAGGAGGAGCTTGACGAAGACGGCGTAGAAGTTGGTGTTCATGCCCCACTCTGACCTCGACATGACCTGGATGCTATCGTACACGGACCACGAAGGATCTACGGAGACGAATTTGGGCTTATCAGCGAACGTGATAAAGCCGTTGAACGGTGGCTTTGCGAGCTGCGCCAGAATGAGGGAAAGCGCGACAGCTGGAAATATGGGTTGCGGCGTCTCCTTGCAAAGCTTCTCTGATATTGAGCCCATCGACCCCGATACATCGCACACAGCTATACAATTGTCAAGCGACCCGGCCTCTCGCAGGCTATCCACCAGTGTCTTCCACTGCGCCTCTAAGACCTGGATTTGCGCCTTGGCCAGCCGTTTCTTCATGTCGTAGAGCGCCTGCTTCTTGGACGACCCCTCACGCACGGCCCCGCGGAAGACGAGCTCGGCGACGATCTCGTGCGGCATCAGCGTCGCGCCACTGATATTTTGATTTGCCCTCTCCGACTCGCAGGAGGTAGTTCTCGAAGCCGTGTGGATCGTGTGTGAAGAAGTTGTCTTTGTGCCGCAGCATGCACTGTGAAGGGACCCGGAAGTACTTGATGTCTGTCCATCGGTTGGCCGCCATCAGCGGCTCCGCGACGGCACCTGCGCTTCGCAGAGGTGTGAGGACCCAACGTTGGTAAAATGATCGAAGGATGGCAAGCCGTTCGCGACTAGTGAGACTCGATGAGGGGTCACTCAGGACTGAGGGCAGGGGAAACACATTGGCTGCTTGGATTAGGAGACTGATGGCCGAAGCGATGTTTGTGACTCGATCATGGGATAGCCCGGGGGTTGGGGCCCATTTCCCCGCGAAGGAGAGCTGCTTCAGGAAGAGGATACGGTCGACACCGGCTGGAAGGTGGTCAGCTTCCAGAACGAGCTGGAGGTCTTTCACAAGGCGATCGGCGAAGAGGCGAGCAATCGCTATGAAGAGCGCCCGGTATTTCGGCTGGCTAAGCTTGTGTTGAATCTGCTGGTGGGCATACATCGCGCGCTCTGCTCTAGCCGTCTGTGCGCGCGCTTTAGCCTGTAGATTAGCCTGTTTCGCAGCCTCGATGCGGCTTTCACGTTCGCTAGCCTTGCCCTTGCCCTTGCTGGGGTATGTATACTTGTCACGCGGGCAGTGGAGGTACCGCGAAGACGATGGAGAATCAGATAGTTCGTCGACTGTCTCCAGAGCAATGATATTCAGCAGGTCCTTCCAGCACCCGTGCGGAGCGTCGCCTCTCCTGCGGTTCTCGCAGACAGGTTCGACGAGCAAACGCAGATTCGAGATTGCGGTACGAGGGTGCCTTTTGTACAGCCATCCGAATGCGCTGCAAGAGAGAGAGCAAGTCAGTAACGTCCTCTCTCGTCGTGAGATTTTCGTACCGGTAGAACCCCTCCCTGTCACCCTTGCCGTCACGTATACTCCTCAGATTCCAAATAACGCGCAGCGTCAGAGCAGGGTCTTCCTTCCACGAATTGCACAGCAGAATATCGAGAGCGCTTCCCCGTTGATCCTTCACGAATTGGAAAGCATCGAGTGTGGGCGACCCAGTCGTGTTGAATGTGGGAGCACCATTCTGGGTAAAAGTGAAGGTTGGTATGGACTGCAAGGCCGACATCATTGGGTTCGACTTGACTGACTGAGGAGCGGCCTTGTCTTCAACTGGGGGTGCGGGAACGAGGACATCAAGAAAGTCGGGGCGATAGAGTTCGGGAATCTCTGGCAGAGTGAAATTCTGGGCCGACGCGACTGAAGGGGGTAGAGAAGCCATGGCTCTGAGTCCTGGTTGGGGGATTAACTGGGAGATCGACGAGGTATAAAAGCTACTCACAAATGACTCGTCTGCAGGGTCCTTGCTCTGGCAGACACCGCCTCGACCACTCTCCTTGGCTCCGAACTCCTACTACACTCATATTGAGTCAAAACCTGTCAAGACCACGGGTGCGGCCTTGTCGCATTCAACTTGGAAGAACTGCGTGCCAAAATGGAGCAAGAAGTCTATTTCGTCCCACGAGGCCGTGGTCACGCTTGCTGACCAGCCGCGCGTGGCCTTGAACTTGTTCCTTGACCGTCGTGACAGTTTACCACTAGGTTTGGCGAGGGGCGCCCAAGGCAAAGAAAAGGGTGTAGAAGGTGAGTCGCGGTGGTACGAGGTGGAGAAATTGAACCGAAGCCGTGCTAGTAGATTCCACACCAGTGCCCGAGCCCAGATGATGCAACTACCACATCGTTATGCATATCACGCCCATAAAACAGCTTGGTGTCGCGGGTGAGTTCATCGTTTCATTGTACCTGAACGACGGGTTGATTGGCCTGCGGTATTCTAGTCGGTCAATGTCGATATCGACGAAGGACAACTTACCTCTCGCAGGCGTGCGTGTATTAGAAATGGGTCAGCTGATAGCTGGCCCATTTGCTGGTCAATTACTTGGGTGAGCAGCCCTTCGGTATTTTCGCTGCAATAACATCACAGTAAAACAGCCAATTCGGGGCTGAAGTCATCAAGATCGAGCCGCCTAATATTGGCGACCCCCTCCGTGTCTGGCGCGAACTAGACGTCGACGGCACTAGCCCCTGGTTCAGAAGCATAGGACGAAATAAGAAGAGTGTTGCAATCAATCTACGAAATCCGAACGGACGAGAGTATGGACCCTGCTTCAGCTGTTATATGTGTGAACAAACCACCTTTTTGTTTAGTCTGGTGAAGCGGCTTGCCATCAGGAGTGACGTTCTCATCGAGAACTTCAAACCCGGGAGTGGGTACGCCCTTCTGGAGTCTTCTGATGTGTTCCTGATTTGTATTGTGCTTTCCGCAGCCTTGGAGAAATGGGACCTTGGTCCCAGCTCTTTACATCCTCATAACCCAGACTTGATATTCACTCGTGTCAGTGGGTACGGTCAAACAGGCCCATGGGCTCCTCGGCCCGGGTATGCGTCCGTCTGCGAAGCAGAGTCAGGATTTCGCTACATAAACGGCTTCCCCGATTCCACGACAGGTGGGCTTGCAGGCCCACCGGTGCGTCCAAATATGAGCTTAGGCGACTCGGTTGCTGGCCTTCATGCGGCCTTTGGCACGGTAAATCTCCACGTCACATCGTCTGCGCGACGACCTGAGGCTTGTATCTCAGGTTCTTGCTCTCTTGGCGAAAGCGAAGGCGAAGGATACTGACAAAAGACAACCAAGCGGTCGAACTGTTGATGTCAGCATTTTGGAAAGGTACGCGAGAAATATGCTTCTCAAGGCCTCATGGTTGTTGATTGTTTAAATAGCATGCTGAACCTTATGGAAGGTATTGTGCCCGAGTATGATCGCAAGAGCAAGGTGCGTTCGTGTGTGTGTGGTTATCGCTATACGTAAACCTTCGGCGAAGATAAGAGGACCTTCGGGGTCCTCAGTCACTGGTATCGTGCCGACCAACGCGTATCAATGTCTTCCATCCCCAGAATCACCAGCAGTCCCAACCTACATCGTAATTGGCGCGAACGGAGACTCCATCTACAATCGCCTCATGCAAGCCATAGGGCGCCAGGATCTTATTGGTCCCGATTACCAACACAATGGACATCGGGTGAAGAAACAACCCGAGATCGAGGAAGCCATATCGCACTGGACAAGATCTAGAAGCGCTGAGGAAGTAGTCGAAGTGATGAACGGCGCGGGCGTCCCCGTCGGAAGGGTATTAGGTGTGAAGGACGTGGTAGCTGCTGAACAATTAAAGGATAGAGGCGCTCTGGAGGATGTGTGGGTTCCTAAGGTTGGTGGTTCTGCAAGTGTGGATGGATGGACGGTCAAAATGCAAGGGACGTTCCCCGTGCTTGAAGGATGCGATACGCGAACGAAGTGGGCTGGACCGGATTTGGGGCAACACACCGACGAGATATTGACAGAACATCTCGGGCTAACGGCCCAAGAGCTCGAGAAGCTCAGGTCAGATAACGTCATTGCCTGAGATAGTCAGGTAGTCAGAGACCTTAAGCAGTAGCAGTAACAATGTCCAACTCGTTGATACAAATACTTATTCATAAGTTTAGTCGTTATTTTGTTGTACAAGAATCAAGATACAATTTCATGAATTCAAATCCAAAGGAATCCAGTTGGCCTGTCCACATTCGGATTGCTGGCAATCTTCTTCAGTCCTTTACCGCCGTCCACGCGCTCGAACACGGTTATACCTCCCCCGATTGCCCCTCCAGCAATCAGCCACTTATCATCAGGGCCTCCGAACACCATCCCCCTGACATGGTTCAAACCTGTTCGTACTTCGGCTACGAGCTCTAGATCCGTGGTAAATATGGCTATTGTATCGCCTTCTGGGGATGGATCGTTGCGGTTTGAGACGTAAACGTATGGCGTCGGATACGAGGCGTTTGGCGGAGGAATGAGGATCTCGGCTACAAGCATGTCAGGGGATGGAGTGGGATGCGAGAGGGTGGGAGCAGAGGCGACATATGCTGCGCTAAGGGGCAACGAGTGTAGTTGATGCTTCGCAACACTGTTTGAAAGTTCGAGGGCTGTAAATATGTAGTTATCTAATATCATAAGCGGCGGTCAGCTCGTTGTCGTCCTCGGATGTACACTAGAACCGGCGTACCATACAGCGCGACATGGCGAGGACCATCACCAGCCTTGTATGATATATGATCGCGGATTGACCAGGATCCGTCGTCGCCCTTGGTAAACCGCCACACTTTATCGGAACCTAGATCGGGGACAAGGAGTTCGTTGGTGTCTGGATGCAGATACACTTGGTGAGCATGGGGAGCTTCCTGTCTGTCCGCGTTGGGTCCTGATCCAGTAAATGATACGGTCTTCGATGATTTAGCGAGGAAATACGGCTGTTCAGAAGATATCGGTATAGTCGTTATGCTTCCAGTGGAGTACTTTATCGCGAATCAGTGAACGTCCGGCGAATATGAAGGTCAAAGCTACACACATTTGCCACCAACAGCTCATCCTTTGTGGCCAACAGGGAGCAGGGATCCGCTCCACCGCTGGACACGCGGCCGACTACTTTCCCCTCGCCCTTATCGTCAAACTTGACCGCCAGGACAACACCCTCCGACTGCTCCAATCCGGTAAAGACTAGAGATGCGTCATCGGGATGCGAGGTGACCCACGACGGGTGGTGTCCTACACGGGTGGTGGAAACGAGATCAACGCTCCCTGCCTCCGCGTTGAACGAGATCGTGTATATCGCGTCAGTATACGACGATACAAGCAGTCGATAAGCCATTGGCGGGAACACACTCCGGCACGCGACGGAAGCACCTCCTACTTTTATATGCACCCCAAATGCCCCGATAATACTCCGCGAAAATACGCTGTCACTTATTGCCACCTGCGTGGTCTTTAGAATATGCGTGAAAGCAGAGATGGTCAGTAGCGCACACTATAGCCGAATAGCGATCTGGCTTGATGGCCGTCATTAAAGAAGCGTCATTTGAACAAAGTTGACATCGAAGCAAGTGCAATGATTTGGGGTGCTTCGAAGGCCGAATTTACTCCTGGTCTAAATCTTTACTTCTTGAAAGGGTCAAGCGGTGGTAGTAGTCAGCTGACTCGACGCGCCTTCCCGGAGCCTCTGGGCTAAAGGATGCCACATTTCCTATGGGGAAGGTTGAACCCGAACAAAGTCTGCTTCAAGTTACTTTTCTACGTAGATGTCTATCAGCCCGGCCTCATTGCAAGAATCCTGATAGAACCCGGTTCCTAACATGCCTTCCTTAAGAATAGGAATAACACACTTACCTCATTGTCCATTTGATGACGATAGCAATGGCAATTCTGTGAAGAAATGGCGAGAAACAGGTAAGAAACAGGATTGTGAGACCAGCCGATATTTCTCCGACGAATGTAGGCCTTAGCCTTGGGATGGGCAAGTACTCGAGCGGCTGCGCGACACACGGACGCAAAGCCCGGAGCGTATGTGAGCGATAGGCGATATCATGGAAGGACTTTCGGTTACCGGTGAGGCACCCGGATAGAGAGCAACGGCGGGGAAGATCCTCGTCGTCAGGATATTTCCAGGACTAAGATGACCGCCGGAGGCATAGATATAGATATAACACCATCATTAACGACGCCGAACAGCTACCAAGGCTTTTTGTGAGCCACGTGTTGTGCACGATGAACAATCTTACCTTGACTCCGCAGCGCGAGTGTCACCACCAAACCACCCCTCGCATCAGTCTTCTCCCAGTCCTTACTACCTTGGCGCTGAGTACAGATCCATCACCGTCAAACTCGGCCCCAACGTCCACATAGCCGCCAGGATGCCTTATCCGCGTCAACTCATCACTCTTTCCCCCCGTGCGTGTGGGGTGTACGATGTCCCAGGCTATCGTCCCGGGTATCTTGGCTGCGACGCCTAAACACAGACCTACGGTCATTGGCACGGCTTTGTGGAGGACTCCCATCGAAAGAGCACGAATTGCAATGTCAACGCCTTGGTCTACATCGGCGGCCCCAGCTGGAGGGGCGAGGAGCGCAATCTTTGGCTGCGCTTGAGCAGTCGGGTCAAGCCCCATCCGCACCGCGCACGTCTGTCGTAGGGACTCGAGGATTGGGCTAACCGTCTGCTCTGCCGCAGGGGATTGGTTATAATACTCGTTAACCGGGAGAGCTTTTTCCAGGTCAGATTGCCTGACGAATATGGTTGGGTTGGTAGCATCGACACATGAAACCCGAACACCGTTGGCTAGGCCCGGTATGTCAATCGTGTCAGAGGGACTGCCGGTCGGAAGGAGTCTGCCAGTACGTGCACCACCTGGCTTCACAAAGTCAAGTATAATTTCGGAGGCCTTTCCGGGTACACCAGCGACCGTCGCTTCTGGAACGTCCAGATCCGCGACACCTTGATCAGAGACGGGGAAAGTTGTATCAATAATCTTCTGTGTGTTGGTATTGAACGAGCGAATTGTAGCCCGCCCATCCCGAACCGTGTCGGACGAGGCCTTGCAGATCCCCTCGTCAAGCGCGTACACACCGATCATGCTCGACAAATTTCCGCAATTCCCCGAATAGTCGATGCTAGCATCCCGAATGCCGACCTGTACGAACGTATATTCGACGTGGACTCCATCCGCCAATTTGTCGGGAGAAGGGGGGCCCACGACGCATATCTTGGACAGGCTCGAGATCCCTCCGCCCATGCCGTTTAGCTGTCTTCCATGCACGGGATCGGGCGAACCCATTATGCCTAGGAAAATGCCGTTCCATTGCGAGCGGTCCTCCGGCAAGGCAGAACGGTGCAGGAAGATCCCCTTCGACGTTCCGCCGCGCATGAAGGTTGCAGGTATGGGATTTGCGATCATCCCGGTATGCACCAGACGGGAGTTGGTGGCCGTGGCTTGCGAGAGGAGCCTGCGGGGCGGTTTGTCAGAAATTTAGCGTGCAATCAGGAGTGGCGCAACTTCAGAGGCTTGAGAATCATTGTGCGCGTTCAGTGGGAGTTCAGATATAATCGCCCTCAAGCGCTGAACAGCGTGAACATAGAGCTCAGGGGCCCAAAGGGGTAGAAATTGACGCTCAGCAACCATCGCGGATCCCGTTACAAAATACGATACGATCCATATGGAATACTATAGCACAAGAAAATACAAGGGTATCTAGTTCGGACGCATTGCTTCCTCCACAACCTGCTCCATACTTCGGTGAACTGGGTGGCTTGCGTCAATAGGGGTGTTGGGGGGAGGGAAATTAGAATTCATGGGCGACGTCGCGTCTGCAATCGGGGACTCGACAGACAGTTTCTTTACGCTCGATGCCAAAATTGCATCGTAGGTGACACCATTCAGGATCAAGTCGCTAATGGAAACGGGGGGAGGATTTCCTGGTGTAGTCTGGCGACTCGGCTGCGGAGTATATTGGGCTTGCACAGTTGGCTTTGACTGTGGGCTCGGTTGGCCGTCCTTGGAACTGCTAGCAAGTAGCTTCGAGTAGTGTTTGGGGTCGAAGACTAAATCTGCCAGAGATTTCGGGGCACTGTCGCTGTTTACCATTGCTGGAAAGAGACAGGTTGGTGAAGGTGTACGTGGGGTTCACTGGAAATCGCTTACTGATAGAATGCAAGAATACGGCTCTGATAGACAACTTGGGTCTCGCGCTCTTTATAAAGCAGCAGTCGGCGGCAAACTGGGGTACAGCCGAGACATTACTGTCTTGTTCCGTTCTTGTCGCCTTCTTGCGCCACACGAAGAGTCAAGGACCTAAATGTGTCGATAATAGACGAGGACGCACCTACAGTGATACCGTGGCGTTATGATGCTCCCAGTACAATGATTTACAAGGCCTACATAAATGGCAGTTGCCAGTGGTTGAAACAAAAAGACCGCCCCCTGAGTGATAATATCCTTTTATGGAAGTATATTCTCACATGTTCTCCGTTCCGTCGAAGCGCGCTCCTCCTCCTCCACAACGGCGGCGAAGTTCAAAATGCGCCCCTCTTCATCAATTGCCGTTCTTTTACTCTCTTTTACTTCCCAGCTGTTTTTATGTCTTGTTCAGGCTCAAGCGATAACCGACAGGCCATCACAAGCTCCTCCGAGCACGTTTCCCAGTGGGGCTGAGAGCCTGAGTGCCACGGGCTCAGCAACGAGCTCAGGGAGCATCAGCGCAAGTTCTTCAACAAGCACAACACTGAGCGCGTCGGCTTTCCCTCCGTTGAATACGGTGTCACCATGTGGTTCGTTCCAGTCACTAGAGCTTGTGGAACAAATACTAACGAGGATGGGGCCTGCAGTCTCTCAATGTCTTCAGGTCGCAGTGGGAGCATCCAATTGCGCCAGTTTGACGGACGTGAACTGCTTTTGCAATAGGTGAGCTGCCAGTCGATCTTCGCGTTTGTGCTCGTCCTGTACCAGAGACTGCGTTGTGCCAGCACAGGACGCGCTCGCTCGGAGTCGTGACTGATTAGATTCCCCTGTCCCTGACACGCTCTACAGGAGCAACTACACTAGCATTCTGGTTGATTGCATATCAGGCACCTGCCCAACGGAACTCAATACTGCAGAAACCCTAGCGCAGCAATTCTGCAACCTGGCGAACAGCAGTTCCTCACTTTCATTCCCTACCCCAACTACCCCAACTACTACGTCGTCGTCTTCATCCCCGACAAGTCCTACCGCCACCGGTTCGAGCTCGAGCTCGAGCGTTTCAGCAACAGGAGCTGCGCCTGCTGTTACTTCTGGAGCAGGGAACTATGCTGGTTCCCTTCATCAGGAATCTAAAAAGGGTTCATGGATCGCAACGGCATTGCTCTCCGCATCGGGCCTCTTGCTTGGCATCCTAACAGTCGTTTGACGGCACACATACTCAGACGCCTACTTACAGTGCTACTGAACATTTTATAATACTTCCATCCCTTGTCATATCGAAATTGATCTCAGTTTTACTCCAAGAAGATATACCACCACCACATAAGGCGTACAATCCGTGCTCTTCCTTGAAAACAGCATTCTCTCATCTTCGCTACCATCAGCTACCTTGTAGAGCTCATCGTGCTCTATCTCAACACTAACGGTACGATCATACTTTGGTATGTTCGTAACGCATGACGACTCTTTCAAACTTCAGATCGTAGAGAGGACGTGCCAACGGAACTCATTGGACTGCGACGGGCTCCTCCTTTCACCATTGTCGGTAGTCCACCGCTTGTAAGCTAACAACATAATGCGGCACCGTACACCAACCGTATGTGAACTCGCCGACCGAGATTCCAGGATCAATAGAGTTAATATCCCCTCCAGGCGTCAGCCACTCCAGCCCCAACAGCGCCGGCCCAGCAGGTCTTGAGCTCAGCTCCGTGAGAGGGTATCAGAGCTTGAAAGCAGAAAAGCTATTTTTTAATCCATGCGACCTGAATTGACCGGAGACCTCGACTTCTTTTCTCCCGTTTATGTTGAGGTCAGTGGCCTGTTCTATTTCTGTGCGGAATCGTTGGCAGTTGCTGCGAACATGATTAATTATCTCAGGCACTGTCGACTTGATCATTTCCAGATGGCTCAAGTGTTGCGCGCCATGGTTGTGATACATCACATCACTGCGAGACCAAGCCACATCCCGCGTGGCCGGTACTTCCGTGGCTACCTCTGATGCAGCACATTTATGTACCTCCACTGACGATGATAGATGAAGCTTGCTAACTCAACGCCCAACTAAGACTCTATTGGCGCCACGCGGCCCTCACAACACATTGCTTTCAACGAGACCAGAGGTTGCAATATTACGGTGGATCACAATCAATACACCACAACGTCAACTTCCAACGATGATCAAAGGTCACCAACTTCATCACCCCCGCGTGAAGCATGTGGCCCTCAATTTGTTTCTCCGAACTCATAACATTGCTGTTGGATCAGGCTGGTATTGGGATTGACTCCTCGTCGTGACTCGTGGGTGGTCCAAAGGGCCCGTGCGGTAGTTTTAGGCGAGTTTTGCCTGGATGCTCATATCATGGAGCTGCGTACATCTGGAAGCTCTGAGAAATCCAGCGTCGCAACCAAAGGGCATCAATGATCAGATCAACAGAATCACTACTCAATGCCGTGCAGTTTCTGACAAGTCTCTACGCGCCGTGACATTCCGCGCCATCGCTCTTGATCAAATACACCCAATCAGAAGTGATTCATCCCCCAAATACACACGGTGCGGTGATAGTTGGTACGCCCGTTCCCATGTTATATGGCCTGAGTAGATATTAACAAGTGTATGGTCTACTTCAGGATAATCCCTTTCCGCTCTTTACCCTTCTTCTCATGCTTTTCACGGAGCGCAGGACTCGCTCGAGCGTCCTTTTTCTGGTGTGGTCTCAGCTTCTTTTCACTCCTTTAGCCGCCGTCATCAAGCCCCTGGAACTGGTACGCCCTCAGAACTGTGGCTTCACAGTTAATAATCAGATTAGTGCAACAGGGATTTACCTGGGACTACAATAAACCAGACGAGTCCCCTCCCGTCACTGTCACTCGTTCGTGAAAGCATTCGTCCATTTGTGCCGTATGCTGACGTGACGAACTCTTCAAGAACAATGCGAGACCATTCACATTAAGATGGATAGAGGACCGCAGTTCGCATCAAGGTTCGCTATCTACTCTGTAAGCCTGATTCAGCACCGACGTTGTCTCTCGTCTCCAGGCCCAACCCAGTCTCGCCGTACATGCTTCACGTGTTCGCCTCGTGAGTCGTTAGCGTCACCCTCTCATTGGCGTTGTTGATGAAGTCATGCAGAGGTTATACTGTACCATTCAGGATTCCGCTTGGAAACGGTCCTAGCTTCGTATGTCGATATTGCAACAGACGTTGGTCACGTTGATTGATGGCTTCTAGGATTGGGTGGTTCCGTTCGCCCCTGGGACCATAGTATGTATCCGATAGGTCTATTACTAGCACGGCATAGCTGACTCCTCTTAGTATCAAGGCTGCTTGGTATGGGGCTTTCAATACTGCTCGCCGTTCAGATCCCTAAGCATCATTTTAGTTCGACAAGAATGGTTTATCGGGTGGCTGTCAGGACAAGTACACCGTCATCCGCAACTTCACCAACCCCAATCCCACTTGCCAAAATGTCACCTTGCCGCCGGAATTAGGCGTAGAAGCCCTAGACCAGAAGGGTGACCCCTTGTCAAATCACGGCTTCATTGACCAGGTGAGTGTTGTAGCCCCTACTACTTTCATCCTCTTAATACAATGTATGATTTCAGTGCTCTGACGTAACTGTGCGGCCATTGTCAGCGAACGGAACAGGACCATATACGTTCTTTGTTAGTTCTCTCCAAGTCGACGTCGACGTATCCTGACGAGCACCGACAGGTAGCGGCATCTTTGCGCCCTCCATTCCAGCTTGTGACAGATACGTTGGATCCCTTTACTTGGACAGTTGATTTGGTAACGATGTTGCCTATTCATCTCTATATTTTGAAACCTAACATGCCACTTGTAGCCATGGGCTTTACCCTTCTGGATCTCCCTAGTTGACGGCGGCAAGGACAGCGACAATAGCAGGTTTATGTGGGCCATTGGCCCTCAGCATGGTGGCGGTCCCGGGACGAACGGCTGCCTTGCCCCTGATAGAATGTCAGTTAACTCAGTATTTTATTCTTGCTTATGCTTCGACAAAATTTGACATCTCCTTTATCCTGTCTCCGATTTTAGCCCTCCTCAAAAGGCCCGGTCAACGGCTGTTGGCGCTGGCGTTGGCGCCCTTTTCGGAGGTTTACTTCTTGGGATATTGGGCGCGTTTCTATTTTGGCGTTCCCGATTGCGAGATCTTGAGTCAATGAATCCCCCGAAGAAATCAGAGCTCACTCCGTCGCCTTTACCGTGGACTCAGTTCCCTCCCTTGCCGCCAGCAGAGGATCCTGATTCCAAATGGCGTACACAAGGGCGGTTGGCGCCCCTCCCTCAGATCCACAATTCAGCACCGCAGAGCGACACGGACGTTGACTCCGGCCCCATCATCGAGGTACAGCGCAATCGCACATTTGTACGCCATCAAGATGGTGGATTGATCATTGCCAATCAATCCAGCCCACTGTCCCTTGGCAGGACCGAAATTGTGGACCTCCCTCCAGAGTACATGGAACGCGGCGGCTCTTCATCGATGGCAGGACGCAACTCTACATCCCCTAGGCCACCCAGTAAATCGTGATTCGCTCTTTTGTGTTTTTATTTCATTATTATTCTTCATTTGTATCTGGTATATTTCTCAGCTATGGAAGGCTGGCACTCGTTGTATTCGTGTTCTTTTTGTATACTTATACCCACAGGATGTGACAGGCTGTTGTATGTATCTATGCGGCACTGAAACGTGGTCGTTTCTGTAAAGATTGGTGATGTCGCTATAACCTTCACATGTTACTTGTTTCGTCGCATACTATGATGGTGGTAAGTATGTTGCCAATTGTGCATGGCCTTAACCGAAGATACTTTGGCCCCTAATGATCTACTACTTGGGGCTGTAGCCACTGCAATGCATGGCCTGTACGGGTCCTATTGATCTATAATAGTACTTGGTAAAATAGATAGTCATTGAATCATTGAAGTTAGGATAGGAGATGGAGATGAGATCCACATTGTAAAAGAAGATAACAGATGGAAACTGTGGAGTAGACAGTAGCAGAATGAATAGTGGTGAGCATCAACAAATAACAAACTTCCGACCTGTGACTTTGTCTTACATGGACTCATTCAATGATAGATATAGTACAGAAAAACCAGATTGTGAGAGACCTATTTTGAGTATTATTGCTGTTTACAGAACAGTTGGCACTGGCACCCTTTTGTAGAAAAATGCACACTTGGGTGCGCACATCTTCGGTGAATGATAACTTTGGAACACGGGCTTAGCAGCCTTACATCTACATATATATACCGTTGCTGGAGTCCCCCAACAGTTTCCAGGCAGACTTTTATGATCTGATTTTTGGGTGATTTTTTCTATATTCTTACTACCACTGAACTACAATGGCGACACATACTCTGAATGGGTTTGAACAAAACTGCAGCAAAGCATCAACCCAGCAGCACGAGAAACTCTGGAGTACACATTGAACAATCTGTAGCTTGCAACCAGTGTAGCGGACAATTGAGTTGATGTCTAGAGGCATTCCCATGCTGAGAATGGCCCAACATAGGTCAGTTGACATGCAGGAACTGCAGGCCATGGAGTACATAGGTATAGAGAGAGAAAGAGCCTTAGCTCAAGGCTTGCACATTACTTGATTCCCACATGTTCTCTGATGTTCATAAAAACTCTGGGGGGCTCTAGTGACTGTTATGGGCACGATCAGGAAGCTCCTTAGGGGCTACTAGGGGCATGATCACATGATACAAGATTGGGACTTTTGGTCTGCGTGTATGCGCGGATACTCAGACTTTTGTACTAGTTACATACTAATACATATACTTATACTGTTACCAGACTCATGTAGGTTTCATGGGCACACAGATACCATGTGCCCTTCAGTATTTAGTTTGTACGAGTAGCTAGTTTCTACTCATAGCTACTCGTACCTCAGTCTGAATATTAGTTTGTTCTTACCCTCTTTGCATCCCTCAACTACTTTGTTGTAGTCTCTCTCTCTTCTATCCTCACCTATTGAAATACAGGGCATGCAAGAGTGTGGGAGGCGCAGTAGTAGCTGAAGCCAAGCCTGTATGTACTTGGTCCTTATTTCCTCTTCCTCGCAGGCCGTGCACCTGCAGCGAACATGAGGCCCTTGTACTCACAAGGACAGTCCTTAACAGTGACAAGATATACAAGCAATATATATAAGTTCATGTGGTTGATGTTTACCCATTCTGTTTGCTCAGTAACACTTTCCCCTATTCCCTTGTTTTCTGACTATCTTAAAGATGTTCTGCTATGTATACAACTTATTTATCATGAGCCGTGACACTGGAGGAAGTGAGTTAATCTGTAAATGTCTATGCCATACTCCCTTGTGTATCACTACAATGATTTAATGGATGTCACATCTGGACTTGGCTATCTGAAGTCTGCTACTTGAGTGTTCTAATGAAGCAATAGTGTCTTTATTGCACCCTAACCATGACTTGTGTTAGGGCAACACTAATCCAAAGGCTAACATGGCTCCTACAAGAATACTAAAGAAAAAAGATACAGAAGATAGCTTAGTTGACTTTAGATATCACACTAGAATTAGCAGAATCCCAGGAGAATGAGCTGGCATTCCCTGGAATTTTACTAGTCTTTAAATACTGTAATACATGTGGTACCCTATGTACTGCAGACATGTGTTACTGGTGAGGTTATTACTAAGGATATCAGAATAATGATTAGTAAGAGGACATGATATCCACATTTAGATATGATAGTGAGAAGAGATGATCTTTGGAATAAACTGGACCATAACATTGAGGGCATTTAGAGTCTGATGGCCCCTTTGTTCCCTATTCCATAATTATCCCTTTGCCCCCCTACTAATTCCAATTAAGTCACTGTCCTGATCTCCATGACATCCATCTACAGTATCTGAAAGATCCATACTTAATTAATTAGCAGACATGTAAAAGTGTACCACACCCTTTTACTTATAGCCCTGTAGCTCACTTTGCTACTGTGATATCTTTTCTTGTCCTTACAGACATGAGATCATTCTGTTACTCTTATAATAGTAGCAGCTAAGATGTGTCAACTCAATACTAAATGTATAATCCTACAGTTTACATGCTACATTTGTTGATATTTTACTTCAGTGTTTTGATGATTTGCTTGATTTGAGTACTTGAAGCCTATTTGTTGAAGTATATTATGCAGAATGAGGAAAGACATGATACCTTTATGGCCACCCTTGACATAATCTGGCAGCATTGATAGTCCAGAGTTCAGTCTGGTAGTCCCTATTCTCTATTACCTATCCATCCCCTGTTCCCCTGGGTGACCCTGAAGTGAGTGCTCATTTCTGATTATGTAACATTAATCTTGATACCATAACAATTTGGGCCATTCTATTCTAATAATATAGATTTAATAGATTTAAAGATATAGACAAATAAAATGACAAGATGAAGTAAAAAGGGAGAAGAGAAGTGCAATAAACATGGAAGACAATGAATTGGTGCCAATGTCAATTCAATCCCCCAGCGCTAATTTAATTCCAACTTAAAGTTTGATGAGATCCAAATTTCCCGATCACCGGCATCCGGCTATCACAATAGCCACCCTCTTTCCGTAGCGCCCAAGCGTCCCAACTAAAGGTAAGAACGGACTAAAGGTAAGAACGGATCACCTCGTAGTCACATGTAACTAGTCTAATAGACCCTTGATACTGCCCCTGGTGCGTCAGTCTAGTTAGGCTGATTTATCTGTTTCGCACTCACTGGCAATAATTAGGTGAATAATCCTTCGTCTGGAATAACGATGGGCACCCGCATTTGGCAGGTCCCTTCAACGCCATCAGTTGCGACGACGTGTCAATCCCGCTCCGGCTATAACCACCATCCGATTCCGACGACTACATGCGGCTAGTCCCTGGGCGCACACCGACGCTCCCTGGCGCTAAAGGTTCGCACGCCGCTGTAGACGGTGAGCTCGGTGTGTGCCCTCCTCCCTCCCTTTTATATGACATACTATACACTAATCAAAAGCTATGGTCATCTAGAATACGAATCAAGAACTCATATACGGCGGTTACACGCTCGGGAGGGCGCGGGGCGGGTGCGGAGTAAGTCAGGTGACTTACTCCGACTCCGTTGATCTTCCCGAGCGCCAAAGGTTCGCCGCTGCCACTGACACTGAGCTCGTTCACCTGCCACCGCATGTACACTGTATCCATACCTATAGCATGTATCTTATTGAGAATATATATAATAGAACATTGTTCTGTGAATATTGGGAGTCTTTACTACGATTGGGCAGGTACATGCAAAGACACGTCATCGTAAGCAACGACGGCTAGGTAGTGCTAGCCAGGGCAGCGGGGGGCTGGGCAGGTGTAGGCATAGAGTTCTCTTGCTGGGCCTTTCTTGTGCCGCGTTTCTTCCCTTTGTCCGAACGTTGTTTCCGTTGCTTTGCGAGGTACATGATTGGGGTGTTGTCTGATGTTGTAACGGAGTGATTGACAAATTGCAGCGGGTGCGAGCTAAGCTGGAGTGCCGGAAATGCAACGGATGGAGAAGCCTGGACGGCTGGTTGAGTAGCAGGAAGTAGGGGGGGTTCTCGTCGTTACTCTCAAAGATGGGCATGTCACCGGGTGTTGCAGTTGCACGTTCTGCGGGAGGGTAAGTATCTGAAGAGGCTCAAGAGGTCCGTATTACGCACCTTCCATATGCTGATCCATTGCGTTCGTCATTGACATACGTTCGTTAAACCGTCGTTCTTCCCACTTCTGCAACTCATCATCCAAAAGCTGGCGGAAGCGCGCTTGGCCCGATTCCCAAGCTCGAAACAAAACCTGTACTTCCATTCGTGAGCTGAGGTCAGCAGGGGAACAAAACTTCGGCAGTGGCCAGCCTTCGACGACGACACCATATTTCGATGTAATGGAATCTTCGAACGTTGCGTAGATCATGCGAGGGATGTTCGTATGGGTTATCTTGCCTGCATCATACTCGTTCAGCCTGCAGGTGAGATAGCATAAGGAGATGATGCTTACGGAGGTTATCAATGATTAGAGCAGCGGTGTCCTTCTTCATCAATGCCGTCGCCTCGACTTGGTTCTTCACATAGCCTAAAATCCAACGGGTGATTAATCATATACACAAGGAAGGAGGTCAAGGACATACCACTGACTCCAGATATACAGTAGGCTTCGAGTTTAAGAGCCATGTCGGCTCCTGTCTGGTTGTACGCTAGATTGATGAAGTCGGCAACCTTTGGACTCAAGAAGAAAAGAAAGGGTTTGTTGTAATGGTCGCTGCTGGAGCGGACCACGATCAGAAGGCACTCGTTGTTTGTGCGCGCGTGTAGGGCAGCAAGCTGATGAGAAAATCAGCTCCAATGGAGATTTGGTGGATGAAGAAGACTCACGTCACGTTCAATCTTCTCAAGGTTTGCACGTGTGTCATGGAACGCGTTAATCGGCGCGTTGTGAGCAGCGAGCTCCTTGATTTCACGATATTCTACTAAGTCTTTCATTGCGTTGTTCGTTGCTTCAGCCTGTTCCTCCTTGGACATTGCTCCCCATTGTTGAGACAATGACTTCATAACTCCGGGGACTGCATCCTTTGTCAACCCCCCATCTACTTCTCACCATCAGTGTCTATTTCCACGCACTCTGAAATTAAATCACGTACCTCCGGATAGTTTTTGTACCTCCATTTTGACGTACGCGTTCCAACGTGAAGGTGCGCGTTTAGCTCCATTTAAGCGAGCTCGCTGCATGATGTCGAGTTTATACCATTGAACTGAGTGTCCTCCGAACTTCGCGTGGAGAAACTCAGCCTTTTGATGAATCAATTCAAGGATTTCATCCATGGCAACCTTGTATGCCCCACGTTCCAGCTGGGCCTTTTCCCTCCGGGCCTTCTTCTCCGCACTGGTAAGCTTGATAACGTTGCGGGGTGCGCGTGCATGCAAGGCCGTTCGGATTTTATTTGTCTTGAGTTTACGGTTACGCGCAGCGAGGCGCTGGAGAAGGTCGCTAGCCATTGGTAGGGTATTAAAAAAAAAGATTTCAACATTCGGTAGATATTCTGAAAATATTACACGTGATCCTCCTATCTCCTATGCAACTAATCAACGCCCTGGAACACGAAGAGATTCCACAAGAATTTCATCTCCTTGTATGCAAATGCCGGACCATATTTCATCATCTTTTCCGCAAAATCCTCACCAGAGTGACTCTTGTCTTTCGTCCGAAGGATCTTCACCACAGAAGAAGCGGTGTAGCCGTGAGCAGTGAGGTAGTCATTTACGACGTGGGAGATATGGGGAAGGTCAGCAGCATCCAAGGTCTTGGTGCGGTGAGCCTCGAGAGGTTTGCTAGGGCGGCGGATGTAGGTATAAACAAAGTCGGCGTATTTCTCTGCATAGTCGTTAGTGATAGTGCAGATTCTCTAACGATGAGCTTACCAGAGAGCTTCTCAATGCGATCTTGCTCGTCATTGGAAGAGGACTCCGAGGAAGATTCGTCAGCTTTACTGAAGTTTGCCTTGATAATAGTGGCACGATTGGCCTTTGGGTTGGGTGAGCGCACAGCTGGAACAGTATTTGATGCGAACGTAGCCGATTTCTTGGGAGACAACATTGGCGTAGGCCGTGCGTAATGTGCAAGCTCCGCCGTAGTGTTACTGAAGGTAGGGGTAGGTGATGGGAGGTACGAGGTAGAGGGACCTGTGCTCGCTGACAGACTAGGTGTTCATTCGCAAACGTGCACATTGATAAAACCACATACTAGCTCGTAATCCGAGATCCCCCAAGTTCTTCGCCTCCTCTAGGTTCCAGTCGTTTGTTCTCCCTTCGAGGAGCATGAAAATGATAGCGTCGCGCAAGTTGGTAATTTTGCTGAACCTTGGGCCTTTGAACCGTTGAATCGAGTGCTTCAAGTCGTTACTGCAAGTTTTTCGTGTGGTGAGAACTGCAACGATACAAGCATTGCAACGTACTAGTTCACAAATACTCCTTTTTCGTAGCCAGCGCAGACAGGATAAAACCACTCGATGTTGGGAAGTATCGTGCGAGCAATGACCGAGTTCTTCAGTTTCAAAGCAATTGATGCTGGCTTGTCATGGAAGCCGTGGAGCGCAATGAGTTCGTTCAACATCAAGGCATGTTGGGCGTCAGTTTCAGAGTAAAACTTGAGGACGATGGGAAAAACGAAGCCGTTCGCAGTGTGTGGGCTGATTAATGTGATTGATGGAGTTAGAAGCCAAAGCTGAGGTTGAGCGTACCGTGTGCGTGTGATGCCAGAACCACCTTCGCCAATTGCTACGTAGTACACGGCAGAACCTTGCATGACGAGCTTCACAACAGTGATTAACGATGATAAGAAAGTGGTGAGTGAACAATGAAACGAAGTTGTCATATAAGGCAACTGTTCAAGTTGCGTCGTGGCGCTAACAACTCGCAAGTCAGGCTTACTCATAGCTTATACTAGTACAGTTATCTTTGGAGTTTATAAATGAGAACCATGAAATGTACAATTGAGATTCAGAGTAGAAATTAACTATTCATGTAGCTAAGTCGGCGATGAAATCCATAAGGCGATCAACTTCTCCGTTTACCTCATCTCCATCATCAGACACCTCATCAACATCCTTGTCTCCGTGGTCCTTGTTTGTGATTCCAGGGTCTGTACTTCTGAGTACAGGTAACGAGCCTTTCTTGACACCAATCGAAGTATCGCCTGAGAATCCCTCCAACCGATGGATTTCACCAATGCGAGCAAGCACTTGACAGTTGATTCGGCGCCTACTGTAAGGGGACACTCCTATTTTCCCCTTTTCCCCCTGTCCCGTCCCCTTCCTCCTCGTCCCTTTCCTCTTTCTTTCATTCCCTTTCCTTTCCGCTTCCCTTCTGTTCACTCCCTTCGCATCCGAGCCTCGTCCGGTGACTCCGAAGTCTTCCCGCGCTTCGGACGCCTCGGACTCGCTCGGACTCGCTCGGACTCGTAGATACACTTCGGGGCTCGTCCGGGCTACCTCCATCTTCCTTTCCCACTTCGTTATTCCTTGTCCCCACCCCCCCAGGTCGCTGGCACGGCTCCTGTACATTCCCCTTCCACTTCATTATCACATGCCCCCTCGTACCTTGTGATATTCGTTCGTACCTGTGGCTGGTGTACTGTACAGTTACCCTTCATTCCTCCCACGCTACTACAGTATATACTTCGCTTCCTAGCATGGAGAATCCCCATCCTGTTCTCTTTGGATTCTCCCTCTGCTAGGTGAGCAGCTCTCTCATGTATTGTAGTTAGTCTTATTCATCTCTTTGGATTCTCCCTCTGCTAGGCTTGCACTCTGCGGCCATCTTGAGGTTGCCCTTACAGCAGAACAGGATCTCTCATCCTGGCACCAGAGCCCTACGGAAAACGTCCTGCGCCACTCCGGACTCGTTCCCGACGTCTCTCCGGTTTTGCGGACATTCCGGACGCTCTCCTGCTACTCCCACCCACCTCTGAGGACCCAAGGAACTCCATCCCTCGCCCCCCTGACGACTCCGAAATGCCGGGCGCCTCCAGCCAGATCCCGCCATCCGAGCCAGTCGCTTCAGGACCGGGCTCCGAGACGTTGCAGACCTTGTGGGCTCAGACGTACGAACACCAAACCCAAATCACTTCCATCCAGGATACACTTGCCCGAATTGAAGGACTCCTCTTAACACCCCGTCCGACCACTCCGAAAACGACCCGGGACTCCGAGCTGAGGGGCACCGAAGCCTCCCAGCACGCCCCGAGTCGATCCGAAATCGCCCCGCGTTCCCGTTTGAAGCCCGCCTCTCCCCCGATCTTCGACGGAAACCGCAAGGATGGTCGCGCGTTCTACAACGCGTGCTCCATCTACTTCCAGCTCTGTCCAGACCACTTTCCGACTGAGCAGGCCAAAATCCTCTGGTGTCTCTCCTTCTTCCAGAAGGATCGCGCCAAGGAGTACGCGGACATGGTACTCCGGAGTCCGAAGGATCCGTACTTCGAATCCTGGGCCGCCTTCGCGACCGAATTCCGGACTCGCTTCCTTCCGGATCGGGAACGCGAAGCCGCGATGCTCAAGCTGGAGTCCACCCGATACCACCAAGGGCGTCGGACTTTCCAGGAGTACCTCGACGAGTTCCGGGACCTTGTAGACCAGTCCGGATACTCCGAGGGCTCCAACATCACGATGAAGTTCCGCCGCGGACTGGACTCCATCATCCAGAGCCGTGTTGCCGAGTCCGCAGACTGTCCGGACGAGGATGACTTCGAAGGATGGTACAAGGCAGCGCAGCGGGTTGCTGACAACCGTGCTGCCAACCAGTCCTTCCACTTTGGCGTGCACTCTGGAAACTCCGGACACTCCGGATCCCTCGTCCGACCAGCAGCCAGCTCCGGAGTCGCTCGGACTCCTGCGGGTGTACTCCCCGCGCCTCGGACTCAGCTCCCGCCTCTGCAACCCCGCTTCCAACTTCCGCCTCCTCCAAAGGCTCTCTCACCTGGCGTCCCCATGGATGTTGACCACACCCGCTCCCGGCCCGCCGCTTCGCAGCTCTGCTACCGATGCGGCAAACCCGGTCACATGTCCCGTGAGTGCCCACTCCGGTACGACGTCCGGTTCATGACCACCGAGGAGCGGATGTCCGCCATCGAAGATCTCCTGACCGCGGCCGATGTTGTAGAAAGTGCGGGGACCTCGGAAGGAATAGACGATGAGGGAACGGCCCCGGTTGAGGAATCGGACACGGCGGATTTTGTCCGGACCAACGAGTGATCAGTGCGACCTCGTTGGTGAATAACCGATTTGCTTGTCTTAGCATAGACGAAATAGACGATTCCTATCACTCCGATGATTCGTCCGACGCTAAGCAAACGACTCCGGTCACAATCCGCACACTCCGAAGGTTTCGCCCGCAGTGGGAACGGCGGCTACCCAGTAGCTATAAGATCTCCGCGCTGCCCGGCAAGCTTTCGCTAGATATACCCGTTGAAGTGCTGAGCACGGATACACAACACAGATGCACCCTGCAGGCCCTGGTGGACTGCGGAGCCACCGGAGTCTTTATGCATCCGCGCTTTGCGGATGCTCATGGTTTCACCCGGCGCAAGCTGTCCGCTCCGATCCCAGTCTTCAATGTCGACGGATCACCAAACGAAAACGGATCCATCTCCGAAGTCGTGGACCTTGTACTCCGGTTCAAGGATCACACGGAACGGATGCTTTTTGCGGTCACTAACATCGGACGGCAGGACATCATCCTCGGATACACCTGGCTTCGGAAGCACAACCCCGAGATTGACTGGCAGACAAAGGAGGTGACTATGAGCCGCTGTCCGTCCGGATGCGATACCTGTCGGAAGGAGTTCCGTCATGACAAGCTGACCCGACGCAAGGAGTCCGTACGACTCCGGGAGTGTCGTACGGGTCCGATGCCAATGGTCGAGGAACTGCACTCGGATGATCTCCCGCAGCTTCAGGACTGCGAGGATGACGACGAGGACGATGAGGCCACAACTCCGGACGACTCCGAACTTGAGAAGGGGGACCGTATCTTCGCAACCATTCCTCCTCCGACTCCGGAGTACCTTCGGAGTCTTCGGGAAGAACACGTCCGAGCTTTGGAGACGGTCTCGCAGCGCCTCGCATTGGCTTTCCAGCGCAACAAGCCCCACGATCCTCGGAACAGCGCAGTCCCGGACTTCCTCCAAGAATTCGAGGACGTCTTCGCCAAGGAGTCCTTTGATGAACTGCCCATGCCGCGCCCGTGGGATCACGCCATTGAGCTAGTGGACGGAGCGGAACCGACCTCTACCAAGTGCTACCCGCTGTCCCCCGCGGAACAGAAACAGCTGGACGAATTCCTGGAAGAAAATCTCCGGACTGGTCGGATCCGCCCCAGCAAGTCGCCCATGGCTGCCCCGGTGTTCTTTGTTAAGAAGAAGGACGGATCGCTCCGCTTGGTCCAGGACTACCGGAAGCTCAACAGCATGACGGTCAAGAACCGGTACCCCCTTCCGCTCATCTCGGACTTGGTGGACAAACTCCGGAACGCTCGCTACTTCTCCAAGCTCGACGTCCGGTGGGGTTTCAACAACGTCCGGATCAAGGAGGGCGACGAGTGGAAGGCCGCGTTCCGGACTACGCGTGGACTCTTCGAGCCGTTGGTAATGTTCTTCGGACTGACGAATAGCCCATCTACCTTCCAGACCATGATGAACGACCTCTTCCGGGAGCTCATTACGGAAGGTGTGGTCATTATCTATCTGGATGACATTCTGATCTACACCAAGACGCGCGAAGAGCATCACCGGGTCCTCAGGCGTGTCCTAGAGATCCTCCAGCGGAACAAGCTCTTCCTCCGAGCGGACAAGTGCGATTTCGAGCAGACCAAGGTGGAGTATCTCGGAGTTGTCATCTCTGAGGGTAAGATCGAGATGGATCCCGTGAAGGTTTCTGGAGTCGCGGACTGGCCAACCCCTCGGACTCGGACTGAACTCCAATCCTTCCTCGGGTTCGTCAACTTCTACCGCCGCTTCATCAAGGACTACTCGCATATTGCCCGGCCTCTCTTCGACCTCACTTGCGCAAAGGAATGGCAGTGGAACAACTCCGCTCAATCCGCATTTCTTCGGATCAAGGAGCTGATCACTTTGGAACCTGTTCTTGTCTTTCCGAAGGAGGATCGGCCATACCGGGTTGAAGCGGACTCGTCGGATTACGCTACGGGTGCGGTCTTGTCGCAGCTGGATCCGGATGATGGTAAATGGCATCCTGTCGCATTCTACTCTAAAAGTCTACAGGCTGCGGAGCGGAACTACGAAATACACGACAAGGAGATGCTTTCAATCATCCGGGCGCTCGAAGAATGGCGGCACTACCTTGAAGGCGCGGAGACTCCGTTCGAGATCTGGACGGACCACAAGAACCTGGAGTACTTCATCAAGGCCCAGAAACTCAATCGTCGTCAGGCCCGCTGGTCGCTATACCTCTCCCGCTTCGACTTCACTCTCCAGCATTGTCCAGGTCGGACAATGGGTAAGCCGGATGCTCTCTCGCGCCGCTCGGATCACTCGGATGGTAAGGATGACAACAAGGACGTGGTTTTACTTAAGCCGTCTTACTTTGCCGTCCGTGCCACGGGTGTCACTCTTGAAGGGGAGGAGAAGGATATCCTCACGGCTATCCGGACCGGAGTGCGGAATGCGAAGTTTGAAGATGCAGTGGCAAAGGCGGCAGAGGAGTTGAAGAAGGCCCAGGGCAGTCGCAAGACAGTCCGAAGCGCGGAATGGTCTCAATCGGACGGACTCCTGATGTTCCGGGGTAAGATCTACGTTCCGGACTCACCGGACTTGCGTCGGACCATTGTAGCTCAGCACCACGACACCAAGGTCGCAGGACACGCCGGCAGGTGGAAGACCCTCGAGCTCGTTTCACGCAGCTACTGGTGGCCCAACATGTCCCGGTACGTCGGATCCTACACCCGCCATTGCGACCTCTGTCTCCGGACGAAGGCCCAAAGGCATCCGCCCATGGGTGAACTCCATCCGCTTCCCATTCCGGATGAACGCTGGGATCGCCTGAGTGTTGACTTCATCGTCGAGCTTCCGGAGTCCGATGGGTTTGATGCTGTCATGAACGTGGTCGACTCCGTAAGCAAACGCGCCCACTTCATTCCGACTCACACCACAGTGTCTGCCCTCGGATCCGCAAACTTGTACCTGCAGAACGTCTGGAAGCTGCACGGACTCCCTCGGTCTGTTGTGTCCGACCGGGGTCCACAATTCGTCGCAGAGTTCACCCGAGAAGTCTACCGGATGCTCGGAATCAAGCTGGCTGCCTCCACTGCGTACCACCCTCAGTCCGACGGACAGACGGAACGGACCAACCAGGAACTCGAGTCCTATCTCCGGATCTTCGTCGGAGAGCGTCAGGACGACTGGGCTCGCCTCCTGCCTATGGCGGAGTTCGCGTACAACAACCGGGTCCATGCGTCCACTCAGCAGTCACCCTTCCTCCTGGATACCGGCCGTCATCCTCGTCTCGGGTTCGAACCTCACCAACCACCGTCTCGGATGGAGTCCGCAAACGAGTTCGTCGACCGGATGAAGTCCGCAGTCGACGAGGCTCATTCCGCATTGGTCAAGGCTCAGGACGACATGAAGCGCTACTACGATCAGCGTCGGACTCCTGCTCCGGAGTACCAACCGGGTGACAAGGTCTGGCTGGACTCATCGGACATCAACCTTGCCCGACCCTCCCGGAAACTCGGACACGCACGACTCGGTCCTTACAAGGTCGTCCGGAAGGTTGGCAAGGCAGCGTACCGACTCCAGCTCCCTCCGGGCTTATCCCGTCTCCATCCCGTCTTCCCGGTGGTCAAACTCTCTCCCTCCGTTCCGGACCCCATTCCGGGTAGACGCCCTGTCGCTCCGCCACCTCCACAGCTCGTTGACGGAGAAGAGGAGCATGAGGTAGAAGAGGTCCGGAATAGCAGACGGTTCGGTCGGGTCCTGAAGTACCTGGTGCGTTGGCGAGGCTATGGTATTGAGCACGACTCCTGGGAGCCCGCAAGCAACCTCCAGCATGCTGCCCGGAAGGTCAAGGACTTCCATGATCGTCATCCGGATGCAGTACGCGTACTCCGGACGAGTCCGATGATTCCGACGACTGCTCTACCTCTCCGGATGACTCCTGCAGCACTGGACCAGTCCTGGGAGCGTTGGCGTAGTCGGAAGGCCCCGGGCTCTGCGCAATCGTACTTCGACATCTTCTCGCAGCAATCCGGAGTTTCGGGGTTGGTGAATTCATGGCGCGGCAGGCAGGAATCTTTGCGCCGGGTCGCCGCAACCTTGAAGGGGGGGGTGATGTAAGGGGACACTCCTATTTTCCCCTTTTCCCCCTGTCCCGTCCCCTTCCTCCTCGTCCCTTTCCTCTTTCTTTCATTCCCTTTCCTTTCCGCTTCCCTTCTGTTCACTCCCTTCGCATCCGAGCCTCGTCCGGTGACTCCGAAGTCTTCCCGCGCTTCGGACGCCTCGGACTCGCTCGGACTCGCTCGGACTCGTAGATACACTTCGGGGCTCGTCCGGGCTACCTCCATCTTCCTTTCCCACTTCGTTATTCCTTGTCCCCACCCCCCCAGGTCGCTGGCACGGCTCCTGTACATTCCCCTTCCACTTCATTATCACATGCCCCCTCGTACCTTGTGATATTCGTTCGTACCTGTGGCTGGTGTACTGTACAGTTACCCTTCATTCCTCCCACGCTACTACAGTATATACTTCGCTTCCTAGCATGGAGAATCCCCATCCTGTTCTCTTTGGATTCTCCCTCTGCTAGGTGAGCAGCTCTCTCATGTATTGTAGTTAGTCTTATTCATCTCTTTGGATTCTCCCTCTGCTAGGCTTGCACTCTGCGGCCATCTTGAGGTTGCCCTTACACCTACGGATAATATGATCGTGCAATGCCCCAAGATGTGGGTCATGGGTAGCTTCGGCCTGGCTCAATATCTCATCAAACTCGCATTCTTCATCAGCGATTGATGTCAATAAACGACGGCTTTCAATATTGCATCGTAGGATTTCTTCCTCCGCACGTTGAAGCCGGTTAGCACGCTTTATCATCTCACAGAAAAGTGGTTGGGCCCATGGTTTTGCGCGAATGTCCTGACGAGTGCTGCGAAGGAGATCAAAGTCTTCAAGGAATGAGTAGTGAGAAACTTGGGACCAGTCGAGTGTGGGTCGAGGAGGATCGAGTTCTAGTGCAGCGGAGTTATATGCGTTCACGGCCCTCTGAATCGCCTTGCATCGTGTTTGCAGGGACTTCGCAATGTGAGTTCGTAATTTGTAACCTATAGACGATGAATATCATGTAGTGATTGATACTTAATTACTTACCGGTTCCCGAGAGATTCATCTTGTGAAGTTCAAATAGACGCTGAATAACAAGTTTTTGAAGTGTTTCGAGCGCACGGTGATAGCGTCTGAGGTGCATATACTTGACAGTGTCAAGATATGTCTTGTCGGCCGGTTCCCAGCGTTTATCAATCCCCATCGACACTTCCATAGCAATGACATCCTGCAATGTTGACTGGTATTGCTCCCGCGCAAACCGGCGCTCTGTCTCAAGCTTGCGAGTAGTCGAGAGGTCCAGGCCATATGCCTGACCGTATCCCGTGTCTGCAAAGCGGAAATTATATGCTGTCGCCGTTGTCGTCAGAAAACGGGAGCTGGTTGTTTGCATCTTTGCTCTACAGGGAGTAGTGAGTAAGGGTCGTGATACGCTCGATCAGTGAATATCACCGACTCTAGATCTCGGAGCTGTTGCAACAACTCAACGTACTCGATCGCAACAACATTGTATTCAGGTTCCTGGCCAAGGGTCGCGAAATAGTGCTGTTGATCTTCCTTCCACTCAGCGAGATTTTCGTAGGTGACGTTCGCAGACTGCATAGTTTCAGCTAGCATCGCGCTCTCCTCAGACTTGATAAGAAGAGCTTGTTTATAGTTATTGAGTAACATTTGTCCGAGATTTAGGTATTTGTCTTCATCCCATTGATGAAAGTATGTGTCAATGTAGAGCCGGCGCCGGAACGCGGAAGAGTAACGAATGATCCGAGCAAGTTGATTCGAGCTGCTGAAGATACGTTCGAGTGTCTCGAGATCCTCGAGGCCCATGCCCTCAATGATGTTTGGATGGTTCTTCATCTGACATGCGTAGTTATGAGAGTACCCGTGAAATGCATTGACGCACAGGCGAAACCGCAGTTCCTGTGCCTTCGAGGAAAGGGAACTATGGGCCAGGGTCGAGCTAAAACTGCACCCGATGTCATATCCCATCAGAATATCGGAGCCTAATGTCTCGAGGGCCTTCGCAACCATGGCCAACGGATACTTGGCCCTGTCAGAGTGTTAGAGGATACAACATTGTTACTCTGCATACATACAGTTCACCACTACGTATCATATCTGCAATCCATAGCATGAACCCATGTCTGCACGCGCAGGCAAAGATACCTGTTTCCTCAAAAACGGCCCACATCTTTTTATGCTCGGTTGCGGCGGCAGCCTTCCAGTTGTCGGCACAGGGGGTGGCACCGTCAGCCGCCAGCGACAATGAGTCAAGATCTTCCATGTCCTCCCGATCAGTAGGCGGGAGGGGCCGGCTGCGTACCTCGTTAGCAAATTGATCAACGTATTGCGGAGCAAGGAAGTAGTCCCCTTCATCAAAGGTCCGCGTGTCAGCAGTCTGACGGTGGCCGACATGAGCAGTTCGCTTCAGAGAGTTGTTGCCGTCGATAACAATCATCCGACGGAATTTGAGAGCTGGCTCGCCCTCAAGCTGATGAATGGTTAGTATATGATGGCGGAGGCTAATTGCACTCACTTCATAGCTACAGGGTGGGCAGGAATGCAGAGCGCGCCAGTCGGGAGAATCTTGATGAAGAGTGGTCTTGATATGTGCGTCGATCTCCCGTAGAATCCAGAGGTAAACATCGAATGACTCCGCTAAAGCATTTCGGAAGCGGTAACGATAGGGCATCTATTTAAACATGTATCAGTTTCGACACTTAAGATGGTGCCCAACTCACATTGTAAAAGTCGCAGACGACCTTTGCGAATGCCTCTACGCTGAACGATGGCTTGCGGAGCCGAAGACGGCGGAAGAGTTCCAGGGTCTTGACAGAAACTAAAAGGGAGGGGGAGTACGGGGTGGGGGGGATGAAACCGCTTTCAACAATGGCGGCGGCAGTTGAATCTTCACTCGAACGCTTGATAGTTGCAATGGTATCTAGTGAAAAGATGTCAAGCACTTCTATAGAAAAGTCGTATTCAGTGGACGGGTCCTCCGGAACAGATTGCGGTTGTGGCTGTCCGCTCTCAGAAGAACGATCATCGGCACTCGATGTCTCCATAGATTGAGGGTCTTCAAAATAGGGAGCAGGCGTAGACGACGGGGGATGCAAGGGGGCTTGAGGGTACTTCCAGCGGAGGTAGGCAGCCGTCATTGACTCCATCAGTGGCTTCCAGTTCGCTGTCAGCCGTTCCCTGCGTTGCCGTCGAGTCCGCCCATCGTGGTAACGTTGGCCTTGCCATCTGTAAAATAGTTGAGCAGCAAAGAGGATACACAGAGGAAACATACTGTTGAGCCACGAGCTCATGGATGGACTGAGCCATCGCTTGATCTCCCGTAAGTTCTCCTACTTCTTCCCAATCTGCGTCATCTCCCCTCAAATCAAAATCCCCAGACGGCTCCACGCTAACGTTGGGTGATTCACCACGCAACTCATCCAATATCTGGCGGTGTTCGTGGCTCAGTCCTACGGTGAAGGAGTCAGTAGCTCATAAAGCGAGAGGGAAGTCTGACGCGCCTTGACGCTGTAAACTGTACAGGGCAGCCGCCTCTTCCCGTTGCTGAACCCGTAGTGTCGGTGTTAGGATTCGTCTAGATGATTGCGATACGGCTGAGGAGTGAGAGGAAGCGCCCACACTCTCGCGCACCCGTCTAGAAACGCCAACTCTTCGGGATTTGCCCATGTCGTCAATGGGGGCAATGGCGAGGAGGTGGTGGTGAGACGCAAGGAAGGGGCGTGGGTAAAGTTTAGCTAGATTGGGCAGATCAACGGAGTCGGAGTAAGTCACCTGACTTACTCCGCACCCGCCCCGCGCCCTCCCGAGCGTGTAACCGCCGTATATGAGTTCTTGATTCGTATTCTAGATGACCATAGCTTTTGATTAGTGTATAGTATGTCATATAAAAGGGAGGGAGGAGGGCACACACCGAGCTCACCGTCTACAGCGGCGTGCGAACCTTTAGCGCCAGGGAGCGTCGGTGTGCGCCCAGGGACTAGCCGCATGTAGTCGTCGGAATCGGATGGTGGTTATAGCCGGAGCGGGATTGACACGTCGTCGCAACTGATGGCGTTGAAGGGACCTGCCAAATGCGGGTGCCCATCGTTATTCCAGACGAAGGATTATTCACCTAATTATTGCCAGTGAGTGCGAAACAGATAAATCAGCCTAACTAGACTGACGCACCAGGGGCAGTATCAAGGGTCTATTAGACTAGTTACATGTGACTACGAGGTGGAACGGATCCTTTCATTTCATTCCAGGACCCGTAATAGGGATTGCTCCGAAGCGCCAGCCATAAGGCGCCGGTTTGCACCAGGACCATCATCACTGCCAAGGTTGTAGGTTCAGTGTCTTATCTACCGAGTCCGTTGGTAATACTAGATTTCCTCTAGGAAGATGCGAAGGCTATATATCGACCCCATTCAGGATCCTGAATCACGTCCTCTTTCATGTCAGTCCGCGTGAGTCAGGTATCAAAAACGATGGGACGAACGCGATATTTTAGTAGAGGGGCTACTATGGCCTCCTCAGCAGAACAGACGAATTTGTATGGTGAGGTCGTTGCCATTCATCCTGAAATGTGCTTATGCTACGGCATGTAGTCGGTAGTCTTCTACTTAAATTCGCTTCGCGGCTTAACGCTAAGATCGGCGGCAACACATCAAGCCAGGTCAAGTGGCCATTAGGGCGAATGACCTCCATGTTTTCGCCACGTAGAATAGGCCCTATAACACAACAAATTTCAAGCTCGCTCGTGGCAGATCAGCAGTCGATGTTCCTAAGCACTGTAATCTTCCCGGGCCTCCGCTGTAATTATCCGTATCGCTTGGGTGTCAGGCTCGCGCAATAATTAATCAACAGTGAGTTTGAATATCGTATCTGTCTGCGAGCATCGAGAGTCGCAGAACTGAGCTGACGGCTACTACTCTAGTAGTGAATATTCCGTCATGTTCTGTGACTGTTCCGGCTTTAGACACTATTCATCCCTCGCATTCCAGCGATTCGGGGCAATTCAGGCGTAGCCCTTAGACACGTCTGAGATATTGCACCTCACACCGTGCAGTGGCTGGCCCTCGTTCTCCTACTTGGCCCAACGCAACCCTCCTCTTGTGTACATGTCTTCGGTGATATCTCGGTCAAGGCTGCTCGCGCTGTCTCCATCTAATAGGACGAGGTATATTTTCCGAATTCCCGATACCGATAAACTAGCCGCTCCAGCTCCCTAATCCCATATATGAAGTCTCGATTGACCCAAACCCCCTCAGCTACACTTGACTCTCGAACATCAACATGTTGAGGTTACTGGGGGCTTCATTTCTTGTCCTTGCACCCGTTGCATTAGCCCAGCAAACGGTCTGGGGACAATGTGAGTGCAGTTGACTTGATTGGTAGACAAGCACTGACTGTGTTTATAAGGTGGTGGTATTGGCTGGACTGGTCCAACGACTTGTGCCTCAGGGTATGCTTTCCTTTTACCCACTAGTCATACCATAACATTGGCCGAATAGGAACGAATGCATAAAGCAGAATGACTGTAAGTACATTCCTGTGTCCAACTATCACGTAACTCAGCTCGAGTAGGGTATAGCCAATGCTTGCCTTCCACTGCAACCCCCTCGTCCAGTTCAAGCGCGGTGGTATCGTCTTCTTCCACAACCTCTTCCTCGTCTTCCACAACCTCTTCCTCATCTGTTCCTCAGCCGACTGGCGCCAACTATTGGTTCAGCTTGTACGTCCACTTTGATCGTCGGCTGGATACTTAATGACACTTCGTTGTTTCATAGCGGCGATTCTTACACGCAGACCGGGTTTGACCCTTATGGTACTCTTCCCTCTGCCGACAACCCAATTGGAAACCCAACGTTCCCTGGGTGGACTTCCACCGGTGGCATCAACTGGGTCGGCGCCGGAACTACTACGTATAACAAATCGCATATCTTGACCTACAACTATGCCTATGGTGGAGCCACGATTGATTCAAATCTTGTTGCTCCATATCAACCAACCGTCATTTCCCTCACCGAACAGGTCGACCAATACCTCGCAACGGCTGGCACCAAACCCCCTTCGACCCCATGGACCGGCTCCAACTCTCTGTTCTCTATTTGGATCGGAATCAACGACATTGGGAACAGCTTCTGGTTAGAAGATCGTGATGCGTACGTACCACCTTTTGGGAAACGGTGGGCACAGAGAACTGACGCTGCCATCTCACAGCTTTTCTGATGTCCTCTTGAACGCCGAATTCGCCCTTGTGCAGAAATTAGTACGTTATCAATGTCAATATTTCAATGATGTCAGTACTGACGGCTTCTTGTAGTAGTAAGTTGGCTCTGATCCGGAGCGGATGATGCTGAAGACGAATCATACAGTGATACTGGCGCCAGGAACTTCCTCTTCGTCAATGTCCCTCCCATCGATCGATCCCCTATGGTACGAACCTATACGGTGACCGCAGGGATATCTCATTAAAGCCACCCACTCTAGATGCTAGCAGCAGATCAATGGTCGCAGGACACGGAAAGAGTTGTTATCAATACCTTCAACGCAAAGCTCGCAGCACAAGCAGCTGCGTTCAAAGCCAGCCACCCTGGCGTACGAACTTCTCAATCTTAACTCTTGTGTGCGCGCTGAAGGATAAATACCAGGTTGAGACTTACATTTGGGACTCGCATGCTACGTTCACGAGGATTTTGGACTCGCCGACCACGTACGGGTTTGTGGACGCCACCACTTTCGGTGCTGGACCTGGCATATTCTGGGGGTAAGTCGTCAACAGCCGCTATTTTATACGTTATTGGCTGATCTCCGATATGAACGTAGCGATAATCTGCATCCTTCGAGTGAGTCAAATTTCCAAGCGTCTCCGGTATGCTGTGAACTAATTTGTCTGCAGGCCCAGCGCACGTACTCTTCGCCGAAGATGTTGCTGAGGTTCTCCAAAATACCATTTGGTAGACGAGTAGTTGGAACTGTGGAGTAGCTCGTGCATGCGCAAAAGGTTGATACAAAGCTAAGAAATAGTTGTGTAATCAACGTCAAATAATGCCGTTGCGCACTTGCAGTTGACTGGAGACCGAGGACGTTCTAAGAATCATGATGTTCGTCGCTCCACTACTTAGCTTAGAGGCCAGCGCAGAGACATCCTAGTTAGCGATTGAACAAATCTAGGCCACAGTCCATCGGACGTACCTGACTCGCCAGTGGCAGGCAAACAGGGTTCCTTGTTCAACTCATCCAGTATCCAGCATTCACTCGTACTGCACGTCTGGTCGACAATATATCACATAAGCGAGTCAAACAGACACAATATATTTGAGCATCAGTTGAATGATAGGTATATGAGCACGAGAATCACGACTGTTGAAAGTCTACTTGTCTAGGAAATTGAACGGTATAAGACGTTTACCAGATCCTGGTGTCGAGGAGCAAGTCACTGCTGCCCTCAAGGCCCACGCAAGCTTTAAGGAAGGACTCGAGAGCGTTGCGCTGTCTATTGAGACTGTTGATGACCTCGGTGCCGGGCTTGACGAGGGGGGCCTTCAACATGTAGGAAAGGAGCGACAAAACAGGGTACAAAGGAGCGAATTCCTTGTTCTTCGACTCGGCAGAAAGATCGCGGTACTTGACACGAGTCAACAACTCAGTGAGGATTGTCAAATCCAAGATGAGAGGCGTAGCCAAGAGGGAGTCCTACGGTTTGAAACGTCAGTCAGATACCACCGGCATAAGGGAGAACAGGGTAGCTTACCTCGCATTCATTGAAGATGTTGATGGTGGATCTACCGCCGCAGAAGATCTCGGAGTAGTACTCGTCAATGGCACGCTTGGAGTCGCCAACAGCTGGGACGTATTTGATGACGACGATGTGGTCGGGATGTTCGCCTTTGCCAACTGGGACACCTTTGGGACCGACTTCAGGCGCCTTGAAAAGCAAGCGGTTGGCGTTGACCATATCGTCGACGACGCTGCTCTTGCTAATCTCCTTGCTCTTGAATTGCCTCTCTGCGGACAAGTTGTGGCCATCGTTGTTGCCGAGATGGTTGTAAGAGGCGATGGAAAGAGGCTTGATTCCGGCGTTGACGAGGAACTCTGCGAGAACGGACTTGAGTTTGGTCTGACCAGACTTCAAATCGTCACCACCGATGAAGGACTGCTTGCGCTCGGCGAGTTCAATGACACCCGGGACAAAGGTGTTCTGCGGGGCGCCATTGATGAATGGCTCGCCCTCCAAGATGGCGGCAACGGCGAAGAGGGTCGAAGGGGAGACCTCAGCGTGGGACGACTTGATGGAAGCGAGCAAGCTGTCAGCGGTATCGTTGACACCGGGGATGATGTCGCTGTAGCGTTCGGTGTTCGCGGTCCAGAAGACGACGACGCAGTCGAGCTCGTTATCTTGCTTGAACTTGCGAATATCAGCGCGAATGTGCTCAAGATGGGCATGCTTATCGTCGCCGGGGATGAGGTTGTCGGCGCGGGCTTCCTGGTTGGCCGCAATAAAGTCGGGGTAGTAGATGGAAGGGAGAGGCTTGCCAAGCAGAGCCATATATGGGGCAACTTGGCGCTGGAGGTCATAATCGAGGACGCGAGCACGGTCCATAGCCTTGTCCATAGGCACGCCGGAGATGTCCCATCCACCAAGGACAAGGTCATTGGGGTGAACCATAGGGAGGACGTCGCAAATCGGGATGTGGACTTCCTTGCCCGTGCCAGGCTCAGAGCCGATGCGAACGGTGGAGGCGCGAAGGAGGGAGCCAATGTAGTTCGGCTGCTGAACGCCCTCCTTCGTGCGCCAGACAATGTTGTGCCTGTTCGCGAGGATGGTTGCAGAGAGTGTGGAGCCGTTGTTACCACCCATCCCAATCATCATCAGGCTGCGCAGCAAAACAGCAATTAAACATCGCTTCAATGAAGGAAATAACAGCACATACCCAGTCTTGCTAACAGACCTCTTGGTCTGGAATTCGTAAGGCTGGACAGTCGGGGTGACGAGGATCTGTCCTTCGGACAGGTTCACAGTTGCTCCGCGGTTGTTGAAGCTGGAGGTAATATATTCATCGGAGTATTGGGTATTCTCGGATTGCACGACAAGGGTGTTGGGACGACGCGCCGCGGTAGGGTGAATTGGAAGGACTGTTTCGAACTCGGGGTTCGGGGTATTGAGCCCAGATGAGATGTTCGAGGGAGCCATAGTAGTTGAGTGAATAAGACAAGGACGATGGGGGAAATTTAATGGCTAGCTATCACGAAACCGGCGGCGGTGTGTTTACACCCTCTGTGTGGATTGTGGCTGCTACCGAGTTGATTCGAGTACATGCAATAGTGCAAGTACAAAGAAGGGGGGTGATGGAGATGACTGCGTTGCCTGAGGCGCCCTTATATACGTTCAGAACAGCCCGATTTTTTTCAAACTCAGCACTCGTGCGATTGTGATATTTTTGTACATATTTGCGATCGAACTCCGATCATCGACACATCGATCAGGTAGTACGGCATCTTCTTCCCCGACAATGTCCGTCATTCAACCCCCCCGCGCCATTCCGCGCCCCAGTATTTCTAACTTTGGCAATCTGTCGGTATCCAAATCGATATCCCGTCTATCACCACTCTGAAGGATGACAACTCCTGGTGCTAAGATAGTAGTCCCCGACTTACTGCTTGAGTTTCTTAAGCTATTCGCCTCGCCGCGAAGTTCAGAAGAAAGAATTCGAAGATTCTAGCCTCGCCGACACCAGGTTACCTCAGGTTACATGCTCACGACTGAACCCCGCCCACCATGTGAAGCTCATAAGGGTAAAGACAGTGTGTGTTGTTAGCAGCTGCCTCGTTCATGCCCTACTAGCACGGCTTGAGCACGGCCATCATCCAAGCATTACACGTTGTCTGATAAGCTACCGGGCTCAGCAATCCTTTCTAGTAAAAACCCCCAATAAAAGCGACACCGACCAGCACGCAATCGATATCAAAGCGCGATGCATGCTGTTTTCCTTGTTTCCTTGAATGCCGTCCGATAATTGTCCGCAAAAAGCCATATTATCAAAGGAACATCGCCACATAGCTTCTAAGCCAAGGGCGGCACTCCGCCTAAGGGAACGAGGCTCGATTTCAAGGGAAAAGTACGTACAGATGCTTGGTTGAACACGTTGACCTGATTTCATCAGACCAGAGGAAGTCAACGCGAACTCACAAGTCGAATCAGCTGGGTTCTGAATCGCCTCGAAGCTTCTTTCGACGACATACACATTCGAAATATTACACAATTGACGATTCTTTCTCCGGTATATTCTCATGTTCCCTTGTGCCTGTCACCACGCTGCATGAACAATTGTTCGTCTTACTGAATGCCCCAAGATCTGTGCGCCCTTGTAGGTAATATATGATTGATATTCATCAACACGCACACCACCTCGTGTACCGCCGCAATAACATTAGTTGAATCTGAATGATAACGGGGCCCGTTATCAATGGTGCTCATGATTGATTGATCTCCCAGCTTTTCGGGCCGTCTGAAAGCCGGGGTTTGCACAGTTACTGGAAAAACTGAAGAAACAAAGGTCACATAGGTTCCACTTGACACGAGCGCTATCATGGTATCCCAGCGGAGGCACTTCGTCGGTCTACAACCAGACAGCCCTCCATAACCGGCGCTCTCGCGGCTGCAGCCACCCAGAACGAACAATGTGTCGGTAAGCAGGGTCTTTGCGTGGTAGGATATTTCTCAACCATGCGCACAATGGAAACCACTCAGTGGTTGGAGGATAAGAGATAGCACGACCTTGGAGAATATAAAATAGTTCTATCTTGAAAGGCTAGGAGGAAGAGTCGCACTTTTGAGACCGAGTATCATCGCTGGCTCTTTTGAGATTCAATTTAAGTATAGGTATAGCTAGCCAGCTCAAGCTGAAAAGAGACTGAGTAAACTTCGATCGGGAGCTCCCTTTGCTTCGTAACTTCGGCTGGCCCGGCCCGGCCCAGCCGCGGGTGTGGGCGCCGTAGTTGACCTTCTTGAGCTCTCTTCTACCGACACTTCACGGATAACGAGAACCAATAGCTAAATTACATCTAACTCGTCTGTATCATGTTGGAATGGATTCGAAGTTCAATTGATCAGAACCTCCCGCCCAAACCCGTATGGTCAGTTGACCAAATCCCTGATCTCTCGGGCAAAGTTATTATTGTAACTGGTAAGTGGGTGCATTATGATGTTTTGGATATCAGCGACTGATGGCAAACTTGTAAGGTGGAAACACTGGGATTGGGAAAGAAACCATACGAGCACTACTCGCTCATAATGCGACCGTATACATGGCCTCGAGGAGCGAGGAACGCGCTCGAAGTGCGATCGCAGAGTTAAAGGAGGCCACGGGGAAGGAGCCCTTCTTCCTGCGTCTGGATCTAGGAAATTTGGCCAGTGTACGGAGAGCAGCTGAAGAGTTCTTGAGGTGAGCACTCAGCACTGCTTTCGGCGTCTCGGACTGTATTCTGATTGATACGCATCAATCCAGCAAAGAGAAGCAGTTGCATGTCCTCATAAACAACGCGTGAGTGATATTGAGTATCTGATATTGCCTTGGCGTCATGTAACTGTATTAGCGGCGTGATGTACCCTCCCATAAGCCAAGTGACGGATGACGGCTACGATATGCAGTTTGGGACTAACGTTATCGGTGCGCGCTCTCGTTGAAGCCATTCTCAGGAAGCCCTCTTACAGCCCGGTCATAACAGGACACTTCCATTTCACGCAGTTGCTCCTACCTGCACTCCTATCGGCGGCCCAGTCTTCCCCAGACAAGCATGCTCGTGTCGTCACGGTCTCTTCGTGGGGACACGAATTGTGGCCTGGTTTGAAATACGATACCTTCTCCGACGGACCCGCAAGACGCAAATGCTCTACCCAGTATCTATACAGCCAAAGTAAATACGTGCGTCGATCTTCTACCTTATCGGTAAGATTTGCTCTTACTGTCCATGTAGGGAAATGTCGTTGTCGCTCGGGAATTGGCTAGACGATATGCTGATCAAGGGATTGTATCAACCGCCCTGCACCCTGGTAAGTCCACTTTGATTCCTTGATGACGGCGTCCGCCGTTCGGAACCAGCGGAGGACCGTGATCGCTGATGCACGTTTGTTTCTAGGGTCTATCAACTCTGAACTCGCAAGACATACACCAGGAATCAACTTCTGGGGCAAGCTCCTTGTATGTGTTCATAGACGTATCATCGCCATTGCACGTACTGACTATAGGCGTCGAACTTATAGGCTTATCTTCTTTATGACACCGCTCACGGTGCGCTTACACAACTGTATGCTGCAACAGCACCCGAGGCGGCCGATTTTAACGGCAAGGTATGTCGCATTCGCCGATCTACCACCAAGCCCCGAGAGTATCAATGCCGTTAAATCTAACTGCTGTCGCAGTACCTCATACCGTGGGCAAGGCTCGGTAAAGCTATTCCATCTACCCAAGATCCCGAAGTAGCGGCCAAACTTTGGGCGTGGCTTGAAGCAGCGGTTGCCGATAAATGATTCATGGATGGTCGATAGCCCGGGCTGTATTAGTGTCGTCGATGGAAGTATTAATATCTTTATTCGCATTTACATGTTTGATTCGTCCTTGGTATAGATATTAGCAGCACTGCACTAGAATTGCGTGATGAACGCGAGAGTATACAAACCATCAACTCACAGGTCCGAATGCAAGTTGTCCTGTAAAAGTGCGAGCGCAAGATCACCCAATGTGGCGAGACACTTCATTGCTATTCAACTTAACCGTATCTATCTCAGGCTGTCGATACCAATACCATCATATCCCCAAACATCGTTACGAAGCAATGGTGCCAAGAATGCGATGGGCGTGGTGTACATGTGAGTAGATCTCTCCGGAGCAGAGATTCCTCCAGACAGGTACGGCATTTCTACTGAATGGTAGCGCGCGATACGTACTGCATAGGGACAAGCGACCTGTGAGCCGCGTCACGGGTCACTCCGCGGTGCCGGATGGACGCGCAAGTTCACAACTATGTATATATCAGCTTCCTTGCTTCCCATCCAACGCACAACGTACAACGTACAACGCCCACTCCTCACGGGTAACAAGGCTCAACTAAATCATATTCGAATCGTCGACATCAACGATGGAGTGGCTTCGAAATTCAATCGACCAGACTTATCCTCCCAAACCCGTATGGTCAATTGACCAAATTCCTGATCTCTCGGGCAAAGTCGTCATCGTGACTGGTATGCAGTATCATGATTCCATGAGCTATCAATTTGAAGATGGAGTTGTCAGGCGGCAACACGGGGATAGGGAAAGAAAGTGTACGAGCACTGCTCGTTCATAATGCCACCGTATACATGGCCTCGAGGAGCGAGGAACGCGCTCAAAGCGCGATTGCCGAGCTCAAAGAGGTCACGGGGAAGGAGCCCATTTTCCTTCGCTTGGATCTAGGAAATTTGAGCAACATACGGAAAGCGGCGGAAGAGTTTTTGAGGTGAGCTTTGTTCTCGACACGCTCGCGAACTGCCTTCTGATAAAGGACGCTTCATACTAGGAAAGAGAAGCAGTTGCACGTCCTGATGAACAACGCGTGAGTGGCGTTCGTATCCTGATTCGATACCTTGGTCTCAAATAATCGCATCAGCGGTGTGATGTATCCTCCCATAGATCAAGTGACGGATGACGACTACGATATGCAGTTTGGGACTAATGTTATCGGTGCGCGTCTCTTGCTATCATTGTCAGGGGGACTGCTTTTAATCTAGCTATGACAAGGCCACTTCCATTTCACGCAGTTGCTCATGCCTGCACTCCTATCAGCGGCGCAATCTTCACCGGACAAGCATGCTCGCATCGTCACGGTCTCTTCATGGGGGCACGAATTTTGGCCTGGTTTGGAATACGACACTTTCTCCGACGGACCGGCCAGGCGCAAATGCTCCACGCAGTATCTGTACAGCCAAAGTAAATACGTACGTCGACCCTTCTTACTAGTGAAGTTCGCCTTCATTATTGTCTTGTGCACAGGGAAACGTTGTCGTGGCTCGAGAATTAGCTCGACGATATGGTGACCAAGGGATTGTGTCAATTTCACTACACCCTGGTAATTAATTCCTTTGCTTTGCTTTGATGATAGCCTGTGCAGAACCACATATCCTCTTCCAGGGTCTATCAATTCGGAACTCGCAAGGCATTCTCCGGGGTTCAGCTTCTGGGGCAAGCTCCTAGTAGGTGTTCACTCAATTGCGAACACTTCCATTGCGCGTACTAATCACCACCCTCAGGGATATGATACAGCTCATGGCGCCCTCACACAACTGTACGCGGCGACAGCACCTGAAGCGGCTAACCTCAATGGCCAGGTATGTACATTCACTAATCTCGTATTCCGATTGTGTCTACATTGTTAATCCGACTACCGTTGCAGTACCTCAAACCGTGGGCAAGACTCGGTAAAGCTGTCCCCTCTACTCAAGATCCTGAAGTAGCTGCCAAACTCTGGGCATGGCTTGAAGCAGCGGTTGCCGGTAAATGATTTTTCGTTGATACCCTGGGCGTATATCCTATTATCAGTCGTCATGTATTCATGGAGGTGTCTCTACCCTGGTTCATATTTGCACGTTTCGATGCAGATGTTAACAAGCCCTCACCAGAATCGTGGGATTAGTGTGATAGCCATCCGTTCTACCGAGTCTTAATCCGCCAATGCTGCTGGTACATGTACACCACACTGTGAGAGGGTCCATCGCGTTTCCTACCATCCTAACTGATGATCATATAGGCGTGGGGGCAGGATACATTGAGTGGCATGTACACGAAGAAATGACAAAGATGCGGGCTGATATGACAACACCATCGCGCGCGACAATGGGTGTGTTCAAGCAATGATGCACCAAGATTGAAAGGCAGGCTTGTGCCCTTCCTCCTGAGCCGCCTCGACCCCTTTGGAGTCTGTTTCGCTATCGGACAACGCGGAGAGGTCCTCGCAGCAGGAATGATAACCAGACAGATCCTCCTCGTCGCTGACATAGTTCTGTTCGTCTTGATCCGCGTTGCCAAGGAGGAGAGCATCGTCTTCATCGACTGTCTGAGCATTGGCGCACAACCCAGTCGTGTGGATGACGGAAGCTATCTTGGGACATGTTAATACTAAACAGAGAACGCAAGGTGTGAACAACTCACCTTTCTGCCGCTGCTGTACGCCATCCAGTCCTCACCCTCCTCGAGATCAAGCTCGCCAAGCCCAGACACTCGGAAGAGCGACTTAATGAAGTCAGCAGTAACGCGTTCGTCGGACATATTATGTGTGCGGAAGAGTCGAAGCGACGGGGGAGAATTATGCAGGAAAGATTGAGGATGGTGGCGGAAAGAAATGAAGAAGGTATTGTGGTTGGATGAGGTTCCAAGCACGGCCTTAAAAAGATATGCGCGAGCCACAGCAAACATACAACAACTCATTTTGCCACAGCTAGGACGCGGTTCAAGTTTCTGGAGCACACACTTGCTAAGTGTTTTTGCGGTACTCTGGCGTCGAGTACAGTATTGAATCCTTGCCAGTGAGGATAGGACCCTGATACTGCGCGTCGCGTTGCATCGATCCATATGAGCTCCCATATCGATCTTGGTGACACCCGGAGACCCACTCTCTTAGGCAGGAGGTGGCTGGTAGCTTGCATGGTGTACCCATTGCAAAGTCGATGGCGAAAGAACCCTCCCTACTCCTCCATACGGTGTTCTCCGTGAGCGTCAGTATCTTCCCATCCAAGCTAATGGTGCGTTGTCAGCAATGACGGGGACGACGGCGAAGGGGTGTACTCACCGATGGGCCAGACCAATCCTCTGTAGAAGACGGAGTTCTTGTGGTCAGTAGATGGAGTGATAGACGTACCGTGTGTTCCCGCCTTTGCGCGCCTTGGATAAAATGGGAGCGAAAAGGGGGACAATATTTTCTTACCTTTGTAATATCATCCATCCACAAAGTATGGTCGCCTTTGAGCATTGATATTGAATATTGAGTGTCATGGGGTTTACTTCCTGGAACGACATGATGATAGGAGCTAGGGGACACTGTGTAAGTATCATCCATTACCCTTGCACGATGCACCACATACCTTAGGGAGCGCCAAATATAACGTAAAAAACCCAAGTACGCGACTAGTTTCTGGGAATCTAAGATACGACGCAGCTCTACAAAGGTTGCATAGGCCGATGTGCCGACGGATAATATTCCCACAGTCAGTATTACTTTCTCACCCTTTAAACTGATCACTTGAATTGTATGGTTGTATATTCGCGACCTTTTCGTTTCTCTAGATCTCCCAATGTCGCTTAAAGTACCTAAAGCCAATAATATCCAGCTATTCAAAGATGGATACAAGGTACGCTACCCAATTCCTTGTACTCGATCACTATTCATCCAACGATAGCAAGTCTCGGGATTGGAAGACGCGGTGCTGCGAAATATCCAAGCCGTAGCAGAATTATCCGACCTCGTACGGACGAGTTTTGGGCCCAATGGCGCGTAATCATACATCTCATTTCTGCATACGCGCTCACGAGTCGATCTAGGGCGCAACAAACTGCTGATCAACCATCTCGGCAGACTCTTCGTGACCTCAGATGCTGCAACGATCATTCGCGAAATCGAGGTCGTGCACCCTGCTGCAAAACTGCTTGTCATGGCGTCGCAAGCTCAGGAGTCCGAGGTGCGTGGCTCCTTACTGTCCTTGGCCCAAACTCATTCGATCTAGATGGGCGATTCGACGAACACGGTGCTCATATTCGCGGGTGAACTGTTGAAGAAGGCGGAAAACCTTTTGCTGATGGGGCTTCATCCCAGCGAGATCATAAAAGGGTACGAGCTGGCATGCGAGAAGGCCTTGGCCGAACTAGAAAGTGCGTGTGCTCCCTTGATCATCGACCTATAATCTAATCTCTCCCTAGAACTATCTACGACTAGCCTGTCAACACCCCTTACTCACCAATCACTGGCAGAGGCACTGAAACCTGCGATCGCGTCTAAACAATATGGGCACGAAGATACTCTCGCCGCTTTGGTCGCCGAGGCCGCTCTGATTGTCATGCCCCCCAATCCCAAAAACTTCAACGTCGACAATGTACGAGTAGTGAAGATCATGGGCGGGAGTCTGTCTGGGAGCAAGGTGGTACAAGGCATGGTCTTCGGACGTGAACCCGAAGGCACGATAAAAAAGGCCCTACGAGCCAAAGTCGCGGTATACACATGCGGCATCGATATCTCGCAGACAGAGACAAAAGGAACCGTCCTTATCAAAAATGCCGACGAGATGCTCAATTTCACGACGGGAGAAGAGAAGCATATGGAAAAGGTTCTTGAGTCACTACTTCGCTGACGGAGGTTACTGAGCGTTCTATTTGTAGATATTCAAGGAAATTGCTGACTCCGGTGTTAAAGTCATCATCGGTGGATCAACCGTTGGCGACCTGGCTCTTCATTACCTCAATCGTCTCAACATCGCAGTCATCAAAGTACTATCAAAATTCGAGCTTCGTCGACTGTGCAGGGTCGTCAATGCCACACCGTTAGCTCGCCTTGGAGCACCCACGCCCGAAGAAGCCGGTTTCGTCGATGTCTTTGAAACCATTGAGATTGGTGGGGATCGAGTGACTGTACTCCGCCAGCTAGCTGAAGATGACGAGGGTTTTGATGCCAGCTCGTCAGGCGAAAGGACGCGTACGGCAACAATTGTCTTGAGGGGAGCTACTTCAAATCATCTGGACGACCTCGAACGAGCCATTGACGATGGTGTAAACGTCATAAAAGCTTTGATGAAAGATGCGCGATTGGTTCCTGGAGCAGGCGCCTCTGAATTGGAGCTAGCACGGAGGGTAGAGACGTATGGCAGCGGACTCAAGGGGCTCGCACAGCATGCGGTAAAGCGATATGCTACAGCTCTGGAGGTTGTCCCGCGAACGTTGGCTGAGAATGCTCTGGGAGGCGCCGAAGGGAATGAAGTGTTGAGCCGGCTATGGGCCAAGCACGAGGAAACGGGGGGTGAGGCTTGGGGCGTTGACATTGAGGTACATTCCTAACGACCCCATGACACCTACTCACAGATGCTGACTCGACATGTAGGCGGAAACAGATGGCACCCTCCTGGCGACCGAACATAAAATCACTGATTCACTAGCGTCGAAGTCTTGGGCGATAAAATTGGCCACCGAAGCCGCGACGTCCGTTCTGAGCGTAGACAGCATCATAATGAGCAAACCGGCCGGCGGGCCAAAGGTGCCGCAACAAGCAGGCAATTGGGACGACGATGATTAGAAGAAGCAAGTATGTATACTAACGATAGTAATAATTAACGATTACATCCATTTCGCACATTCAAAGGCCGTCAACTCAAAGAAAGGTTGAGCGGTTCCCCAAGACTTCGTTTCTCCTCGTAAGTCCCAGTCGGCACCCGGAAGTACTCCAAACTCTCCGTGTCGATTGTGTCCTTTCGTCAATGTCCCTTCCTCCCGTCGTATGCAGATGTGACATGAAACAAAAAATATAAAGCGATCGCATCGTGACGGGATAAGGAAGCTTAAGCCTTTCATATGCAGCACAGACAGATACACTTTCGTTCTTTCATGACAGCTTGCTTTGGTGGAGTCGGTAGCACACCTTGCTGTCATCAACAAGCCGTTTTACAAGACCCCAAATTCTTTCTTCTCAATGTCCACCAAGCCAACCGAGTTTGTCAAACCTCTATTCCGCGTTTCCAGGGTCCGGGTCTAATTTAAGGAGATGATACAATGTCATATACCAGCAGGGCTGCAGTATTGGTATCAGCGAGTCAGTATTGTATCACAGCCCTCGAGGTTTCTATGGACAGTATCGTAGAACTGACACCAGTAGAACCAGAACGAACGACGTATCGTAAGACTCAGAAGCGGTCACAGGGGTTGAAAAGACTGATCCCAGGTCGTTATAATGTACCCATGTTGTTTAGAAAATTAGAGCTCTGATGATGGGACCTTCGCACTCGATCGATCATCCAACAAGCAACATGATAAAGCTAGTACATGGAATACATAGACCTCACTCTGACCGTGGGAACCTTGGGATTCTGACCGTGGGACTAATGCAAGAGCGCCAAGGTCATGCTCATTTGTGAATATAATCCTGATTATTGACGCCACGGTCAATTGAAGAGATTCAAGCAGGACGCTTGATGCTAGCTTTGATCCCGTTCAGAGATCCGAAGAAACGACGGCGACCACCAGCAGAGGACACCGACAGCTCTCACATGTCTCTTCATACCCTCCCCTATGATCTACTCCTCAATATAACTTTTTATTTGGATCTACGGGATATACACGCGTTGCACCTGGTGAGTGTACTTCTTGTGGTTCTCCTTGAGCCCCGGGGACCGTTATCGTGACGGGGGTATACACTCTGGAGGGGGGCGTGCCAGAGGCCTTTCATTCGGGTGGCTCAGAGATTGCCGGAGGTATTCAGGAAGACGGAGGCTCTGGCGCCTCCAGCCGTGTGTATAATGGGCCACGCCAAATGACGGGAGGCTGGAGCTTCCACGGAGCGTGCGCAACACGTTCAGACAGTATGATCTAGTACGGATCAGTGCCTCGTTCCGCCCCAGTCACTTTCCTCGTCGGGGACTTTACCCGCAGAACACTGAGCTATCCATGCAGGATCGTGTTTACGGCCATCATCTCTTGACCGGACGTCCGACGTCGTTTACTAAATTATCAATCATCTAGACTTGCAAGTCACTGTACACGTTCTCCACGACGAAGCCAGTCTATCGGAAGCTTGCCAATGATTTGCTGCGCCGATGTCGCGCCCTGCCTTTAAGGGGGTTCCAGAGGTTAACGGACCTCAGCGTGGATCAGCTCATACGAGCGGTCAATACTGCTACTCGCTACGAGCGTGCTTGGAGAGTCCGGGAGCCGAGGCCGATTTCAACGACGTTCGAATGCGGCAATAGCTTGGAAGCACAGTCCAACGGCTGTAGTTCGTGGTACAAGGTCGTCAGCGCTCCTCCAAACGAAGACGTTGATTGGTTATCACCCATTACCTCCAGCTACACACTCTGTGCGACCAAGAGCGGGAAAGTCGTGTGTTGGGACGTTCAGTCGGATCAATGTCTTGCAGAATGGAATCCGGGGGAGCGATGGGAGTTATGGAAGTGTAGGGTTGAATTCGAGGAACGAACAGTTTTTTTCACCATGGCCAAGGTCCTGTCTGGCGCGTACGTCGTTATTCTCAATTTCCTTTAGGCAACTTGTGAGCTCACTTCAATGACAGCTACGATGATGAACGAGTGATGGAGTTTGTACTCATGAAGTTATACTTCCCAGAAGATCCGAAACACGCTCTAAAGGAAGCCAAAGATCGCCCCCCTCCTGTGTTTTCCCGGGTTATGGAATTCAAAACCACTGGCGTAGTCATGAACGTTTTCCTGCTTGATCCTTCAGCTCGGCTATTGGCAGCGTTTGTTTGGGTATCGAGTTCGAATACCATAGGGTTATACGCTCTTCTGGATTGGGATAAACCAGAGTATGTCTTCATAGACACCGGCATTGAATGTGTACGTCTCACTTCGCCGTCCTTCCTTCCCAGCATCTGATATCCGCACCCATCCCAGAAAATGTCCTCAAACTGGTCGTGTATTTTATATGAGCGCAACATAGTCATACACTCCGAAGAAAGCGACTCTGCTTTCCAATACTTTTATCCCTTAAGCCTGCTGGAAGAGTATAAGAAGCAGCTTGCTGCCAAGACCTCCGTTCCTGCTATCGCGGCACATGTACCCCCCGCGGAGACCCTCACCAAACGGTTTATATTCCCTCGCCCGACCCCAAGCCAACCCCAGCCCACACAAAACGGCGCCTCTATCGCAAGTCACCCTGGCACGCCGATCCCAACGCCATTTCTTGCGCTCCCTGGCCTCAACGGCCATGATCACGACGCGTCCACTTCGACCACGCCCACTGATCCGTTTCAGACGACGCCCCCTCCTACACCAACCCCCCCTGCGCTTACTCCCCCGACTCCGAACCCCTTCCCGTTCCCCCCGTGGTACCCTGAGAGTGCCCACTTTGTCCGACAGTGGTGGCCCAGTCTACCAGGAATACCGCGCGTGAGCTGCACAGTGGTGCTGCTAGCTTCTCACGATCCGGATACGCATCGAACGCGTTTCGTCCTGGCGCAGCATTACTTCCGCGTCCCCCTCTCCCAAGAAAACTGGACGCATGCGATCGGGCCGTCCGATACCGGACGAATTCGCTCGTCCCATGCAGAAGAGGCAATGGGAGGCCCGTCATCAGCCAAGGGCGGTGCTCCGGGGCCCCGCCCAAAGAGGAAGAACAACGACGACGCGCTCATGCGGCTGTGGTACGTCAGCACGCCGTTCGAGGTCGTCTGTGTGTTGGATGGCATGGAGGATGAAGACGAAAACGGCGGGATGAGCGAACGCCCGCGCCCGTTAGTCGCCGTCGACTTCGGGCACGCCGTGTGGATCGAATACAACGATACCGACGCCGACCGTCCCGGCAGCGACCCCGAAGCCAAGTGGCTGCGCTTCGTCACGTTCCCTCCATACCCCGGTGAAGATGGCGAGAACCTCACCAACGACGGCGGACCCCGCATCGGCGTCGAGGGCGAGGTGAAGACGCTGGTGACGCCCCCGGAGCTGGACTTGGATAGCGTGGAGACGCTCAATATTGACCAGTCGCAAGGCGCGGTCATATTGTCGGTGAAAGAGGGCAAGATTTTTATTCTCTGTTATGAGTGAGGCAGGATCGATGTAAGCCTCATGGCTCTGGCATGCATGGGAGACGTTCATAGCTGTATCGGTAATTTCGTCGCTGTATTAATTGCTTCATCAAAGACTTTCCAGCTGTAGAATATAATCCAAGAGAACAATTGTGAAAGATTAAGTCGTAGGTTGTGAAGACGTTGCAGTCGAAGCTGATATACCGCAGGCCTCTCGTAAGAAACAACCCGACGTCGTCAAACTTAAAGTCTCGTTACTTCGGTTTGTTCAGATATTAACGGCTGATCCTACCTTCTGGTTGTGCGCAGTTACTCTGCTCCGAAACCTTCGCCGATGGACGGTCTTCTCGAGGCGATAGCGCTGCCACGTCTCGTGCCCTTGTCTGTCGATCCCAGACATCACCTGCACAGGCAATTATCCTGAATTCATCACGAGGTCGTCTTACACCCAGAATGACAAACATTCTGGCTAAGGTTTGTAAATTGTATATGGCGAATTGCGCGACATTCTAAACGCATGAAGCACTTAACGAAGTTGGAGCCCGCACGTAAGCAGCGTCGTTCGAACGAGGGAATGATAGGATTCTAGAGATACGCTCCAGCAGCGGGCGAGCTGCCGTGGGCACGGGGCGATGAGGAGGCTTGTCGAAAGATACTGAGACGGCATCAAGAGTGCTAGTGACAAGCCAAGTTCGCTCGCATCTTTTCTGTACCGCTATGCTCCGAGTCCAATTGTGAGGCATGTGCTTGATTAGCGTTCAACTCTTGGCTCGCTAGAGGCCTTGTTGACAGCAGTCTGTATCACTGCACATCTCCAAGGTCGGTCGCAACAGGGGCCTAATTCGACAACCTCAATCCAACAGTCATATATGCCTGAAGTGTGATTATAGGTAGTATAAGAATAGTCCAACTGAGTATTGCGTAGAGTACTTAAATCACTTGGACGTCGACGTCGCCGAAGATGGCGCTGGAGACGCTGGAGGGCTACCCGCTGCTGGATCAGCTGGCTTGGTTTGTCCCGTCATCAGACCGAACATCTCCCATAAACTATTAGGTTGCCCTTCGTTCATCGCCTGTTGGTCCTGCTCCAAAAGCCTATCAAACTCCTCCCGATGTGCCATGATGTACGCTTGCTCCTCTTTGTAGAGCTGCTGCGCCTCTAGTCGCTTCTGTTCAAGATACGTCAAGGGCACCGCCGATCGGGGCTGACTACTCGGCTGCAATGTGGTGATGTGGGTGAGCACAGACGAATGGATAGATGGATAGTAGACTTACTCCACCGAACATACTACTCAATGTCAAGGAGCTTGACACACCCTTCGACTTCTTCGACCACTCCTCGATGTGCCGTTGCTTCGCCTCAGCTTCTTTCTTCGCGTATTCTATGGATACATCCTTCCCATGGTATGCCTCAAGGATTGGCCGTACATCGGGAGCCTTGTAGATAGCGAGGGCTACGTAGACCATGAGCGGCTATATCAGAGAAAGAGATGCGAACTTACATTCGAGGAACGGAATCATGGACACAAGCCCCTTGTCCTTGGGGTCGCCTGTCCATTTAGGAAGAAGGATCGAGTTTTCGGGGTGGGTGGATATGTGGTCTTCGTGGGTGTCTAGCAAGACGACTTTTGACAGATCCCGATTCAGGTACGATAAATCCTGGACACAATGAGTATCTATAGGATCCTTGAGCGAGCTACAACTGACCTTGACAATCTTGCCGTTTATCGACCGTGTAGCGTCGCGGAATAGTTTATGTGTGATAAAGAAGTTATACTTGTCTAGTTTTTCGAGGATGGGCATAGCAGTCTGGGAAGTAACATCAGCTCTATATCACGAACAGATCCAAGCGCACTCACATAGTGATATTGCGTAGTGAATATGACGACCTCATAAAATTGCGAGATATAAGCAAGGAAATAATCTACTCCGGGTCGTTTTGCAGTCCGCCAGCCATGCTGGCGCTGTAATCGCGTTAGCAGTCACGTCTCCGTGGATTCTCGGAGTACATACATCCCATGTGGAGGTGACGAGTAGGTCGTCGAGGGAGACTAATAGGGTATAAGGCTTGCCGTGCGGGGGTGGTAACTGGGGTGGAAGAAGTTCCGACCATGCGGGTTTGTTGAAGTACTAAACCCTATATCTCAGTGGTCTATTTCTTCTATTATTAAAGACAAGAAACGCACATCGAAAAGTTCCTTGAACCGATCCGTCGTTCGTCCCCACCGAGTAGCTGGCGCTTCTTCAGCTTTCTGTTGATTTGTTCAGTCACTTCGGCGGGGCGTACGGTAAATACAACAACGCACCATTTTCCGTAGCTTGAGCTCTTCCTCGTCGTACTCTCGGCCCATGTATACGCTGTTGACCCCGAAGGCCAGCACGAGCATGGCCAGCGACACGCGACCTAGATACCGCCGCCGACGCTCAATCGATGATGGAGAGTCTTTCGAAGACCTCGCGCCCGTCCGCTGCTTCTCCTCAACTGGTTCGACTGGAGATATGTCCAAGCTGGGGAACGCGGTCTGCGGAGGTGGCCGCTCCGTCGGGCTCGACGATGAACTCGATTCCGACGGCAGGGGCGGCGGTCCTGGCTTTTGAGGGGGGACACTCTGCGACAGACATCGCACCGAGCGCAGTGCTGTTTGACGAGCTAGTGGCCGCGAAAGTACTGCAAACATCGAGGCGACAAAAACGCTAGTGCAAGTTTTACAAAGTGACCTCCGGGCGCTAGCTCCTAGCAAGCCCATGTGGCAATGTGGGAAAGTATAACTTGGGACGACGGCATTTCGGCGAAATCTTGAGCAAGCACAACAAGGCCGGTTCACAACTTCCGGTGAAAGTGAGGAATGTAGAGACCCTGACTAAGGTGACCATGAGCCTTTTGCACTTTTACTGCGTTTGGTATGATACAGGGAAAAGTGCGGGAGAGGACAAGCAAGGTCTCTGTGAACCCCAATGTCCCATCGTGTAATGAGTTTTTGATTCATACACAGTATCATGAAAAGCCATTACTTACTCCTATATCGCTACGGAATCGCAACCTGGACAACTGTGAGGAAGGCAGAGGTCATGATATATACCCCTAGCTCCTGTCAGGAGATCATTCCGGGAAGTAAGGTCGAAGGTAAACAGGCTAGACGGGGATAGTAAAATCGATTGCAGACTGTTAAGCAGTGTTCAACGCCCTTTGGTGGCAGAGGTGGATAGTAGGACACCCCGCCCAGCCATATTAGGGAAGGAGAAGGAGAAATGGGAGAGTTGTGCGCTTGTGCGTGATTTCTGACACATCAATGGGCTCAAACTGTTCAAACTGATGGCACGCCTGTTGATTTTTATACACACAAAGGCGGGAAACAGCGTACGCTGGGGTATGCCATCCAGCCTAGTGAAGGAGGTTATACCGGCACGTCTGAAATTTCGTACGGGATTTCCGTGTGTCGATGAAGTCCCAGCATCCGCGTCGCGTCGCGATCGGCCAGTGGCCGTGCTGAATTATCCATTTGTTGAATACATTATTTTGCTTTGTTTTGTTTCCCGCCAGTAGAGCACATAAATACCTCGCCGTTCACCTTCTCTCCCCTACGGCTCCTGGCTTTTGCCATCTAGGTACGTCTCTCGCCTTCGCTCTTCTCCCCATCTACTGACCGCAACATTCCGCCCTCTACAGAGGATTGGTCTGTCCCATCGGTGAGTCCCCCGCTCGCCGTCGTCCGCGCCATTGCTGACACCATGCCATTAGCTTGGAGGGAGGATGGGAGGATACTGACGCTCGCGGAGAGCACCGTGTGGAGGGGTGGGGAGGGTTCTTTCGCCATCGACTTTGGGTACACCACGCAAGCTACCAACCACCTTCTGCCTACCGCTTCCGTTCGTCCCCCACGAGGGGGTTCGGGCGCGAGCCGTACTGCGGGAGGGTGCCACGATGGTCCCGGCATCGGTTGCTTTGCTCGCAGTGAGTGTTATCTGTCCCGCCTTTGAGAATATACACTCATCGCCGATTTACCTCTTAGGCGGGCAGCATTGACACCGCATTCGACGCTTTCGGTTATCGTCTCCTCAGGATTCGAGTCGACTCCCCGTGATCCGGCAGGTGCGCACCAGCATGGGCGCAAACCCCCGGTTTCATTTTGGCCTACGTTTGCTCGCGGTTTGACCTTGCCCTTTTGGGGAGGTTTCATTCTGCGTGTCGGTAGCAGTCAGTGAGAGGTGCGCCAAGGGTCAACACGGATGGGTAGTTGGTTAGGTGAGCCCTCACTTTCATCTGTCCGACTGGCGTGTACTGACTAGGCGGGCAGAGGTGCTCTCCGTATTTTATCTCCGCAGACCTCAACGTCAAATCTCGACCTCAAGAGTCGCCCTCAAGAACTCAAGACCTTAAGACCTCGGGATGGATCGGGTTCCTCAATTTCCCTTCTCCCTCTCTGCATGTCGCTCGGGTCTGTGTAAAGTAGGTAGTCCTCGGATGTTGGTGGCCCACTTCGGTGGTGTCGGGGGGAGTTTTGGCTGATGCCGGGGCAACTGGCATCAGCCTACCTGCGCCCGGCAAGACCCAACAGGGCAGGTGGATTCAGTCCTCCAGAAAGCGGCCAGGTTTAGAACCCGCATCCTCCCTTTGATGGGCGAGAGGAATTATATCGTAGTACTTAGTCCTAGATACTCATATTCGTCAGCTCCAGGAGACATACATATATTATTTATATTTACATACCTTTCCTCTCCCTCGTACTTACTTACACTCATATTTACCCTGTTTATATATTTTCATGTCGATCTATTCGCAAAGTCTCAAGGTTTCACTTCATGACACATCGATAGGAAGACTTCACCTTCGTACCATCCTTGTTTCGATCGACCTGTCAAATTCCCTCCTATTGGCACCTATGTTGCCCCTACTAAGCCCCTGTGTTATTCTAGTGCACAAGACGCAAAACACACTTCGAATTCGGCCTGAGGCCTGAACCTTGAACGTTTGAACGTTTGGATACCATAACATCATACCATCTGGCTGATAGCAAACATGAGAATTCGAGAGACTTATCTTGTATTTATGGTGATATGATGATACATGATTACACTTTCTCATCGACAGACCCGCTTTCGCGTACTGTTACTTCCTTAGCTTTACCCTCGTCTTCATGATGCGCATCCAGAGCTAGGAAGTCATTGTAGATATCAACTACATAAGCTTCACACTGAAATGATACGATACATACCTTTCTCTAGTCGGATAATCTCGTTCTGCCTTTGCTCCGCGGTGACGGACCCGAAAATCACATCCATGTCTTCCAAGCTACGACCCGTCGTCTCCGGGATTATCCTGGGGTCCGTTAGAGCGACGCGCAGTATGGGAGAAGATGCGGTCTCACAGGGCGAAGACAGCCAGTGCTCCTATGTTGAGCGTGCCGTACACAAAGAATATCTTGTAGTGAAGCTCAGACAGCATCTGGGGAGTCACCTTGGAGATGACAAAGTCTACGTAGACGAAGTGACAGCATGAGTAAGGGAAGTGTCCACGTAATGCGGCGAACACTTGCTCCATAACCATTGGGATGCGCTCGCCACTGCCAAACCATAATGCCTTGTTCTTGTCGGGAATATTTCAGAAGAATAGATCCAAGGAAGAGGTCCCCAGCCCAAACTATAGAAAAAGACGTATATGTAGAGCATCGCGGCCATTGCTTGACTTGCTGGAGGAGGGCTGGGAGCCGGGCCGTCCAAGGGAAGGTCCTGAGGTGGGTGGGTCTTCAGGATCGCGCCAGTGATGAAGAAGACGATTCCCATGCCCATGGCCGATGCAAACAGGGGACGTTTACGGCCAATCAAGTCGACAAAGAATAAAACGAAGAGACTGGTTGTTATGACTTTGACCACACCATAGATTCCCGAAGCGAGCAGGGAGTTCTTCGTGCCGGTGTACCCAATCTACAAGATCGGTGAGGTAGTGGATCGCGAAAGGCATAATCAGAATCATACAGATGTGAATATCTGGGGTGCATAGTAGCTGTTATTTTTCATTAAACTCCATCCTGGCCCTGACGATAACAAGTACACTTACTTGATAGAGTTCTGCCCCGTCAGCTGCTGGAATAAGAAGATGACGAAAGCTACCACGAATCGGACAAAGTTTCCTTTGCCGAAGAAAGCTTCTTTGAGTCCGAGACCCTTCCTTGCTGCACGTTCTTCTTCAATGGCGGCTTCGATCTCCGCCATCTCATGGATGACTTCAGGCGAGTCAACGGGCTGCTTGCGCAAGTACGCCAGACTTCTTATGGCGTCTTGATTACGATCAACCGATGCCAGCCACCTAGGGGACTCCTGCAGTAGCAAATCGTAAGAAACGAGGTAACGAAAGGGACGTATACGTTACTTTGAGCGTAAATAGACCAAAGCACATTATTCCAGCAGGAATAAGCTGCACTCCAAACGGTATTTTCCAAACCTTTGGATCGTTGTGTATATGTATGCCAATCCCGACTAATGTGAACGTCAGTGAAGACAGGTAAAACAGGAAAAGGGCGTACAGTTGATAAAATAAGAGATCATGACGCCCGTTGTGACCTAGGGCAACCACTTGGCTCAGCGCTCCGCCGCCGATGAATAAGATAAAAGACGCACCATGATTTGGAAGAGACCCGTGATTCGTCCTCGTTCGTTCTTGGGCGCGCATTCGGATATATACGCAGGGGCCACCGCAGAGATCCCGCCAATGCCTATACCAGAAATGACCCGCCCTGAGTAAATTTCTGCTAACCCGTTTGAACCTCCGGCTATAGTGGTGAGGATCTAAGGATGACACTCAGGCGCCATCCATGGGATGGTCGTGGATGAAGACCTACAGCGCCTACGATGAATACAACTGCGAACACCACCAAAGTCCATTTTCGACCAAGCTTAGCTATTCCATGGAGGGCGTCGGAAGTGGTGCAACAGATATGCCATGAAGGAGCTCACCCGAAATGGGAGCGCTGCCGAGAGCGCCAAAAAAGGCGCCAGCTTGAAGAACTGACACCACATTGGAGGACACAGCGTCGAGCCGTTTCTTGTCAGTATAGCTGTGTGAGTAGCAGCGACCAGCTCGGTGTGATCTACACGCGTACCTGATCTATTTCCCCATCCACGATGAGGCCGAAGTATTCACGAAAATACTGATTAGCGACGACGCCTGAATGAAGAACATCAACGGCCAAATCCAGCTCCCGGGAACGGAGTGTGCTCACCTCCAGCGACCCCACTGTAGATTCGTCAAGATAAGCGAACCCAAAGCAATTATTTAGAGCTGGATCCACGAACGTATCGTAGCCAAACAGGACGATGCCCCAGAAAGCAATAAACGCGTGCCCTAGACATCCACGATGAGCGAAGATTGACAGCAACCGGGAGGGCTCACAATAAACTCGACTATTCTTGAATCGATTAGAAGTGAGCATTCTGTGGGGCGACTGAGGGAAACGCACTCAAGAGCTGACCCGGACCTTGCTTCACGGCTATATAACAGCCTGAGCAATAGAAGCCTTGCGAGAGTCAGAAATTTGATACCAATAGCATATTCGGTCAAGTGACCTCTAGGATGACACTGGACAATGATCTTCTCTCACACCATTGGAGTTGGCTGAATTCTCTTTGGCTTCCAAGGTCGTGCACGCACATCGAAGGTACGTACCCCCACTGAGTACATACCCATGGTTTGGGGTGAACGAGCTTCCACTGCTATCGATAGCGACCAGTAATCAAACTGGGGCAACCGAGATGTCCACTTGGATGGAAGGCGTCTATGAAGCGAGCAACCGATAACGTGAGTAAGGTACGGATAGAGGGGAACGAAGAAGCAACTCACCTCATGGCCTGAATGTTCCATAAATAACATGGATCCACCAGGGTATCGGCATTTAGTACTAAGCAGAGGGCAATCGGGGATGCTTGGAAACAGGTGGACAAGCGACTAAGCCACAGCAACATAAAAGGAAGCATAATCATAAAAGGGGAATGGTCAATAGCTATGAATATAGCACGATGCGATACAGCAGATAGGAGAGCATTGAAACAAGTTGTAGTCCAACGATTGGATGGGGATCAGGGAAACGGGGGAGGGGGACACAGGTGATGGCGTTTAATTATGATCCAGATTGACAGACGAAAAACATGGTAGATAAATACTTGTCTTAGATATGAATGCAGGAGAAATAATCCAGCCGGTGCATCGTGATCGTGATTATACGAAGTTCGCGTTCTTAAGATGTTCACGGAGGATACCATCGCGTACTATGAAGGGGGAGATTAGAGTATACAAAGGGAATCGATGCAATGTATACGTACCACTTTTTAGCGTAGCTGAGGTCGCTTTGGTATCCTGCGACTCGATTGTGGTGAGCATATTCAAGACGGATGGGAATGAAACGACATACGGTGACAGATGTGGGATACAGATAGCCTATCCTCGGTTCTGGAGAGAACTGCTTTAACATGTCCTTGAACTTGTCACGTAGATCTAGATTGAAAAGGAGTATGTGAATAAGAAGTCGACTTTGGAACGACGCCAAAAATTGTACATTTAACCACACTCGATGCCTCGTTCGGTCTCTCCCCATAACTCGGCATGTGCTTGTTCACCTGTACACCCCTCTTTATCTTCTTCTTCAGCAAATCACATTTATTCAGAAAGACGATCATAGTGGCTTTCTGAAGGAGAGGAGTAGAGACGACAGCCTTCCACAAAATAAACGAATCCTCTAATCGATTAATGGAGGGGTCTTCATCAAGCCGCTCGTCAAAACAGGATACGGGTGCAAGGAAAATGACCGCGTTGACGTTATCGAAATAGGGAAGCCATGCATGTCGCTGTGGAAGTTGCTCAGGCGCGGTATGAGATTGGGATGGATGGAACAGAGCTCACCATTGTCCGTGAACCACCAACGTCGTATATCATCCATTCCTTCCCGAATTCGTGTCCTATAAGAGGATCTGGGTTAATGACCCGCAATTATATTGGCAGGGTTTTAAAGGGTTCAAAAGTAAACATGATATTTCATACCGATAGAGAAGGTAGGGATCGCACCCTGCTCAAAGAGGATCCTATGTTCCTGTACTCCAAGCGTCCGAAGCCGGGCACGGACAACGTCGTCATCCGTGGGCTCGTAGTCATTCGTGGCGATGCGCTCCAAGTCATCCAAGAAGCTAAGCAAACAGGTAATGGCTTTCAGAACCAGTACATTAGAGGAGAATGTCGTGCTTACAATCCAGTAGACTCCTCTAATGTGATATGCCTCTTCTTTAGCACTTTCCTGACGTTGGCGTCCCTCCACATAGCGAGCAAGTCTTGCCGACAACTAGCTAGTACGTCCGTCACTTTGTCGGTGCCGTCACGCGACTTATCCGACTCTCGACGTCCGCCAGAGAGATTAGACTTGAGGGCATCGCTCCAACACCTCACCATCAACTCTCTCCGACGCTGCGCAGTTGTAGGAACGGTGGGTGGGTCAAAAGGCGTAGCACGCATCTCTTCCGGAGGGGCGTTATGAACTTCGTCTGCCATGATCCCCAACCGTCGTTTCAAAGTCCCTTCCAACTGTCGAATGGGCGCAAGACGCAGTGCCAAAATTTGATGGGCTTCGTTGAGAATGGTGGGGGTCACCTTTGGCGCCGCAGAAACCGCAGCAACTGGCGGTTCTATGACTGCGTCTGTCTCTTCGTCGTCGTCGTCGTCAGATCCCCCTGGGTCTATCACCGGCTCGTGGTTAATTTCTGCTTGGATTGTATCGAGGATGGTGATGAACGAGCGAATCAAATTCAGCTGAATGACGGCACGCCAAGAGGTGCGTTCTTGAATCCATTGCTGGTAGGCGTACTTTAGGCAGAAATCTAAGGTGACGGTGAGCTTCTGGTTCGTTGTTCGGACCTGAAACAAAGAACTCACTTTTCAATGTAGTGGATTTGCCTAACCGCACTTTAAACCACGATATCGATTGTAAAAAATAGATCACTCACCGCTTTCAGCCTGCCCCAATAACAGAACACGCAAAATATTTTTTTGCTTCCTCAGCGCTACTCGCTCCAGCCTGATGGCTTCATCAATCTTGTCGCTTACTTGTTTGGCTTCTACTTCCTTCTGCTCTCGCAAAGCCCGTTCCTCTGGGGTCTCCTTGGCTGGCGGAGCCATCACGATCGCAAGGGGATCGTAGTCGTCTTTAACCATGGTAGTGTGCGCCAGTAATGATTGAGTCTTGAAATTTTATACGTGTAAAAAAGCTTCCGTCCGTCGACTCTTGAAATTACGATTAACAATAAACAGAAGGGAGATGGTCGAGCAAATTTGCATGAGAAAGCGCTGCCGGTGAGTAATTATTTAAGTTCCTGAGTGCGCGTCAGCGTTGTTGAGTCGGCGGTAAGCTTCTGATGAACATGGAGGCTCGGGTATCGGTATGCTGTAATTTAATCCAGGTTTGATGGTTGACGGCATGATACTCCGTTTGGCATAAAGCTTCCGGACCTCCGAGATCGGGCCAACCTGGATGCGGACGGAACCCCCAAAACAACCTTTGAACACCGTTGTTACGTGCTAACAACCCGATGGGGACCGACCGTGGCAGGCCTTGGCCCTGTGCAGGATAGTTCGAAGTGAAACAGGTGGTGACATATGCTGAGAAACTCATCCCCGCGACAGAGGGATACTGATACGTTACGAAAATTACGACAAGGTACTTTGGCGGCCACGAGTGACATGTAGGTATTCTACGACAGTCCGATGTCTGCAATGGAACAAGGAGGGACATGTAAATATGAAGGGGCGATGGAATGGGATGGTGATGGTATGAATACACATAGATTGCTTAGGTATCTCCACAAGAAAGAGTGCTGGGTTCCGTGGGGTGAGATGATTAGAGGAGCAAGTATAGTACATTATGATCCAGGGTTAAGCGTCGAGCGTTCAGATTCTTGGGTCGGACTAGTAAAGGATGTTTTATCGTCGTTACTCTCATCCTCCTCGTCTTCTTCCATAATCGGAGAGTCATACTCATCTTGATCAGCATCGACCTCAGGATCAGCTTCATCAAAGATGGTGTGGAACTGCGACAAGATTTAGTTTCACTCAGTGAGGGCATCAGAAAACAGGAAAGCCTACATGGGTGATCAGTGCCTTCACAAGCTTATGAGTGTGGCCCATGTTGGCCAGAATCATCACGAAGTCGTTGTGCGGAGCACGTAAGAGATTGGGGCTGAATACGATGGCTAACCCTTCAGCCGTCATTTGGTTACTTTCTTCGTAGTCCGTAACTCTGCGAATCTACGTTAGCTTTCTCCAAAGACGATGGATTGAGCACGCACTTATCAAGATGTTCTGCTACTCTTTTCAGAATATCAAAGTTGCCTGTAGGCAGTCCTTGGACAACTTCGCGTATTTTGGTCAGACGCGCGTCAAGGTCATCCAGCTCTGAAACAAGATGAGCTACGAAAACGCGATGGATCGGAAACAACGCACGCATTGCTTCAATGATTTCATAGTAGGCCGATGATGGGAAAATGGGCTCTGGTAATAGGCGAAACCATGTCTTGATTAGATCACACACGGCGTGGATGTCGGTGTCTGGATTGATGGGGTTCTCTCCTGAATGATAATAAGGTTAGATGCTGTGGGAAGAGAGGAATGTATAGCTGACCTCGATTGAATGCTTCTTTGAGTGAGTTGATCTCGGAGCTCGCGCCAGCAATTCGATCTCGAAGATGATCAACAAGGAGTCACATGTATGGACAAAACAACTTACATATTCCGACTTCTGTCAATCCGCGAGACTCTACTTCGTGGAGGCATTCCTGGATGACCTTTGGAATCGTCCCAGCGGGGACGGGTTCGTCTCCAGAGACTTCTCGCCGAAGCAGTACCTCAAGGTGAACACCAAAGACTGGACATAATCGGAGTTGTAAGCGCCCAAGGAATCATCTAAAGATCACGATCACGTACCAGCAGTTGGATCAACAGAGCCTTGCTTAGGGTGGTCATGTATATGATCAGAAGGCTGTGGCTTCAGTGCGTTTCCTAGATAAGTAAGGCGGCGTTTGGCAGCTATTTTTGCAACACGGTTGATAGTCTCCATCCACTTGATCATATCTTGTCTGTTCATCGCCTGAAGTAAATAATGTCCACCATCCTCCGTGTCGAGTTGAAAGGTGAATGATCTGGATTGATTGATATACTGGGCTGTGCGAGTGTCAACAAGGCTTATGACGTGCGTGGGCTTTCCAGAAGGTATGAAGTCGAGCTCGGCAGGTGACCGTTTCAAGGAAGTAGGCTGAACATCCGCTCCAAAAGCACTTGAAATTGGCCGCATAAACTGTAGGAAGGCGGACATGCTCTTCTTGTTTCGATGCTGCTTTTGGGCCGCCGATGATGGTGGCTTTCTAGGGCGCATCGCCTTCGTAAGGATATCATCACGTTTCTCGTTCTTTGCTTGTTCCTGAGCCTTCTCTTTCTGCAGGCGTAAGCGAAGGGTTTTGTCTCGTCGATACTTTTCTGATTGGAGCATCACCAGACGTTGGAATGGACGTGAGACCTTCTTTGCGGATACGGAGCCAGATACGGGCATCTGAGCGGCTTCTCGCTGGGCCTCGTCTTTGATGGCTCGGTAATCGAATTGTACGTTCGCAGCTTCTTTCTCGATATTGTTCAGGCGTTCCAATCCTCGGCGAAGTGGACTATCGCGCTGAGGATACGTACGACTTGACGATGACGTTGGCGCGTCAGCGATCAGATTGCAAATATGGCTGACGGCGAAATTAGTCAAGATCTAGACCACGGAACGCGAAACTTACCGTCTCTTATCGTAGTTAACCAGGAGGTTGCCAGGGGGGGAAGAATCTAGTACATCCGGAAGGGCGATGATTTCAAGCATACGCTCCATCAACCATCCGATGTCAACTATCAATGACCTTCGGGACGTAGGTGCTTCGATAGATGACTTCGAAAGTAGCGAGCTCAGAGAATCGCATTGACAACCACGCTGCAAAGCGATGTTTTGCCATACTCGGTGATACATCCGGCTCTCTATGCTCAGGAGCGCAGAGGTGATGACGGTCTCAACAAACGAGCGGGTACAAGGTCGGTCAGACAACGGCAGGTTTGAAGAGGATGGTAGACAGAAGCTGCGAAGGCGAGCAACTTCAATGGCTTGGAGCAGAAGCTCCAAACGAGCTTGCCGAGCACGTACGCCTAGTCGTGGCGTGACTATTTTGGAGATCAACCATTTACGGATGATTGTGTAGGCACGGACACAACTTCGAACGCCAGGGGGCAGGAGGCGATAGAAATTCTCGTGGGCCATCTCGGAAATGAAAGATGAAGGTTCCACGTCCTGGAAGTGAGAATAAATGGTCTGTATCTCTATGACTTCCTCGCTGGTTGGAAGCTCTCGTTGAGGAAACCACCCGATGCGGTCAGCCGTTTGCACTTCAAGCAAGTCAGCCGTGATGAAGAGATCCTAAGAACACAAGCGGTCAGCCCTCTCATAGTATCTGAACCGCAATGTTGATACCTCGTCCGTTACGGTACTGAACGCCGCAAAGGCCATTCCATCAATGTCCTCAACAAGCTCCTCTGCCGTAACTTGATCAAGGTTCGGAGCATCCCGACTACTGATGTTCCTCATTCTGGCCGCCGAACCACGAGGTTGAGGGGATAAAGCTTTGGGCCGCATGGACTGGAGGTGAAAAGCTCGCCCCAGAGAAGTCCTCTCTTCGAGGAGGATCGACCAAGAGTTGACCACATCCACATCATCGCACTCAGTGATGCCGTTCATAGCGTGGTCTATCTCGCTCTCCAGGAATGACTTCATGGAGTTGAACAGTTGTGGGTCATCAAGGATATCCTGTGCGCCTCCGCCATTGGTGATCCATTCGCTCAGAGTCTGGATAACTTCAGACCGTTTCCGCATAGGGACGAAGTAGTCCTTCGCTTCGTGCGTCTGTGGCTGGAAAGAAATGTATAGTTTGCGAAGGAGCTAGAAGGCGCGTCAGGAGAGGTGAATTAATGCTTATCACGGTTCTATACTGACCTCAAAAAACACCAACGGCGTGACGAAGCTTCGGAACACGCGCCACCAAACGGTCGAAAATTCTCCGTAGTCCATAAACAATTCGCGGGTCTTGCCTTCTTTCAGTGCCATTTCACCATTGTCATCAGCAACCGAGACGGAAACGTTCTTCAATCCATGTACAAGAATTTGCACTAAAGCATTGAGTGTCGCTGCCTGCACCAACACTCGGAGCGGCGGTTCCGTAGAGGGTTCCGAGATCGTCATTATGTCCTGTCGTTGCGAGATAGCGGGGAGGGAATTGCGTCGGGCCATGCTAGTCTTTCGTTCCAGGCTCTGCGAAGATCCGGGCTTGACTCGAATAGATGGAGCGCGACTCACGCTCTTCTCCCCAGGAGATACGTCGACGACGGAGCTGGGAGGACGCGAAGGGGCTTGCGACGGCGGGCGGGAGCCTAATGAAGCAGCCGGATCTGCACCAGGTCGAACAACGAGCACAAGTTCGCCTCCAAAAACGGGGATCATTGTACCGCCTCGCCTGATGCCAGCGAAGTCCCATCCACCGATATCAGATCGACGGCCTTTGCGGTCCTCCAGCCGAATATACTGCAAGTCGGTCGGGTCACTGTCTTGACGCCCTCGCAGGACAGAGGATCGATCGATGAGACTGAGCGCAGGTAAAGGTTCGGGGAAGATGAGAGGGATAAGGGCAGCGGAGGGGGAATAGCTATTGGGCGGTCGAGTCCAGTAATGGGGTTCAAAGAGGCCTTTCCGACGAGGTTCGGCCGCGAGAGACAAGGACATAAACTGGTCGACGCTGAGAAACACAATGAATACAGATCGAATCTCCTATAGGCATACTCACCGCTGGAACTTGGCAGCTAAGCCTCCACTACCGCCACGTTGACTGGACATATCCCGCCAGAAGGTGATCAACGAATGTAGATCGTCGTCTCCTCCATCACTAACAGTGGCTCGTCGAGGGCACAACGAAAACGATGTCCTTATCTTCTCGTATAACTGTTTCGCCTTGTCGAAAGCTTCTAATCTCCATTGCTCTTCCACGTCACCACCATCCCTCGCCCCGTCTAGAGCCATTTTGATGTGGTCCCTAATGGTACCACCCCAGGGCGTTACGCGAGGCTCTTTGATGCCCACCCATTCTCCGTCGGCATTGGGGTATACCCAGGTTTCGACAGCAACTAAGGCCTGTGGATCCACCCTCTTCCAGACTTTCTCCAATCGTGCAACAGGTTGGCTGCGCAAGGCGTCCGCGATGGCTCTCCACGAGCATTCGTCACCAGCAGAACGGCACAACTCGCCGATTCGAGTCCAGGTGGATATGGCTTCTGACCGAGAATGGGTTCGTGAAGTCTGGATGTGATGGTCCTCTGAACTGCTACCTGGGGAAGAGCTTTGAGCGGGATTGGCTGAATTACTGGAATCAGGCCCCAAGATCTGTAGTAAAATCAATTTCGTCAACCAGTGGGGATGATCGTTGCTTCCAAAAAGATTTGCTATGGCCTCATTGTCGGTGGCATTCGATAGGATTGATGAGACAGTAAGGTTCTCTGGGACTTGTTCAAGGATGGAACGATGAAAGAGAGTTAAACTCTGAGCGAGTAAACGAGGGTCGATTGTAGAAAGAACGGATCGCGAAAGACCCTCCAGCCGAAGGGCATTCCATTTTGTTTGGCGGGAAGGAGACGCGTTGTAGGGAGAGTGGGGTTCAAAAGTCCTCTGATCCAATACTGACTTCGAGGAAGGGGAAGAAGGGGCTGGCCGAGGAGGTTCCATCCCCAGTGCGTCCATAAGAGATGCCACCTTCGGAATGCCACCATCCGGCCGAGGCGAGAACGCGCCAAGATCAGGGGATTCATTCGACAACAGGGGAGTAGGAGCATAAACTGCCTGCGCTGAAAAAGACGTAGGTAGGCCGCTGGAGTGAATCGGGACTACCAAAGTTGCTTCAGGAAGTGTCTCCGAGCGCCACTCCTCCCACGAAGGCAAGTCAGAAGGTTCTCCGTGACATCTCAAATATTCTTGAGCCAGCCACAAAACTCTTTCACGTTCGCTTTCGCGTTTCTCATCCGGCGCCCCGCTGATGAGATATGCACAACATCTGGTGAACTCCGTTTCAAACTTCGAACGATTGACTAGGTCGGGTATCCAAAGGAGGATGGACGTGGCGAAGTCCTTCCACCGTTCCTGAGAGTTGACTTGCTGGCTGTCGGCGGCTTCTTTGAAAAACGTGGTGGCGAAAACTGTTTCGTGGACTAATGCTTCATAGGAACCTTTAATTACCCGCCCGCTGGGATCTAGAGTAAGTTCTGGGTGTTTGCTCCGCCCCCAATAAGCTCTCTTCTTCCTTCCCATAGACCCATCGCCCTCCCGGTGAGGTCTCAAGGAAGCGCCTCCAATGTCGTGTTCCTCTGGTTCCTCGATCTCCTGGTCGGCAGGTACTAACTCCGAAGGGAATAGGGCTTTGACAGCAGCGCTCCGATCTCCCGGTGGTTTGTAGAAATAGAGCTTTGAACCTTTCAATTCGAGCTTAAAGGGTTTCCAACCACGATCGGAAGATAAGTCAGGTGGGTGCCGAAAGAAGTTGGCATTGGCCTCAGTCAAGCGATTTATAAAGCCACTATGGTAGACGATCTGCGAAGATCGCTTCGTTTCAACAACCGCGTCCTCTACTACGTGTTCGACGGATTCTGCTGGTTCGATAATGAGAGGCGGCGCTAGAAGCGTTGTAGAACGCGCGGGCTCCGTCGTGAAGGGCTTTCCAGAGATCGACTTATCAAGGTCTTTGGACATCATAGGAAAGTCTCTTTCTGATGAGCCAGAACCCTTCCTGACAGGACTAGGGGGACCAAATCGAGGAGCGGCTAGTTTGGAAGATAGTTTGGGTGTGAAGGAATGCGAACGGGTATGTACATGAGGAGGTTGCGTAGCTGAAGATTCGTCTGCTGAACGGGAGATGGCTAATGGCGGCGCTGGCATTGGCAAGGTAGAGCTTCGTGGCGGAGACACGGACACGGACGGTTTGATCATTGGGAATGGCTGTCTCCCATTGATGAGACTTGCCGGAGATGAAGGGGTCGATGGCGAGACGCCACTAGCACTGCTGTCGCTACGTCCTCGGTATTGGGCTACCTTCTCTTGAAAGTTGGTGTTGATCGGTGATAGATTCGTCGGAGATATCTTCCCCAGGTCGTCCGCCGACCTAGACCATCCTCGACGTGATATGGCCCGGAGGTCGCCCAATCCACCAGACGATCCAGTAGGGGTAGAAGGTGATGGTGGCACAGGTTGATTTGGGATGTCCAGTGACCCCGGGTGTCTTGAGGAGAGATCCAAAACGGAGCTGTGGATAGCGATTGGTGAGCTCTGATACAGCGCACCGGATGCCAAGAAAGATGGAACGCGCCAGAAACACCAACTCGACGCATGTAGCCCAAATTTCTGTGGAAAAGCGCGAGACATGGCGACTCACCGACTCCCTCCTCCACCGTAAACTTGATCGAGTATAGGCCTCGGGTCCGTAGGACGGGATATCTTGTGCTTCCTTCCAGAAGAACTAGTGCTGGACCTGGGTTCCGACGTGCTATGAGTTATCTTTGAAGTCGAGACGCTGCGATTAAACCATTTCGACGGTCTTGAAAGAAATTGAGTGAATCCCGACGACGGCGACGCAGAACGAGGTAATCCAAGGAAAGCAGGAGACTGCTGTGCGTTCGTCGACAATGCCGAATCCTGGGGGCTCAATGTATTGAGAGACGGAGCACCACGTCGAGGAGCCATTTGTAGTCAGCGAAGCCGTGTAAATGGTGTGATCCACTGCGACCGTAATTTGATCTGATTCCTGAGCTCAACATGGGCCGCGTAATGGTGAAAATCGACCCCGCACGCACCAGGGACTTGTTATTTGAGGGAGAATGTCGTGGTCATGAGAGAGCTTGGAAGAAACGCGTCCAGGCCAAACAAAGCGCTTGTTTGTTTCTACCACACCAGTTGGCAGTCACACAACTCAATTTGCACTTTGCGCCGCCTTCATCAGCAGTCCATTCAAGACCGCGAGTATATTTCAATGGTCGCTTGATGGTCAACAATAGCCCATTTTGGGCACAACCACAAACGTGAGTGGTCGCACATGCTGCATCTGCTAATCGCCTCGCTTGCTGATAGATTGTGATGTATATTCATAGATGCACTTCGGGGAACAACCCAATTCCTGCATAACCGGGGCTGAAGAACCCAGGGACCGCCTCACGCGCAACAATCCGATAACATGAGAATCGGGTTGATGATACCCTCTGTGAGTATATTTTGACCTGGAAATTCAAGGATTTTACAGCTGACGCGCTAAAATTCGAGGGACGTCACTACGAGCACTGCGTGTCCATCGTGATCAATCATTAATTTCGAAACAAGAAGAAAATAGACTTTTGGATGTGGCGTCGACACAAGGGATTGTTACAGGTTGCTTGCAGGTTTCCATACCCAAATATAGGTGCCTCTGGAGGAAAAACAAGGTTGAGCCGAGTAACGATTAAAATATTAGGCGGGACCTGCAGGGCTTTCGCCCAAAAATCTGTGGGTCGTCTGGCTACATTGACATGTCCAACTCATCCCATCTATCCGCAGTGCGGCTGTTGCTCACTAAATCTACCGCTCATGTTTACATCTCGGTATGGTTGTCCCCTCTGCGTGTTTACGTTAGTAGATCAATCAGTTTTAACCTTAATTGTGGATTGCTCTTATTCATCACTTCACGTAGTTCTACAGCCCTTGTACCGCGCTCAGTAGCCTAGCCTTCTCCTGGGTGGCATGGTTCCGCGCTTTGATCTTGACCTCTGAGAGGCGGAAAGATGGCACGTGTAAGCACCAAGCACGATGTGGCATCCAACCGTGACCACCCCATTGCCCGCACAAAGACTAGCAACCACATCTGTGGCATATTGCTTCGTTTAAATGAACAAGAACCAGGATGTCCTCACCGAGAAACGCCTGTACAATACCTGTATACTTATCACGATCACGATATGTCCGACGAACCCGCTCAATTCATCGAGTCGGTATTCCGAATGGCTGGGCTAGAAGAACCTCGACTTAAACCCGGCGAGGATTTTCTAACGTATGTAAGCCGCCCGAAGGTATTGTGAAGGTTTTCTCATGCGATTGTGTATCTGATTTGACAAATATTATCAGGATACCGTTGTACTTTACCGCTCCCCGGACGTTTCAAGAGCAGGTCCCAGAGACACGCAAGAAAGCCATGAAGCTCTACCCTACGCTCTACCACCTAGCCCAAGCCGGCCTGCACACGGTAGACCAACGCCGCCAGTATATTCAAGCCTACCGTCCATACCTATGTACTCTCAGCATGGAACAAGAATTCCGGGTCTGGCTCATGTCGCCACACAGTATGGACCACCATCTTATGCTCAAACGCAAGTAGTTGATGCGCCGAATAATGTCGCAAAAGCTCTTTTACTACTCTATAACCCGGAACAGGCGAATAAACCGATGCGGCGACGAGAGGCACTTCCCCCACGATTTAGAAACCTATGAACTGATAACGAACGGTCACGACAAGCAACGATAGGCTATACAGCAAGCCTCAACGGTGTATTACGATAATTTGACATCATGCCTCTATATGCTATTCTTGCGATTTCATCGGCACGGGGTACTCAGGATGTAAGAGCCATTGGATTTGTGATTGGTATGTAAGGGGTGTGATCTAGTGTACATGATGATTTTGATTGCAAAAGAGAGGCGTTATGTTTATGAATGCTATGTCGTTCGTGCGGGCGATCAACTCCAAGAAGGGTGGCAAGTGGCATCGAGTCTACTGATCCCACTTCAATTTTGAAGTCTTGAACAAATCCACCATTCCGACTGGAATCAAGTTTGCGTCGACTAGTTCCAGGCTTCCGAACATCCGCACCAATTCTTCGCCGTAAAGGGCAAGGACGTAGTGAGTATAATAATCGTTGCCGGACCCCGTCTGTAGCGCTTGAAGCACAGGGGGTAGAGTGATATCGCGGGGATCGGGTACCCGTAGCATCTCCAGCCAGAGATCTTGCCAGTGCTCGAGGAGCGTTTCCCTATGCTTGACGTACTCGTCGAATGACATAAACTCATCCGGTGCGCCCAGCTGGAACGTCTTCGTCGTTCGCCCGGAGTCCCAGTTTTCTTGGTGGTCTCGATAATGTTGCTTGTCCTTCTCCTCCATCTGCTTGACAAACAACTCCGTAGGAAGCAGGTTGTCGTCAGAGTTTTCCCGTTCGTTCGCCCGATCTGTTGCACGATCTGATTTCTGTAGAGCGTAGGCCTCGATCATAGGATTGCGGAGCTCGAGACCCCCTTGGGTGATAGGGAAGTAGAAATATCCCTCAGGTATGTTGTCCACCCCGAACCGTGTTTTGATCAAGGATTGGAGGTACCCGATCGCGCCACCGACGTGGTCCGGGAATAGTTCCCTTTGGATCCTCGCAAAGGTATCTATAATGTCCTCGATGAGAGGTTGCCCGAAGCATGCTGGTGGGCGACCGCCAAAGTTCCTCCGGAAGAAGGCCATGTATCGATTGAATACGTTTACCCATCCGAAGACAGACTTAGTCGCAGCGAGCTGGCGCTTGAGTTCAACGATATGAGGCGTGACATCCTCTTGGTCAATGGTGAAGCGAGCCTGCTCAACATCGAACTTGAGGAATCCCCAACGAACATCCCCACGAGGGAGCTTCGCACTGAGCTCTCCTCCAACCCGCGCTGCGCCCGTCTTCTTTTCATTGAACTTCAAACCGGTGATGGAGGCAAACTTGGACATCTCCGCCCAAGCAGCTTCGCATCGCTCCTGATCCGGGTCCCACAACCACAGGTCGTCGTGAAGACGGTAGAGATACAGGCCGTTGGCGCGTTGGTTGACCGCGAAGTCCATACCAAAAAGAAGGACCTCGCCAAGTAACTGGGAAATTGAGTAGTTGACAGGCGTGCCGCGTTCGCGCACACGGACGACACCAGAGGGATCTTGTTGGAAACGGATGGGCCCACGAAGGAAGGACTTGAACAGCTTCAACCACGATTTGGAGACGCCAAAGTACTCCAGGGTAGCCAGTATGGAATCGTGGGGGAGAGATGGGCCGAACCATTCGAAGTCGCTCCGAACGACGGTATGTGTCTTATGCAGAGCAGTATTGAGGAGGCAGTCAGTCATCATGACATGTATTAGGCGTTGTTTGATCTGTATGGCTTGGAGTGTTTCATTTCCAGATTCTTCACCTTTACCGTCATCATAATGGCGTCGTACTGTGCTGTTGGTGAGCTGCGACATAAAGAAGTGGTTCTTTCGGTTATCGACCCGAGAGCTCTCCAAGCTACCTCGGAAGGCTTCTTCACTGGCATTGATAAACTGGCGGCGATGTTCGAGCTCTTTGCGGGGAATGAAGGGAATGGATGGCTTCCAGAGCTTAGAAGAGAAGACCGATTGGAACGCCGATTTGAAGGTGATTTGCCACTTGACGCCAATGTACTCGAGGAAGAGGCCATCGAGAATATCAGGATCGGTAAAGGCCCGGTATTTCCCGTTCAGAGCACGGCGCATATCGACGAGGATACCATCTGCAGGCCATGTCCATGACTCCAAGTCCGCCAAACGCATCGTTAACACACTCGCCAATTCCTCCAGAACGACGGTACTCGCAGCCATCTCCTTCAACGTCGCGCGTTTCGCTTCGTTCATCAAGTCCGATGAGAGTGCCGATTGAATCGTCCAAGACATATCAGCTGCAGTAATCCGCTCGTGCTGGAGTTGGACAGAGGCTGCTTTGATTTTATCTCTGACGGACGTGAGCACTTCCTTGCCGATGTCAGTCGAGAAAAGGCCATCCAGATACGAGTGGTACGCGGGCACGTCGATCGCGGCGGGCGTGAAGATAATTTCTTGAAGCTGCTCCATCTGCTCCACCATTTCCTTCCTCCCCATGTCCACGAACTCCTCCTGAGATGTTGGCGTGCTGGAAGCCGATGCTTCGGGTGCCTCGACGTCTAGAAGTCCAGTGACGGAATCCCCGCTCCCAGTCCATTCAGTAAGCAAGCTTCCGAAAAGATGCGCGTATTTGAAGCGAGACAGGTTATGTCGGATATGCGCCTCCAGGGTGTCACCCCAGTGTCGAATGATGCTGGGACTGAAGCACGGATCCTTCTTACTCTGGCGCAGCCAGAGATCAAGGTGTTCCAAGTCAAGCTTGCCGCCAACGATTTGTTTCGCGGTGGGATCCTTGAATCCACCTGATCCACTCCAATCTCGAACAGCCTTGAGAAGCAACTCAACCCGCTGCGTGAGATCGGTGGTGTTGTTCGCTTCCTCAAGGACTTTTGCGTGTGCCTCGAAAGCTAGACGCTGCTTCTCAAGTTCCTGCAACTTGATCTTCGTGATGAAGTGAAGCGTCTGTCCCAAGGCTGCGCTATTTTGGAGACTACATCGTGAAATCAGTTCATGCGACTCGGAAAGAACAGATGCAAGTGCTAACCCTGGGGCCGAGCTCGCGCTCTTTCGTTGGTTGGCCTGCCAGTTGATTGACATACCTCGACCGCGACCACGAGAGTAACGCGACTGTAAAGAAATGGTTATTGATTGGAAAGTGGAGATCAGATAGCTGGACACACCATTGTAATACACCTCGAACTGGCAAAAAATCGGAGGGTCATGTGGCGTATTTATACGGAGATTCGAATAGACCCTAACCGCACCATGTCTAGTCACTGTGATGTTTAACAGCGTACTTCGACTCATTTTAAGTCGCGTACGACAGGCGGAACCGAGAATGTAATGGAGAGCGAAGTCATAGTTGTCCTAAATGAGTCAAAACCTAGAGACTCGAGTCACTTTTCCAAGAAAGCAGTGGCAGGCCCATCACGAACCTCTTGCGGCGGATCGCCTGTGCAATATTCTCGCGATCTGCTGGAAAATAATTGCGGCTATATATTGAAACAGTGCGTATAAGTATTTTGAATTGAGAATGATAAGTATCTTCACAGAAAACACATGGCTACACGGGTGAGACTTTGGACTTTTTTGGGACCGTCGACTGTAAGTGAACAGATGAAGGGAAGATGCAATAATGAAACTTCAAAGCACGGGGAAGGCATGGAAGGAGAAGCATCGACAGTCCCTAGTTATACACGTAGAAAGCTGTAATCAATTGAAGTAAAGATGAGAGATGAGACCAAACCAAAGTCGCAAACAGTCCATCGACAAGCAATACTACAGCGATATGTCAGAGCAGTCGTCAGGTGAGCTCTCGTAGTCCCCGTCACTATAAGCAAGTAGTGACGTTGTCAAAGAGCTTGGAGGGCTTTCATGGTCCGCAGTGGGATCTGCAGACACCTTAGTGCGTTTGGTCCCGTTCCCTTTAACTTCGTTGTCATCTTCAGCGTCGTCTAGTTCCTCGGAGCCGCGTTTGCGTAAACGGCCAGGCGAGACTATTGAATTGTAGGAACCCCCTCTTCTGGGTTTTTTAGGAGGTGATTGTCGCATTTCCGATATCCTTAGGACACGCGGCCGCGCTTTCTCAAGAGTCGCTATCCGAGTAGTCGAGTTCTCGTCGTTCTCGTCCAATTCACCCTCTGCATCAAGATCATCTTCGTTGTCGAGTACCTCATTTGATCGCTTTCTCGACCGCAGGGGTGGCGACGTGCTGGCTGGTGAAAACTGGGAAGCGGCTTCAGAGGAAGATCCGTCTTCGGCAACATCTGAGCCGTCGTCTTCCTCCTCTTCCTCCTCCGCTTCCGCCTCTCCATCTTCGCTGATACGCCCGCCGTCCAAGTCGATTGCAGCTTCCAAACGTATTTCGAGAGGTTTCTGCGGGGCCGTGATTGATGGCGCAGAGGCTTGCTGAGTGGGCACGACTATCGGGGCAACAGCTCCTCCGCTCGCCTTTGCTTGAGCGCGTTCGCAGACTCGGCATCGGCAATGATACAAGGGCGCACACGCCTCACGCCATACCTATCATTAAGGGATGAGCAAATCGCGTCGTTTGAAAAGTAAGAAAACGTACCGCTTTGAATGCCTCTAGGCTATATTGTGGCAGGTTTGAAATTGTGATGGGAATGTACGGTATCGACCTTAATAATCGCGGGGGATCAAGCACAGGAGCCACGGCGATTGTCACTCGTCCCAAGTGGGTATCTATATTCGAGTCGTCTTTATTATCCACTGGCGGGGGGGAAGGTGTTGTCTGCAGAGTTGAAGTGGAGAGAACCGGGCTTGTTGTGTGAGACCCGTCGCTCTTCGTTGAAGACGAAGAGTCGTCGCTTCCCTCCTCCCTCAGCCTTCTTAGTTTCGCCTCTTCCTGGTCTCTTCGCGCGTTTCTCCGTTTCTCTAGCCAATCTATACCGTCATACCAGACTGCCTCCTCTCTCAGCTCGGCCAACACATCCTCGGGTGTCATACGGGCAGCTTTGACAGCGGGATCAACACCATCAGCGCCACATTCTATGACCAGCTTCCTGACGATATTTCTCATGGCAGGGAATAGAATAGTCCTTTGTTGCCGCTGAAACGCGTTGTAGGCCTGCTCGCATAGAGCGTAGGATGGGGGTATGTCTGCTGTCACTATCGCCTGCCTTGGATGGTCTTCTGCGCCATCTCGTTGAACCTCCGACTCGTCCAACGCCCAAGGACAGGGGTGAACCGCTCTCACAACGCGGGGACGATTGGGCACGAAGTTTCCGTAATACTGATCCGCTGGACTCCACCAAAAACCGTCGAGGATGCGGTTTCGTGCCCAATCCGAAATCGCAAGCTCGCGCACGCCTCCCGACTCCTCCGTCATTTGCATCAAATCGGCATCCTCTTCTTCTTCCGCCTCCAGTTCGCTGAGCGTTAGATCATCGTCGGCTGCTTCGTTTTCGTATCCGACGTATCTTGATGCAGCGAGGGCTTGAGAAAGTAGTTCTGGAAGTTTCGTATACTGTCGGAGCCAATACTTTTCTTGAGCCAGCGTTATGACATCAGTGATAGTTCCTTCGGCAAGATCGATAAACCCGTCAACAGTTTGACGCGTCTCCCAATCCGGGCTATTGAACTTAAAGCCGCCAATCGCATCGCGGTCCCGGGGGCTGTTGCAGACCCTACGCCATAGCCATTCACTCCGGCATGAACGACATGTGGCGTCGACACCGGGCCAGCTTTCCTCGTCCTCGTTCTCCAGGCAGCAGACTATGAGGGTATCTTGCTGCGCGTCGGCCTCACGTAGACATAGGCCACAGAAGGCGCCCTTGCGGTTGTGATCGCGGCATACGGGCACAGTCCCAAGGTATGGTGTATGTTGTGTCCGTTTCGCATGCGCTAGCCCTTGATTTGTTGCTGGTAAATTGATGCGGCATACGAAGCAACTGCACATAGTGATGTTACGGAAATGACGGTATGGGGTGAGTCGGAGTGTTTGGGGAACTTGGGCAGAGTTCGGGTTCATGCGAGCGAAAGCAAATTGGCCCATGTTATCGAGAGGGTCGATCAGCGCGACAGCTTGCTGCCAGAATAGGTGCGTCTCCACTGTAAGGCATTAGATCCATCGCCAGCAGCGACATTGAGCACTCACTGGCCAGACTCCATTGCGGGCATATCTGCATGAACTTGGTCTCTATATCAGCGGCGTCGCGCAGCGCAGTGTACACCATTCTTGAGTACCATTGATCCCTCGAGTCCCATTGTTGTGGGCAGTAGTTTGTGATGGAGAGATCCCACAGATAGTATGTTGCAATGAGCCTGAAGCATCGTATGATTTCAGGGCGCGTATAAAGATACGTTCGAGCAACCGGCGTACCTCACAAGCTCACCGGGGAGCTGGGGCCACCATCTGTGGGTGAATTTGCCTTTGTAGACCGCGTTCGATGGCGACGACATTGAAAGGGTCTTTGTGGACGCCACGCTGGTCAATGCGCAGATATTCGGCTGTTGCTTGTCACAGAGCTCAACGCCAGCCACTGTGGCTACAATCAACATTCACACGCTCGGGCCAGGCAAAATAGGCGCTTACACATGCTCATTACTAATAGACGCCCACTTGCTCCCTGTTCCGCTCGATGGTGCTGCACATTCTGCTAGCGGCAGCCACAGAGCTCTATTCCTCCCCGTACCTCGTGCACACGGGAGCTGTTGTCGCAGCCGTCTATGTCGTCTACACCTTCTCTCAGGGCAAGAAAACAAACCGTGAACGAGACCTGCATGCCCGGACGGTCCTTATAACGGTGGGTGTGCTTGTCCTGTCCACCACAGCGTGACTGATGAATACAGAAAGGGAGGCCTGACGCCGCTAGGGCTGACAGTCGCGCAGGAACTAGCTCAACGCGGCGCGCATCTCATCCTCGTTACGCCGCATGCCGTGGACACCGGCGAAGCGTCCGTTCTGATTCCCCTTCTGCGCTCATCGACCTCAAACGAAGAAATATTCGCGGAGCAATGCGACCTCACATCCCCCTCATCTATACGCGCATTCTGCACTAAGTTTCTGTCAGCCAAGGATCATAGATTGGATGCCCTCGTATTTGCTCATGAGTACGAGCATATTGGTCCTGCGGCACTTTTTTCGACATCGCAAAGCGATAGGGAACGTGCCGAGAAGGATAGAGAAGCGGCTTCACTCTCTACCTTTTTGATTATCACTCTCCTACTTCCGTCGCTGTTGGTTGCACCAGTAGAACGTGACATTCGCGTGGTCAATGTGATCAACCCATTCTATGCTGCTGCTATCGCGGGGACCGATACAATCAACCCATCTCCCGCACCCGATCACTCGAAGAGAGGCCTGTTGGTCTCCGAAGGTCTCCGCTCATTGAGGACGTGTCTACTTACGAGACATCTTCAACGGATCCTCGATGCTCTCCCTGCCGCACAGGTTCCGAAAACGGATGATGGTTCTAGCACAGTCCCAGTGGTCGATCCGAAGGCACAGAAGTCGAACATCGTGGCCGTCAGCGTGTCACCTGGGATCGGACGTGCTGCTACCATTGGCAAGATTTTGAACGCCGACTGGACTAACACGACCAAGTCTAAACTTGGGATATTCTTGTAAGATCGTACCTATCTATATTTGCGTCTCCTCATCACTCACCCACCATTACAGTTACATTCTCTTACAGCCATTTTTCCGAATGCTCACGAAATCCACGCCGTACGCTATCCAGTCGATCCTCCATGCCCTCTTCCTTCCGACTCCATTCAAGATTGTGGGCGAGGCCTCTACTGAAGTTCTTAAACCGGGCGCACTCTACTCAGATTGTGCTGTCGTTCCAGTCAACGTCGTGTCTTCGCGATTTTCTGTCCCAGATGGCATTGATAAGTCAGACGAGGCTCCTACGGAAGGTGTGACACTGGAAGATGATGGCGAGTATGGTGGTGAGCTAGCCGGACGACTCGTGTGGGAGGGATATGAGCATGCCCTTCTGGCATGGGAACGAGCCAACCCCGGCAAGCAAGAAGAGAAAAGTGCACCTGATATAGACACTGACAGTCTACCCCAACTATAGGTGCGTAACTCCAGATGTTTTGCTGTTCCCCACCTTATTTTTTCTGCTCAGTTTTACCGGACTTCATACGATACCTTCACGCACCTTACATACCATATACCTTCACATGTATGTCTGCCTTGACTCTCATACTAATTTCATTATACATAGCAATGGGGTTGTGCGGCCCCATCGGCATGTCGGATATACCTCGGATATTCCCCCTAAATCTTGAATTTCAACTTTACCCCAGTCGTCCCCACTGATGCTTCACCGGCACCAGGCTCACGCTTCTCAGTCTATGAGGGTCTCAGTCTCGCCTATAAGAATGCGAACGATGGAGCGATTGGACGGCCATTTGGCATCCCTCTCACGTCTTTTCCTCTGGTCACAATGATTCCCCAGACAGTCGCACCGCGAATGAGGATCAAATCAGGTCCATGGGGAGGCTTATATCGACGTCTGGCGACGGCAGCGACGGCTACCAGACGACCCAGGGAAGAAGGCACGATTGCATCGGTGTTCACAACGCTTACCAATGAAGCGGAGGCTGCGTTACCTGAGCGCTTCGTGGAGTTGAAGAGGCAGATATGGCGTGACGATCTTAGGCAAAGCTGGCAGGAGGTTTTGAGTGAGCTCGGTCCTGCTGTAGAAGAGATTGAGGCGCGTGGCGGGGCGGTAAGCTGTAATGGCCTCGAGAAGGTATCCTGCTGATCACGCGTTGTAGATCATCCCTAAGGTTGCCTATAAGGATCTCCAAAGCGGGCTTTCGGCCGCAACAGTCGAAGAGATTAAGAAGAGGGGTGCTGTGATAGTCACTGGCGGTGTGCCACAAGATGTCAGTATTCTAATTCTCGCGGCATTGGACGAGTCTGGAGAATGCAAATCTATAGGAAGCTCTCAAGTGGAAGCAGGACATCAAGGATTATGCTGCCGCCAATTCACAGCACGTCCGAGGTTAGCAACTTTCCCTCTCCCCTTCAACACTCTCACTCACTTAGCGTAGGCTTTCCTCCCAACGACATTCAAGTATTCGAGATTTATAACTCCAAGAGTCAAATCCGAGCCCGAACCCATCCCGCGCTGCTCGAGACGCAGAAATTTCTTCTTTCTCTGTGGCACACCTCTGATCCCAGCAGCGAAATAAGCCTGACCACGCCTATCTCATACTTCGACAGACTGCGCATCAGACATCCTGGCGATAGCAAGTTCACCCTTGGACCCCACGTTGATGGCGGCTCCGTTGAGCGGTGGGAAGACCCTATGCTAAGAAGCTGCTTTGGCCGTATCCTTCAAGGCGGGAGCCAATGGCGAAAGCACGATCCTTTTGACGCAAGCCCGCGAATCCATGCTAAGCAGGATCTCTATCAAACGCCGTAAGATTAGCTTTGCCTTCGTGGATAACAGGTGTGCTCATGAACTTCTACCGTCCTTAGGAATCAATGCACGGTTTTCCGTCCGTGGCAAGGGTGGACCGCTCTTTCATCCACCCGTGCTGGCGAAGGCACGTTGCGAGTACTCCCAATGCTGTCCTTGGCGACAGCATATTTAATGTTGCGGCCGTTCTTCCGCCCTCGTCTGCTCGCCTCTCCCGCCTCGCTTGATCCTGCAGACTGGGAGCCCGATCTCGACAGCCCTGCGTTCCCCGGAAACGTCATTGGGAAGACACAAGAAGCGAAAGAACATCTTCATCCGCACCTGCAGTTGCAACGCAGCATGGTCTCGATTCCTCAAGTGCAACCAGGTGATCAAGTTTATTGTACGTATTCGTATTTCCTCTGGCCATACAAGGCGTCGCCGAATGATCTGAACATTCGTATAGGGCACTGTGACTTGATTCACGCCGTTGAACCACAACACCGTGGAACAGGGGACTCCTCCGTGCTCTACATCCCTGCCGTACCCCTGACGGTGAACAAGTATGTTGGTCATGCCTTCCCAGCGAGTTTGAACTCACCCTTGTATAGCGCCAGCTACCTTCGCGACCAAAGGATCAATTTCTTGTCTGGCCTTCCACCCCCGTGCGTCACCATCTAGCTGAGGTTTGTGTCAGCTTCCCAAATGCTGAATGCTTTTCAGGGACTTTCCGGGCGGTGAAGGCGAATTGCATTTCACTGGACGAGGGAGTGCGGACGACGTGACGTCTGCCACCGCTCGTGAAGTGTTAGGTTTCGAACCCTTCCATGGTATCCAATTCGCTGCAAAGGTGAACGAAGCTCTGCGAGATTGATTGCATTAGTTGGTTCCTTTCCACACACCCCAAAACTATGATTGCGATGTAGAAAGAAGGCTAACTATAGTCAGGCGTGCAGAATGATGATGGCGTTGGTTTGAATCATGCCAACTTCCACCCCAACTTTACGCGACCGAACGACCGAACATGCCATCTGATATATTATGTACCATTACAACTGTGAATTCAAACCTCTATCGGATGTAGCGTGAGTTCTGCGGGATGTATCTAAGGGATATACGTTCAAGTGTAACGCAAGGATGTTCAAGTGTAACGCAAGGATACAATTAGCAAGAACACCGGAAGCGACCGAAAGTGGTTCAAGATGTGGCTACGTCGGACAAGTCCAAACGATATCGTCGGGTTTGCCGTTGTCCTCGCTTGTGTGCCGTTTCACTGACGAAAATAGAAGACGGAATACCACCTGGGCCAGGGATCATTTCGTAGATTCCCTTGTGCTTGACTAGGAATTCTTCCGACCTCCTCCACGGGCAGACATGAGCTATAGTAAATGAGCGCAAAGATGGTTTATGGCGCAGTAAGCGAACGGCGCTCCTAGTCAAGTCCTCGCTGGCTAGCTTGGGGACTTTGACCAACGTAAATGTAGCAAGTGACGGCGCATCTTCTAGGGCAGTCGCGAAGTCCTCCTATGACGCGATGAGGACTGCGAGTAAGCAAAAGCGATGATTGGCTTACGAGGTCAAAATGAGAAGAAGAGAGCAGTTCAAGGTGTGTCAGGCTTGGGCATGAGCTAAACAATGAGCGAAAGAAGTCCAAAGTCGTTACTCCCACTCGCGATCTAAATTCCACGCTCATGCTAAGCGACGTAAGCGAAGGCAGTTTCTTCTTCAGTGTTGGGAACACAGTCGTCATCATCCATGAGGAAGGAATCCACATAACATGATAGGCGGTGACGCTTTTGATGCTCTTGTACATCGGATACGATATCGTGCTTCTGTGTATAGGCCAAAACCCCGTGTACACTTCGACTGCTGGAACATCGAGTAGCGAAGTCTCTTCGGATACATCCCAAGGTTCGAACCTGAGGCCGGTGAGAGTTATGTCGCGGAGTAGAGGATGGACCGAGAGGAATTCTCTGAAGGGCGGATGATTGTTGATGCCCCCTGCGTGGTAGCCGAGCGAGAGCTTCCGCATGGCAGGCCAACGTCCTTCTGATACCCTCGAAATTCTCCACAAATGGTCTTGTCGACCGTTCAACACCAGACGCTCAAGTTGAGGTGAATTTTCGAGCAACATGGTCCAGAGGGAGTCGGGGAGATCTGTTTCCTCGGGGGTGACTTGATGAAATGACCTATCTAGTATTAGGGCAGGAGAAGTGAGCGACGGAAAGTCTGATCGGAGCGCAACTTACGATGTCTGAAATTACACGTGTGGGATGTTAAGGAAAATCCTGCAAGGTTCACGAACTTGAAAAGCTACCAATGGGAAGTTAGTCAGTGGACTTTTTTTTCACGATGAACTTGTACCTCGCTTTCTCCATGAAGGGGGTTTTGACCAACGCTACACCCAATATGACGCAGACGAGGGCAGCTGTTGAGCCCAGCACCAACGCATTAGTGTACTGCTAGCGAGTGAACATGACGGCGCCTTACAAGCTTCGCAGTTTCAACCACAGTCGATCTTTAGGAACTTCCATGCCGTCCCAGTGAAATGATTCGAGAAGACGAAATTTCCCTTGTGCCGCTATAAGTGATACCAGATCGGCTATCCAAGCCTCGTCTTGTTCTTCTTGGTGAGCATTGGAGTCCCAGATACGATGGTTCGGCCGCACGACCAGGCTCTTCACAAAAATGGCTACGTCGGGTTCGCGAGCAAGATATGATAATGTGGCACGGCACTGATCGTTCGAGTCCAGCTGGACATGGGCGTATAAAGTAGGCAATAGGATATGATAAGTGCTTCGTGACTTGAATATAATCGACTATTCAGAGCATGCGGTATTAGGTTGCGCGCTTACTTACTATTAAACCGAAGTCCAGGAGGGCCCCGAGGGAGGTAAGTCGTTGCGCAATCTCTAGTATGATATCCATAGGAACGGTTCTGGTCACCTTTGTAAAACGTGTCTCTTCGCCATTGCGGGAGGGCCTGGACAGACTTTGAAGTCTGTTTGTGACGACCTGTAGCGGACTCGGCATCGCGGGGAGAAATGAGGGTTAGAATCTCACCAGTTTCTGTACGAAACCGGTGCTCATATACTCAAGTCTTGGAGGATCGGGGTTGTAGTGGATTGCGACTCCCCGGGTCTGAAGAAAAAGGCCTGCATAGCGCATCAACGCAACCAGCTATAGGACGTATTCATGTCCCATATGGCATGAAACGCGCCGGAGTCGGGTACCTGTCGTCGTAATTTTCTGACATAGATGCAATAAGCCTGACGTACAAAAATACCTGGCCGACATGGCGCCTGCTAGTAATCCTTTTCAAATCCCGACCAACGTCCCGCGTTGTGGTAGTCAGGGACTCACATAGGAGATTAGGGGTACCACATCTGATATGAAAAGTGGATTTGCTCCTTTACTCACTGACTAAAAGAACACAAACAGAAAACAAAATTTAGATAGTAATAAAACATAAATATTACATCAAGTGAATCATAAAACTGTACACTATTACAGCTTAACCTTGGCTAAACTCAGAGACAGCTTCTGACAAAGTGCAATAATCTTAGGTGAAGACACATTTGAAAACAAGTCCTGTAGCTCCATATCCAGGTGTCTTAGAGCTGAGCTGATCCTTTGTGCAGTGATGTGATCAACTGATTCAAGAACTGGTCCAGTATGTAATCCCTCAATCACAGTAAGATATGCCTGAATCAAATTCACAGTTGACACCAATGATAGCTGGTCCCATCCATGTTTTGTACGCATGACAGACATGAGGGCACTTATTAGCTCAAGCTTTTCAGTTATTGGTACTAGCTCAAGCAGCCCAATCACAACCGGCACAATATTCTTGATGAAGGGTTGTGCTATTTCTGGCAATACCTCTATCATGGTCCACTCAAGGATCATCTCAACAACAGACTGAAGACTTTGCTGACTCTTTGCCAGTTTGGTATGCTGAGCAAAGCTCATTGTCCTCAAGAATTGCTCAATGACTTGGCAGAAGAGGATTGAGGGGAGTGGAACAAGCTCCTTTGCAGACTTCGGACATACAATGACCTCTTGGCAATCTGAGTTGAGAACATTTTTTATGAATTGCCCAGCAACCCCATAGCCATTGGGAACATCCTGATGGCATAGTCTTTCAATTGTCTTTAACAACCGATGATTGAGAATTGGGTCTGAGAATGATGACAATGACAATAAAGGCTTTGATGATAATAGCCTGAAATTGGATGTCAACCACTCTCCTGGCTTCATAAGCAACCAGGAAATGGCAGTATTGGTCATCCTATTGAAGCTTGTGCCATCAGCAGTGTTCTTATACAAGACAAATCCATGGAGTAGCATCAAAAGCAATGGGAAGAATTGTGCATGAAATACATCGTCATCTCCAAAGGCTTGTGATAGTGCAGCAAGGGTTGGAGTTGTTACTGTAGGATATGGTCCAATGATGTGCAATGTATATCTTGCCTCAAGAAAAATATCATGGATTCTATCTGAAGAGGCATGAAGTAGTGCCTGCAAGACAGAATGTGCAAATTTGGCAACACTGATGTTGACATCGTAGATATACATATCATCCATGCTGTGGCTGGCTGGATGTGCAGTGTTGGCAGTGAGCAACACAAGGATGGACTTGGGTCCCATGATCAAAGTATTGTTGACCACACACTGGTCAGCAAGATTGAGCTTCTTGAGTGCCAAAACCCAGGTGCTTTGGACAATTACTGCCATAGCTGATAGCAATGGTGAGTCCAACAGATACCTGATATCTCTGTTTTGCCAACGACTGACTTCTATGGCCTTCAGCAAGGCTGAAAGAAGCTGGGCCTTCTGCTTCGGAGATATGCATTTCTCCAGGAAATTGACCTCACTCTCAACAAGCATATTAGCAACAGTGATGTTGCATCTGATGCTTGATTCTGGTGATAGCAAGTGCAGAAAGGTATCCAGCTCCAGTGCAGAGACCACTGAGGATGGCCACTCCCCATGCATCCCTGGCACACCCATCCATGGGACGGAATTCTGCAATATGGCCTTCAAAGCAGCTGCAGCCTGGTCCAAAACCTCGTCGTCGTAGGTACGCTGGATTGTGTGATGATATGCCACAATATTCGCATGTACCGTGGACTCATCCTCTATAGCAGGATGATGATGCCCTCCGATATGGAATGGCGACTCGTGAGGGCGTGTCACACCATGCACAAAGGAATACACCATCAGACAGCCCACAAGGGCTACAATGACGCAGGCAACGATAGCCGCTATGAGAACGGGCCAAACAACTGCGGTGGCTTGGAGCGCGCTGACGATCAGGTTGTCCAGAAATCCTATGATGAATAGGATCACCGGGACAACGAGCAGCAGCGGCAGGAACTCTACGCAAGGCCCGAGTAGTGTCTGAGCGCCTTTCCACCGCTGGTGGATGTCGGTTAAGCGAGTGACGCTATCGCCATCCGGGCGGGTCAGTTTGAACAGGTATGCGCGGCCGACAACGGCCAACGCGGCGAGGGAGAGCTGGCGCGGAAGCAAGGAGTAAGTATCAGAGCCGCGCAACAAGAGTGGATGTTTCTCGCACCGAAAGAATCAGAGATAGTGACCAAAATATGTTCACGCGGATAACATCCGAGCTTGGAGAGAAGACCTCTTCAGTTGGCGTCACCGTCAACCCTCCCGCACCCGCGGGCCCAGCGAGAGACACGAGAATCTCAGTTATGTTGGCGAGAATCTCGTTTGTTCGCTCGCCCTGGTCGACTTGCAGGTCACCCAATGATTCCACAAGGAACGTTGTCACGATAGCGGAGAACAGACCAACCTGCATCGCATATGATTCGTCCGTCTGAGGAGGCGTAGCGGGATGTGCTTACGAAGATGAGCAAAGTGTCCAATCCCCCGCGCCAGCGGTCCATGATCGGTGCAATTTGACTCAATGTAGATTTGAGTAGAGGGTTCCAGGCGCCAGCATTTCGCAGCGGGACCTGGGGGATAGGCCGTGTCGAGTTATCTGCGAAACAAGCAACAAAGTGAGTATATATGAATTGTAACCATGAGAGGCGTAATTACCTTGTCCAGCCTGGCGAGTAGAGATACTACGTAGGATTTGAGTCTGTTCTTGCATGGCGGCTAGCTGTTCGTTCAATAGTTGCTGCATGAATGTCCTCTGTTCGGCTAAATGGGTTTTGATGTCTTCTAACCTGCATGGATAATCAATGTCAGCGTTCAAGGAATCCGATGGGCCGGAACGTCCTTACATGTGCCCGACATCTGACTCAGTCTTCGGCGAGGTCGGGGCAGGTCTGTCGGTACTGGCAAAGGAAACAACGCTACGGATTGTTAGCCCGCCTCGTACAGCTGAACCCTGACTCACTGGTCTTGAGCATGCGTCCCATTGAGCCGCGAGGTGGCCCGCTGTCGGCCAGAAGCCCTTCCATCACTATGTCATCGATTAGCGACTTGTTTGGGCATAGCTGTAGAAGCGACTCGACTCGTTCTGTGAATCCTCTTCGGTCATTCGGGCGACTGGAGATCTAGGGTTGGGCGCCCTTGCGAAGGTACCAGGCGTCTGGTAGGACATCGAGTCTAGTCAATATCTTGGGTCAGTCAAGAGAGGCAACAGAGGCAAAAGTGTCGTGGTCGTTGAGGAGAACGGTGTATTTGGTCCCGCTCCCGGCACCGCCTTAGCAGACGGTTCGATTCCCAAGATCCCATGCAGGTAATAGGATTGCCTGGGTTGAATGGGGACAATCAGGACCATCAATGATGATGGAGCCACTGAACCCACGATCCAGCACGCCTCTTTCATCAAGAATCAAGAACCTGTCTTTCAGTGATGCTTTCTCCGTGAGATGAACAGACCTGATGGCGAAGACGTTCAGCGAAAGGAACGTTCTCGGACTTGAGAGTGTGAATGCCGTACATCGAAAAAGTTGAATATTAGTCGGATATATTCAGTATTTTAGTGGCACTAGAACATGTTATCTTTCTGCTATCTGTGGAAAATGTGGTGAGAAAGGCGTTTGTGTTAGCGCGCACCGTCCTCGATGGTGCGATAAGGTGGCAGGATGGCCACCCCAGATTCGACCCGTCCCAGAAGCCGAGTATACGAGAACCACCCGAACCTCCAAAGCTGTGCTTTGTGTGATTCTTTATACTTATATCCCACCGGATTCCCCGCCACTCCCCAATTGCCCCCACTGCTCCTTGGTCTTGTACCCCATCCTTGGTCTCTCAGCTGCGATTTGCGATGCCCAAGAAAATCAAAACCCCTCCTCCAGGCGACGACGAGCCCAAGTATCTCGCGGTATACCAGCCATATCCTCTCACCGCGCATTTCGACCTTCCGGCCGACTGCCACCAATTCGCCTCATGGTTCGCGTGTTGCGTTGGAGTGGATGACTTGCTGAAGTTTCTGGCGTTTTTCTACAAGCCCAAGGTACGCGTTTGTGATCGTTTATTGTTGTCGTTGATACGGAGGCACGGGCAGGCGAAAGGCATTATCTTAGTCGAGATGGATCGTTCCTACAAACACTTCGAAAGATTGTTGGGTGAGCATACATGGGCCAAATTCCTGAAGAACCCTACCAGCGAGGAGAAGCCGCGCATGACCAGGGTCTACTATAGCACATATTCCAGCGGGCGAGAGGCTCAGAAAGATGGTGAGTGGCGGCCCAAAGATTCACTCTTTGCGGAAATGTCGAACCCCGCGTAGGCTGGAAGAGAATCAACGTCGAGGACGACTGGTTCAAATCCTGGTCGCCTAGGAACCCGTACGTGATATATATTCGATATTCCTACTTCTTAGTTCACGATCGCTAAAATACACGCGTGATATAGGATCGTGCATTTCCCGTACCCCCAAACTTCGTGGTGCCAGGTTCCGCCTGAGGACAAAACGAACAAACCGATCTGTCGTCCTCTTCCCACTGCAGTTGTCCCTGCGCCTGCAAAACCTGCACCTCCAGGTGGGTGCGATGCTTCCACCTTTGGCAGAACAGTCGCTGACGCGTCTCTAGTTGTCGGCTCAGCCAGCTGGGTCGCATCCCAGACAGGTCCAAATCCCGCGTCCGCCCAAGCACTTCGCGGCGCGTGGGGTCGTGGGCGAGGCCGAGGCCAAGGTAGGGGAGGCCCCAGTGTCTCGATACCTCGTAGTGAACAGCCCATCATCACGAACACCACATCTGCGAGATCACCTTCTACTAAATCTCCTACGAATGCATGTGCGTATCGTTTTCACGAAAACTTCGACGTTATATTAAGCCACGCGTCTACGTAGGGCCGACCTCGAGAGCCATGGCCATCCCTTTGAGCGTGGCATCTAGTGTCAGCTCCACTATGTCCTCGCCTCCAGGATTAAGCCCGCTCACGCCCACGTCCTCCAATGGTGCAAACCCTCGAATTGCATCGAGGACCAGCGCATCTGGAGCCTCCCAAGACCCCCTCGACCGCGTCCAAAAGGGCCTAGACGCATTTTCCTTGGGCGACCGTTCCCCCGCCGACATCTACGAAATCGCTGACGAAGAGCACGTCGATCCCGAGTTCGTCTACGCCTCTGCCTGGAATCGCCCCCTTTCGTACGCCGACAGCGAGTCGACGTTTGGCAACGAGTCGGTCGCTGAGTCGTACCCGGAATCCCAAGTCACGGAAAATCTGTGGGGAGACGACGATATCGGGGAGAAGAAGGCGGTCGAGCCTGCTATGCTGTGCAAAACCCACGGGTTGATATGCAAGAAAGGGATATGCAGGGACTATGCCAGGCAACTTAGGGAACATAATAAGGCACAAGGCATCGTCAGTGGCACTCCCTCTAATGATGGCGATAGAAAGAAGCGCGGAGGAAGAGGTGAGCCACGTCTTGTTCTTCGCTGCGACTGTATCTCAGATCTTGTCCCCCAGGTGGCGGGTGGAGATCTAATACAGATCAGACTACCTCCGACGGTTTCTCTGTCGTCAGCCGCGGCGGTCGAGGCAAGGGCGCACCTGCGCAGAATGGGAATGCCGCGTGGCGAGATAACGGCAACGACGAGGGTGCTAACACCAAGAACGTGTCTGTTGGCCCCGTCGTCGTTTCTCCTGATGCTGTGAACTACGATGCGGAGGACGACGATGATAATTGGTAATTTGCCGCCATGTTGGCGAAACGCCTCGTCTCCCTGCGCGTTTTGTTTATGAGTAGATCCCAAACAACCCATGTTACGTCCTTCCCAAATGTTGTATCCGCTCTTTGTAACTGATGTAAATGATCGATTGCTATATATCAATGTTGTCGTTGTTTTGTGTATATTGTATTTGCCTCACATTGTATCTGCTTCTAGATACTCACCGACCATTGCCCCAATTCCTGCATCTTTACATACCGACTGTCTCTGTTAAATATTTAGTTTGTGGCGAGGACCACCAGTAGATGGCGACTCGGCGTCAAGCCGCACGACCGACTCCCCCGAGCACCCAGCTTACAGCTAGATGTTCGACGACGAAAAGCGCGGATGGCGCAGTCCATGGCGCCCCAGCGACAGGAACATCCTGGCGTTGCTGCCAGTCGACGATTCATCGAGATGGGTAGAAGGCTGAAGAGTACGGCGAGGAGTCCATTGTCAAATCAAAGCTCGCCAAACTAGCGGAAGCGAGGTTGATCATGAAGAGTCAGGCGAGGCAACCTGACTTGGATTCGTTCCATTGGGTAAAATCTTGATGTAAGTCGATACACAAGCGTTCCACTCGCGACAAGTCCCCGAACATCTGAAAGATCGATTCGAGATCGTCTTCAGTCAACGCAAGTGATAAGGACCGCACTCGGCCAGACACGATGGACCAAATATCGCCCAGCCCAATGTATATCGGGTGCTATATGATTAGGATCAAGAGTTCGCACGTTAAATCCAGCATGCTGAATATTCTCTGCGCCTTTGGCTATATCCAATAGCAGGCTATACAGTTCGCGAGCTGACCTAACTGCTATACCTGAAGACTAGTGTCCGACAGACTTCGAAGAGAACTCTGCTTCAGGGGCTGTCACGTGTCACACCTCTGGCGAAATTGGACCTGGTCTTCTTGCAAGACAAGACCTCCGTGAATATTTTGTCTAGTCAGTTAATTGCGAACATGAATAACTCACCTTGCTGACAAGATCTGATAGGCCGGTTCTCAGTCTAATGAAATAGCATCCCTCGCTTGAGGTTTCTTGTGCCTGTGGACCATTTTTGTATTTGGCCACGTCAAAAGCTGGCGACGGATCCAGAACTACTGATTATAAGCGAAACCAGCGGAGTCGCCTGGGGTGTATTTATATCACCATATTCCATTCCCTATATCAACCAGAAGGAATGGCAAATAGCTGCAGGAATCTGGCATTTGATCACAACCAAGAACCCCGACGAAACCCTCAAATCGGAGCTCTCTTCTGGCCCATGGGTTTGTATCTACCTCCGCCGCTCACACCCGTCACTTGAACTACCGTACATGAAACTTCCAGGATGCTGAAAGTAGCGAGGTTGCCAAAGATATCACTGAACTGAACGCGGCCACTAATTTCTATCGAGGCTGTCAACGCATGCCTGTCCTGATCCTCGATCCCACACCCGTGGCGCCAAGTGCGCAGGCTAATCCGCTGGACTAGCCCATTCGTCCTCTAGAGCCAAGCAATAGCTGCTCGTTATTTTTGGAATACATCCTACGATGCAAGAATAAAACTCAGTGCACGGCGATTTCGATGTCCCATCCGGACCACACAGATGTTTCCTCATCTGTATTCACTGTGCTTGTTCTACGTACTCCTCTTCGCCCACTTGATATATCCGGGGCGATGTGATCAACACAGCGGCAAAGCTCCCAGCGCCGCCGGCGACAAGCTCGCAGAACCGACCACCGTCAAGGATCTTCTCAACTCTGAGAAGCAGTTCGAGAAGAACCTGGAGAAGGTCGATCCCGGCTTTTTCAAACACTCAGCTGCCGCGCAACGTATGTGACGCTTCGTGGCGCTTTCCAGCTAGACCCTACGTATGCTCACTTTTTCATTCGAAGATCCTCCGTTCTTGCTATTTGGGTGCTCCGACAGCCGGTGAGCTTGCGGTTCGGTACGACAACTGATTTGCTGATTCTCTCCCGATAGATTAAGCGAAGGCACTTTATTCCACACGGCGCCAGGCGTCGTATTCGCTGAGCGCAACATCGCAGCGCAATACTATGAAGATGATAAGAACGGGTCAGTCTTCCCTTCATCAACCACGAGATCGTCTTGATACTTACCATACTTTCTTTCGCAGAAATGCGGTGCTTGTATACGCTACGGCTCATTTGGGTGTGCATAACATTATCGTCATGGGTCATTATGGATGTGGAGGCGTAGCAGCTGCTGTCACATCTACCGTGAACTCGGAGAAGGATGCCGCCAAAGACCCTATAGAAGCATGGATCTGGCCCATCAGAGACATTTATCTCAATTCAAAGAGGTTCGTCGCGATCCCCTACCTTTCTGAGAACGATGAAGTTCTAGTGATTCCTTCAGAGCCGAGATTGCAGCCCTCCGCGTGAAAAACAAGAAATTGAAGACAATAGCTGCCCCGGCTTTGAACGACAGTGGGCCCTCTACAAACCGCGCTGTCAGTTTGATGATACTCATGTTCTCGCCCAACTAGCCGGATACAGGGCACTTGTTGAAGAGAACGTGAAGGCGAACGTGCAGAGGATCCATAAATCCAAGGCAGCCACGGGAGTATGTACCCTCGTTATCTCGGATTGATTATTGCTTAAATCACCGTTTTCCTAGTACAAGGGACAGAAGACCTCGATATACGGGTGGGTATATGATATCGCAACAGGCGACATCAAGGACCTCGGCGTGACTGTGTCATTCGGAAAGTAGATTCAACTAAGCAATGCATAATATTTCAATTTACACCGAAGTACATAGTCTTCAATAGTAGCGTAGTTTCTCTGGTTACAGCGTAGTTCATGTTAGCAGTATCTTGGACTTGGCCGTCTTGGCCACTCCACAAAATCCCCCTGAGCTATTCTCACGTGGTGGCACAAGTCTTTCTTGTTTTCTTTCTGACTGCGTCAGTACTACCCTATATCAATGGATAGTGCTGAGTTCCATGCTGCTGTATGTGAATTCGTCGTCTTAGGACCTCATTTGCTGAGTATCCAATCATGAAATACGCGACAGGTCTATGATACCGTCAGGCTCATACCACATGGTAGAGTCACCTCCTATGGTAGGTCGGCTTCTGACTTCACGAACCTCGGTGGCAGAGACCAACGTGCTCTAAGGGCACATCGCAAAACTCATAGGGCAGCCGAACTACTCTAGACATGTCGGACAAGGTGCGTAACCAACTCCCCGTCGTTCACGTTCAGTAAGTTACTTGAACGTTAACTCTGACTCATTCATTTCATTGATATTAGCGCTGAAATTTCTGTCTCCCAATACGAACCCGCCAGTACCGTGGCATCGAGTTATAGCGTCTTCGGGTGCTATATCGTCCCGCGGGCCCGGAACCAACGGTGCCCAACTACAGCAGGAGGCGCTCGAAGCTGAGGGCGTTGAAGTCACAGTGGGACGCACTGGCGAGCTCCGAGTGGATATGAAGACTTGGGGATGGTTTCCAGCTCCTGGATCCATCGACATCGCTGAAGCGTCCTCGGATGATGGTAGCGCGCAATAGCTACTAGGACCACGGGCATCGTTTCATTGCCGTTTCAACCTCGTTTACATCATGAATCAATGACTCTACTCAATCCACCTACTCCCTCATGCCAACCCACCAGCGAATACACACCAATATTGCCTTTACCCGTATCACGACCTATCGGCGCGATAAGCACACTCATATGTAGCCAACTTCGTACTTACTCGATGAATCGAATCGCGGAATCACTGATATCTGAAGCATTTCTGCGAGACAATGGTTAGCAATGCTTGTCTTGGGGTGAGATCGAGAGTAGACTAACTCCTTGGCCGCTGGATGCAGCGACACAGCCGTATGGGTAACAGCAAGTGGTCCAGGTCGGCGCGCCACATGCGCCATATCCACATGCTGCCTTGGAGTCGGCTGCTAGGTCTGGGACGAAGGTGTCTTCGCTGGCTGGACGAGCCTGCGCCCCAGTAAGGGCAAATAGTGCGAGCGCGACTGCGAGAAATTTCATAGTAGCTTGCTTGGTATGAGTGGCAGCAGGATATGGATGATGCACAGCGAGTCTACAGCACTTTTATAGGCGACGTCGGTGAGCGCCAGCCTCGGATATCAACTGCAAACCTTACGCCCATCCAAAACCAGACTCTTCCAAAGTTTGATGTATACGATGGTCAACGGATCGTGTTGCGGAGTCCGGAGCACGGCTCACACATGATGCTTTTTTGACTGGTGCACATGTAAATCACAATGAAGAAGCGACGAGCCTGTCGTACAAGCAGGGCACGAACAGGCCGCGCTCGCCGCGTTCAGCGGACATTGCACGCAGCCCAGCCCAGTCATCTTCCGAAGTGCGGCACAGAAGCGCTATGGGTGCGCAGCTGTTCGAATTGCTTGTACATGGAGCCCGAAGAAGATGCGGAAGAACGCGACGTTAGCACTCCACTGGCTCCATGCACGCGGGGCGCATGGCGCCTGGACTTGTCATTGGGCTGATTGTTTATGCTGGAGGACCTTTCTGGGAACGAAGGTACTTGACAAGGGGGCGCAGGCTAAACATCCCCAGTTGAACGCCACCCCTCAAATCTATTTGGGTACACGTGCCGAACTTTTGAAGTTCCTTTCACGGGGTGGAGAAGTACATATTAGCACTTGTGCAGGCTAGAGGTGTTCTCAGTAGCTGAATGCGAAAATCTGACTCACTCTGCGGCAGTAATGATGCTGGATGTATAGGAATACAAGATAGGAGGAGGAAGTTCGAAGGCGATAAAATCCTTGGCAAGCTGAAGTTCATCCAGATGAGGAACTGTGAGAAAGAAAGACGGAGTCAGCATCACTAGACCGTTCGATTTGCTCGGAGAAGGAGCTTGGAGGGGAATATCGGCCTGGATTGACATTGAATGATTGACTGCCTACATGTACAAGGAAAGCGCTTGGCAGAAACTCCTTCATTGTTCGAAGGAGCTATGTGCTATGTAGTATGTACAGTTCAAACCGCGAGGGTGAAGATTGACTTTGGAAGCATCATGCCAACCTTACCACAAGACCCGTTAATGCTGGGCGTGCACAAGTCAGGTCGGGATACTCACGACATAGTTCGGCATATCAACCTATAAAGCCGGCGTGAGCTGCCATTTCCCGCCGTACGTGGATAGAAGGGTTGGTTCTCACCACCTCATGCAATTTTAGGTCCCCAGCTACGCTGCAAAGCATGTAAGCCTCTGTCCGCTCTAGTTGGTGTTCTGCGACAAGGTAGTCTATCATGTACCGCACAGCCGCTTTCGTAGCTGTCTCGATATCTGTTTCGCGTTAGCATTAGCATTGTGAAGAACTCAAAGACGCGGCAGACATACTCGCGTCAACCCCTGTAGTACAGTAATACTCTTCCTGAATAGCAGATTCGGTGGTCGTGTAGTGCGGTGTCTTCGTGTATGGTTTGTCTTTTCTGACGGTGAGCCGTACCGTTACCTGTATAGGCGTCTCAATCGCGGTACCTAGAATTCCAATGTCACCTCGTCTTCAAGGATCGATACAAACGAGCGACTCACCACAAACCTCTAGGTAATCTTCAATGAGTAATTACGTGATTAGTTGGATGGATCGTTCACGTACCTCCGTCGCCTTGAGCCGCATGTCCGTCCTTGTTCGATTGGATCAGTTGTGATGAGGCGGGGAGTAGACCTTCCTAACTTACTCCGATGGAGAACAGCCCTCCTTCTGCTTCAATGGGCAAATACAACGTCGACCCCGCACGGAGGTACTTCGTGTCCAGATTCCCTCCCGTATTGTAGGGAGGAATCGTCGAAAAGGCGCCATCCTTGCCTGGTGCAACCCCCATCTCACCGGGGAATGGACGCAAAGGAATTTTGATCCCCTTCTCGCGATCAAACCAAGCAAGCCCGCCATTCGTGTCCAGCTCCCAAATCTTCAGCGCCGGCTGGGAGAACTCGTCGTGGAGGAGCCCGAATCCAGGGATGACCCCGGTCCACCCCCAATTGGCCGTCTCGATCTTCAGGACATCCACTTGGAGGGTATCTCCGGGCAACGCACCCTCTATGTGAACGGGGCCGCTGACTTGGTCAAGCTGTGAAAACACGAGTGAAGAGATGGTTGATGCTGTGGATGTTGGCGTGATCTGGCCATTAGAGGCGTCCAGGCAGTCAAAGGTGATCGTTTCGCCTGACTGCACATATACAACGGGCTGAATACTAGGCAAATGAAACTATAAGTGGGACATCACAGCGAGGGCGACAGAGACGCACCTCTTGTCCCAAGCCAAGTGGTTTTGGTGTCGTTTCACTGAGTGAATGGACATTTGTGCGGGCGTTGTCGCTGTGGGTGAGGAGACTTCGAATCCCGGACCTTATCTCTGCGGAATACACGACGAGTGCCAGTGTCGCATGGAGACTTACAGTTTCTCTCATGGTTTTTCTTATGTATTTGAAATTAAACATCATAACTTCCACTGTTCCTAATATTAGAAAACATGGTAAGCAAGATCTAATGCGACCGATAGATGTGAAGCGAGGTGCGGCTAGTGTTGACTCCGTCTCACTCTGCCTGAGTATCGTGGCCAATGCTGGCCACCGCCCCAAACTTTTCTATTCCTGCCTGCGCCCGACATACACACGGCACTTATGCTACCGTTGACGTGGCCGACGAACAGTAGGACCGAGGACTCCTAAGGAGATGTGAAGTCGAACCACATAGATATTCTGCCGCATAATTGAGACAGAGTGATTGGCAACTGAAAACGAACCTCGACCATCCTTCTCTGAGGTATTTGCCGCGCCGCCTATGCTCCCAAGACCAAGTCATTTTCAGCGACATTTGCCACGATTTGCTGTGGCATTTCGCCTTCCGTGGATCTGGCCGACTATGCAGGTAACTTCGAGTGGGGCAATCAAGTCGCGATCGGAGGTGTCTTCAAGGAATTCCATTCACGATAATTCAGACCGCCGCGAGACCGCAAAGAGAGGCTGAAATTGGCTTCGAAACATATCTGGGAAGTGTCGCAAGGTCGACGTGATGGAATTGCGCGATATCTATGTCATGGCGGAAGGAAGGGTGAATCTGCACTCTGACGATTCCCACGCCGTCTTCTCTCACTTCACCCACTTTCGACCACACCAAACCTCACGGTCAGATATGGCGACGAACAAGTCAAGTTACTTGTCGACGGTCAATGAACTCCTCGCTGGCAGCGTCGGCGGTGCGGCGCAGGTCATCGTGGGCCAACCGCTCGATACGATAAAGACGCGAGCACAAATCGCCCCTAGTTCGTGATTTGTATCATAGGAGCAGGATGGTTGATAGACTTGGCCATTTCAGAGGGCATGTTCGTGCGTATGATCAATGTAGAGCGCTGGGGGACCATCCGTTGACCTTGAGGCTGCACCCAGAAAGGGCCAATGGACATCCTTACCACGACTTTAAGAAAGGAAGGCTTCTTCGCGCTTTACAAAGGTACGGGCGTACTGAGATGCTGCTGAATTTGTCATAACAGCTTGTAGGTATGGCGAGCCCGCTCCTTGGGATAGCAGGCGTCAATTCGTTACTCTTCGCGTCTTACGGTTTGTCGAAACGAGCGATTTCCCCCTTCCCGCTATCGTTGAAGGAGATAGCCGCGGCTGGCGCTATGGCTGGTGCTGCCAACGCCATACTAGCCAGTCCAGGTGCGAGTGTTTTCGGATCTCTGGACGCGTAAGATGGCTAAATCCCTGTGTCTCTAGTGGAAATGTTTAAAGTACGGATGCAAGGACAGTATGGCGCTGCCTCGGATAAGAAACTGCGTGAAATAGTCAGAGAAATGTGGTCGGAATGGGGCTTCAGGAAAGGCGTGATGCGGGGGTATTGGGTGCGAGCAAACCTTCCATCGTACCGCATCATTAATGCTCACAGAGAAGCGTAGGTAACAGTTGCGCGAGAGATTCCAGCGTATGCAGGGTAAGTGCCTTGCCTTGAATGCCATATTGTCACTGACGTATTTCAGGTTCTACACCGGTGAGCATACTCCGATCCCATCATTGCCTGATGAAGCTCTGACATTGGTTCAAAAGCCTTTGAGTTCTCGAAACGCAAGTTCAGTAAGACCTACGGTTCTGACCTTCCCGTGTGGGCCCTCCTCGCTAGCGGATCCACCGGCGGCGTGCGTACCCTTCTCCGTTTCTCAAATCATGGACCATTCTGACATGGACGCAATGGCCAATAGATAGCTTACTGGCTCTGTTGCTATCCCCTCGGTAAGCCCACATATTTTTTGCGGGCGGAACGATGTTAATGGAAAGCCAAGATGTCGTAAAGTCGCGAGTCCAACTACGATCGACTCCACCTACGGGGACGCCTGTGGGATATATCACCCAGGAATTGAAGGCTATCGTTAGTGAATCGGGCCTGTGAGTATCTTCCAGCTCCCCATCTTCGTCTTCACTAATATTCGAGTAGGCGCGGGTTGTTCCGAGGACTGTCTCCTTCCCGTATGTTCCTTCTCACTCCATCTCCATCTCCTGCTCATCCATCCTCCTGTCTGCAGTTCTCCGAAGGTGAGACTTGTCCTTTATGATTTTGATCTTGTGTGAATGATGTTTGCGCCGACAGTATACCGGCCGCGGCGAGCACATTCGCAGCTTTCGAGTTGACGAGAGGTGAATCCACCACTGTTGTCTTGGCGCGAATGATATTCTGATGACTACCCCAGAATACCTGGCTAAAATCACGGGCGTGTAATATTCGCGCATAGGTCCTCAGTAGACATAGAAGAATGGAGCCACCTCAAGCGAATGCCTCCTTGTCAAATGTGGCACCAGTGGGGCCAGTGAAATCTATTATCGCCCGACGGTTACTCTAATCTAAACCTTGACACTGACTTCCAAGTCGAGGATCCTCCCGTTTTCCATGTCATATACCCAACCATGAACATACACATCCTTCCCGCTCTCGTGGACGGACTTGGTTGGTAAATGTAAGTATTGACGGTCTATCACCAAAGGGTGATGGACTCACTCGGGCTGCTTTGAGTATCCGCTCAACATTGACTTTCACATTTTCCTCGACGAGGGCTCGGAAACCGGCTGCGTTGCCAATGTTTGAGCGTTTCTGTCAGATGCACGATGCGGAAGAGTACTTACGCTCGTGCAACTCTGGTGTTGGGACGGGTCGAGTTCGTCGGTTCTGCTCCCGCAGTTTTTCGATTTCAGGCCTGTTTGCTATCAGCCTTCAGCACAGCGGTGTACGGGATATCTGGAACGTGCCTGTCCGAGTTGAGATACAACTTTCGTATCGGTTGGATGAAACGTTGTATGGGATCGGTCATATCTGGCGGCGAGAACGCTGTTGCAATAGCTGTCGCAACACCTCCGCATCCGTAGTGGCCCGTGACGAGAATATGGCTGACGCCAAGGTGTTCAATAGCGTAGATTAGGGCTGCTTCTCTGTCAAGATTGTAAGTGTTCGTAAGCGGGGCCGTCCGGGTAGGTCGATAAGACGGGAACGTACGCGTTGGTGTCCGATTCACGGAATTGGTTCGCGATGTTGCGTTCAGCGAATAGCTCCCCTGGAAGGGAATGGAATATCGTGCCCTCGCTAACCCTGTCCAAGCCAAGCCAAGTCAGAGGATGCGCGCAGGATGATGTAATGTGGAAGAGCCTCACCGACTGTCAGAACATCCTAAAAACATGAAAGGTGGCGCTGCAGAGCATCGGAATTTCGCAGCGTTAGCCCGCGTACGTAGATGAGTTTGGCTAGTGCCTGAGGAGGTGCTATACCTTGTGCGCTATTTCCCGAGGAGTTCAGGAATCCTGGATGCTCCTTGTTTATTTCGGCGCGGAATTTGGCATTCCCTGCGAGTAGATGTTGGATATCCGAATTTTGAGAAAAAGAAGTCGATTCGACAGCTTGTAACGAGCGTATGGGGTGAGCGAGTGAAATTAGTGAGAGAGATGAGACGAAAAGCAAGCTCGATGCAGCGAAAAGGCGAAGGGAAGGTAGTTTCATGGTGAAAGCAATGAGAAGGACTCTAACCCTCAAGGCCTCAAGGAAGTGGTCAACGAAAGGGCGTCCGTGTTATTGATCCGGTCAATCATCTAATTATATGTGTGTTTTGCAATAAACATTACGAGGTCTAGCCTAGACGAGCGCAGTCTCAGGGGTGTTGTGAAATTGGCCTCATACACATTTTGCTTCCGGTCTCATCGACTACTCATCTACATCAGGAGTCCTACAGCAATTTCGGAGACATTAAAAACTCTGAATGGTCTCTTCTATGCAAACGCGGTAAATATATGTATCGAATCTGTATCGAACCTGAGTTCATGATTATGGCCAACGGCACGAGGGTGCGAGCACGCTGAACCGGCGTGTCCTTGCTAACTGATAGGCTTACCTTGAGGAGACCAAGGGGAAACCGCACGAAATTTGATGGCATCTCTGAGTCTCGTTACTGGCGTCCAAGCACAAGCAAAATCGAAGCTGGGATTTGGAGAGCAACTGGGAAGAAGGTTGCCCAATACACACGACGTAGATCGTCCTTGGCTTCGAGAAGCCACACGCATACTGATACATCCTAGTTCGGGCGTGACAGTACCAAGTAGAAGCTGTTTTGCTCGGCGAGGGACCAGAACAAGCTTTGGCTGTGATCGTGAGAAGGCGGCGAACGTCCAGGATGTTATATCAATGGAGAAAAACATATGGCTACAAAGTCCAAGTAGAAGATAAGACAAGCGTAACGACGCGTGATGTACAATACAGGTAGAGCACACATGTTTACACATACAGAATGTCCGAATGAAAGCTATAGGAAAGATATATCAGATGAAACAATCATATCAGGTGGAAGTGGAGAAGAGTGCACGAATAAGTTATGAATGCGACGACGATAATCACTGCCCCAGCTCCACGACTCCTTGCATACTTGCAACACGGTGATACCTCCCTAGCATAGCATCCATCCCTGGAACTTGTCGTACGTGTTCAATATCATGAACTCGCGCCTTGGGACCTAGCGCCGGATGCCCAGCCCCACTGCAATCCGATGAAACCGAAGACGTCGATGCGCCCCGCATCCGAGCTCCCACAACTCTGGCAGCCGGCCGCTCGAGGGACGGCGGGCGGGATCGCAGCTTGGTTTGCGACCTGGTTACTGCAACTGGGTCAACTTCGGTGTGGATATGCAGTTTCGGGCAACTGCTGCTATCACTCGTCGCTGAATCCCGCGACCTCGAGCGCGTCGCCCCATTAGAACGAGCATCTCCGGCGGCCGTGTCGTGGCCAATGTCGCTGCTGCTTCGGTTGTTGCTACGGCCACGCTTCGCTGGATTGATTCTCAACGGAGGGGTGGATTTGGTCGAGTCGCCTGAGATGGGGGCAGAGGAAAATGTAGCAGCTGGGAATGAAGGAGGAGGGTGCGATCCGTGTGAGTCCCTCCATTCAGATATTACTGATACTGGCCCATAAGTATCGAGAGTTGCTGCAGAAAGAGGGATGCTTTCACGGAAAGCGGTGGTTAATGACGCCTCTGGCAGGTTGAAGGGCGTCAATGAGTTCGGTTTGTCCTCTAATGTGAGTGGATGTTCTTCTTGGCCCGACGAGGTGTCGGGGGTGTCAGGCCAGTTCGACTCTGGTCTGGGCATCAGAGCTGTGAACCCAGGGACCGTGGTTGAGGAAAAGAGAAGAGGGATAGAACTTAGCCCAGAGGACTCGGTCAACGAGGACGTCGACTTCGAGGAACTGGGATCTTCGCTTAGGGTTTCCATCGGCAGAGTGGGCATCTTTGAGCCTTTTCGGAGAGGGCGCGGGCCTCCGATCGTGGGGACTGTCGTTCGTGAAGGCGGATTGTCGGTCAGAGGAGTTACATCTTTCAGGCTTGTTGGAGATATGGTGTGGATGCTGGAGGGCGCGAAAAAATGGGGGATCTTCAACGATGTAAGGCGACGATTGGAACGAGCGGGTTTCGTGGACGTCAAATGAAGGGAACTGTCCACGCTTTTGATACTGTCCGAGCGCTCAATCACAGATATATTGGTATAGCCTCTGGAAAGGCAGGCCTCGGCTCGCTTAGCCCGCATTTTGAGCATTTGCCCGACAACCACTGTATCGGTTCGCCCCAGTTGGCCCTCTTCCTCTTCCTCCTCCTCCACCTGTTTGCGCTTTTTCAGTTCATCGCCACCAGCGCACCAGGCTGGCAGGGCGGGGACTGGTGGAGGCGGAAAGCGGTCAAGGGCTGAGAAGGTACAATCAGAGCGTGTAGTTGTCGCAGACAGCGGAGCGTGTCCTAAGAATGCTGAGAAAGGCCCCGCGGTTGAAGCTGTGGCCGCCGAAAGGGGCGCTGTTGTAAGGGGCGAGGTCGTATCGATGGGTGGTAGCGCGCCCATTGCTTCCCGAGCACCTGCAAATGTGAAAGTAGAGCCCACGGCAGAGAGCGGTGTCGGTAGGTTGAAGAAAGCGCGGTCGGGTCTTGTACTCGGCTGGGTTTCATTCGAAGAGCTGAGCGGGAGGAATGCTTCTTTATTGTATTCTTGCGTAGAAACAACACTATTCCGCACTGCGTCTCGACTCTCATGGCCAGATAAACTTTGAATTTCGTCCCCCAATAACGGCGCGGTTCCGGACTGCTGAGTGTTGTGCTTCCCGCCTTCAACGTGGTGATATGGGTACGTTGAACGATCTTGCCCACTACGAGACTGATCAAAAGCGCGCACGAGACCCCTCAGGGTCCCTTCTTCTTGGGCGCGTCGAGTTGCTTTAGTCTTGCGGCGGTAGAATCTAGAGACAGCTATGTAGACCACAGCCAATAGGCCTAAAACCACGACGACACTAAGAGAGATGCCGATAATGGATGCGAGCGCAGTGCCCTTAGTGGTGTTTTCGTCGTTTCGCGGGGAGAGGCGCGCATCCTGGTAGCGAGCAGGCATCGTCAGGAAGGTCCTATCGACCTATAGGGTGATTCCAAAGTGGAGGGGGAAAACATCCCGAACGTTACAGGCAAGGATAGGGTTATATGATAGCATGCGGGTATGAATCCATGGGAAAATGAGCTCTCTAGGAGTTCCATGCGAATATTCGAAACACAGGTTCGGAGCCAAGTTCATGAATGTCGGTGCTGTGCACTGCGGGCTTCACGTGCATGGCGGGCGAGTCGAAGCGCCAGCGCTAGTCATGGCTACTTTAGTCTTTTTGGGCTACTTCCACCCGCTGAAGCACCAACTGAGAACAGCCGAGCGTAGTGTGGGAGAGCAGTTATCAAAATAATGGTATTGTTTGGCGCATAGTCTCCGACTCCTACCAAGTTCCAACGACAATCCTGCATCGACGCTCCGAGTCACTATGACCCCAGTAGTACATTGGTCGCTGATAAGTAGTACTTTACAATCCATTACATTTTTTAACTATCAAGATCATCCAGGAAAATAAATACAGTGTAAGTCAAATCGAAATGCAGCTTAGTGCACCAGTCACTTGTACTTCGACATATCCAAAGCTATCCGACGAGCTATCCGACGCCTGGGCGGATATCAAGCTACTGCTTTGATGCCCAACATAGCTCGAAAGGCGCGGAGTACCTTCTTGGAAGGTGCACGCTTTAGACCCCCAGCCCCCCCGGATGGGACGGGACGTGCACGGATGGTGGTGCGGTTGTCGTAGCCAAAGCGTGGCCCATTTTGTCGCCGCTTCACTACTCCAAACTCATCGATCCCGGTGATCTCTTGCACGTCTTGTTCAATTTCGCTACCTTCCTGACCTTCGTTCCAGGTACCTTCGTTACCCTCGTCAACCTCGCTGTTTTCATTGTCGTCGTCGTCGTCGTGGTACGAATCCCCACCAGTAGGGACCCCGTAGTAGACGTCGTCTTCCCCGTGGTCATCGCTGTCGTAAATCTCGTATTTGTTCTCCGCGTCGTCCTCCTTGGTGGTATTGACTATGCCAGTAGCATGCGTTTCCCCGCTGAAGAAACTATGGGTCGAACTACCCATGCCGCTGCTGGCCGCTAACGTATCGTCGCCAGAGCTGAGATATTCTTCGCCTTCAGAGGTTGGAGTAGTATCGTAATATTCAACGCGCTTTCCTTTGCCGCCAGCGGTGTCATCCATGGCGGCTCCCCGTCTTTGGGCGTCGGTGAGCAGCATGGAAGCGCGTTCCGGTTCGTATTCGTGGCCACCTTCTTGGCAATCGAGTGACTGACTGCCATTTTCGACGGCAAGGAGGTCCTGGGTCGAGTACGAACCGTTGTCACCAACAGTTCGTACCTCGTCAGCATGCTCAATGGGCCTTTGGTATGAAGTGTATGCTTTGGCGGGCTTCTTATCGGTCCGAAAAACCAAACCGGTCTATCGCAATACGGTAAGCCATTCAGTACGAACATGATTGCTGCACCACACTTACGACCAATGGCAGATGGAGAAGGCCTGTAACATTGACGCAGGACACCTCGACGTGCGCGAGGACGTCTTCGGTGCAGATGAACTTGCTTTTTTGTTGAGCGCGGTAGAGATCTCTGAGAGCAAGACGAGATCTTTCGGGCTCGTCGAAGGTGTAGAGAGCGAATCCCATTTTGTTGGAAGAAGAATAGCGGAAGCAAAACACTTGCTCGTCCATGTCTTCGGTGGAATGGTCCAGCCGTAGAGTGTTGACTCGGTTCTCTTCTCCAAATACGCACTGTCGAATTGACATCTGCAACGAGAGCTGCAACACCATTTGAGCTTGTTCAGTGGGAGAACGAGCTCTCAAATTGTATGCTTGGAAAAGGTGGTGCTCCAATTTTGCTTCGGCAGTTGCGTCTTTGGAGTCGTCCTGGGACCATTTGTTCCATACATTGACTGATGTCAGGAGCTTCAGGAATTTCCGGGTTAACCTGAAATGCCTAGACGTGTCGAGGGCGGCCATGTTTTATGCGGCCGTGGATGGATGTGACCGGAAGGAAGAAGGTTCCGCTACAGAGGTGTGGCAAGCAGGGTGGACAGGAGAGAGAGAGGGAGAGAGAGGGAGAGAGAGGATGAACGGAGGGAGGTGTGGGGAGACAGGGGCGACAGGGACATTATTGCCACACACCAAATTTGGCAATTTCTTGAACCTTCAAAAAACAGAATATAAGAAATCACGGAGATTTATAGGAAGCTTGTATGCACGAAATCAAGCGCCAGCTATAAGGACTGCTGCGGCGTGAAACATGTACTGAATTCCGTATACATCCCATTTCTCGAGCGTCTTGCAAAAGACAGGCGCATGAAGTACCCCCTCCAACCTGGGCTAGTTACCGTAAATGGCAACTTTATTCGTTTGAAAGAGAACAAAAGAAACCTAAAATAAATGACCACCGCAGGGGTCGAACCTGCAATCTCCTGATAACGCATGAATCGTAGTCAGACGCGATGCCATTTCGCCAGGCGGCCATATATTTGGAGCGGCTATAGTACAGTGACGATATGAGCACGAAGTACATGGAAGGCGACTCACAATACTATCGAACGATGGCGCCTGAGATGTCAGCAAACCAGCCATATTGATCTTTCGGTGAAGCCCAATCCGGCGTGTGCCCTGTGGAAGCATCCCTGAGCTAAGATGACAAAACACTACGCGTAGCACTGGGCTTACCTCCAAAGAACGTCTGGAAATGCATGCCTTGGATGACAGAGTCGGCGCGAGTACGAAGCGTAAGCCCCGCCACAGATATGGCGGAGACCCCGTTTACCCAGAATTGTATCTCGCCTTTATGCGTAATATCTTGTGGGTTTTGAATCCTCGACATGGTAGCGAAGTGCTCACCGTTCTCCGATCCAACGTCGTTGAGCTTGACACGGAATGCTAGTGCAATCCATTGTCCTACAGCCGCGTCTAAGCAAAACGAGCCTCTCCCAACAGAAAATCCGTAATCTGCGTTTTGCCGCGAGTATGGAGGAACGGCAGCTAATTGTGCTTCATTGTTAGGCGTTAAGGGGAGGTAGGCATACAGTTCTCCGATCGCATTCGCTCTGAATGATTCCTCGCGATTAGAGGTTATGATATTGCTGACCAAATGAAAACTCACCTCCACATCGGTCGAAGATCAAAACAATTGCATCGGTTTTCTTTGCGCCCACCAGTGCAGCCGTATGCTTGGTCGCCAACCCCTCCATCTGAAGGGAATAAGCGCATCAACATATAGACGGATACACTTACATATACCAGGCAACTTCCCCCCCTTCATCCAATCCCAATCATCGCTCAGCATCATTCGATAGCTGAGAAGTACCTCTTGTGCACCACAACGTAGGGATTCGAGGAAATCGCTTGGGCCCGAGAGATAGAATCCAAACCCGCCAGGTATCGGAGCGGATGGATTTATGCTCCCTTTCGTATATTTTGCTTCCCATGCGACGGTCGGGGACGGTATGGTATTCGATAGGCATGGAATGTCCTGCCGCGGCTCTTTTGGCGGTTCCACTACTTCGTGGGTTGTTCTACGAGTGATCTTATGCACGCCCAAACAATGGTCATCGAGGCTAATTATAGTCAGGAGCTCGGTGCTGAGAGAGGGACAAGTAGTGAATCCCGACAGAAATTCTGGAACTGGAAGCAGAACATTCATCGTTGTCTTAGCTCGCAGGCGCTTATCCTTCGAAACGAGCAAGTCGCCACGTTTTGATTGGCCAGGGGCATTACTAGGGGTTGAACTAAACATACATGCAATGATTCTATACGATAATGGGACAACAAAAACAGAGGTAAGTCTAGGAGATAGTATGTTTACAAATGGTATCGGAAACCGGGAACTGTTTGCCCCCGTTCGTCCTCTTCTTTTTGGGCTTTCAGGTTTAGCGCAGCGAGGTGGTACCGAAAGAAAAGAGACATTACGATGCTGAGGCCGCTCGCAGTTAGACAGATGGCGAAGGACTTCCGGTACGTCGGTCCCCATTTTTTGTCCCATGCATAACTTTCGAGTTAACCATTTGTAGTCAGCGGTGATAATGCGGCGATGTGAGACACCACTCACGGGCCAGCCACTAAACCTAACTGCCCCGTTGCATTGATGATAGCTATAGCTACCGCCCGTTTATTAGCGGGCTGTAGCGACGTCATCGACCATGCCATGGTAATCACCGGACCCACGGGAGATTGGGCCATCAAGAAACTAGCAGAATGGTGAGTCACTTGAACTGGACCTTTGAATTGGCATGACGTACAGAGATACATATCTGGCCGGGGTATTCATTGTGGACATGGCCATCACGGACCCAATCATTCCGATTATCATGGGGAAAATACTGTGCCAGCAACGTTCGGATTTGCTGTCAGAATGCCTGGCGCGGGAGGTGAGCCATGAATGCATACGGAACGGAGCTACCGACCTTGTCAGAACAAACGCAAAAACGGTCGTGATGACCCATGGCGGAGCGCATAACAGGAGAGTCGTCGTCAAACCGTAACCAAGAGTTGCGGTTAAGGTTGGGAAGAAGACAATGAAGCTTAGAGAAAGCTGAACTACGGCCATGAGGACCGCTAGATACCAGACCTTCCAATCTTTCATGGCAATCTTGAGGCCTTCTATATGGCTAGTTGGTCCCGTGCCATCTTCTTCGGCCAGGCGCTCTGTTGCCAGAGCTCTCTCTTCGGGAGAGAGCCACCTCCCAGAGGTGCCAGGGAAGTCCGGCAGGATGAAGAAACCTACACTTTGATGTCGGTAAGATCCAGCAGAGGTTTATGGGTGACGAACCTAGCAAGGCTATAGCAATGGTTATCGCCCCTTCTATAAAGCAAAGCCATCTGTGTTACTCGTATACGGAGACCCGCCGCCAACGAGATATGTGACTCACCTCCAAGCGGCTTGTCCTAGGGTTCCCTCCATCGTGTCGAGGATACTGGCCGCAATGAGGGCTTATGAGGGCGAATACTTGAGAGCGTATTGTAACATCCGTAAAATACACACTAACCACCAAATGCATTGCTAGCGTACGTCGCGCAAAATAGGATAGCCACTCGGACACCCAGTTCGTCTGAGGAATCTTTATCAACCGGCGTAAATTCAGTGAAATCGAGTGCTTTACCTCTTTTGTACCATTTTGAGAGCAAGAACAAAGCGCCAGGTACGAAGCTGGCTTCGACAAATCTACGCAATAGTATGAGCAAGCACGAATGTCCTCGGGGTGTGTGATTACCCTATGAAGAACCTGCACAAAAGCGCGCCAACGAAGCTGCAAGCAATCAGCTAACGTTAGAGAAGATCGAATAGAAGTTAACCTACTTCCTGGTTATTCCTAATTCAGATGTCTTAGATAGGTCCCGTACACAGATCAATATACTGACCACTCAACATAGATATGACCCCCCATAGCACAGCGCAAGATGGGAGGTATATAGACGGCTTTCCGATGTAATTCATGAACATGTTCCTTGACCGATACTAGTTAGCCAAGGAAATCACTAGAGGTTCCAGAGCGCTTACGATGGTATTTGCATTGATATATACCCGACGAAGAGGATTGAAAGAACAGTCGAGTACTCAGGACCATGAAGGTGGAGGTCGCGCTCAAGCCCGCGCAATCGCGCCGCACTTCCCATGCCAAATTAGTGATTCAGCATAGTATGTGGCATTCATCGGGCACTAACGGCGTGTTGTTTCGATCAACCTACGGGCGGTTGTTGGTTCCAGAATATTCAGACAACTAGGGGTAACGCACTATGTTCACGATGTAGATGAGTATGAGGTAGGACATTCGTAGGTCGACCTTGAGTAGAAGCCTTTTCTCCAAATCCCGCCTTGCTCCCTGGCCTTCAACGTCGAGCCCCTGCTCATACTTGGCTAAATGAGAGCTAGTGTCGTCGGGAGATTTGAGCTCGGCCATGGGGGCAATGCAGTGGATGGAACAGTGGTAAACGAATCAAGATTTGCGAGGTGAATTGGTATATAACCGTTTCAGAGGGTTATCTCATTGTGGGAGAATGAGGCCTAGACGGGAATGAGAGGGTCAAAGCAAGGTGAGGAGATTGATTTGTGCGCGTTCCCACTACCTTGTGCGCTTCATAGCTAAGTTATTCGAACTGTCATAACGTTCTCGACATGCCTTCGAGTACGTACGAGGAGGGGTAGTCCCTGCCGTAGATAGAGTGATTTACTTACTAGATTACTCGCAGATCCCTTCTCCATTGAAGTTCCTTTCGGAAGACCCGAGGAACCTGAATGTGACACCCACGGTTAGTCAGTTGCTTTGTTGAGAATAAGAGTCAACGCACGAAGCTCTTCCTGATACATGGCCGAGTCTCTTCCAGATCCACGAATGGGATAAACACGTCCAGCCCAATGATGAGAGGCCCATAGAAGGAAAACATGGGGATACAACCAGGGTATGCGGAGGTAGCCCAACATCTGAGACTGGGTATTCTTCGGGAAACTCAGTGTCCCTGGCCAGTGCAAGTCTCGCGCACTGCCAGGTCTGCCAGAATGAAGTCGAATGTATATCAAGGGTGAGCGAAGGGCCGAGAAATTCATCATTTATACGAGACAGAAAACAATGTCAACCTCGGCGGACGGCCAATGGGCGTGTGGGCTCGTGGGAAGGTCGCCCCTATACCCCTAGAATCGCAGTAGCCACTTTGCACCACTTCCTGTAGGTTTCTGCACGTCGCATCAACGTCTTATACACAGAACCCGAGAACCCTATTTCTGACACACAAAGCTTCACTATCAGGGGAATGGAAGTATGTGTCCCCGCGCTCCTGACGATGCGGCTGCCATGGAGCTTGAAAGCTCTTAACAAACTTCTATCACCCAGGGATGAAGCAGCCTGGCTCTTCCATGAAATGCTGTTGAGCAAATGCGCCCGAAGGTGTTCTCTGCGCTGGAAGAGTACTTTGAATTGAATTATGTTGCTTAGTTGCCAACAGCCTGCACGACGACGAAGGCGGCACTCAGGTCCAGTATCTGTTTCTCTCTCGGAACGTCTTCCTACGGTAGACCGAAGTAGATCCAATATAATCAAGGGGTACAATACCCTGGAGACTTCGCAATGGCGCACAAGGTTATGATGAGGCGCTGGAACTTCTAGGAAACATTTCTAGGGGTACCAGAATGTACATGCTCTGTGGAATCTACAAGGAATTCGTCGAAATCGTAGGCAATAGGCCTTGTACAAATTTATAACATATACCGAAATCCAGGCTCTGTTTGGCATCTGTCTTTTTCTTCTTTTTCGGCTTTGGCGTTCAAGCCAGCTAAATGATAACGGAAAACGAATGACATCACGATGCTGAGGGACGCTGCAGCGAGGCAAATCGCGAATGACTTCCTGTAGCTCGGCCCCCAGCTCTGATCCCAAGCATATCTATGACACGAAGTAAGTTTCCCTTCCTCGATATTATGTGAACAGACGCACGGGCCGATTACGAGACCGATCTGGGACATCGCATTAATAAGAGCAATGCCAACCACAGTCTTATTAGCAGGCTGAAGCGAGGTCATACACCATGCAATAGTGATTGCAGGTCCCATAGGTGATTGGGCCATCAGAAACCTATTGCGCTGATTAATACCAGACCCTGGCCTGCTTGAACTGTTGTGCAGCTTACAGTGCTACGTAACGTGCGGCTGTATTCATGGTGCACATGGCGATAATTGATCCAATGATGCCGACTACCAAAGGGAGGGTGGTGTGGAAGCACCGCTCCTTGGTGCGATCAGAATGTCTACAAAGTACACGGTCAGTAGGGAAATCGGTGATTAAACGACTTCACACACCTGGTAACAAGGAAGGCGGAAATAGTCGTGAGTACCCACGGAGGGGCGCAGAGAAGCAGCGTAGTCATAAGATTGTAACCAAGCGTGGCCGTTAACGTCGGGAAAAATGTCATAAAACTAAGAGACAGCTGGATGAGCCCCATAATCGTTGACAGCCACCAGACCTTCCAATCGGATACAGCAAGGATAAAGCCTTGCATATAACCAACTGACTTCTGGTGGCCCCGAGCCTCTTCCTCCATCCGCTGCTCGGCCACAGCCTTTTCAGCAGGCGTCAACCAGCTAGACGAGTTGGAGGGAAAGTCGGGGAGAATGAACATCCCAAAGATAGCGAGGAAGATCGTTATAGATCCCTCGAGAAAGAACAGCCACCTATCAAGAGGTATCAGCGAGGATTCGATACACAACAAGGGATCTATTACCTCCATGCGGAGTGGCCCAATTTGCCCTCCATGCCGTTTAATATCCCGGCGGCCATAACTGAACCTGGAGAGGAGATAATCAGGCATTGGGACATCTGCATACTGACAACGTTCAACGAACCAAAGGCACCGCTCAAGAAGGTGGCGCAGAAGAGTATCGTCACCCTGACTCCGAGCTCCTCTGGACGTAGTTGGCATGAGTTACTATATGGATGAGCGATGGGACCAAAATAACTCGCCTCGTTTGTACCACTGAGAAAGTAAGAAGAGGGCCCCCGGAAGAAAAGCCTGGGTGGCATCGGGGTGTTAGGTCTTCTGAGCCATTGCCATTCACAGGCGAATTCCTACATACCGATTCGACAAAGCCGAGGAAGAACCGACATAAAAGAACGCCCACGAAACTATATCAATGAGAGTCACCGAGCAAACTTCGTGTACTACTGAAGGACCCACTTATTCGCGATCCCTGGGAAGGTGTGTATGAGGCCCTAGCTCGTTAGGGGATCGAGGAAACAGCTCACCAGTCAGAGTGGAGATTAACCCCCACCCCATAGTACATATCGGCAAATAGATCGAGGGCCTCCCCAAGTAATTCATGAGCATGTTTCTGCATGTCTCATGAGCGAGAAGGATAAACGCCAACAGAAGACACAACTTACGAGGGGATCTGCACCAATATATATCCAACGAAGAATATGGATAGCACAGTGGAATACTCTGTGCCGACCAACCCTAGTTCCCTCTCGAAACCGCGAAGCCTCGCCGCTCTGAAACGGATTGACATTTCATGTTACGCACTTGAAGCCATGCACTTACGGTGTGTTGCCGCGATCAATCTGTTAATCTTTCATTAATGAATGGCTGCAGCAGGATTCGGAGAAGCGTCATACGATGTTCAGGATATAGAGGACGATTAGGTATGACATCCGGAGGTCAAGCTTGAACAGCATCCTCTTCTCAACGGCAGCCCTGTCCTCCTGGAGGTTCTCGACATCAGCCTCCTGGTCAATCTTGACTAGATCAGAACTCTGGTCGTCTGTTGGCTTGAACGTCGACGACATGTCGGCTAGTGACGATGGGCGTGAAGAATGTGGGTAGCAACCCTACTGGCAGATATCTCGCGCTGAGGGTCAGATTTAAGTGAGAGCGAGGATACCCAATTATCTGACTTTCGGAGGGTCATCTTGACCTGAGAAACCGCATTCTCAAACGGAGACAGGAGAACATGTCCGACCCGTATATGGAAGCTGAGATCGAACCTCGGGCTTTGCCTCTTCCCACCGACAACTTCTCAGAACAAAACGTTGAAAAGATTACGGCCTCTCCCCGGAACGTGTTATGGTATGGTGAAATAATAACACTTATTTTATCCATCTCAGAGCTCTTACCATCCTGCTTGCAGTGCGCTGGCCAGGCTTATTTCGCGACAAATGGCATTCAATCCCTCGGATGAATTGAAGCCGCGAGTCACCTAAAGCAGTAGCTGCAGGACCCGGGAGTTATTACGTGTAGACTATTCCGCCCAGCCGTCGGTATCTGTGCTGGTCCACTTATCGTTCTCGGTCCCAGACCAGCCTGCCGCGGCAGCTCTCGGAGATGCCCTTGGATCCTGAGGCATGAGCCTCGTTCTTTAACTTCGAGCAACACCACGATTCGCGCTCACTGCCAAGGGCGTGATAAAACCATTCGGTTACACAGCAGAACTCACGAACTCGGTATTACAGTTGCAATCTCGTGAAATTGCGACTCGACTAGCCACCACGATGCCTAGTACGTTCATACATGCCACAATATTTTCTCTAACTTAATCCACCTGTTCAACGACGGTTTTATGGCCACATGTGGCAGACTCTCGAGCGTTGTAAGCTTCATCACGCCACAGAACTCTTGTAGGCAGGCCCGTAGGTCATTTGACAGCCTCGAGTTCGTGTCCTCCTGCCTCTTGTGGATAGTGCGCTGCCTTGCCTTCCGTTCACGGTTAGGCCGATTGATGAGAGCGCTCGATAAACACCGTTATCATGAAAACGCAAATCTAACGTCTTCGGTTCACTCAAATGAATCCTCTTCGAATCAGTTTTCTCGTCCAAGGTGAGTACCTTACGATAAGACCTTGCTAACCCCTCTTTCTAACCGCCGTTTAGTGGGCAAGTGCTGGGACCAACGACCTGTAATCTGGTCGCTTACCCACGCAACAACTGCCCCTGACTGAGCACACATTATCAGCCCAAGTCTTTTCCAGTAAACGTCGTCGTGCATCCCTTCTTCTGTCCATCTCAGCTACTCAGGCATGCCTCTGACCAAAACCGCCGATGACTCCAACTCCGTGTTCGCAGCCATAATCGCATCGATCTCGAAGATCCCATTCGAAGAAAAGCGTTGGAAAGGGAGCTTTTACGCAAGCTTGATTTGCGAATGTCTTTTCTCGTCGTTCTGATGGTGCTGAACATCGTGTGTACTTCAGATGTAACCAAGGAGCCTATAATGACCGTGATTTTACTTGTAGATCGACCGGAACAATACACCGTGAGTTGTTTGTCTTTCGCTATAATGCTGACGCGATGTTGGCTGGTAATAGCGCGGCGCGACTTCGTGGATTCGAAGACGAGTTACGACTGAGCAGTACGCAGTACTCCACTGTGTTGTCGATTTTGTTCATTGGGTACATCTTAATGCAAATTCCGTCGTACGAATCCATACCTATCTACGAGATTTGGATTCTCACCTTTTCTAGAAACATGTTAATGAATTATCTTGGAAGGCCATCAACGTATCTTCCCTGCTGCGCTATCGCATGGGGTCTGATAACAGTGCTCTCCGGTAAGAGTAAACGATATATAGCACCGCTTCCAAGGAGTATGACTTTCGAGAATTGCGTCTTCGCTTCCCTCAGGGATAACTCAGGAGTAATTAGGGTCTATTTCTATTTACTACACGGACTGAACTCAGGTACTTAGTTTCACTGGGGCTCTTCTCTGTCGGTTCTTCCTTGGCGCTGTAGAAGCTGCGTGTACGTCCAATTCTCTTGGTTAAACGCAGGCGATGACCCTCTCCTCCGCATAGTCATGCCTGGCGCGTTGTTTCTCTTGTCGCGCTGGTATAAAAGGAGTACGTAAATCACCCGTCTTCTGAGATCTGGGGGACGACCGCAAGATGGATAACAGACGAGCTGGGTCTACGGGCGGCCATCCTCTTCTGCGGCAGCTTTGTTTCAAACGCCTTCGGGTCCCTGATAGCGTCGGGAATTTTAGATAAGATGGGAGGGAAGATGGGCGAGTCTGCTTGGAGGTGGGTCTTGCGCGATCGCCTTCACCGTCAAGTCCAACGCCCGTTAGATGGCTCTTCTTCATCGAAGGGGCTGTGACCGTTGTCATAGCCTGTCTGGGGTTCTTCATCCTTCCTGACTTTCCAAACTCCCCTACCCGATGGCTCAGCCCTTCCTTGCTGGCCCTTGCCGAACGAAGGATGCACGAGGAAGCCGGTACGACTGCCACGTCTATGTCGTCTCCTCGTAAAGTCGGCCACCTCGCCGGGCTCGTTATGGCATTGACGGACTGGAAGATTTGGTGGATCACTTCGATTATGACCCTGGGGCAACTCTCCTTTTCTTTTGTCATATTCTTCCCGACATTGACGAAGACTCTGGGGTACGATACTACGACGACACTGTTGCTCTGCGCCCCGCCATGGGTAGTCGCAACAATTATCGCATTCGCCGTCACAAGGTCTGCTCGTGCTCTTCTAAAACTAAGCTAGACGCTGACTGAACTTCTTGAGTGCAGGCACTCAGATATTGTTCACGAACGCTGCTGGCACAGTGTAGCCCCTGCGGCTACGGCCATGCTGGGGTTTATAATAGCAATGAGTACCATGAGCACGGCCGCCCGATACGTTGCATTGTCAGTGTTGACGCCTCTTCCATCGAGTCGTATGCATACACTGAACTCACACCTCTTCCGTAGGTTTCTCATGGCCGTCGCGCCTGTAAGCGGCATGTGCATCATGGCGTGGGCAATGTCATCCATCCAACCCGCAAACAAACGTGCAGTCGGAATAGCGCTCATAAACGCCCTATCTCAGCTGGCCCTCGTAGCGGGCCCGTAAGTCGATGCGCGTCTAGCACGTGTCCTGCATTCTACTGATTGTTTCTGTTTCTGGGGCTCTACTAGGTACGCCTGGGATCAAAGCTGGGGTCCGTCGTACGCTCGGTCCTTCGGGATTTGTCTGGCTGCGAGCGGGGCGAGTGTGATCATGGCCGCGGTCCTGCGACAGCACCTTGCTAGCCTGAACCGGAGGGAAGAGAAAATGGAACTCGATCGTGGGCAAGCGCACCCAGGGTTTAGGTACATGCTGTGAGGGGCGCATTCGTATGGAGCAGCATCACCCATCCTTGGCAAGTATGTAGTTAGAGGGCTGTATAACTTAGCTTGCTTGTATCATTACGGGACTTCCATCGGCTTCTTGTTTCGTGGCTCTTGCATAGCTCTTGCATGCAGCAGCGAAGGAAGCTGGGAACTGGATGCTGTTGAACGCATTCCCCGAATCGTTGCGGCAGCAAGGGCCATATGGTCGAGGCAGGTCATCAATAGACGACGAAATCATCATCTACCCCCCTCGGGAGGGAAGGAAGAGTAAGTGCTTAACGTCTAGCCCACAGCACTGAAGAGACGATACGTGACGCTGAGGTAAATAGTTGCCTGTTGGGTAAAGTGCTCCATCCACTTAATGCTTGCTGAATGCGAGTGGGGCCACGGAGGAAGAACCACCGATGATGATACCATATGTTTGTTGTGACTTGTGTCATATCCGAAAGAACACAGAAGAAACCCTTATACGCCCGAAGTAAGCAAGGGTCAAGCCGAAGAGCTAGAGGGCTGGACTTCGTAAGCTCTTCGTCCATATTGGACTATTATTGTTGAGAAGTAGAAGTCAACGAGTGACGAAGGGACCAACGAATAGACAAGAGTGTCGTCATCTGACCTGCATTTTGGTGCGGACTTCAGGTCGCGCGAGAAGACTCCGTACTGTTATGGTGGCAGATAGAAGCTATGCCGTAGACACGAACCTCACATACTCACTTCCTACGCCATCGTGTAGAGGAGAACTGCCATATTGCCGGGAGCTGGGGCGCTGGGGTTGCGAAGTGAGATCCATATTTTGGAACGGTAGGAAATCTCCGAAAGGACATATAAGACATCATTCGAAGGCCATGTTGTTTACAGTGGAGCCTTCCGAGGCTAATAGGTGCTCCTCGTCCGCATTGCCTCCGGGTGGAGGGTTCTATGAAATGATCGCCACTCGGACGGTGGCCTAAGACGACACGGAAGGAACATGTGGTACTCACACTCAGTTCGTTACCAAATCTCAACTCGTCAGTATATCACAGCCGTTCGACGTACAACGCCCAGCATCGCGTTGGCCATCGAACTGCCACCGGAGGTTCCGCGAATCGATCACGGCAAGTTATTACTTTGCACATAGACGTTCGAATCGAGCTCCAATGACGCTACTCCACATGTGGAACTTCTGTCGGGCATTTATCAATAGAGCCCCAGCCCCTGTAGCGGTCCACTCACCGATTGGCTTCCTATTTCCACACATAAGTTGAACTTCAAGTTCATAGACGCGTGCACCATTCTGCAATTCGAGAACTCCTCTGGGAGAATTTCCTTGGCAAATAGAACATCGTAGAATATCGAAGGAAGGGGAGTCTTGCTCGTGACGCGTCGTTTCGTCAATTGTGGAACGTGGATGGAGGCGTGGAGATTTCTAGATAGCTCCACCTGAGATCATAGCGGACTTTGAACCTCAAGGCGGACATCCATAGAAGGGAATATGGCGGGGTGACGAAACTCAATCCCGACTTCCAAGAAGGGGCTGAGCTCGAGGCGCATCTGAAAGCGAATGCCGATGAGTCGTTGGCGATATATCATCCAAGCGCCCCTCATAAGCCATTGGAGACTCGAACCCAACCTTCTTCACAGAGAAACCAACTTTCGCCCACCCTGTCCGCCCCTCACGATTTCCAGATGCCGCGTCGTGAACCGCGATAGCTTTCCAGAGGACTATGACCATATGTGGCGTGCTGCAGAGCAGAAAGTAGCTAGCGTGCATTTGGGGCAAATCTGGTGTGTTTCCTTCATGGCAGCATGTCACATGCTAACGCCGACGTTTGAGTAAGAGGGCTTGAAAACGAATGCATACCGTGACAGGTGTATTCGTGTCTGCGGCTCAACTTTCGTCCAACTCTCTTCTTGATGTTCTGATGGGCCTCTCTTCAGTGCACGATCGCCGGTCGACTCTTTGGGAACTCTGACATTTCCACACTATCTTTCGTTCGAAAGAGTGGCTACCGATACTGAACACTGGCGAGTGGTTCAGCTTGATTAGCACGCATATAAATGTAAGATGAACACGCGTTTAGAGAAACAATGGCTGACTCAACAATATTACCCGCTTCCGTATTCTTAAACGTGCGTCATGTTACCTGTGGTTTGACGATTCCGGCTGACGATTGTGATTTCTCATGGATGGGCCGATTTACTGCGTCAGAAGAACGCGGTGGGTTTACCAAGGTTCACCGCCCGAGGTACGAACAAACAAAAATACTACGATAACGGAAAACTCACGGAATGGCACTCGCCACCGTACTTCCGTCAAGTCAACGTACTTCCATTAAGTCAACTACGTCGAGCTCCAATTGCCAAGATGGTGCTAGTCCAATCACCACGAAGAACCTAGGCCCAAAGTCCAATTTTTCTGTCGAGGCTAGATGGGCTATACAGGGTGCCGGTGACGCTTGCAAGACCCCAATATCAGTCAGCTCGAGCAGCCAAAAATCCCACCGAAGGAAATGCACGGTAAAGGCTGCTTTCACCCACAATTCTGGCCCCGAATTTCCACTCCACCAAGCACGCCCCATCAACTTCGAGCCCCAAACGCTACTGAATTTAGTCACTCAGGTCGAACTAACTTGACGGTGCTCACTAAATCCCTACATGAATTACATGAAATGATATGGTATGTGGACTCCATTTTTACGCAGAGAAGCTGGCACCTAGCGTTGAAAGGAAGCGCTGTCCCGTGCCTTGGAGGTCGTATACGCATATGACGACATTTCGGACTCAGCGCCACAGCTCACAAGTCAATTACCGTCCTGAGCCTTCCGCCGATCCCTCCACTTCCCCGATATATATAAGACCCCTTCTACATTCTGGTCCCTCCCATTCCCACGCATGCATTCTGCTCTCAACGCTCGTATGAATTCCGTCCCAGGCATCGTCCCTGTCGCAGCCGGTGAGTGCTCGTCGTGTTCGACGTCGCTGAAACAGCTACTCAACGACTCTGGTAGCCGAGGCTAGCGGCAGCGATTCACCTACCCCAATTACCCTCGTACAAGCACCCACTCCACCAGTAGGTGGTCTGAATAGTCGTTAGCGCTGCCCCTCATTCCACTCATAGCAATCACCGACCATGACTTCCTCGGCGGCAAGGAACACCAGCACAACCCTTATTTCAGTCTCCACCTTTTTCTCGCCGAAGGCTAGGCACCAAGACATTCTCCCCCGCCTCGTATTCATATCATCAGACTCGGTACATTTCTACGTCCATCCCCACGTCCTTACGGCTGCTTCGACCAACGGCTTCAATATGCTTCTCGACGATGTCTTTCGACAAAATCAAGACGGGGACACCATGCCTCCCTCTCCCATGCCGGCCAAGACGATTCTCTTACATTCATCGACGCTAAACGTCATCCTCCATGCAGCTTACAACGCCCCTTGCTCGCAATTCGCCCCATCGACAGACACTCTAGTGGAAGCTATCGATCTTCTCCCGGAATACGGAATCGCCCCGTGTTCATGTATATACTCATCGTCGCCGACATCGCCGACTCCGTCACGGCTATACTCTCTTCTCTTGTCCCATGCTCCCTTCCACCCTCTTCCAATCTACACCCTTGCAGCTCACCATGCTCTCGAGGATCTGGCCATCGCAAGCTCGCAACATCTTCTCTCGACACAATTCCATATGGTCTCAGACCATGCTGCCATGCGAATGGGTCCGATATATCTCAAGCGCTTGGCATTCCTATTGCTGGGACGGGTGGAAGCCTTGAAGCGACTAATAGTGGAGCCACCACCGCTGCACGCGCCCACTGGTATGTGTAGTGGATTCGAACAGAAACGGTTAGCACGGGCGTGGACATTAGCAGTCGCCTCACTTGTATGGGACGCTAGACCAGGTGCATCTCTTTCCTCGTCCGTTCACCTCTTTCACGGGGATACTCCTTCCTCAACACATACTCTACGTTTACTAATGACGTTTCTTACGAGTAGATCTACCCACCTCGCTCATTGAAGCCACGCTTCGCCCTCTGGGAAACCATCTCGATTGCCATCTTTGCCAATATAATTTGCGTGATCGGATACGCGATGTGACAATGCATTGGTTAAGCGTCAAGGTGGGCCTAACCTTCACTGTTTTCGTTTTTCGCTGGAACGGATTCTGATGTACTACGGCCAAATATTGCAGCGGACGATATGATCGCCTCGTTTACTCTCCGCTTCTTTCACCTCCTCCGCTCCTTATCTACTTGCGCCCGCCCTAAGGTTTGAGATCGAGGCAGGTACTAAGCGAATCGGGTGTCGTCGCGGCCAAGGTCTCTGTTTCAACAACGCTGGTTCTCTGGGTTTCTACAACATCTTTTGTGGCGTGTCTATGGGTTTTTATATTCAACGGAGGCATTCGAACATATACAACACATGCAACATGCTTCACCGATAATTGGTCATTAGTCAATACTCAATACAACGGACGTATCGCAGATGCAGATGATGTAGACAAAAGATATACACTACAAATTGTGTTGTATTGTACTTGGTTACTTATTGCGAGTCTATGCATGCCGATTCTTTGGTGCTAATATCAGCGATACAATCGCGGGTGTCATTTTTGCCGCGTAGGACCTGGTTGATTAGGGCAGGGTATACCATATCGACTTTGTAAGCCAACGGTATACAGCATTGTGGTTATCCGTTAGCTTCTCAAAGGTCTTTGGCTCAAGTTTTGGGGGGTTTTTAGGGTCTGGTTTGAGCGATGCATCAAGACCAACGAGAGTTCTGAGAACCAAGTCCGAAGGCACAGACTTGACGCACCGGAACCATCTACATCCTCCTCCCATTGGCTCCCAAAGCCTAAAGGCATTCCCACTTTTCGAGGTCTAGTGGCATGCCGCTTTAAGTTTCAGCGTCGGCGATCACGGGGAGTGGTGTAGGAGGTTTTGCGGGCATGACAGTGGAGGAACTGGGTTTGAGCAAGTCGAGTTTGCTGATCATGAATGAGGCTGGACCGACTGTAACCTCCCGCACGCGTCACCATTGTGGACTGTAATGCGGAAGCTTCGAGATCGTGCTGCGTCCAATCGCTGGCCGACTTGGCAGCGCGAATGAGGTTGGCCATGGTTGGTTTCAATGCAATTACGAGAATGAAATGCAATGAAGGCTCGTTACTACGAGCTTCGAACTTTTCTACGGACATGCTATAGCCGCTGCAGACGATAAAATCAAGACTGACCCTCCTCCTCAGTCGGTGCGTAACCGATCGTCCATAGGAAGCTTCGGTTGCGAAAATCAACACCGCGAAAGCCATCAAAACTGCTCATGACGAGTTCTGGCCACAGTCTGTCCATCATTTATCCGCAGCCGTTCTTCATGTGGAGGATTTAAGGAAGGGAAGCTCAAGGCTGATCTAAAGCCTATGATAATCAAGCCGACTATTGGTAGCTTCTAGCTCAGACGCTCGCGGCTGAGTACAGTGCGTGTTTCATCCATCTTGATTCTCGCGATGCCGTTGGTTCTATTTTGATAAGGAACAAGGACACGCATAGTTTATGCTACATTGCGTCTCGGTCGCTACTTTTGTTTTCTGAATGAGGCGCTCCGCAGCAACAACACCACCCCGTCCGAAGAGAGAACATAATTATGTCGCACATTATGGGGCGTCGGTTTGAGGATACCCGATAATCAATAATAATGCGATCGAGGCGTCGGGCTTGACAACGGGAAGCAACAATTGCGTTGTCTTTCCCGAATGAGCGCCTCATTGTGGGCGTACTAATCCGTGGTCGCACACTCAGCTGTCGAGGCATTCAAAAGGACAAACCCAGTGTCTGCAAACGGCTCATCTCAACCCAACACATCCTACACAATGCAACACTACATATTCACAACGAAAGACATCCGCAACACCCTCATCAAGTCCGCCACGGACGATACTATCAAGTTCACCGTCTCCACAACATCAGTCGAGGAGAACAACTTCAAGCCAAAGACGGAGATTCGGCGCATGAGTGAAAAGGCCCCGCTGGCCGTCGTTATCCACTGGGATGACCGGATCTTCGAGATTGAGGGGCGGAAGTTGAGCTTTACGACGACGAAGGTGCATCCTTCGGTATTATTCTCCCCTACTACGTACGTTGAAATGTTTGGTTGTTCGTACTTCATGGTACTGATCCTGTGGTATGATTCAGGGAGAGGATCTGGCGATGGGATGGAGAAGCGTATTTAGTTGACTATAGAAGGGGGAAATGGGAGGTTAGTCTAATCTCGCGAAGTTGTCTGATAGCATTGAATTGATCCCGTCGTTCTCCAGGTTAAAACGGAGCTCGGGAAAAAACACGCAGCTGCATTCACCATCCAATATAGTCCTCTATTTCGCGCCGAGCAGCCAGCATCCATGAAGATAGAGTCCTTTGCAGAGCAAGACACGCTATTCTTCATTCTGATGTTCATATACTCGGAGTTCAAGCGTCGGGACGAGGTGAGAACGGTCTATTCAGCGTCCTTCGAAATTTGCTGACGCCGGTGATTTTCCTCGTTCGATAGCTGGAAAGTGACTCCGACAGCGAATGATCCGCGTGTAAACACAGACGCTCTATGATAGATACTAGCTGCTGAAGTTTCATAATTACTGGAGATCGAGGATTTGCAAATTAATAGTAGCATCGCGATAATGATAATAATGGGTCGGTCGTACCTCAAGATTACGCTATTTTCAGTTGTAGGCACTATTGCATCTTCGGAAGCGCAAATCATGATAGTGCTACCGTGTCGAAATCCAACCATTAAATGTGCGCGGCACATTCACGGAAAAGAAATAACGGAGGGTCATTTCTAGGAATGGATCGAGAAGCTGAACCTTGTGTAGCGCACGTCAACACTCAGGCAATCAAAGGGTAGATGAAATTCTGACATACATCAGGTCTTCAACGCTTCGAGGGGAGGGAAGTCTGGGGTATCCCTCCGATTACCATGATGGACGACTGGTGGTGATACGAGAGACAGGATCTTTCTGTTTTTACAAATGTCCTTTCAGTGAATGTGGGAATGCATACTCCCACGATCACAGTTTCAATTCCGATAGGTATCCTCACTACCATGATCGGGATTCGGTACGTACGACGATGTCTAAAATTGCCTCCAACTCCAGGTCGTCGTCAAATTGGCTAGCCTTGAAAAAAGTATGTTGTGGACTTGCTCTGATATATGTACCATAAACCGATTGCATGTAGACGCTCCCTACGAAGTCTAAGGACGGAAAGAACAAAAAAGTCAAATCTCATAAACGCCAAAAGACGGAAGATGGATCGCCGCCTCCTGAAGCTGGACCTAGTCGTATAACTCTCCACTCTACACCATCTGCTCCGCTAGACCCCCTCTCAACAACAGCAGGAGATTTGAAGTCTTCGTTGAAAGCCATGGTCCTGGGCGACATACCATACTCCGACCTCCAAAAACAGTGAGTACGCATTATATTTGCCTACACGATTGTGTTCAGTGATAAACAGGTTATCATAGACCAGGGAAATATCTTGCTCTAGATTGCGAGATGGTTGGCGTCGGGATAGATGGATCGGAGTCTTCGTTGGCGCGGGTTAGCTTGGTTAACTACCATGGCGCGGTGCAGCTGGATGAGTTCGTTCGGCAGCGGGAGCGTGTCGTTGATTACCGGACCCAATATAGTGGTGTCCGAGAGCGCGATATGGTCAAAGGTGCTATCCTCTCCACCTGGGCTCGAGCGGTCCCCTGATGATCATCATAGCCAAACCATTCGAGGAGATTCAAGCCCAAGTAGCGGAGCTACTAAAGGATAAAATACTGGTCGGACATGCCGTTTTTAATGACTTAAAGGTGCGTTTTGATATCATATCATTTTGCATGTCTCATTTTCTTCCTAGGCGCTATTGCTTTCGCATCCCAGACCGCAGACTCTCGACACGCAATACTACGCATGGAAATTTAAAATAACCAAGAGCAAATACATCGCTCTTCGGAATCTCGTAAAACAAGAGCTCGGGCTAACGATACAAGGCGGCGAGCATTCTTCCGTGAGCCATGAGTTGCCTGTAACACTTCGATCCGATTGTAACGTGTAAGGAATAGGTCACCGATGCTCGTGCTACTATGGCCGTCTTCCGTCTGTATAAGCGAGAGTGGGAGAAGAACTTGCGTCCAGCCACCGCCTCGAATAAGAAGAAACGCAAACGGGGGGCCGACGATGAGGGAACTGATGGCGAGGATACGGTCAGTGGCCATGGGGTACCCACCAACGGTCCTCCATCGAAGGCGCAGTTTCCTGGTGGCGGAAGGAAAGGGGTGAGTTCTGGCTTGTCAACCATCGTTCGTGTTGGTGCGTCCACTCAGAAGACCAAGCAAGGATGGTGGAAAGACCTTGGTGGGAAACTGAAAAGATGATATGTTACTCCTTTACTCGTTCATAGCAGTCCGAACGTTTATGAGTAAAAACTGAACATAAGTAAAGTAGCCTTTTGTGAGCTCTTTTGGGTCCCGCGCGACGATGAACCGACGATGGACAGGAGCGGGGCACGTGCTGTATTGGCATTGGTCCTTTCGCACACTTCCCACAACCGCCACGCTCACCTCGTCACTTCACCACCATGTCTACCACCGAGTAGGTCTTCCCTTCATATCCAATTCCGATACAAGTGAACCTGACACTAGCTGTTGCAGCACTCCCAGGGACCCGTCACCTCCAGCAAATGAGGACTCAAGAACTCCAACGCAGCAAGAAGCCAGGAAGCGGCCCCGACTGAACCTCAATGCAGATAGTGGAAGAGAACGAAAACGCGGTAAAAGCATGTTTGGTATCTTGCTTGGAACCCTAAACAAGGCCAAGATCGAGGATAAAGAGCGCAACGCGAGCGAAGCCGTGAGTTCAACAACATTTACCGTCTATTGTTTGTCTGTGTGATAGCTGACTGTGATTGCGTTCGAACACTAGGCTAAGAAGCGGCAATTGATAGAAAAGAGATTGCAAAGTAAACTTCAAAAGGAAACCGATTCTGTTAGGAGAGCCGAAGAGGCGAAGAAAGACAAGACCTCCGCGACGAGGAAAGAAGAAGAGCTGCAACTGAAAGATTCTGTGGTGCGTGGCTCTCGTTACTACAATATCTTCAGTGCAATCTTACCCTTGGGTCGTAGTTCAAACTTCGCAGGAAGAGACTGCCACTTTTAGCCAATTTTTTGCTCACTTCGGACGTCATTTCAGCGGATGCCTCTCTATCATCCAACCCCCTTGCCCCTCCTCCGCGTACTCATCCGCCGCCACTCTATTATCTCCCTGCTATTCTGACTCCGGAACAAGAAGCCTTCCTTGCGCGCCGTAGATCAGAGGTCCGTGTATCCGGCGTATTATTTTCTACAGCTTATCCAAGTTTGCCGTATAGGTTTCGGCCGCGGCAGAGAAAGAATGGCAGGAGTGGAAAACGCAGCGGGAAGAAGGCGTGGAAGAGCTCAAGCAAATGCGGCAACGCGTTGCAAAGGAGATCGATCGAACAAAGGACAAGGACGAGGAGATGGCTGCTGTCGATGATGACGAGAAGAAGGCCGGCGAGAACTTGCAGGAAACAGCTCCCACTGAGCCAATCAAAAGCCTCGCGGAGGACGTCGAAATGGAGGTCGATGATAGCATAACTGATGTAAAGTCAGGCAACCAAACCGAGCAACCGAAGAAAGACGAATCTGTGACGATGCAAGGGGACGATGATGATGCTGTGGAATATTGAATGTTCAAGGTAGTATCCCATTCGCATCCACGTTTATTGACCATTCCCGTACTGTACGGATGTTTTTTCTTTAGTTGCCCGTTTGTTGTCTATACTTGTGCGTGCTTCTCTCATTTATTGTTATCACCCTTACTCGCAGCTGATTTCTGTCCACCTTGTAGGCCATTTATCCCCGCATTGTAACGTACGTGCAGCCTCGGGCTTTCTGATCTATTCGGCTTTCGCAAATTTCGGTTGCCATGGTACAAGTACATCTATGATGAGTGATCGTGTAATCTAGCGAAGACCTCAAGCGTCTAATTCTGCACAGCAATTCTACAGCAATCGACGAGTATAAATTCGTTGTCCCGTATATCTGATGAAATACTATTGTCCCCGTTGCGAGTTCAAGGATGAGTGTCGTGGACGCTGACGCTTGTTGTTGTTGTTGCCTTGCTTGCGCGTGTCTTGCTCGTGAGTACTTTATCTGTATGGTGTTCGCGGATGGTCTTGCTGAATATATTCAGCGTTATGTAGCACGCCGTTCTTCATGAGTTGCTGTAGTGTAATGCTTCCCATTTTGATACAAGTCCGAAAGCTGACGTCAAATAGCGCCTTGGCTTGAGTCGGCACTTTGAAAACAACAATATGCAAGAAGACGCGGCGCGCGAAGCCGAATTATTCCAGGTTCAACCCCAGCAGTCCGCACTGATGGAGTCTACTCCTTCGCATCCGTCGCGTTCGAGTAATCCACAACAAGGGGTAGGTCTTGGCTTCTGCACCGTCCACTTCATGCTCATATACGATGTAAACAGGATAGAACGCCCGCGACTGGTCACGGGAGAACACCAAGCACAACGAGAAATAATGATGAGGTCCCAACAGCGTCTGCACGGCCGGACACTATTGCGACCTAGATGATAGACAATGATACCCGCGTTCTATAGTAACTACCTTGTTCAGTACTCAGTACTCAGTACTTGACCGCACACGATGGTGGAGCTCGTGGAAATGAACAACGACCCCTGTGCGGGAATGTCATACGGATACTTACAAAAATAGAGCGTATGTTTGCCTCTTGCCCATCAAACTTCACCATGGATAGTCTGCCTTCAACGACAAATGTGCTAGCCCGATGGCACCACCCTCTCCACCCCTCCATTCAGAAGCACTCGTCCGGGAACGCCCTTCCTAAGAGTGTCAGATCCTTCATTCACCCGACACATGCCGTCTTTCATAGCCCGGATCATGGGAAATTGAACTGGACATCCCGAAGCCATCGCAAAAATCGATATACAGCGCACACGCCTGCCTCAAAAAAATCGCGGCACGCCCGACGTTTCTGGCATGGAATAGGACATATGAGCCGGCTGGAGTACTGGAACATAAGCTGGTGGATTGCGATCGTAAGTCTGGCCCTCGGTCCCAGCAACCACTTCTTCTAGGACCAAGAGGCCTGACAATGTAGAACCTAGCTATTCACCGTTGGGAGTATAGTCTGGGTTGTGAATGGGTTCTTCGTGTTTCTTCCGTCCGCTGACCCTGCGGTCGGTGAGTTTCCGAACGCTGCGGGATGGACAGCGTTCGTGGGCGCTTCGATATTCGAGATAGGGGCTCTGTTTGGGGTATGGGAAGCCTGGAACCGGGATGACGCTGCGAATTTTGGATGGAGCATCGAAAGGACTCTAACCACGGGACTACGACACGCATCTCCCAGTTCGGACGATTCGCTCAATCCCAACCCAAAATTACCCAAGCGCCAGTGGAAGTGGTTTACCACCGACCGCAAATATTGGCATGAACTTGGGTTCTTGGCCGCCTTCGTGCAGTTCTGGGCTGCTACTATATTCTGGATTAGCGGGTAAGTCTGATTCAGCCGCGCTATTCCTCACCGCTGCATTGACTGAACGTGATCGCAGATATACGAGCATACCAACAATACAGAATAAAATTCAAAACAACACTGGCTTACTTGACGGTGTTTTCTTTACGCCTCAAGTCGTAGGCGGTTCCGGATTCATCATAGCGTCGTGAGCCGCCCGTTCTGCATCCGTAGTTCGCTAATCAAGTCGTTGCAGAGTCCTTTTGATGCTGGAAACGCAGAAAAGATGGTATGCACCATCAATTTCATCTCTTGGCTGGCAGGTTGCATGTAAGTGGCCGTTGACAGAATCTTACCACTCGTTCACCTACGGTTACTAGTTTGGAACTTCGTTGGCGCCATCGGGTTCACGCTCTGTGGTGCTCTTGGGTATGCTGCGGAAGTAAACAGCGGCGCCGAGTATCAAAGCAATCTTTCGACGTTCTGGGGAGGGTGGGCATTCTTGATTGGAAGTGTATTTCAATGGTATGAGAGCGTCAATAGCGTCGCTACGGACGGAAAAAGCTACTCGGAAAAGTCATGACACGGACGCTTAGTTTATCTAATATCTTCTATGAATATGGGTCACCAATTGTATTGAGATATTCCCGACAAGAACAAGGCATTACTGAGTGCCAGTAGGCAATGCATACCAATGGCTATGGAGTGAGTGTACACTACATATATATATATAAGAGTTACTCATTCTATCGTCTGATGTCCAGACTTTGTCATCTCCAAGGTGACTCCGCAGATGCCCTCCAAGCTTCACACTCTTGGATTAGAATTATTCCAGAGACTACGGGTCGTAGTTTAAAGGACATGGATGTGATTTTCGGGTCTGTTACCGTGCACAACAAAAACATTCGACTGGCGAAAGGTATGTATCGTGTTACATTTCTGTGTACTCTAGGGTTTTACCATGATTTCCCAAGCTCTGAATGAGTTTTGAAAGCTTGAAGTCTAGACTATGTACTATCGTGTTAATGCTACGGGTCCTGGGATGGTACATCTTGGGAAGATGCACCCCCTCTTGCAGCTACGCTGGGCGGGATGGCCTACTACGTCCTATATTTGGCAGGACGTGACGAAGACGGAAGTAGCTCTCAACCATCACCGTCAATGTGGGGCTCGATTAGTGCTACGGCTCTAGTAAATGCTTGGTATGAGGTATCGCTCCTTGATGACACCGAACCCCTTCAATTTCCCCAAGCTCCTCACCATATCTTTTGTAAGTGAGGGACCGACATAGTAGGCATAAACAATAAGCATAGAAAGTACTTAGAGGTTTCTACTCACGCCAAACCACACAATAATATAATTCTTTGTTGATTCAGTTTTTCGGCATGGTCCCCAGCGGCAGATCGCACAACGTGTGTGAGGTTACGCACGGATGTGCAGACATCTCAGCCTCTGATCCTATATTTCTTCAAGTAGTCTGCTTCCTCATTCCTGTCTGCGCGTGCGCCTGCAACAAGGTTTGACCGATGAAAGCTCCGACAGGAGTCGGGATTACCTTGCAAAGTGGATCTGGGCGTAGTAGAAGGGATATATATGATTATAGATACATCAGAGCGATTCAGCGTCGCAAACAGACTGGTTTCCAAGCGCTGAGCTTGGGAGTGACCCGCCTAATTCTTCGAAGGGATAATTGGTTGTAGGACGGGTTGCTTGACGTAGTTACCGGCCTGACGAAGGTAGGCATTATAGTCAGTGCCATCACCCTGGAACCCAAATCAGCCAAGTGAAGTGTGATATCACAAGTGAGCAATGATTAAAACGCACGATCATGTTATGTGGGAAGCCAGGATCAAAGGGAACAATGCTCTCCAAGTATTCAATTTGATCCTTGCTTAACGCGATATTGAGAGCTTCGATGTTGGCTTTGAGGTGCTCAACCTTCCGACCGCCGATGACTGGGAAGACGAAGGGAGTCTTCTGCATCACATACGCGATGGCAACTAAATTCACTGTTAGAAGGATCAACTTCAAGGGATCGAGCGGTCATACCAGCAGAGACATGTTCGGTGCCAACCTCCTTGGCCACTTTCTCCAATGCATGGGAGGCCTTGATTTCTACTTCTGATCGCGTCCACTTGCCACCAGCAACGTAGAAAGTCCTGCCCCCTTCTCCCGACTCTTGTCGCTTCCGTTCTTCCTCATCGGAACGAAGTCTACCCTGAGCCAGGACGTTCCATGGAGCTAGAGCCATTCCTAGTGGTTCCGCTGGCTGAGTACAATTTTCATGGTGGGTACAGGCGCAGGACACTTGCCTTCATCCCGAGCCATGGGGATTATGTCCCGCTCGAAATCCCGCGAAATAACGTTCCAGGCGCCTTGATAGATGACGAAGGGGGTTTTACCGTTGTATCGTGCGTATTGATTTGCCTTCATGACGACCCACGCAGGGGCATCCGAGATTCCCTACGAGTCAACCTTAGTAGGCAACGAAACGTAGACGATAAGGATAAATACGGACCAGATACAAGACCTTGCCCTGCGCCACGAGATGGTGAAGACCATCCATGACTTCTTCGACGGAGGTGGCGTAGTCCCAGAAATGGACATAAAGGATGTCGATGTACGTTGTACGCAACTTCTTCAAGCTCGCCTCGACGCATACGTGAAGGTTCTTGACTGAGTTACCGTTGTAGTTGATCTTGATGTCGATTTTATTGTCCGTCGTTTTGTAAGGCGCGCTGTACTATATTGACAGACATGTTACATCAGAGATTGAGTTCCCTAAAGGCATCATAGAAAACCTACCTTGGTTGCGATAACGAGCTGATCGCGGATTCCCCTCTGCTCGGCCCATTCACCAATGAACATCTCTGATGTTTCGTCTTGGCTACAGGAAAAAGTTAGCCGACGGTTCATCTGGTAAAGGAAGGGACACACTAGCCGCAGGCGGTATCGATGAAATTGCCACCCAGGTCAAAGTAGGTATCCAGGAGCTTGAGACTGCTTGCTTTGTCCATGGAGCCCATGCCTTTGTCCGCCCACTTTTCACCGATGCTCATCGCACCGAGCTGAAGGGGGGAGACATGCACGCCAGCACGAGAGGAGAGGACTCTGTACTCTCCGAGTTTCGAAGGTGGTGGTGGTGCGTTAGACATCGTGTTGGAGTATCTTTTCTATCGAAGCCATTGTCAGTAGGCTTACTTATATACAGGTTTCAATTGAGTATTACCACATCACTTCTGACAAGAAAATCAGAGAAACTTCTGCCGAGACGCAACGCGTCCTCGCAAGGATACGATACATATCATGCGGCCAATAGAGAATGGGGGAAATTGCCCGTCGAAGTTCCTGACAAATAGTTGATAGTGTCATGAGCGTAAAGTACAATTGTATATTCAATAAGTACTTGCGTGTCTCTACGGCAAGCCGTGGCATTGCAACGATGATGTTGGTGATTAATTACGCTGTGGCCCCGTCGAGTGTCAAGGAGTTATTCATATTTCAAGCTGGAGCCTCCATGGTCCGTCAAGGATATTGTCCCCTTCGTTATCAAGGAAGAAGGAAGTACCAACAACGGCGGCATCGCATTCGAAGGAAAAGGGGGGTGGGAATACTCGAGATAGGAGTCAGGAGTAGTTGGTTTGTAATGTCCAACGTTGGCACACATTATTGACAACGAGCCCATCACAGATGGCGCCCAAGCCGCCTCAGACATCGAGCAAAGCCCAGAACCGCTCAAATCTTCCATCATCGTCGATAAATAATTCGAAACGAGGCCCAGCGAAGCAACCTTTGCCAACATCGGAGAGGTTGAAGCGACTATTCACATCACTCTGCGCCCAAATCGACGGTGGTCATTTCAGCAACGCTATCAAAACCTGCGATAAAAGTGATTTTTGCCCACTTTCTTGAATATCCACTCGCTGATTGGACTCGATAGTCTTGCGGTTGGAGCCTACTGACCCCGATGCTCGCCAGACGAAATTGTTCTTGTTACTTCAAACAGAGCAATACGACGCGGCCTTGGAGCTCATAAACTCTGGAAAGGACGAAATACGATACGCCTTTGAGCGTGCGTACTCGCTTTACCGCTCGCAACGGGAGTCAGAGGCTGCGGAGCAATTGGAGGCGCTTGGTGAGGGGGGCCATCGAGGCGTGGTTCATCTCGAAGCTCAGCTTGTACGTTCCCGATATCCATACATTCACCCCGAACTTGAGCCTGATCTTGAGACGATGTGTTAGAACTATCGCCAAGGATCATATCAGACCGCCTGTGATCTATACTCGCAGTTGCTGGATACATCCGATCCAGTCAGTTCTCCTTCGTGTTCAGCTTTAGTCCGTCTAATAGAAAGGTAGCACTCCGAAGAACACTCCGACGTTCTCACAAACTTGCAGGCGTCACAAAGTCACCTTGACTTCATTAATTCGGCATTTCTCCATGTGCTGGGCACATTGCCATCCTCACTTGCCAATTCTCTCGAGTCCTCTCCACCCCCGTCACAGCCCACACCAGCGATCAAAGTATCTGTACCACCACTCTCGGTGGAGTCGCCCGAGGCTCATGTCAAGGACGCTCCCAAGAAGCCCAGAAAGTCCCGGGTCCCACCCGGCGTTGTTCCTGGTGTTACACCCCCACCCGATCCAGAACGATGGCTCAAGAAAAGCGAGAGATCGACTTTCTCCCAAGGTCGTCGCCGAAAGACCGGCGCTGGCGGGGCAACACAAGGAGCCGCCAGCGTCGATGTTGGGGCCAGTATATCTACGCCAAAGGGAACAGGCTCGAAGGGTAAGAAGAAGAAATAGGACACCCTTACGCGAGTGAGGTGAGCTGTCGTAGTCTAACTCATGTCCTCCCTGCCTTTGCCATCATGTTTACTTAATGATAAAACAAGATAACTAGAATTTGACTTACGTGCCTTTGGAAGGTGTTTTCACGAAGTCAACAATACCGAACATTTTGTCAATGCATAGCAGAATTCTATCACTGTACTTTAGCAGGGGGAGGGTTGTACCGCCACGTTGAACGTTAGCTCGTCATTGGTCGCGCGGTGTGGCTTGCCATTACGGACTCGTCGGAGAGGATTCTGTCGATGGGGACATTTTCAAGGCCGCTCGACATCGGTCACCGTTCTGCAGTATCGTCACTGTCATTTCTGGTCGTTGAGAACTTGAGCTCATCCGCCACTCGCTGCCAGATACCTGTGGAATATCGATTTCCCCTAACATCCCCGTCTGTTAACGATTTCTCATGAATTAGGTTCAATTTCGTCTAAAAATACTTGCGCGTGATGCAACTCCACAATGTCAACATTTACTTCGCACCCTCGGTGCGTCATTTATCCTTGCCGTACCGACATACCCCAGGCTTCTTGTTGTTGTATCCATCAAGTTCCCCCCGGAAGTGGAATCAGTCTTACGTTGGTATATCTGTACTGCGAACGAAGTTGAAACGCAGCGACCGCAGCGCGTCGTGCTCGCCATTCCTTTTGGCTACCGAACTATGAGCCTGCGCATCCAAGGACCTGTCGATTTCAGTCGATACCACGCAACAACTGTGTTCGTATTCTCCATCGGCAAAAATCACTTGAAATTGGGAGTGGATGAATTTGGGTAAAAGGTGACCTCTAGTGAACAGCCACGCTGAGTGTCCCAAGGTTTCTTCCGATCAAGAGACCGGAGGGGTATAGATTTACGCGGACAATATATCGTGATTCCTTACCGCAGGTATGCAGCTGCCACTGTTCAAAAAGAGGATAAATAACATAACAAATGTTGAGTTTCGACACGCACATCAGAACGTCTACAGGTCGTAGCGTTTGCTGATAGATTTGTATCATCCCCTTCGCAAAGGTGGTCGTAAGCCTTTGGTAATCCTTTGACTGACTGGGGTTGTTTCTCTGGACTCGGCTCAATCTTCCTCTCCTCCGGAGCTCCTGATCCCTACTCAATCATCACGATCTGTTGCCCAGTTCTGATGACGGGAATTGCTGAGCAGAGAGCATGCTTAACTGAGAAGCGAAGTCTCCCCCAATACCCAGCGCAGTAAATCACTAGAATCGACGGGCTGACATACCAGTGGCACGTAGGATGGATGCCAAAAGGTCACGTCGAGAGTGCAAGTATGAATTTGGCATGGATCAGAACGACATTGTATTATGCCGGAAGAGCCTGGATCGTTAATATGAGTGTGGTGGAAGAAGAACTAATTCTACTTTGCGTTGTCAAAATTCAAGTCAAGGCGCTTGAGACTGTGTGCCACAGGAATGGAATGGTGAATACACGTTTGGTGGTGGCGAGGCCCTTAAGTTCGTTTTGACAATGCTTCTGTACGGTTGATGCAGTGTTGCATAGTGGATGTTTCTAGCGGCGTACGCGCAGACGTAAACTACCTTGGAACCAGTCAATGCACGCCGTAATTATACTGTATAGACGCACAACCCATGATTACCGTTTGATTTAGACACGGAACCTCGACAGTGGCTTCTGGCTGAAGAAGTCCTTGGGCGGAGCAAGGGCCGGATGCCTTCAGAAGGCGATGGAACAAGCTTGCTGTACTGCAGTGGGAAAAATCGCGGAGAGCAGTAGGGCTCTATTCGGGAGGTATACCTGTAGTGATGAATTTGCGAGCTCCTAGTACGCATCCATTGCAGACGTACTAAAGATCCTTCAGGTATTTTGCGTCAGCTGAGAGACGATGGTTGGCCGGAGGAAATGAACCTACGACTTCACACCATCTTAGACACTAGACAATATTTCTGCATGTAGTAAAGTGGCCCGGATGACTTGTTGACAGTGCTGTCGTTCAAGTTGTGTTGGCATGGATGAGTGCGAGTCTCCCGCGCACGCCGGTGTATGTAGACTATAACCAAGTCGGCTCTGGATTCCACGGAGGAAGTCGCTGTCAGTATGGAAGATGTGGTGTATAACAGGAAGGAACTCAGCTAGGTCGCCCGTTGCCTGAGCCTCGAGGCTCGTGAATGTCAGGATGAGAGAGAAAAGACAATTGCCAATTGCCATCAGCAAAAGATTAGCGCGTGGGTAGAGTCAGGCATGCAAGCTGTAAGTAGAAGCGGACCCCTGTTATGTCGTCGCTGAGATGAGTTGTCATTTCCCTGCCGTTAAAATGGTTCAAACGTTCATGGGTGCATGACAGGTGCCAATGGCGCGCACTGAACACTGGCATCAGAACTGCAAAATGAGAACATAGGATATGTCAAATTTCAATTCATCCTGAAAGAGATTCAACGGTACCTTCGGACAATGTAGTTGACTTGAGAGGAACTTGGACATGATCCTTCGTGGTTAGCGCCGACGGCGTCAGCGGAATCGACCAGAGGCTTGGGCGCGCATTGACTGAAGAGCACCCTATTTCGAATTTCGTGTCTGCCCATCGCGCATAGACGCCTGATGGCAATGAACAAGTCGCCTTAAGACATGTCTTAGCGCTTGAAGCAACCGAAATAGAGCGCCTTAGAACTCTCAAGTAGGCGCCAGGCAATGCCCCTTCTCTCACCAATACAGATGGTGTTGATCGGTGGGAGCCATCCCAGTGTTGGGTTATGATCGAGATATCTCGGACTCGGATTCCATCACGGAAACGACCCCAGCTCCTCCTCAAGAATCCGTAGCTCGAAGGATGCACCGTGTAAAGCAACGGCCAGATTCTCTTCGTCTGATGTAGGATTTCACATAGCCACCTATGCGCTAAAATGCGAAACTCGATTGACCGCCTAGGTCCGCCATCGGCGAGACCATCTTCCGACTGTGATGACGATGTAGATGGACGAGGTTGAAATTCGAAACGTGGAGTCTTTTCAGAAATGACATGGCTGTAATGGCTGTAAAGCACCCCGCTAACCCTGTATGTAGCAGCCTTAATTCAGGTATGCACCGCGAGAAATCGACTACTCACCTCCGGACTTCATGACATATTCTTTATCGGTGCAATATCGTATGGCCGACGCCGTGGTCAAGAAAGGGGCCTAAGGAAGATGTCGCTGAGTGATTCGATTAGGCTTTGTTATTGAGATTGATCGGCTGTAGTACCGTAATGATTTGTTTGCCTCAGGCGAAATACCAACGCCGGAGGCAAGGACCCTATCATGTGATGGAGAGCTATATTTCGAAGTGTGGGACGGTTCCGGATTCTTTAACGCGATAAAGAACGAGAACAACGGAGTCATTGAAGTCATTTAGTCCAGAGAGAATACTCCAAGCGCTACTACACCAATTTGGAGAGGAGTGAGAGCTTGAAGCACCGTAAAGGGACCAGAAGGCCTTCCAGAATCCAGATATCTGATACCAGGTCGATAGACGCTCTCCATGCGAAGCCCGTGGTAGGATCTGAAAATAGACCGAGCTTTGGGTTTAACCACATTGAGAGCGAAGCAGGAACAAAGACATAATTGACGGTGATCGTTCACCGGAAAGATACGCGAGAACACTGGAAATATGGCGGCTAACCGATGCGTCAAGCGCTGTAAATCCATCAATTATAGAGAAGGGGTGGCCATTGGACTTTGGCCTGAAAATGGGGTTGTTCTACTAACCGAGTCGAAGATGTCGGGGCGCTGAGAGATCATGGGCTCGTTGCTCTATTAAACGACAAAAGCTGTTACGGGGACCGCATTTGATCCAATTCATCGTCCGCGGCTATATGACAAGTGACTTCAAACATGACCAGACATACCTGCCAAGCGCCAGCGGGGTAGTAGCTGTGGTTACAAGTCGAAACTTGGTCAAAACGCTCGGAGATTTTAGATACCGTCTTTCCAGGCTTGTCGCAGATGACTGAGCGATACGCGGTGGGCGGAATACTAGCATTTCAATTCCCAATGGCAGTTGCTCTCGTCGTCTGTGCTGCATGCGGTCCTGGGTCAAAGTCCAACTCGCTGAGTTAGCGCTTGTTGACAAAGTCACACAAACAACTTCGGAAGCAAACAGGCCACAATACGTATAGACGACGCGAAAATTTCCCTCAGTCCTTCTCACCTTTTCCCCTTCAACGTCAACGATGGCCACAATATGTGAGTATCTTTCGTGTTTTCTATCGTGATGATTTCTTGCCGCCCCAGTCGTAGCGTCTACGCTTTGACGAATGGCAGAGCACATAGCCAAACCGTTGCACCACTGATTTTTGTTCCCTGCTTTGTTTTGAATCTTATACTGACTTGGCTCTTGCTAGGCGACCACGGTGACTGATCCACTTCCACTCGATACTGGCTTATCTGCAGGGATCACCTCATGGATCGACAGTGAGTGCAACCTTCTCTTTTCGTCTTTCGGATGACAATCTCTATCACCATTTCCGGAGCTTATGCGATGGGGAATACTTTCATAAAAACTAAGAACAGCCAACTGAACCTTCGTTTTCCGGGCTAGTGATTCTTTGATGAATGCTGATGCTTGCCCCCAGAGAAACACTTTTGATGCGCTCGGCGATCCCGGCACTCCCTGCTTCGAGCACCATGAGGTCGGCAGGTTCCCCGTGGTCGGCATTGTCACCTGTACCCAGCCGACTACTTGTGGTAAGGTACATTCTCATCTTCGTTTCCCTCGTCGCTACGCGCGTCATGAGGCTCTTCCACGCATGGGACCAATTTTCGCATGGTCCTATGCATAAGTATTAGCCTGTTGTTGTCGTAGACAATGAGAAATGAAAATAACATACCTTTCACATTCACCTTGGAGATCATCGTGCGGCTTGTAGCATTGGCACTTCGTCTCAGGTTTGTTCTTTGCAGCCGAGGAGCGATGATTTGCCACCGACAATCGTGTGTGAGGATTGTCAGGGATGGCTCGTGATCAGAACGAATACAGCAGGGGCAGCGTGTGTCGTTATGATCGATGATGCAACCAGAAGCCCACAGCGAGGACTGTGGCGTCTATAAGAGGAATGCCTTCGCTCTACCATCATGCCCTCCCACTCGCTTTCGACGGCTACTGGGACATACTGGCCTCGTTACCGGACACGATGTCGAAGCTCGTTTGGTCGCTCACCAAGGGTCTCCTAGTCTCCAACGCGCTTTTCGCTTCTCTCGGATATGTTGACGGACAGCAAGGGGTGGCAGCGCAATATCTCCTGGGGTTGGGTGAGTCATATCACGTCTTGTGCTACAGGCGCGACCGTCGGCTGATGCAGGCTCCTCCGCGCAAGGTGTTGGCGACATAACAGGGTAAATCCTATCGTTTCTCGAATGGCGAACTATGTGGCTGAGCACAACTGTCATTCACCAGGCCTGTGGTGGAGACCAATTTGATGGTGCGGTGGAAATACAGCTTTGTCTCTGTGGCTTTGCTGAAGATTGACTTCATGGCAGGGGTACGCGAGCTTAGCCCAGGTGGGGACAGGGTTGCATATGCGACAGCGCAGTCGCGCCTTCATCGTTGCGGATGCAGCCAAGCCCTCCGACCGGGTAGTCTTTATCAATGCGGGTGCGTGACCGGTGCCTATTTTGACCATCCACGGGTCGCCTAAAATATCAGAATATTCTGAGCTGCCAATCATCTGGCGTGATATGTCTTTGTGCCCTTATGGGTAGTAGTATCGATCACGGCCAGGTTTTGGCAGGGGAAGACTTTCGTACTTACTTCTTTGTCTCATGTTTGACAGATATTGCAATGGGTAAGTGCATACCTTTCTATTAGTATGCCACCCTGATGATCTCCTCGTGGCCAGGTGACAGCGGGGTGCGCCGCTCCATAGTCTCCCAGTTATCTTCCCAATTCCCCGGAGTTTATACCAACGACAATATCGCTTTCGTAGGGACCCACCAGGTAATTTATTTACGTTTTCCACCCTTATTCTGCTTCCTTTTCACATGAACGATAGCACTCCGGGGTTGGCGGTTTTCTTGAGAACCTTCTTCCTCAAATCACTTCTTTGGGATATGTCAAACAATCAGCGGATGCGATCGTGGCTGGAACCGTTCGTGCCGTACAGCGGGCCCATGCGTCGCTGGCACCAGGCAAACTCAGTCTTGGGAATACGACTGTCCTCGATGCCAATATCAACCGCTCTCCATCGGCATACCTTGCGAATCCGGCCGAGGAGCGTGCACGGTATGAATTCGATCAAGACAAAGATATGACTCTTCTTCGGTTCGACGATGCTAATGGTAACCCTCGAGGGTTCCTTAACTTTTTCGCCGTCCACGGCACGAGCATCTACGAAGTACTTTTCTTGAACTTTGTCAATAAGTCAATTGAACTAACTTCTCAATAGAACAACACTCTTATTAGTACTGACAATAAAGGCATGGCCGCATTTCTGTATGAATGTGAGTTCCGGTCGTTCCTTTCTCCGAAGTTCGATTAACGTTAATGGTATCAAAGCATCCGTCGAGCCGACCACAATGCCGGGGAATACGACATTTGTTGCTGGATTTACGCAGTGTAAGTCTCTCCAGCTCCTCAGTACGCGCTCAATATAGACTAATTCGGAAATACAGCAAACGTCGGCGATACTAGTCCAAATACGTGAGCTATATTCTCTCACATGGTCTGACCCATCTATCAACGTTCTTCTCTCAGCCTAGGAGCATTCTGTGAGAGCCCCGGAGAAGCCTTCGATGGTCAACCTTGCGACTTTGAGAGTTCAACTTGCGGAGGTACCGCGCAAGCATGTCACGGCCGGTAGGTGATTCGCTGACTTTTACATGGTAATTCTCATTGACGCTTACTGCGCGATAAAGCGGCCCGGGCTTTCGCATCTCTGACTTTGAATCCAACCGGATAATTGGAGACGCTCAGTTCCAAGGAGCAAGCAGGTTAATGAGTAGCACCCTGGCGCCAGTTCATGGCGCCGTGAAAAGCGTCCACACCTATCTAAATATGTTAGACCCTCGAACACTCTTTTTCCGAGTGATAACTTATCATCGGTGATTAAGGGCCACCCACTCTTTCCAGCTCCCGAATGGTTCTACTGTGAATACGTGCCCAGCTGCTCTTGGTGTGTCGTCGTTCTTCTCACAATCGAGGCGGCTGTGCTGACATGTCCATCCCAGGCTTCTCCTTCGCTGGTGGCACAACGTGAGTGTCATCAACGCTCAATATATAATGTACTTCTTATCCACTGATTGATTCAAGTGATGGCCCAGGCGCCTTCGACTTCGTCCAAGGAGACAACTCAACTAGCCAGTACGTACAATCGATTCGTCGCTTACGAACGACCGCCTATACTATTTACCCTCTTCATTCTAGAAATCCATTCTGGCAAATCGTCAAAGGTAAAGCATACTCGTTTATCTATGCCGCTGAGATTTCTTTTTTCACCGTTGAAACAATTCCATTCGCAGGCGCTATCACCCCGCTCCCATCCGCTGAGCAGAAGGCCTGTCAGGCACCAAAGCCCATTCTTCTCAATACTGTGAGTTTCGGCTCCCTCAGCCACCGTCGTATCGGTGCTGTTCTCATCATTCCTCTGCCGTTAGGGTGCCGCTAGTACCCCCTATGCTTGGTCGCCATCCACCGTCAGCATCCAGATGCTTCGCATCGGTAACTTCGTGATTCTGGTCATGCCGGGAGAACTCACCACAATGGCGGGGCGGCGCATGCGGTATGTGCTTCCCTCCATTTGCCACCGTTCGCGGTTTTGAATTGCTCCGTCGTCGTAGGGAGGCGCTTCGCGCCAAACTCATCTCATCCGGCGTCATCGGGTCGGACGCATATGTCGTCGTCGCAGGTCCCGCCAACACCTACGCGCACTACGTCACCACCAAAGAAGAATACAGCATCCAGCGCTACGAAGGAGCGTCTACTATATTTGGTCAATGTGCGTTCTTCTCCTTATCATCCATCATAAAACATATGCACCATCAACATCAACATGATCATCATTGCTCATGGTTTTCATTTTCGTTATGTACCTTCCCGCCGCCGACATCGACGTCGATGTTCGTCTTCTCTTCTCGAACGCAACGCCCCTTGCATCGCTTCGCTTCGTGCCTTACGTGTGCTGCGACTATCAGACACATTGGACGCCTACATCGATAAATATGGAAGCTTAGTTTCCTTCCTTGCCGATAACGCTTCCGCCGGCGCTGTTCCGCCGTCTGATCCCGCGCCGCCCGATCTCTCGGGTAAAGCGATCTCCCTCCAGGTCAGTCTTTCGGCTCTATGTGCACAGTCTGTCTGTGTGGCGTTTAGGTTGGACACCCACTCACTCACACTTTTTATATATTTATGTTTATGTTTATGCGTTTACGTCCCATGTTTGCGCGTATGTTCGAATGCTGTTCGCTTCTCGCTTCTCGCGCAGACGGCTGTGGTGTTCGACGCTGCGCCGATTGGGAAGCGGTTCGGCCAGGTTCTGACGAACGTGAACACGACGCCTTATCGTGCTGGGGATGCCGTACGGGTGCAGTTCGTAGGCGCCAATCCCAGGGTGAGTGTCTTCTCTCTCGCCTTATCGGCTGGCCTGAGGCCTGGTGGGGCTGGTGAGGGGTTTGAGCCGATGGCGTGATTTTTGGGTTCTGATTACTGATTGCTGATTTCGGGTTGTTTGGTTCTGGGGTAGAACAATCTGAGGCTGGAGAGTACGTTCCTCACGGTGGAACAGCAAGTCAACGGGCAATGGCGGGCTGTGAGATCGGACTCGCACCCCTCGACGACGTTCAAGTGGACGAGGACTAGTACGGTGCGTGGGTCTCCCTTCGGGTCTTTTGACATTGCAACTCACATGCGGATGGTTTGGTAGGTACTGGGAACCAGCACCGTCGACATAACCTGGTAAGTGCACCGCCACCCCCACGCGCGCGTCTACTCACCCCTTGCCGCTGCAGGACGATCGAAAGCGGCACCCCCGCAGGCTCCTACCGCATCTCGTACTTCGGCGACTCGAAGCCCCTCATCGGCTCCATCTCCTCCTTCTCGGGCGTCTCGGGCACGTTCACCGTAGCGTAATCCGCTAACGCGTTGATGCGTGAATATTTGAATGCGTAAATACGAGAATGACGAATTGTGAACTGTGATGATGGACTGTGTGCAGTGTGTAGCTTTGTCTCTTATTACGACGTGTGATGCGATGTGCTGCCTGTTGTATGCTTATGGACACGAATACGACCTCGTATACCATTGGACATTTGCAACAGAACGGGGCGGCGGGACGACGCCGTCGCTGCACCGCTAGAGCAAGCTTTTGTCTCAGATGTCTCATATGTCTCATATGTCTCAAGTGTCTGTCAGTCCATGTCAGCGATCTGCTTCCGCCCTCGCCTCCGACCCCCGAACTCCGAATCCCAATGCCCGAATTCATATTCATATGCATATGATTCACGGACATACGGGGATATCTGCCTAGCTACCCAATTATTCAATTATTCAATTATACAATTAGGCCAATGATTCGATGATTCGATTGTTCGATTGCTGGCGGGCGAGGGCGAGGGCGATGTTTCAGCGGGGATAGGCGATCGGATTCCGCCCTCCGTGCTCCGTGCTCCGGCGGGCATGATCGCTGTGGGCGATCGTGGCGATCGTTGTCTTAGATGGCTGAGAGATGTTAGATGTTAGAGATGTTAGATATATTAGATGTTAGAGATGATGGTGACGCGCTGACGCCCGGGGCCGACGCGCCGACGCGCGGGGACGCGGGATATGGGGTTCGGGATGTCCATGAGCATTGAGGAGGTGCATTCCAGGCTAGCTACTAGCTACCGGCGGCCAACTCTGCACTCACTGCTCAGCGCTCAGCGCCCAGCCACCGCGTTCACGCACCATGCGTCCGTGCCTCCGTGCCTCCGTGTGGGCGGATATTTGATAGTGAAACTCAAGCACACGGATATTGGTATTCAATATTCAGATATTCAACGTTCATTCACTCTCAACACTCAATATTCAACATTCTTTCTTTGGCTTGACGACACCGCCCACTGCCCAGCCGGCTGGGCTCACACCTAGACTCAGAGGATGTGACGCGCTGCTGCCAGGTGCCGGACGCCGCCGAAAGATATATAGATATACGGGGATACGCCTATGCGCCTGGATACGCCTGGATAGTATGGGGATACGGGGATACGGGGATACGGGGATAGGGATAGGGAATAGGGCGCGGATCTGCTTCCGCCGTCCGTGCCCCAGCCACACGTCTGGCAGCTTCGCTAATTCGCTAATTCGCTAATTCGATATTCGGTATTCGGTATTCAATATTCGGTATTCGATATTCGATATTCAGGTTTCAGAAGCTTTGCATTGTTGGAAAATTCGGAGGGTATGGAGGGTACGGAGAGTATGGAGAGTATGGAGGGTATGGAGGGTATGGAGGGTATGGTGGTTCTGGTGGTTTGTGGTTCTGGTGGTTTGTGGGTCTGGTGTCTCAGTATGACGCAGGCGTGTGTCTGTGTCTGTTCGGTGCTGCGAACTCGGGCGTGGGTGTTTGGATCGCGAATCGGTGAATCGTGGTTCACGCGTTCAAACGTTCACGAAGCACGAAGCACGAAGCACGAAGCACGATTTGCGATCGGGCGTCGGCGTTGCGATCGACGGTGCGCAGTCAAGTTCAAGTGGATTGTGGGATGTCTCGTCTGGCCTTCAGCGCTCAGCTTCAGGCCCGCCGCCGATGGACCAATGAATTCATGACGGTCAGACGTAATGGGACACAGGGTACAGGATACGGGGAGAAGGGCGGGTGATCTGCTTCCGCCGTCCGTTCTTCAGGCCTCAGCCCCAAGTCGAACCTCAGCCACATTTTGGCAGTTGGCAGTTGGCAACGTCGAAACGCGATCGACGTCGAGGCCTGCTGTTTGGAAATTCGGAGAATGTCTGGGATGGAGTCTGATGCATGATGAGACGATGGCGTATAATCGATAATTCGGTGTGGTATATGACGTCGGGGCGGATGCCTGGATCTCTGTCGACACCCCAGCATCGGCATCGGCATCTTCACCATCGGCGTTGGCATCGTCTTCAGCTCTGGCCATCTCAACAGCTCTCTAGTATCTACGCAGATGGACCGCCTCGATCATCGCGATCGGCGACGCGATCGTGGAGCGTCGGTGCCGGTGAAGCTTGAGCTAGAGCTTGCGCTTGATCGCGACTCGATCGTGGACGGGCGACGCGCCTGCGGGTAGACGATGCATTAGCAGATATGATATGAGAATGATATGGCGTGAAGGCGCGATGCTCACGAGGACGAAAAGGGGATCGATTTATAACGCATCGCAGTGCAACGTCGCGATCGTCATCGTCATCGTCATCGTCATCGGAGCGCCGGTGACGCGCCCACCTGGCCTACTCCCACCCACCCACAGGCGGCGGCCATACATATTACGCGCCTGCCCAACACGGCGCCGACTCGCCCCGCATAATCATAACCCCCAGCGTGATCAGCTTCCGCGCCGGCTCCCTTCTCTTTCGAACACATCCACGAAGACACGATCGCCGCAGAGGATACCGGTATGCTGATGAGTTGTCAGTTGATATTGGATTGGAATTTGTGGAGCGCTGGGTAGCAGATCGGGGGAGGTAGGGGTAGGTACGAGCTTGGAAGTAGGCGTTCCGTTCCTTGCGTGTTCCGGGCGGTAACGAACCGGGAAGCATTCAGAGCGCAGAACGTACTCTACCGCCGGTGCTGGGAAGTCCTTCCAGCTGGGTTGAAAGTTGATCTGGGAGCGTTCAAGCGTACAGGCTTGGAAGTTGACGTTGGAAGCTGGAAGGAGGAGGTTTCAAGGAAGTCGGGCATCGGGAGGAAGCTTTGTCTCCAGAGGATAGTAAATTGATAGGGAAAAGGATGATCAGTGCTTCAGCGCTTCAGCTTCCGCCCGCTGTTGGCCCGCCGCTGACTCGATTCAAATATTTACCACCCAGAACACGCGCTTGTCGATGGCAGGATGGCAGAAGTGGCTTACTGCTTGGAACAGGAGCTTACCACCCAGAACACGAGCTTGGAAACACGAGGCGGCAGGTCGATATCCGGATATGCAGATGTCCAGATGTCAGAAGCAGAGCACTGCGATGGGCCACGCGCTCGGAGTCATCATTCGGTCATTCGGTTCTCGCTAAGCTTACCTCTTACCTCACCCTCACTCCCTTTCCCTTACCTCACCCCACTTCCCCTTAGCCATATCCATATCTTATCGTCATGCGCCATTCATTCGCCGTGCGTTCTTAGTGCATATATAGAGATAGATAGTACAAGCAGCGTGTAGCGTAGATATACGGTAAGTGGGAGTGGGTTAGTGGGTGAAGTTTTAAAGTTTTAAAGTTTTGGAAATTCGAGTTCGAGTCGTATTTTGGGCGTTTGGAACGTTTTGGAAGGGGTGGATTTGGATTTTGAAAGGGGTGGATTTGGGATTTGAAAGGGTGGTGCAGAAATGGGGAAATGGGGAAGGGGGCGTGGAAGGGGTGATACAAGTGTATGAAGGTAGGAGTACAGAGTACAAATGGTGTACAAATGATAAACGATAAATGAAGAATAAGAAACGAGAAACGTTAAAAGAGCCCGACTCGCAGACTGCGGTACAAAGTGCAAAGTGCAACATCCTAACAGCGTACATCCTAACAGCGTACATCCTAACAGCGTAAATGTGTAACAGCGTAAATGTGTAACAGTGTATGGAATCCGAAAGAGATACGAGATATGGGATATATACAATGACAATGACAATGGCAATGGGGACACAGAGACGGGAAGAGAGAGACGGGAAGAGAGAGATACACGTAGACAAGGAGATGTATGAATGATACGGAACAGGAAATGTAGGAACAGGAAATGGGGGGAGAAGCGTACAAGCCTCGCGGTATTTGGAGTTTGGTGTTCGGTGTTCGGTGTTCGGTGTTTAGTGTTTATTTGCAGTCATACTTCCGACGGGGGTGATACACATTTCTAAAAAGACAGTGGTGGTAGTAGCAGTGGTGGTGGTGGTACAACAGCAGCAGCACGGAATGGGGGAGGCGGTACAAGTGCAAATGAGCGTGGATCCGAGACGGGCGAGACGTGGGCGGGTGGTACAAATGAGCGTGGTGGTGGTACAACAGGCGTGTGCGTATGCGTATGTGCGTATGCGTGTATCGCTTCGTGGAGACGTGTGTGGATGGCGCGTTATAGGCGTTTATGTTATGGTGTTATGGGGAGAGGCGTGAAAGGAGAGAGAGAGAGGAGAGAGGGGTGGTACAACAGGGGCAGACGGAGTCGTTTGCGAGTGCTTTGGTGGTTTGGTGGTTTGGTGTTACATTGCGAGGTTGAGGCGAGAGGAGGCGAGGGTATCCCAATCCCAATGTCAATTTATCAATCCGCCGATTCAGAGCACATACGTCGAGTACTCCTGGCCGAACCCGTGCCCCCCATGTCCTCCATGTCCTCCATGCTGATGCATCTGCACCTGCTCATGCACCTGGCCCTGCTGGTGATGCCCCCCAATCCCGCCAATCCCCCACCCGGCATTAGCGGAATCATACACGCCCGGCTCGGAGGACAGCTCGTAGAAGCTCTCCTCCTGGTGCTTGCCGGCGTGGGAGGAAGAGCAGGCGGAGGCGGAGGAGGCGGAGGCGGAGGAGGCGGGGGCGTAGTCGATGTTGAGCATGCCGTGGATGTCCATCATGCCCCCGCCCATGCCGCCCATGCCGCCCATACCCCCCATTCCGCCGCCCATCCCTCCGCTCATGCTCATGCCCATGCCCATGCCCATGTTCATCCCGCCGAGGCCATGCCGCCGAGGCCATACGAGGCGTGCTGCGCCGCCGAGAACGGGTCCGCGACGAACTGCGCGACGTCGATGTCGACGGGGAGGAAGTAGTCGAACGCGTCGTCGCCGGGCGTCGAGGCCGTCGGGGGCGGGCTCGCGGGGCTCAGGTGCTGGTGCTGATGCTCATTGGCGGAGGAGGGCGAGAGGGGGAGGGAGAGCGAGAGGGATGGGGGGAGGGGGAGGGAGATCTTGCTGGTGCTGGTGTGTGCGTGTGTGCGGGATGCGGGGGACGGGGTCGATGGGTGGGAGGTGCGTGAAGAGGGGGAGGTAGGTGAGGAGGGGGAGGTGGGGGAGGAGGGGGAGGCGAGGGAGCGCGGGTGCACGGTGGGCGAGGAGCTCGTGGACGTGGGCGTCGTGGAGTGCGTCGCGTCGGTGGTGAAGGATGCGAACGAGTCCATCGAGTCCATCGAATCCATGGAGTCGAGGGAGTCGAGGGACGCGGAGGACGAGGAGGTGGAGGGGCGCTCGTCGTAGAGGCCCATGCCCATGCCTACGCCCAAGCCCATGCCCAAGGAGAAGTGCGCCGCGGGCTCGGCGAATTTGAACTTGTAGATCGCGGCGAACATGAGCACCTGCGAGGCCTGTGGCTGCGCGGGGGCGGAGGGGGATGCGGGGGAGGTGGGGGATGCGAGCGACGAGAGCGACGAGGGGGAGGCGGAGGTGGGGGAGGTGGGCGCGGAGGCGGAGGCGGGAACGTGCTTGATGATTTCCTGGTGGATCGTGTAGTGCGTCGGGTCTGTGTGTGCGCGTGAGTATGCAGGCAGGGGGGGTGCGAGAGACGGGTGAGAGGGACATACCGTGCGCATCAGCGATCTCGCTCCAGAAGCCGGGGACGAGCGCCGTGGAGTAGACGAGCGTCTCGCCGTCAGCGGCGGGCAGCGCATTCGGCACGAGGACGAGGGGCGTGCTCTCCGAGAACACGACCGCGTTCTCGGCGTGGCCGTGGCCGTGGAGTCCGTGGTGCTGCTGGGTCTGGGTCTGGGTCTGGTAGACGGTGTAGTGCGACGTGGCGTCGATGTGGTGCTGGGAGAGGAAGGTGACGGTGGGGTCGATGCTCTTGATGGGGCGCGGCTGCGCGGCGTGGAAGGTGCCCGTGCTGTCCTGCACCGGCGACGAGGCGGGCGCGGGCGAGGGCAGGGGCGAGGAGGGCGGGAGGAGGTCGATGCAGATCACGAGCGGCGACGTGGTCGAAGACGAGGGGCTAGTGGAAGGAGAAGCGGAGGAGAAGGGTGAAGAGGAGACGTCGTCGAGGGGGGAAGGGCAGTCAAGGGCGCCTCCGCGCTGTTGCTCGCGCATGAGGGCAGGCGTCGATCGGTGTGCGGGTACTTGCCGCTTGCACGGGCTCAACAGCGCCAGCACTACCCATCCTCAGTCAAAGATCTTCGAACATATCAACAAGTAATACTCACATCGCTTCCCGCCACACGTATCCCGCAGCTGCTGCAGCCGGCTGCCCACCTGCTTCGCCGTCCGCCGCTTGCCCGTGACCTTCCAGATATAATCGCTGATGTACCGATTCCGCATCGGGAAGCGTCCGAGGAGGCGTGTCTCTCTGCTGTCGTCGGGCTGGTAGGACTCGAGGCCCTCGAGGAGCGCGGCCTCGAGCTCGGGGGGCCAGACGGCCTCGCCGTTGCCGCGGAGGGTCTTCCACGACTTGCGGCCCTTGACGATGGAGTGGAAGACCTCGAGCGTCGTCGACGAGGGTCCGGAGGGGGAGGCGGCTCCGAGGGAGGCGGGGAGGGCCGAGGGGAGGAGGGCGGTCCCGGTCATAGGCGTAGTGGGGGACATCGGCGGTGTGCTCGTCTCGGTGTGTGCTGGTGATGTGGACGTGGACGTGGTGGTAGAGGAGAAGGGAGTCTAGTGTGAAGGGGAGCAGGGAGGGACAGACAGACACCCGGAATCCATACTACGAGGGGCATTTATATCTCTGCAGGCTGCCCGTCCCAATTCTCTGTTCTGCCATTAGGCGCCCTGCCCTCCTTCCTAATGCGGACCCCCTTCGATTGCGTTCCCCTGCCTTCCTGCTTCCTTTTGCGGTGCCTCTTCGCCTGCCCTACCACCCTAACATCCTTCCATATCCGTCTGCCCCCTTCCCCCACCCTAAACATCCTCCCTTCCTGGGGCCCTTCCTGAGGCCTGCCTTATCCGGCACCAGCCAATCCCCCGCCCACGACGCTCAGCCACACCATCCGCACACACCAATCACTGCCCCCGCTCCGTCCTCAGCCACCGGTCAGACACCCCCAGCAGGCCCGAGCCATCAGAAGCGTGCAATCGCTACCCGACAATGAATATTGAATATGCATCATTCACTCGGTCTCGCGGATATTCAATGCGCTATGCGACGAGCCACCGCCCACCACCTCGCCACCACTAATTCATCTTCATCCCGGCCCCGTCTACAATATCTGCAGTCTGCATACCGCATCCCGGCCACCCGATGCTGCACAATCTCACATTCTCATCCACACATCCAAGCGGACTTCAGACGCACGAGCGAACGAACGACTGACGGCCTGACGGACGGACGGAAGACTGAGCGAAAGCTGGCACGGTGGAACATGGCACCCAGGGTCCTCGCAAAAAAATTCCCTTTTCCCCCCTCCCCCCTTCCCTCCCTCCCTTCCGTATATAGTATACGGCATGTCCTCGTTTCTCATTTCTTATTTGGGGGAAATCGAGATCCACTGCGTTGGCTCAGTCCTCAGTACTCGGTGGCTGCACGCCAGGAATTAGCATAATCGCGATCGCGATCCCAGACGCTTCGATTACGGTATCGCGATGGAATCTCGATTTACAGTACCCATTTCTCGATTTCTCGATTCACCGATTAACCGATCCGGGATGGGGGGTAGCATGAATCATGATCGGATTCACGCTTACCGGAAGAGGAAGGGTGGGGATCCTGTCCGAAAACGTCCTAGCCCGAAAAATAGATCCTCTGCTGGGTGCTGGTGATCATGAAGTATCCCGCAAGCCGCAGGATCGTTTTGAGTGGGTGTTTGGAGGGGGAATCCTGTACATACATCAGTACATCAGTTTGCGGAACGTTTGGCGCTTGGCAGAGCCGGCGGGCTGCCACCTCATCTGCACAGATGCATTATGGAGCGGTTCTATGTGTTTGGGTATGGGATAGTGCGGTACCTGTGGCCGTACACGTCTTCCCATAAAAACTGCACTGTACAAGATAAACTGAAACTGTATTGTACTGTACAAAGGATTATAATTGAAAACCTTTGCACACTTTGGCGGGCAGACGAGACAAGACAGGACAGGACGAGACAGTGGTTTGCATAAGCGGAATATAAATAAGCGGAATAAGCGTGAGTCGTGGTTTTTGGTTTTTGTTTTTTGTTTTTGTGAGTCGCATGAGGGAGGTACGCTGGCGAGGGCTGCGTATGCGACAATAGACGATAGACGATTGAGGACATAGGGTAGACGATGAAGATACAGCCGACGCTCAGTGCTCAGTCAGGCTCAGTGCTCAGTCATACTCAGTGCTCAGTCATGCTCAGTCATATCCCGCTGTCACCATGCGCACCATGGACAGGGAATATACAAATATACAAATAAAACGGATATAATACACTCGTAAAACATAAAACAGATGAAAAAATTCTCTCCTGATTTCCTGATTTTATCTCCTGATTTCCTGATTTTCATGGATTTTACGGGTTTTGTTTCCTGACTGTTCGACTGTTCGACTGTTTTGCTGCGTTGCGTTCGTTGCGTTGCTTATATTCACCGAGATATATTGACATATCGAGTGCCGCTGCGTGGGTCGGTCAGAGGGCAGAGGGAAGAGGGGGAGACGACGCAGCCCCCAGCGTCACATGCAGCGGCAATTGGATTCCATATTGGAATATTGGAATAATGGAATACGGAATATTGGAATACGGAAGACTGGCGTGGTCCGTCGGGGGATCGTGATATGGTTGGTGCGGTCGGAGGTGGGCAGGGAAAACACAAATACAAATTATCTTGCGAGGACCGTAGTATTGGTAAGGACCAAGGCCGCGCTGAATCGAGAATCGAGGACCACGCTCAAGGGCAGGGAGGGAGGAGGAAGGATGCGCAGGCGGGAATTTGGGAATTTGGGTACTTAACGCGCGCGAGCGATGTTATGGGCATCGGAGCATTGAGCGCTGAGCAATGATACATACGGACGAGCGAACGTGGGCTTAGTGTGTGTAGGTCCGTCGATTTCATGATTTTATGATTTCAACGTAATTCGCATTCGTATTCCAATTCGAATTCGAGGTCGGGAGTCGGGAGTCGGGAATGGGTAGTTCGGGAGTGTGTAGTTCGGCAGTTCGATCGCGCGAGGACGAGCGAACGTGGCATCGCGGTACGCGTTATTGCGCGTATCGCGCATAAGCGTCGTATGCATCATGTGCACCATACGCATTATACGCAGCATGTGCTTAGGGCATATAGGGCGCGTAGGTAGGGTGGACCGGCAGGGTAATGTGGGCCGTCGATTGCACGATGCACGATTGCACGATTTCACGATTCGTGGTTTCACGATTTGACGATTCCACGATTTCATGATTCGTGATTTCATGGTTTCGTGATTTCATGATTTCACCGTAATTTGTATTCGATTCGGGGTTGTCAAGGTCGGGAGTCCGATCGCTCGAGGGACCGAGGGATCGAGGGCTCGATGACGATATACGATATGGTGGCGGGGTGGCGGGGTGGATATCATGTGCGGGTCCGCATACGGAAGGATAGGTGAGAGGTATTCGAAGGGTATCGGGATCATGGTATGATGCATGATCGTGAAGAGTGAAGAGTGAAGAGTGAAGATTGAAGAGTGCTAGTGGAGAGTGAAGAGTGAAGGAAGAGTGAAGGAAGAGAGACGTAGAGTCTTAGAGACGTCTAGAAAGACGATTAGACTGCGGATGCGATGATAGTGGGCGTAGACGGCGCTAGGGGCGCTAGGGGCTCCCTCCTCCCTCACATCCTCACACCCTCCCTCACATCCTCACACCTTCCCTCACCATCCCTCCTCCCTTCCTCCCTCACTACGTAGCACGCCCGAGCCGCGACGCTTCGTATCCGCTGTCCGCTGTTTTCTAAACCATCTCCCCCAGCCTCCGCGAAAGCGGGGAAAGCGGGGAAGCGGGGAACAATGGCATGGAAGTGACGGCGGGACAGCGGTGGGAACGGTGGGAACGGGGCGGAGGGGCGGAGGGGTGGTGCTGTGAATGGTATTGAATGGAATGGGGTGGATGGGGTGGGATGGGGCGGGATGGGGTGGGTGGATGAGACGATGTACGGAGGCACTCATTCTCTCATTCTCTCGGTGCTTCGTGTTCTCCATCATGATCATGCATCCTACTCCAAGCGTCCCGCATCCTACGCCAAGCATCCTCCATCCTACTCCAAGCATCAAGCATCCTACGCCAAGCATCCCGCATATCGTGCATAAGCGTAAGCGTATGCGTATGTGTAAGCGTATGTGTATGCGTAAGTGTATGTGTATGTGCGTACGTACGGCGGGCGATCGTCAGCTCGAGAACTTGCACCGACACCGAACGTCTGGTAGCGGTATTAGTGAGTCCATGTATGATGTATGATGTAAAACGGGAAAGAGGGAGGACGAAGAGGGAGGAGAAGGAGGAGCGCATTGCAGACTGGCGACTAGGGGCTACTAGGGGCCCATCAACGCGCCACGACACTGTGGGCCTTGGAAGCGATCTCTATACTCCTACACCTCTAGACCCCTACAATCACTATCCTCGCTCTACTCTACAGCATATATGGTACTATGCTGCGATATAACATACAATATAATATAACATAATAGAAAATAATATATGATACAATACAATATGGTGCCGTACCCATGACGGGCTCCGACATTCAGACATTCAGACATTCAGATATATGCAGACGGAGACGGAGACGGAGACGCCACTAATCCACTTCCCTCATTCTCATTCTCATTCTCATTCCCCCATCCTATCATCCTACCATCCTGTCGTTCTCACTCTCTCATTCTCATTCTGTCGATGACTGAGAGATTTTGATATGAGGGATATCATGCGTAAAGGCGTACGTACACCGGGCGATCGTCGGCCATGAGAGCGTCGAGAAGCAGAAAGTTGGAAGTTGGGAGTTGGGAGTTGAGAGTTGGAAGTTGTTGGAAGGAAACAAATCGCGAAACGGAAGTTACAAAGCGACGACAATGGGAGCTGGTAGGATCACGAATCACGAATCACGAATTGAGCCGGGCAGAGTCGTACGAGCGTGGGCGAAGCGCGGGGTGCTGACGCGAACGCGCGCTCGAGAAGGGAGAGGGGGGGAGAGAAGGCGGCAGAGAAGGCGGCAGAGAGAGAGGCGCTAGAAGGCGGGAGAGAGAAGAGGAGTGGCGAGAAGAATGCCGAGATACGAAAGATGTCCGTTTTCAAACGAAGAGGAGAGAAGAGAAGAGAAAGAACGCCGGAAATGCGATAATAGTGCGATGTGATGCGATGCGATGTGATGTGGTAGATTGATTGATAATGGATTAAGTGGGCGTGTACATGTGTACATGTGCAGATGGGAGTAAGGGAGTATGTGCACGATAGGGCGGGTCATCTAGTTATCCAAGCGCCCAAACGCCCAAACGCTCATTAACCTCTTTGAAGCTCGCGCACCGATGAGCGCTAGCATTAATACGACTGCAGCCGAATCCTGCATACCGAGTATTGAATATTGAATATTGAATATTGAATCCTGATCCTCATCCTAATTAATGATCAATGATTAATGATTCATGATGATGTTGACGGGGCACCCCG